TTTATTATTTTTAATTATAAAAATATTAATTTTTAAATATTTAAATAAAATTAATTTTTAAATATTTAAATAAAATTAATTTTAAACTATAATTTAATTAAATAAATAAATATTTTTAATTCTTAACTATAAAGTATATTAATAAAGGTATTTTTAATAATTAATTTATTAAAAGTTATAAAAATATTTATAATATTAATATCTTTTATAATAAAATAAGTTTTATTAATAATAATAATTATTCTATTATATAATTAAAATAAGCTAAAATTTTTATATATTTTATTATATATTTTAAAGTATTTAAATTAAAGATTTATAATATTTTATTAATATTTTAAATAATAATAAAAGTTTTATTATATATATTAAAATATTAATATAAAATATTATATTTTTATTATTATTATTAAAGATTTCTACTATATTATTTTTATTTAATTAATAATAGTTTATTTTTTCCTTTTTATTTTTCCTTATGTTTTATTAACTTATTATAATTTATATATAAATAATTAATAAAAGTAAAGTTATAAAAATAATATTATATATATTTTTATTAAATTTCTTTAATAAAAGTTAATATTAAATAATATAAACTTTTAAACTTTTAATATTAGTTAATACTAACTTTTTAAAAATTAAAATATAATAAGTCTTTAATTACTTAATTTTTAAATAAATAATAATATTTAATATTTTAAATTTAATATTAAAAACTTTAAAATTTTATAATTATTAAGATTATTAATAATATTATTTATTTTATTAAATAATATTATAAAGAAAAAGAACTTTTAATTTTATTATTTTTAAATAAAGATTTTATAAATTTTATTATAAATTAATTAAATATTAAAATTTTAATAAAAACTTTATTTAAAGTTAATAAAATAAATTAAAGTATTTTTATAAATTAAAACTATTTTTATAGTATAAATTAATTAATTAATAAAAAAATAAATAATTAAATTTTTAATATTTTAATTAAAATAATTTTTAAAGTTTTTAAGTTAATAAAAGCTTTTATATAATATAATATATATTATTAAATTAAAATAAATAATATTAAAAATATAATAAAAGTTTAATTATTTTATTTTTATTATTTTTAAAAACTTTATTAATAATAAATTTAATTTTTATATTAATAATAATATTATTAAAATTAATAAAGTAAAAGTTTAGTTTTAAGTAATTTATTAATTAAAATATTTTTAAATTAAATTTAAATAATAATAATAAATTAAATTTAAAATTAAAATTAAGTATTTTAAATAATAATTAAATTAATTTAAATAATTTTAAGTTAATATTAATTAATATAAAAATAAAAATAAAAATAATAAATTATTATAAGTTATATAAATATATAATATTTATTAAAAAATATAAATAATATTAATAATTTAACTTTATAATAATTATATTTTAATAATTTTTAAATATAAAAAAATTTAATATTAATAAATATTAATAAAAATAAGTAAATAAAAATATATTAAGTAATATTAAGTTTATAACTTAATAAGTTATTTAAGTAAATAATAGTTTATTAATTAATATTAGAGAGAAGTCTATAATCTCTTTTAGCGCTTAGAAGGAGCGGGTATAAGTATTAGTTAGCTTAGTCAGCCAGACCCGACCGTGCCTTCCAACAACCGCGTGCTAACACAGGCGTCTCTAGTGGACAATGCAAATTCCACAACCCACTTCCCACCAGAGGAATCGAGATTCAGGAGGAAGAGGCTTTTCCATCCTCAGAACCTACGCTGAAAAGCTACCAAGAGCAGACTCGATTTCGAAAGCTCTTTTAGTGCTGCTGCGACTCAACGCCTATGGCCTTCTTCGGTTTGATTTTCCGCAGTCTGCCACAGGCCGCCAGCTCTCTAAAATGTGCACCTGATCCTAGGGGAGGATAAAGTGCACTCCGGGCTTTCGCCTCCTCCGTGGTTCTATTTTATAGAGCTCATCGTGATCATTCAGTATGTATACTCCCATTTGGAGGCACGTATGTTACGTCTCCTCGGCCATGAATAAGAAGTAGTTACGCCCTGGTTCGTGGCAACAACGTCACGTTCGCTGTAATGGTTGCTTCAGTCACAATTATGTTCCCATAAGGCGCTGGTGCTCTCAGTTGAAGTATTTAGGCTCAGATGCATCTGGCAAATCTTCGTGCAACCTAAGAAAGCACAACCTCTGATTATCAATGCGATGAAGGCAACCTCAGCTCGATATTGACCCCTGAAGGATGTATCACTGCAACTGTTGCGCCCGATAAGCTCAGACGTTATCACTGGTAATGGAGGGGGGAGTTGGAGTCAGTCCTGTCTATAGGGTGAAATTATGTCACATGACTTTGTCCAAGAATCCTTCAAGTTGTTGCCTACTCTTAGAGCACAAGTGATCGTCTCGGATTTCAGGTAAGACGGAATCCCCAGTCTTCTTCCACGCGTCCAACCTTGCCATTCCGACAGGAACAATTTCCACAGTGCATCAGGCCAACAGCTTTGTGCAGAAGAAAATGTCCACGTCGCCAAACATACCAGTATCCACTACCATGGATACCATCTCAACAACAGAAATTTATTGCGTCTTCGGCACTACGGCGGCGGCGGCGTCGACGGAGACTTCCATCAGCATTTTGTACCATCCCAGCGAGCCGCCCAAATTGATACTTGTCACCATTCTCACAACATTTAATTCTTTCGCGGAAGACTGTACATCATTTACCCATTGCAAATTAACGATCTACCCCAATCCTGACATATCTGGACACGGAGTAAGTTGTATCCAAGGAATTCCCGAGTCCTTGCTGACATGTTGGGAAGGTACTCACGGCGTTCGTGGTGTCTGCATATCTAGTTCTGGCTCTCATCCTCTGGGCATACTGGTTCGGTGCCTTGCCTGACGGTATCGTACGCAGACTTGACCGAAGGATCTTTTTCGCTCGCAGGAAGCAACCGAACGACAGATGGAGGGTAGTTTTCGTGGAGCTAGTTTTGGTATTCAGCGATCAGCAGCTTCTCACCGGACTGGCCATTCTTATCGCTGGTTACACTCAAGCCTGGGGACAGAACCTAAGCATCTACCATTGGAACAACGTCATATACTTGGCTTGGCTCAGCTCCACAGTTCATCTGATGTCCTTGTCAGTACTTCGAGATCGACTAAAAAAAAGCAAGGCATTACAGGCTATTCGCATGACCGTCATGATCTTAATCCTTGGACTCCTTCTCGGTGCCCTGGTCCCGACCACTACAGAGAAATGGCAATTGTACAGCAGATGGGGATTCTTTTCAGGTTTGCCCGTTCGTTGTCTTTGGGGCACACACTTGTACGGGTATTATGGAAAAGGCGATTATTGGATATCATATGCATCCCTCCTCGGTGCCTTTATCTGGAAAATCTCCCAATTATTCGACAGCAGCCGGGAGTGGGTGCGCTTTTGGGGCAGAGCTCGCTTGGAGTGCTTCCTAGAGAAGACCGCCAGGCGCACACTACAGAAACCACCAAGCCGGCTTACGAGGGCCAAGTTTTGGATGCTCACCATCGCCTACGTCATCCTAGTCGCTTATATGGAGCTCTTTGAGTGTTTCATGTTCACCGTATTCCTCCTCGCATTCACCTTAGCGTGGGGCACGTATCAGCCTTTTTACATATCTTCGAAGGCAAATATCCCGAGTGAAATACAATCAGCTGAGCGTGAGATGGGTTTCGGTCAACTACTTCCAATACTCCTACTTTCTCAGCCCGTATTTGTCGCCATCCAATTGTATTTAGGTGAGTGAAACATGTACTGGAATCGTTGATCAGGGCCAGACCATCACACAAGTCATTAACCCTAGTCTCAAGAAGAGCCGAGAATAACGTCCATCAGCCAATCTTCAGCAGCGAGTTCCCCTGGACCCGCCATGATCTCTCCATATCCGATATCAAACACCCTAGCAGAGGCTTTGCAAAGAAATTCCAGGCTGCTGTCATCCTCAGAAAAGGTGACTGGGCAGCTTCAAGACCCAATCATTGATCACCTCTACCGATCCAAAACTTTTGTGAGCTTCTTAGTTTATATTTCCTTGACCTCGACGGTACCTGCCATAGTTTCCTTCGCAGCGGCTTCCTACCGTGTTGAGACAGTCGGGCCATTAATCCCTGGTACCTTTGCACTTTCATTTGTGACATTTCCTGTGCTGTTCCTTCCGTGGTCAAAGCGATTGAAGTAGTTAGTCTATTTATTTGATGGATGCTTTATTATTGGGCCAATTAAGCAGGGTTTCCGCTCACTATACTACACACACTGGGCTCACCAGTGGAATGTAAATGTAAATACTTTGGCCTTAGTGTAAATGTAATGTAGTTAACTAGTGTATATCCTCAGATATATATAGAGGAGAACGGATATTTATACCCACTAAAACGGCTAGTACACCTATATAAGCTAGCTACTAGGGGCTCTATAAGGGCTATAATTAATTAGAGAGCTTTATTTAATATTACTTTAACTATTTATTTAAAGTACTTTTTATAACTTTAATTATCTATTTATTAAATACCTTTTTATTAATAATCTTAACTATTTATTTATTAATTTATTAATAGTTAAAATAATAATAATATTAATATTTAAACTAATAGTTAAAAAGCTTTATATAAAAGTTAATAAAACTATTAATTAGTTATTATAAGTTAACTTTATTAATAATAAAAAGGAGACCTAGAAAGGGATTTAAGTACTTAAAGACTTACTAAACCGCCCTAAGTAATGATAAAGTAAGAAGTAGTAAACTACTAGACTAGAAGCTATAATGGGGGGGTGAGGAAGTGTGTAGTGGTATAGATTAAGATTGGCGCACTGGGGGTATATCTTCAGGTGTACCAGCCGTTTTAGTGGGTGCGAATATCCGTTCTCATACGGAATAGAAGCGAAACTACATACGGAATAGAAGCGAAACCACATACGGAATAGAAGCAAAACCACATACAACTTTTGTACGGGACTACTTATCAAGCTATTATTGCATTCTGAAAATCCTTAAGACGCATCTAGAGGTGACTGGGCCGAAGCAAAAGCATCAGTCCGCAGGGTGCAAGGCCGAGAGACTATTGTCACAGTATACCGAATGACCGGGTGTCTCAACGTATACAAAGTCTTTATCAGAGGGGCCCAAAATGAGCCTCACATAGCGTTCTTGTCTCGAAGTGAAAAACAGATCATACAAAGACTCTTCGTCTTCTGAGTGGTCGCTCCCTGTCTTGGAAGACTAGTAGTACTCATTACTATGCTTTGCCTTGTCAAACCAGTCACTGATGCCCAACCCCTTGATGATGAGCTATATGAGCTGTGGACCTGTGAAAGTGTTGAAATATAGCTTGTTTTGGGCTTCTTGGAACGGGGCTGTTGAACCCGTAGAATGTAACAATAAGTCTTCATGAAACGGCAGTCTTTTATTGCCGGTACAAAACACTAAGCGTGCTTGAAGTGACCAAAGGTACATGACCACATCATTCAGGGAAAACTAATTGACGCCCATGAAGGAGGCCGTGCACTTCATCCCGTCAAATGAAGTCAAGCGGGATCAGAGTGCTGATTCCCAGACACGTCTCTGGATAAAGCTTTAGTATTCCTCGTCTCAAGAGGGGTACTGGCCGATGGCATTGAGGTAGCCGCTGCACAACATTTGTCGCGGGTCGAAACCAAGGTCTTCGTATGTGTCGCTGGTGCGGAACTTCGGCACGTCTTCAACATCTCCATTATCCGTCTGCATAGCTGCAACAGGCGCATTTGTGCCGTTACTGACACCAGCCGGCGGAGCCTCCGCGGCAGCGAGGTCGGCGAGATGTTGGAGGCTTTGGCTGGCAGTAGCCTCGACAGAGTCGTTGGGGAGGGGGCGCATGCTGTCCCGAATCTTGTTTCGAATCGGCCCATCCCAACTCGACGGGGCGATGTTTGCCTCCAAAAGTTGATGTAGCAGCTCCTTGGCTTCCCCCTCTGAAGCCTTGATATTTGCAAGCTCCAATAGACACAACGCGACCAAGGACGTGAAATGATGATTTAATGGGCTTATCATCTGGGAGTGTGTGGTCAGAAGCCCGACAGATTCTTTGACAGCCCAAAGAACATCTGTCAGCAACGACGATGGTGTGAATAGGAACGCAAGCAATCGGCAGTGCCAGTACGCTAGGTGCAGGATGGGTTCCACGTCCGGATGTATGTCTCCTGGGAAATGCGCGCGCCACATCTCCATGTTTAGGTGGAAAGTGGCAGCGGCCCTGGCGGCAGCTCCCGGGGTCGTATTCGTAGGTGCAAGTACCGATGCAGGCACCCAGTGCCCCATGATGTACGACAATACTGGGAATGTTAGCATTATCCATCTACTCAGCTTTTAGGGTGAGTACTCACGAGTGAAACGGAAGTTTGCCTCGCCCACGATCGGCTTCAGGTTCGAAGGCAGTACAATCGTATCGCCCGAAATTGTCAGGGGAGTTGCTGTGGAGAGAGCATTCCATCGATCCAATATGACCAGTGTCCACCACGCTCGGATCCGGATGCACTGATCTGACTCCACGTCGGAAAGACCATCTGAGGCGATGGCTTCTTGTGGGACGGACATTGTGTAGGCTACACCGGCGGCTCGGCCCAGGAGAGAAGCCTTGGGTGGACCTTGGTGTTCTCCAGAAAGCGAGAGCGGACCAACATTATCAGTGTTGATGATCATGAGGATCAGACACTGCAGGTGTACAAGAGGAGCAACTTGCGACTTTCTACCGCCCTCGACCTCGAAGTCTGCCAGAAGCCGATTCGCGTGGGCTAGGCTGCCTTGCACATCGCGGACGGCGAAGGACCCAATAGCGGAATTGAGGGCCTCGATGAACGCATTACGCAGGTGGGGAGTGCATTGTGCCAGATGCGAGTTCAGAATGTCTTTGGAGCTGGGTAGGAAAGGCAAGACGTGGTGTACAATGGCCAGGTATCTGTAATCGATTATCAGAACAAACTCGGAGACATGAGGCTACTAAAAGAACCCACGCGTTGAAGGCGTCATCTTGAACCCCAGGTAAAAGATGGTCAGATTGTGAAGACTGTGTTTCTTCTTGGAGAGGTTCCACATTAGGAGGCTGCGGCGGCGTCGCACTGGGACTCTCTCTCGGCAGAAGAGGCTTGAGACCCAAGCTGTTGGCAGAGTAAGATGCCTGTTGGGAGAATGCAGGGCGTGATTCGGACGGCGGCCCTGTCTGCCTGACTGGGGAGGGCGTAGAGAAGTTTTCGGTGGATATGTGAGCGTACGGTCGCTTTCGAGACTCGTCTGCATGTGCCGCCGCAGCCGCAGCATAAGTGTCGGCGAGGTCTCGCCTCGGTAATGCAGCCAGCTCGCCGGCTAATTCTGCTGCGGCCTGTCCTCCCAGCTTGCCCTCGATAGAGTGGATCCGGTCTGCCAGCTCCTTGATGTAACCCTTTGACGGTCCGCGCTTCTGTGGAACTCGACTGAAAAGACATCGCACATTTGAGCGGCGGCAGTTGGAACAAGCCTCCTCACCTGTTTCCGATGCAGCGTCGCACTTGACCTTCTTCCTTCGACACTCATCACAAGCCCTGCTGACTTTGGATCTCTTTCGGGGTGGTACATCACCGACACCGTACTGAGGTTGGCCAAGCCCCATGGGGACAGGTGGACCGAGGTGGGGTTGCTGTTGTTGGGGGTCCATGTATTGGGCATGGTGTGCATGAGATGCGTGCTGCCCATGCTGAGACAGCTGAGGCTCCTGCTGGCCGTCCGGGTGCGGGTGCGGCATGACATGCTGAAGACTCTGTTGCAGATCCTGCTGAATGCCGGGCTGGATGTTCTCTGGCAGCTCGGGAAGCCCATGCGCTTGGCCCTGCATGTGGGCTTCCGGCGTGTCTTGAAGCTGTTGGAGGCTTTGGAGGTTAGGTTCTTGGGAGTCAAAGTCATCGTCTTCCGGGTTCGAACCGCCGACCACGCCGGAGATGGCCTGGGACATCTGGGCAGCAAGCTGTAGCTGCTGGATCTGGTCCTCGCCCGGACCACCCAGCTGGAGGTCCTCTGCATTCACATCAGGGCGAGATGCTCGCTGGGGTGGGGTTGGGGGTTCTGCATGGTGCTGATCCGGCGGCTGGTCAAGCTGCCGGTCAGCTTGGAAGAAAGAGGCATCAGAGTCTTCGACCCGCGGAGATGGGTACTGCTGAAGCGGTTGTGATGGATGAGGTTCTTGGGGCTCTTGCTGTTGGATGTCCTCTGGCACAGCTTCGACCTCGGGGCCGGCGGGCTCCTCGGACATCATGTCCTTATCCATGTTGAGGAAGCCCTTGGGTCCGGGAGAGGATCCGAGGGCTTCGCATGTACAGGATGGAATAGAAGCAGGGCGGTCAACTCTGGACAATTACAGCATGGGCCAGTCCCATTGGGAAACAGGAAGTCCTGGAAGCTATGGCGGACTGGAACGTTTGCATCAGCGGCAGACGGGGTACCCTTGGCAGACGCGTGGCGACGAGGACGGACTCGACGACAAGCCGGCAGAGACTCGGCCAAGACTCGACGACGACGCGACGAAGACGGCCTGGCACCCGATCAAGTGACGACGCAGTCGAGAGTGACCTTGTCAACGCGTCAGATGGGCTTGGACGGGGGCGCGACGTCGCTTGATGGATGGAAACATGTTAGCTAGTGGACACGGATGATGGCGGCAAGGCTCGGATAATTCGAGATGAATAATTTTTCTTGACATTGCGGCGACACTAATTGATACACAGGCATGAACAATGTCATCTTGGCTCACTCGAGAGTGGTGTGCCAGTGACCAGGTAGGTTGTGGATGCTTGATCATGGGATGGAGGCAGGGTGCATGATGGGAGGTGACCGCATGGACAAGCAAGACGTACCTGGGGGAGACGGTTGATGACAGCAATCGGCGATGGGAAAAAGTGATGATCCAGGTGAATGTTTGAGACTGGCGTGCGGCCTGGGGGGGATGGGGAGGTCGGGTCGACCGTAATTCGGCGGCTGGCACGAAAAGTGGGTTGGGCTGCCGTCTTACATAAGCGGTGGACTGGGGCCTTCAGCTGCTGCAGTGAGTGAGTGTGTTGCCCCGTGCACAGAACAACTCAGGAATGGACTCTTTCGTAACTTTCTCTACGATTGAGAAATGCGGAGCGTTGCACTATTCACTCGACATCTTTTTGCACTCCTCCCTCCCCTGGAACCTGCCAGTAACTACAGCAGTTCCCCTGTCTAGTGCAGTGTCGCCAGTCGTGGAATCGCATCCCTTCCTGTGATCCGCCGCTAATCAGTGCTTGCGGAGATACGTAATGTCTGCATTCCACATTTTTGGATGCTATTTTATTTGAATAGAAATCGTGTTCGAATTCAGGGTCATAATGCTAGTCTAGGCCAAGAACCATCCGCAGTTTTGCCGGGGATGCATCTCCAGAACTACCTCTCGCGGGTTTCATCTCTCGAAAGCATCTCAGTTGCTGCCAGGACAGTCGTTCCAGACACCACGAACCTTATCGGGACTGTGCAACCGCATCATCAATTTTCCTGGAAGAACCCGCCTGCAAATCTCAACTAGTAGTGAAGTTAATATGCTCCCGTCACCAGATACCCTAGAAAAGATCATGATGGCATGAAAGCGGCTGATAAGCCACACGCTGTACGGATCATGCCGGGATTGCTGCAGCATTAGATACTTGGTACTTACTTGCTCTCTGTCTCCTAGTCCACGCGCCTCCCCCAAGGCTAGTACAGTACGTCGGATGGTTTAGACATGGATATAAGCTTTCTGCCGCCGGGATACCACCCGTATATACTGCGCTGATTTGCCTTTGTTTTGCGACTCCCTAGGGCTCGAGACGTTTCAACTGATCCACTGGATCGGATGGTACTGCGAACCCGCCCTGGTGTCTCCTCACCACACAAGTAGTCTCCCCAAACCGGACGTTTCTGGAGTCCTGCCCCTTAGGCATTGTACAATGCAACTGCGCCCCGGAGCTTATTACTCGCGGACGCTTCATCTCCTGTGTGAGGACTACGATACAAAGACATGAGAGCCCTCATACTTCACCGATGGATTTCTAAAATGCTCTGCCCGCCTGGCGAAGCAGTCCAGCGCCAGAATTAATCTCAATGTCTTCACACTCCTTCACCATGCTGTCTGCACTGTTCGGCGTAGCACTCGTTTTCTTCGTAACACCCAGTCTGGCACTGGACTATACCCTGGTCCAAGTCGAGCATCTCAGATCCGCACCATCGCCGTGGGCGATCTCCCGTCCAGCCGACCCAGGACAACGGTTCCAGCTGTCGATCGCCCTTGACCGGAGCAGACATGTCGAGGACAAGCTCTACGCCGTGTCCACGCCTGGCCATGAGAGCTACCGCAAGCATCTCACCAGGGCTGAGGCTCAGGCTATGCTGAGCCCCGATAGCGAGACGGCTGCGAAGGTGAAGGCTTGGCTCGTGGGCAACGATATCGATCCTTCTGATATCAGGGACGACAAGCACTGGATTCGGGTGACAGCCACTGTAGAGAAGGCCAATCGCATGCTGGACTCCGACTTTGCCTGGTACAAACATATGGGTAGTGGCAAAGAGGTGCTGAGGACGCTGAGATACTCTCTTCCGCAAGAGATGCGATCCGATATCTCGCTCATCACCCCTACCACTCGCTTCTGTTCGCACCCGATGATGCACCAGCCCATGACACCCCAAGCCTCTGAGGATGCGACCGACACTCTGCCTCCTGATGAACTTCGCAGGCTCAAGACGAGAGGCTTTGCCGGCACGAAACAGCGCGTGGCCCAATTGGAAGCTGCCGCTCAGGTCGACCCATCATGTAACACCACAATCACACCCGCCTGCGTGCGTGCTCTGTACAATATGCCGTCGAACCTGACGGTCAGCAAGGCACGAGGTCTGGGCGTGTACGCCTCCCAGAACCAGGTCCCCAAGTTCGCCGACTTCGCGCTCTTTGTGAAAAATGTCGACCCGACCTCACCGCCGACCAACTTCTCGTTCCTGAGCATTAACAACGCGACCACCGACCAGAACCAGAACCAGGACAGCAACCAGGAGCTCCAGTTCGACGTCCAATACACAGCCACGCTGTCCAGCCCCGTGCCCAACATCGTGACGGCCGTGACGGGCGACGGGCCCATCCAGCCGGAGCTGGGCAACGTGCCGGGGGACTCGACGGAGCCATGGCTCATCTGGCTGGACGCCATGCTCGCCCTGCCCGACGACCAGCTGCCCCACACCATCACGACCTCGTTCGGCGAGAACGAGCAGTCCCTGCCCGACGGGTACGTGCAGCAGATCTGCAACCAGTTCGGCGCGCTGGGCGCCAGGGGCGTCACCATGTTCGCCGCGAGCGGCGACAGCGGGCCGGGCAACGCGTGCGTGTCCAACGACGGCAAGAACAGCACCAAGTTCGACGCCGTCTTCCCCGGCACCTGCCCCTTCGTGACCGCCGTCGGCGGCACGCGCGGGACCAACCCCGAGCGAGCCCTGTCCTTCTCGTCCGGGGGCTTCTCGGAGCGCTTCGCCAGGCCCGCGTACCAGGACCAGGCCGTCCCGGCGTACCTGAACGGCACCATCGGGAACCAGTTCCAGGGCCTCTTCAACCCCTCCGGCCGCGGGTTCCCCGACGTCAGCGCGCAGAGCTTCAACGCAACCTTTGCTGACCAGGGGGCCGTCCTGGTCGGGTTTGCTGGTACAAGGTATGTGGCATCTGCTCCATTTCTGGAGCGCGGGCATACTCGAGAAGAGGAGACAGCTGATAAGTGGTGACCAACAGTGCGGCCGCGCCGATTTGGGCGGGCATGGTAGGACAGGTCAACGCGGCGTTGATCGCGCAGAACAAACCACCCATGGGATTCATTAACCCGTGGTTGTACGGCGCTGGCTTGTCTGCAATGAATGATATTACCACTGGCGCATCCGTAGGTTGCAATGGCAAAAGCGGTTTTGGCCAACCGTTCCCACCGGAACTCGGGTCCAAGGTACGGCAGTCCCTTCTTATTTTCCCTCTTTCTCGACACTTCACACTTGAAACAAATCAAGAAATGAATATAATGTCGCTGACAGAGTCAATAGATCGTACCAAACGCGAGTTGGCCAGCAGTCGCTGGTTGGGATGCGGTGACCGGTCTCGGCTCGCCTGATGTAGCCAAGATGTTAGCCATAGTGATGGCCACTTAGATGAGCAGAAACAATGTACATATATCAATCGATTGGGAATGAGCGCCCTTATTTTGAGATAATGCAAAAGACTCACCCGGAAATGTAATGAGCAAGGCTCAACATGTCCATTGGCCAGAGCTTGTGAAGAAAGCCAGGGACCTTTCCCGTGCCAGGATCGTGTGCAGAGCGAGGTTGCTAAGACTGCGCCTCCAGAAGTGTCGAAAGGTGTGTCGTAGCGTCGGAGATATGTGCGCAAGTATATGCGGTCCGTCAAGCAATTGTCGAGAACAGTTCATTGTGGCCCATCAACCTGAGTCTCAACCTCAAACTCACCCCCAGCCTCTTCCTCCTGGGCCTCGCCGCGCCGCTCGCCCCAGAAACCCTTCCCATAACTAATGAGGATTTCCTCTCCCTTGGAAATACCACCACCCTTCCCCCTAGCCTTCTTGCCCACGGGCAAGACAAACACGGCCATCCCCTTCTCGCCCCTCCGGAGGTCCCAGACCTCACAGAACTCAGCATTAGGCTTCACAGCTCCAGGCACGCCGCGGTAGTCATTCACAAACCGGGCCTCGTTGCCCATCCTGGCCGCGTCGACAGCGACCGCCGCGTCCCGGTCCAGCCACAGGTCATAGTCGGACGATGCGTGCGCGGCCGAGTCGGCCGGGTGGTACTCGCCCAGGTACGGCAGGATCAGGCCCCCCGGCGGCAGGGCGCGGGCGGCGAAGAGGCCGCACTGGCCGCAGGCGGGGTGGCGGGGGTCGGTTATGGGGGTGATCTTGACAAGGGGGCAGGGGCCCAGCTTGAGGTCGCGCGGGATCTCGCGGAGCACCTCGTCGTTGGTGGCGGCGGGTGGCTTGGTGCGGCAGGACTGCAGCTGGGCCTTGGAGAGGGACGGGGAGTAGGCGGGCGAGGTGAGATATGGGAAGCCCTCGGGCCAGTTCTTTGGCAGGGGCTGCTTTGGGCCTCCCATTTTGTTCTCAACGACTGAGGCGGGGCGTCAAGGCTTGAGCTCCAGACTTTGGTTCTGCTTCGTCTAAGTGCAACCAAGTGTCTGGGTCAGGCATTTTATTTTGACAGCTGCGGGCCGCGCCGCTCGCTCAGAATTGAGTTTCCCCAGATGGACTATGCTCCCAAACAGGCGCAGAATACCTCTCATTCCACGGAATACAACTCGAATAAATCCACGGCAATTCTCTCAAAAAGAGTCATTAATTGCAGGAATACTGCACAATATTTACTTTGGTCACAAATCTCTATGGCCTCGGCTCAGGGTAGCTAGTTCCGTCTTCGCGGCCAGGACACGATCTACTGTAGTAGACTTTCATCATTTCCAATCCGAGTGAACGACTAGGCGTACCAAAAAGAGAATGCGTATAAGTCTGAGCTCGGATCTACATTGCCTGCATTCAGAGCTACCTGCCTAAGGTGCCTAGGCATGCAAGTACAAGGCGAGTGACGGTCATCGTCACTGCGTAGGAACCTCTGGTCACCATGACGTAAGACCTCCTTCACCATTCAGTGATGATCGCTCTGCGGATTCCAATTTCTCAAGCATCATTCCTTCACACTCGGAAAAGAACATCCACCTCTGATACACAACTGGTTCGATTTGGCCACATCACCTCGAGGTCAATTAACCTGCATCTACCAAGCCATAGCACCCCGAGACCACAGACATGGCATCATCACTCCGCTCAATGCGCAGCATCCTGCGAGCGCCAGCCCAAGCCCGGCCACAGACCATCAGCCCCCAACAGCGCCTCCTCTCGCCGGCCGCCGTGACAAGGGGCCTCCACAGCTCGCCCCGCCCGCAACTCCCCTACAAGGACGACCAGGACCGCGAGTCGCTCAAGCCCAAGTCCACCGAGGGCAGCAAGAGCGGCACCGACCACGACGCGGCCGAGTCCAGCGCCGCGTTCGACCCCTCGACCACGAGCCCCGAGGGCGCCAAGGCCAAGGCCGAGGGCGAGGGCGGCGGGAACCCGCTCGAGACGAGCGGCGCGAACCACGACAAGTCGAAGCCCCTCGGGGACAAGGGAGGACCTGAGATGCACGGCACGGCGAGGCACGAGACCAAGAAGTCGAGCCACGGGCACAGCCCCGAGAAGAAGGGCAAGGTGTAGATTCGTCCCCTGTGCGTGGGGCGAATGTGTCGCGTGGTCCTTTCGCGCCGAGGTTGCATGGAGGCGTGGAAGCGTCACGTGGATTTGGGCTTTTTCAGTAGCGGCGTAATGATGTGTCGTTAAACCCCCTGCCAGCCGCTGGGATTTCGATTGGGTTGCATGGAGATATGGGGGTTTCCCATCATAAGAGTCTTTAAATGCATTACCTTTAACCCTCAGCGCCACGCTCTTCTATGCATATATGTGACCGTCCATGCGCAAAGCGCCACGCCTTCTAGTTATACAAGCCGTGCGGGTCGTCGTCCTCTTCATCGTCGTCCTCGGCCGGCTTGCCTTCCTTCTCCCACATCTTCCTGATCCTGTCCGACGTGTCCTTCCTGCGCGGGTCGTACTTGGTCAGGTCGGTCCTGCACATGGGGCATGTCCCCTTGAGCTGCAGCCAGGGCCCGACGCACTCCAAGTCGAACCTGTGGCTGTGGTGGCACTGCAGCTCGACGATGAGGGGGTACTTGTCGTCGAGGAACTTCTCGGCGCAGATGGGGCACGCGTCGTCGGGCTTGAGCGACTTCTTGGGCACCCGCTCCAGCGCGTCCAGGAACTCCTGCGACACGCCGGCCACCTCGCGCGGCGGGTTGATGATGTCGCTCTCCAGGCCGTCGAACAGCGACTGCAGGAAGTCCCGGTTCGTCGCGTCGGGGGCGTCCTGGGCCAGCGTGCTCAGCTGGTCCTGCACCAGGCGGAACAGCCCGGCCATCTCGACGGGCGTCGGGACCGCGTGGGGGTTGTGCCGTTGCGCGTCGGGCGCGGAGGGGTCGTCGCTTAGCTGGTGCAGCTGCGAGCTGAACGAGGACATGTCGATCTGTCTGCGGCGCCTGGGAGGGGTCGCCTCCTTGATGCCGTGCTCGACTTTGAGGGTCTTTGGTCAGTGTCCCTGTCGAACTCGGCGCGCAATGCAAATGCATTCATTCACTGTCTCTGCTCACCTTCATACTGCGTCGCCATGGTCGCTGATATTGTGGCAAATGATACAGATAGATAGATAGGGAGAGGGAGAGTTTCTGGGGTCTATCGCAGCATGTCTTTTGGGTCAGGAGTGTCCAGGAATGATTCCAGAGGATTATGATGAAGAAAGGTGGGATGTGCAGTCTCCCACTGAAAGCTGTCGCAGCTCACGTAAACCCCGGTGCCTGGCAGGCAAGCAGGCGATGACGGAAGTGCAGTGGGTGGCTTTTGTGCCTGGAGTATCTAGGTAGGATCGGAGCCGAGGTCAGAACCTTAAACCAGAAGTGCAGGGATCGGGTTCAGTGGTAACGACAGTAATAATTGGGTCAGCACTGGCATATCGTGGTCTTCAAATTTCCATTTGCTTGTAGGGCAAACATCATATGCCTACCTACCTAAAACATAGGAGGTAGGCAGGTACCTCGTACAAGTTGTACAAGATGCTGTGGGCGGGCTGTCAATGACCTCGGGGCCGGGATGGCCGGATCAGCTCCGCCGGATCAGCTGGAATTTCAGACTTGGCCCTGCCTATTGCGTACCTTAAGACGCACCTCGCCGCGGTGCTGAAGTCGTCATAGGCACATGCCTGTGCTCTTCTTATCTTGATCAACCGCTACAAGAAAAGACAACTGACTCTCGAATCATCCGCCACAACATTTACCGTGTTGATTTCAAATTTATTCTCGATACCCAAACATCATTCACACCCGGCACAATGACTACAGCAGCAGTATTCGGTTGCACCGGCGCCGTCGGCTCCAAGATCTTGGACACTCTCCTCACATCCGAGGCCTTCACATCCGTCAAGACCATCTCGAGGCGCGCGCCACCCGCACAGTCGGCCAAGCTCGAGGCAGTAGTCGAGACCGACTCGTCAAAATGGGGCGGCCTGATCTCCTCCCTGAACCCCAAGCCCTCCGTGGTCTTCAACGCCGTCGGCACCACGCGGGCTGCGGCCGGCGGCATCCAGAACCAGTGGAAGATCGACCACGACCTCTGCATCGAGAACGCCAAGGCCGCAAAGGCCGCCGGCGTCAAGACCTACGTCTACATCTCCAGCGCCGGCACCCGGGGCCTCCTCAGCGGCTACGTGCCCTACTCCAAGATGAAGGTCGGCGTCGAGGACGCCATCAAGGCCCTCGACTTTGACCAGGCCATCATCCTGCGGCCCGGCGCCATCCTCGGCGAGCGCGAGAAACCCAAGAACAAGATGTTCGAGGACCTCATGGGGAGCCTGCACAAAGTCAGCCAGGGGCTCCAGGACGCACTTGGTTAGTATCTTCCCTCATTGTCCTCACCCCTCACCCCTCGCCACCGGACTATCGCCGTGCTAACTCGTCCTACAGGCCAAGATCAGAAGTTCATCGGCAGAGCTGCAGTAGCAGCTGCGCGTGCGGCTGGCGAGGGCAAGGCCCCGTCCAAGTTCTGGTGCGTCGAACAAGCTGAAATCCTGAAACTTGGCAGAGATGAGTGGAAGGAGTAAGTCGGTGTCAGGAGGGGAAGAGGCGAATTCATGATTTCAAAGACGTTGGTAAGATATCACTATGAGCCATGGTGCCACCGGCCACGATCCAGAGCGGCCTGAGGAGCTGGCATTCTCGAGGCAGAGGAGGGGTCGTACCGCATGAGAGCACACAGTATGAATTCTTCTCCCCTGATTTCATGCATCTTTGACACTGCAGAATGCCAGGCACCGGGGACTGGTGAGCCGGCGTGACTTGGCTCTTGGGCATTCTGATATGTCATGTTGGACCGGCCCGCGAAACGGGACTATTCAGTTAATCTTTTGCGAATCTGCAACGGTAGCACTGTCAAAAAGTATGCACGCCGTCAATGCAACAGTGTTACGAGCCCCCTCATGTCTTCCCCATGTGGCGATCAGTATGATGCATCTCTTACAGCATATATTGCTCAGCTGAATGTCCGCACCACGCTGGCCCTGTCGGTATTAAAACAGAGAGCGGGCCGCGACTCCGATGGAGAATATTTGGAGTGTGATTGTACAAGTACATCTCAATTTTGTACACTGAAGAACCGAGTCGTTATTGCGCTTGCCTGAATGGCTATTAAGACCAAGATTGGCTTAGGGCCTGGTAAGTTGAGAAACGCCAAGTGAAGAAAATCCAGCCTTCTTGGGTATTCTTGTCCAGTCCTCTTGGTTTTGATAACATGCTGCTGATGGCGCGGGTAACCTGTTGACCCTAACCCTTGACTGACGCGTCGGCCACCCAAAGACGCGTCTCCCAATTAATGGGCACTTTCATGCTTCTCACCTCCCGTCGACGCAGACACAATTTTGCTGTAGCTTCCCACTTTTGCAGAGTCGAAGCCTCAATTCTTTGGATCTTCATTCAAAATCATTGAAAAATGACGGCATCTTCTGAGCCGGTTGCTAACTCTGTTGCTGAAGCGGCCGTTAAACAAAACGGCACTTCAGCGGGGAGACATGAGGAATACCAATATCTAGACCTCGTTCGCGAAATTCTGGACGATGGAGAGCACCGCCCAGACAGGTATGAGATCCCGCAACTCATATAATATCCATGCCCACCTGCTAAAACCAGTACCCACAGGACCGGCACAGGCACATACTCAATCTTTGCCCCGCGGCCGTTAAAATTCAGCCTCAACAGGGACGGCAGGCCCATCTACCCGCTCCTCACCACCAAGCGCGTCTTCCAGAAGGCCGTCCTCGCGGAGCTGCTGTGGTTTATCGCGGGCGAGACGTCGTCGCTGTCCCTGTCGGAGCAGGGCGTCAAGATCTGGGACGGCAACGGCTCGCGCGAGTACCTCGACAGCGTGGGGCTGGGCCACCGCGAGGCCGGCGACCTGGGCCCCGTGTACGGGTTCCAGTGGCGGCACTTTGGCGCCGAGTACGTCGACGCCAGGGCCGACTACACGGGCCAGGGCGTCGACCAGCTGGCCGAGGTGATCCACAAGCTCAGGAACAACCCCTACGACCGGCGCATCATCATGAGCGCGTGGAACCCGGCCGACCTGAAAAAGATGGCACTGCCGCCGTGCCACATGTTTGCGCAGTTTTACGTCTCCTACCCCAGGCCGAACAAGTCCGCGGCGGCGGCGGTGCAGGGCGGCAGTGGCGAGGAGCAGCAGCAGCAGGCAGGGGCCGCAAAGCCCAAGGGCCACCTCCACTGCCAGCTGTACCAGCGGTCCTGCGACATGGGCCTGGGCGTCCCCTTCAACATCGCCAGCTACTCGCTGCTGACGCACATGATCGCGCACGTGTGCGACCTCGTCCCCGGCAGCCTCACGCACGTCATGGGCGACGCGCACGTCTACGCCGACCACGTCGACGCGCTGAGGGTGCAGCTGGAGAGGGAGCCGCGCGACTTCCCCGAGCTGGAGATCAAGAGGGAGAAGGGCGGCAGCATCGACGGCTGGAAGGTCGAGGACTTTGAGGTCAAGGGGTATGACCCGCACAAGACTATTGCGATGAAGATGTCGGTATGAGTTGGGCTGGGCTCAAGCCTTTTAGATTACTTTGAGTTTATGAGGGGGCCGGGGGGCGGTCGCCCGGAGGACGCCACCTCAATATCGGAGTAATATGGGTTTACGCGGAGGGTGGTATAAGGGGAGGGCTGATTCAGCCACGAAGTCGAACGTTACGAACATCTCATACTTTTTTCGGCCGTTTTTTCCCGCCATTAATATAGGAGGACCGCAAGGTCAACGGCGTCGACGTCACAAGGTAATCAACTTTAGCATGGATTGACCAAGCTGGTTTGGTTCTTATCCAAGAGGCTTGTGATGCAGGTGTACTTCTTGGTGTACGCCAACGGGGTTCGTTGGACAGGCATCACGGTCACAGACGGTGATAACCTCCTAAAGACCGATGGGAAGTATGTGGGGTGCACATCACGACATGATGCAACGCAGCAATCCACCAACACCCCCTCCGCCGTGATCACCTCTCACAAAACAACATCAAACCAAACAAACATGGACGCCCTGCACATCCTCATCACAGGCGCAAGCGGGGGCATCGGCGAGGCCACAGCCCTGCGCCTGGCGCAGCCGAGCCCGCGGTACACGGTCAAGACGCTGGTGCTGCACTACAACAGCAACGCCTCCAAGGCGCAGCGCATCACGGACGAGATCAGGCGGGCCAGCCCGGGCATCAAGGTCGCCTGGCTGCAGGCGGACCTGGGCTCGTCCGACGCGGTGGACCGGCTCCACCGCGAGGCCGTCGCCGCCGCCGGGGCTCCGATCAACGTCCTGTTCGCCAATGCGGGGACAACGGGGGGCCGTACGTGTATTCACCCACGCATCATCCATATGCGAACCACCTCGAGCCCAGTCCAAAGTCATCTGTCTTTTTTTTCCCTTCCCTGTCTCTACCTCACATATATGATATGCGTGTATATATATCTACACACATATATCAACAAACAAACTGACTAACACAACCTCCCAGACTCGGGCCCAACAGGCACCCTAGAGGCCGTCCCGCCCGAGGTCTTCGAGCAGACCTGGCGCGTAAACACCCTCTCGACCTACCAGCTGACGAGGCTCGTGGCCCCCGGGATGGCTGAGGCCGGGTTCGGGCGCGTCATCTACAACTCGTCCGTCGCGGGGCTGACGGGCGGCGTGGTGGGCGCGCACTACGCCTCGTCCAAGAGCGCCCTGCACGGCATGCTGCACTTCCTGTCGCCGCGGCTGGCGTCCTCGGGGGTCACGGTCAACGCCGTCGCGCCGGCGCTCATCGAGGGGACGACGATGCTGCCCGGCGGTGGGGCGAGGGACGAGGAGCTCAAGGCCAAGATCCCTGTTGGGCGTCTGGGGCGGCCGGATGAGATTGCGGGTGTTGTTTGTCTGATGGTTGAAAATGGGTATATCTCTAATAAGGTGTGGGCTGTGGATGGGGGTTGGGTTCCGAGGTGAGAAGAGCGAGTGGAGGAATGAGGGAAAGAAGGGAGGGAGCAGTGTATGGGCAGTCACAGTCAGTCATGGTCATGGATTTTCATCAGACATTCCCCATCCTAGATCTATCCGCCCGTGTCTACCAAATCTAAGCCCGAATAAATGTGTCATCTCTCTACAACAAAAAGGAACAGCCCGTCTATCGAGTGAGCCACGAGGCGTCCAGCGTCCCGGCCTGCTGACCAACGGGCTTCCACGCGTCCCGCTCGAGACTCCTCCTGGCGACCTCACAGTCGGTGTTGATGTCCTCGATCAGGGCCTCGAGGCCCTCGTAGTTCTTCTCGTCGCGGATGTAACCCGTGATCAGCAGACGCATGTCGACACCGTAGAAATCGGCGGCGAACTTGTCCAGCACGTGCACCTCGGCGCTGCGCACTGTGTTGTTGTAGAAGGGGTTGTACCCGATCGACATGACCATTGGGAAGATGGAGTAGTCGCCCTTGTCCTTGCCCTCGCCCGCGGACGACGAGGAGGAATCCGAGGGCCTGTAGTTTGGATGGTCCTTCCCCAGCTGGAGAGCAGCCCAGCCGAAGTAGACTCCGGATCTGGCATCGGATATCCAGGGGGTCACGGTGGCGTCGACCGGGAGGTTGGCCGTCGGTATGCCCAGCTGCGTTGGGGTTAGATCATGGGAACCTGGTGGGACGAAGTGTATACATGAGATGGATGTAGACCACACAGCGGACGGCAGGCTAGCGGGGAAGGGAGGAGGAGGAGGAGGAGGAGGAGCCCTGGGGTGTGGGAGGAGGGGTGGGGGGGTGGGCAGGGGGCCAGGAGGAGGGAGGAGGGAGGAGGGAGGAGCCGGGAGGACAGCAGAAGCGAGGGTGTGTTGTGCGGCGTGCGGCGGTGCGTTGAGTAGTTGCATGAGGTGCAAGACTCTGCAGGACTTGACTGCACGCATGTACGTACGAGCCATGTATGTGGGCGTAGTACGTGTGTGGTGGGCCACTGCCTTGGAAGCCCTGCTGCACTCCTGACCGGCCGTGTGTCCCCCCCAAGACCCAGACCCCCCCTGGGATGCCTCGATAGGCCCTGGGCTACCTTGCCTCTCATGCAATGGCAATGGCAATGGTCCTGCCCGTCAGGATCTCATGGCCCTTCCACCCTCCTCTTCGGTCCCGGGTCGACCAGATTGTCCAACCCTCCCGCCCCCCCATGCCCTCCCTCGATCGGCACCTGGCGAACGCCGCGATCTTGGGATTGATTACCTTCGGCCGCCTGCCGCCTGCCGCTGCTGCTGCTGCTGCCGCTGCCGCTGCCGCTGCCGCACTTGCTGCAAGCTGTGCATGGCTGGTGCCGCTCCTCCTGGGCTCCCCATACGTCCCCCCCTGCAGGGACAGCGCACTCATACATCGCGTAGTGTATGTAGAATGGCAGTAGAACGATCGATACGCACGCAGCGAAGCAGCACGGGCGAGACACCCGTTGCGCCCAAGCAGGCGGGAATACGAGGAAAGCAAAAAATAGAGTCAAAGCGAGATGTGTCAAGACGCAGGGCAACTCACCTCCTTGGAGCCCCGGCCGAAGCCCTTGATGACCTTTCCCTCCATCTGCAGAGGGAATGGAGATTCCGGCCCGGCCGCCGGTCCCACCACCAGAGGCCTCGTGTTTCCCATGGCTGGAGCGAGTTGCTTTTTCCTGGCTCTATCCACTCAAAGGTCGCGTGGATTGCCCGATCAGGGTAGAGAGGAGCGCCCTTGTTGTTGCAGGACGCACGACGCACGACGGCAGAAACAAGACGGTGACGGGCAGTTCCAGGAGACACGCAGGCGGGAACAGCACGCGCACGCACAGGCAGGGGAGGGGCCCCAACTTGCTGGACACAGATTTCAGGTCGCACCAGATCGTGGCAGAATGTGATATGTGATATGATCAAGAACGTTGCAGAACGGGCCAGGGGGTAGCGTTGATTCAGACAGAGCGCTGGGACATCGAGAGACTGCGTGTGCGTGTCGTATAATTGCCCTGCGGCTGCAAGAGGTGACAGGAATAGCTCGGTCGTTGCTCGTATATTTATCTGCCCGCCTGGGCAGTCTGACTGTCCGACTCGCCCGCAGCAGAAGGCGCTGGAAGGCAGCTTTTGGCGGGGTGAGTAATACCTGATAAGATAAGTGCTCGTAGCCTGTTTGTTGTAAGAGGAAGGTACCTGGGTAGGTAGGGTAGGTAGGCGCAGCACCGGATATTAGGCACATAGTGCTGCATATACACACAGCATTACACATTCTTTCTGCGCATATCATGCCAATAGTATAGGAAGAAAAGATACTTGCTGCTTTCAGGCACACATACATGCCTAGGTACAAACATACACACACACACACACACACACACACACACACACACACGTATGTGTTTGGACTATGGCCCCCATCCTCAACACTTTGACCCGAGACCTTTGTTCTCGTTGGTCACAGGGGGGGGGGGGCTTGCTGAATCTGTCGCATCTAACAAAATTGACGGCCGCTCTTGCGTGGTTGCCCGCCCATCAGCCAGCCATCTTTTAAGCTTAACCGCTCACTCAGCGCGTGTCCCGTCGTCACACAGTACTGACCCCAGCCATAATCTTAACCACAGCAGCTCTCGCCCCTCTACTTCCCCACGCTATCCCGGAGGGCCCAGGATACTCTGGGGTTGCACACGACAACAGACACGGCAGCACAGGCAGTAGATTTCAGGGACTTTTTGACGGCTTGATTCAGCTTCGTGGAATGGACCGCGACCACGTCGATCGCCCGCGTCGATATGAACTAGCCTCTCTAATGAATCATCGCTTCCGAGGATGCCGCCCAATAAACAGAAAAAGCAAACGGGGTATAGTAGTAGTTCTTGTTCTGTGCCGAGAAGGCCAGAGAGCCTCTTCCTTTTGCTGTGGGACTGTGACCGTGATCGGCTCTTGCCCTGCCCCTGGTCACTCTCTAGTGCGGTGATGGGCGCGAAACGAAAAACCACCCATAACTCCACCCCAGACTGTCGTATAGCGCATTCTGACCCAGATCCGAATTCCTTGCAGCGCCGTTTCCTGCCAACAATCGTGAAATGCGTGGCAACCTATACCGCCAGGCCGTGCGGATGCTGGTCAGGATAGTAACATGGTAGGAACTGCAGCCGTGTGTGTTAGCCTGTCTTGTCTGCTTGGCCTGTCAGATAGACTGGGACAGAAAGGGGCACTCACATTGATAACAATCATCATGGGCATATCAAATGTATCCCTTCGTATGACCCAGCAATAAGTGCACTCCAGCTTGCCGTCCTTGGCAATTCTCGAAATCCCGTGCTCTCCGTCAATCTTGGCGACCCTGTTGCTGAGGAACATCGTCCTTGGGTCTTTTGGAGGCGACTCGTTGATGCTGGGATGGCTCGCCGTTTGGTCGATGCTCTGCTGCGTGCGGTACTTGAGCAGTCTGCACTTTCTCATCACGCTGCTCCGGCTGTCACCGAAGGCGAGATGTGCAAAGTCCTCAAAGTATTGGACAACACTGTCGTCGTCCATGAGCTCTGCTATGAAGAGCGGGTGCCGTTCGTTCCCTGAGGTCTTGCTCTTGTCTGCCTGGTCGTTCAGACTGCCCAGCTTCGGGGTTGTGAGGGTATCGGTGGTCGCCCCCGACGCCCCGCCGCTGCCGCCTGTGTTGATGTTCATGTTGACTTCATTCCCTAGGAGCACCTCCTTGGGCCAGCCCGTCAGCGCAGTGAACTCCTTGTTCACCGCAGCAATCTCGCCAGTCCGACGGCAGACAATGGTGGGGCTGGAGCCATGGTGCATGAAGTCTTCGTATTCGAACAGTGTCCGCTGGAAACACTTCTCCATGAACACCATGTCAGCTCGGTTTAGCGTGCGGGTGACCGAGATAAAGGACGGTCGGAAGCTCGCCAGTGCCACGGCGATGCGGACCAGCTTATCGTTGCTGGTCCGGAACCTCTTCTGCAAGAAGCCCATCAGCCGGTGGAAGTTATGCACGTATTGGAATGGCTCTTTGACCGTGTCGTAGATGGTCGACGGGTCCCGTTGTCGCTTGCCAAGCAGGGGCTGCGGGAAGACCTTGGGCATTCCGGGCTTTGCCTTTGGACGATTCTGAGGACCGAGCACCTGCGGCCCTGGTCCATTGTGATAGGTCGCTGTTGGCGAGCTTTCGTATCCGATGCCGTGGCTAGGTTGGGGGCTGTCATGATCGGTGCTGGGGCTTTGTAAACTTGTTGGGCCTGCAGCAATGGCGTAAGCGTGAGGGAGACCGTGCTGGAGGTTGCCTTGGGTATATAGGGGGTTTCCGGACTGGTCGATGGAGAGGATATCGCCGATCATACCGCCATCAAAATGTTGCATACCATTGCCGAAAGCACCAGCCGTAAAGTTGGCCTCACCAGCGCCAGCCTGGGAGAAGGATGGCTCCCGTGGCGGCGTGTCAGCAGCACCGGAGGCCATGTGGTTGAGCATGCTGAATTCCATGGCACCATACTGGCTCCCAAAGTTCAGGCCCTCGAGGTTGAAGTTGTACAGTGCAGGATTGCTTGGGTCGAAGAAGGCCGAGGTCATGTCAGATATATCCCCTGAGACCTGAGGGACGGTGAGGCCGCTCATCTGCGGGGGGTTCGGTGGCTGAAAGGTGGGCGACACGGGGGACTGTTGACTGTTGAAGGTCATGCCTTCCGATATTGACCCCAGCGCGGACCCTGGTGAGAAGAGAGGGTATGAGCTGGTGGCGGTTGTTGGCGAAAAGAAGCTGCTGACGTTGGAAGACGCCTCAGACCCGGTGCTGGACGGGTGGCGATGCCCGTTGGGCCGATTCTGGGGTGCGTTGGGATTGTAATTTGGGCCCAGAACCGGCCTCAGGGCTTCTGGCGGTGCATCATGAAGGTACTTGGCCTTCTTGCGGACTCCATCCTGGCAATGGTCCGCTAGTCCACGTTTTATACACCTCTGACAAGGCCGCTCATCACCTGCACGCAAAGGAAGTCAGTCTCATCCACATACACTTGGTCGCGAGGCTCTGGTGAGGGGCACTGCCGGGGGGAAGGGCAGGACAGCCTCTGGGAAGCCAGTCGCGGAAGTTGATGCTCGTTTGGTGACGTTTCGGGCTCATGGGCATACCGCAAGTAAGGTGAGCTCTCTGGCAAGCAAAGCAAGCCCTCCTCGCCTTCTTCCTCCTCGGTCGCAGAGGGTCCTTGGGGTCGTACTTCTTCTTGACCTCGCCGTCAGGGCCGACCTCTTGCTTTATGGTGTTCTCAGTCATCTTGTCGTCGTCTTTGTAGGAGGCGTCGTTGTCGTCGTACTCATGCTCATTCTCAGACATGGCATCTGAGACCTCGCCTCCGTTGGAATCGACTTCTTCCGGCATCGTGTACCAGCTACATATATATGTGCGGGCGTGTTAATGGGGAGGGTGCCCAGAGCTAGACGCTCGTAATGACGGCACGGCGCTGCAAGGCCGGCGACCTCTCTGCGGAACCACTCGCGCTACCTGATCCGGTTGTAGCAAGTGGTCTGGACGGCAAGATGTGCTCAACTCCTGCAGGAATTCCTTGGGTGGTTGCACGGCACCAGGATCAGCTGCGGCCGAAGTAAGTACTGTCACAGGGACCCCGGCCTGCTCAGACGCCCAGCTGCTTTTCCGTTTCTTCTCTGGAACGCACCGACGAGCTGCGATGCAATGCGCTGCGCTGCCGCTACGCAGCACGCAAGGTACGTGGACGCAAGGAAGCAACGTGTGGCAAGCCAAGGGGCCGAAGGTCCGCTTCAGCCCTGGTCTAGCGAAAGAAGAGAGGCAGATGCCGTGCCGGGATGTCTAGGACTGTGGCCGTATTGGGGGCGGGAGGGCCTCTTGTGCTCGTCCGCAGTATTGGCGTCGATCGCTTCGCAAGCTTCCAGAAGGACTTGCCGCAGGAGGGAAGCTGAAGTCCGGGCAAGTCGAGGCGCGAGAGACCACAATGGCAGCGCAGTCGTCGCTCGTATTCTCCGCGGACGGCTACGACGACAAGGGCCAGCTCTCCAATGGACTTGCAGCCAGTCAGGCCAGTGTAAAAAGAGGCGTTCCTTGTGCGACCGGCACCGTGTTCGCGCACTGGAGAGGGCAAAAGCCAGGGCAGGCGGGACAGGGGTGGGCAGGTCTGTCTGGCGGTCGTTGGATTCGGCGGACGCGGGAAGTGTCGCAGTCGCAGTCGCAGTCGCAGATGCAGTTGCAGTTGCAGTTGGCGGTCGCAGTTCACACCGTTCGCAGTCGGTGCCAGCGTCGCGATGGCAATTGCAATTGCAAAACAGGCAGGCCTTGTGGGTCCACAATACACAAGGGACCGGGGCAGGACAGGACCAGGACAGAACAGGACAGGCACAGGCACACGAGTACGGAGTACAGGCACGAGCACAGACACAGGCACAGGGTTGGCGGGTAGGGCACAGGATCCTGGCTGTCTGGGACGAGACGAGGTTGTATGAAGTGTGTCGTGCTCGCAAGAGGGTGGCGGTAGGAGGGGTTGTCTGCTGCAGCTATCCGTCGACTTATATTGAATGTTGCATATGGCAGCGCTAGGTTGATCGGCGACCTGGGTGGAGGGGAGGGGACGAAGGGTGGAAGAATGTGGGGTGGGGCAGAGCGGCAGCAGCAGGAGGAGGAGGAGGAGGAGGAGGAGGAGGAGGGAGGCGAGTGAGTGTACAGACGACGCTGTTGCTGGCTGGCTGGCTGGCTGGCTGGCTGGCTGGCTGGCTGGCTGGCTGTGATGGTTGCAAATTCGAAGAGGAGAGGCACGCGTCCTGTCCTCGGTCCTCCTTCAGCACATGGCGTTGCTCGCAGACGGGCCCAGCTTGGTGGGGGAGGGGGAGGCGCAGGCGCGAGCGCGGGCGCAGGCGCTTGTTCGTGGGTGGGTGGGTGTTGGTGTTGTTGCTTGTTCGGTCGGCCGGGTTCGGGCTACCGAGTGCTGGCTGGCTGTCGGGAATGGCAGAGTCGCGGTCACGGTCGCGGTGATCGAAGTGTAGTCAGTCGTGCGGATTGCCGGAAGACACCTCGGCAGTACCTCTGGTCGGGAGTCCCGGTTGCTGCGCTAGGCAAGTAGATTGGCAATCGTCTCGTGCTTGTGCATGTGCCTCGCCTCTCTAGAGCTGCGTTTTCCTGGTCCTGTCTTGCTCTTCTTTTGCTTGCTTACCCATGGGCGCTAGGGGGAGTGGAGGAAAACGTTGGAGTGGGCATTGCATCAAAACTGGTAATTGCGGGGTGGGAAAAAAAGCCTGGAGGGGGTGCAGGGCTTGGCCCAGCCTGGATCGGGTCGGGGTTGTACCTAGGCGTGTACATATGTACTGTGGTATCTTTTCTCGTGTACTTGAGTGGGGAGTACCGGTGCTATAGACTAAAAGGGACACACAGGACACAGACATGGACAGGGAAGTGCCTTCCCAGCTCACCGGCCAGCTCGACTTGGGACTAAGACATATTGTAGTAATGCTGTGGACTAGCAGGACCGACCGTACTGTACAATATCCTCTGCTCCCTGCAACCTGCGACCCAAGCAAGCATCAGCTCTGACTACGACTTTCCACAACAAACGTCCAGTCAGTAGCCATGCGTGCCTGGCTGACGGCAGTGAGTGGCAAGTTGCAGCAGGCCATCGATATTGGCAGTCAGTCCGGATCACACCCCAGCTGCCGGTGCCGAGCGTATGGCGTCCACACGAGCAGGACGGGGGAGCATCAGAGCTCGACTCACCCATCCAGCCCATCCAGCCCATCCTGACCTGCACATCGTACTGCACCGCGCAGCGCAGCACCACACCAGCACAGTCCTGCACAGTGCCTCGGGCCAGCCCAATAGCAGGCTGCATCTTACTCCATGTTGCTGCTCATCAGCCTCCATCTCCAATCCCCAGCATCACCACCGCCATCACCGCCATCACCGCCACCACCGCCCAACTCCACGGCACCACCAGCAAGTACCAGGCTTGCCAGGTAGCCATCCTTGCTGCTGCCCATGTGGCCCTCTGTCTTGAGTGTGTGTTTTCTGGGGTTCTACAAACCGTCGGCGACCTGCCCGAAGTCCCGGATCTTGCTGTTGGCTGGCTGGTTGGCTGGCTGGCTGGCTAGCAGCTGGCTTCCTGCGCCGTCATCAAGACACGGTGAAACCTTGGGCATATCACAATGTGGGCCCATGTACGGAGCACGGAGTACCCACCACACAACCCACGCACCCATGCACCCACGCACTTACATACACATCCTCACACACCTCATTTCTTCAACCATGACGCTCGAGCACCGAGCACCCAGCCCTGCCCAGCTCTGCCCTCTCTCCTGGCCAGCAAGAGGCAGGAGTAGGCGAGCTCCAGCTGCTCCTGTTCACCACGCCAGAGCGTATCCGTCATGGGAGTCGTATCTGCGACCTCGCTCTGACCAGAATACTCCCGTGTCGCGATCCCAGCAATTTCCTTGAATTTCTCAGGCTCATGCTCAGGCTCAGGCAGCCTCGTCCCTCGTTTCTTGTTTCCCCCATCTCCCTCCAAGACCCCGGCCGCTTGAGACACAGATCGTCAGTCTTGTGCGTGGCCGTACCACTGAACAAACCCTCGCCCAGCATCCTGCTCCCATCACGCTGCGCTCCCCTGCGAGCGCCTCATCTTGGGTCATCTGGGGTGGTGCATAAAGCCTCTTACAACAGCTCAATAGATCACGGACGCCCGCATGTGCGCCACCAAACACCACTCACTCATGGCTGCGGGCTTGCAGATGCCATCTGGCTGTGTGGATTTCATGTCGTTCCTCTCGTCTATCTCATGCCACCCCTTCTGCCCTCTGGCCTGGTCTGGCCCAACCCTTATCCACTCCCTGAGAGGCCACCACCGAGCCAGACTGTCTTACAAGACCTCACGTAAGGTCGGTCAGGATAAGGAATCGCTCCCCGGCTCATCTCATTGGGTGGCCCCGCCGCTGATCTGCTCCAGGGGCGTTCTCTCCTCCTGCCCTGGCGAGGGAGCGACGTTTAGCCCGTCCGCGGCCCACAGCCAGGACGTGATCGATCTCTTACGTGCAGCAGCTGGGGATCTCCGAACCGAGATTGTGCGTGTTGCATTTTCGATCTCGTCGCAGAACAACCTATATCTGGACCCGCGCATTCCATAGCCAAGTTCGAGTCCATTTGCCACCTGCGCAATCAGCTGGATAAGGGTCTCGGATAAGAACGGCACCCAGGTCCGCCAGCTCTGCTGTAAGCTGACGCCAGGACAGTTCCACGGCAACACCTCTCTTGGACCAGAGACACTCGTGCTCTGTCCTTGGGGTACACCGCATGTAAAGCCTGCATGAAGCGTCGGCCGGCCCAGTAAGTGCTGGAGGGGACTTTTGGCGAAGGCACACCACGCCTGGTCCTTGGGAGCCCGGCGGCTGTTCTTGGGTACACTGTGGTCATCTCCTCCACGCTAAGGCCTGGAACTGGTTTCATGGGCACGCGGGAGCGGCAAGCCTGTCTCGGTTTGCTTCTTTGACTTGGGGTCGCCGTCAACTCTTGTCCGCCGGGCCGATTCATAGCCTGCGAGGCCCGCAAGTGGCGGCGTTGAAGCGTGACCAAGCGGGACCAACCCCGGCCATACTGGCCATATATTCTGGGTATAAGCCGGCTATCAAGTATCGTCTTTTATGGTTTGAAAGCAATGGGGTATCTAGCATCCAACACTCATCTCAACATGAAACCATCTCATACACGTCACTTTTCAGTCGGTTGTCGCCATTCTGCTGTGCGCGCGAATCCGCTTCCCAAACTTGTAGAACAGATACCTGCATCCATGTCAATACCATGCATCAGAGCCCAAAGTAATATCAAATAGTTTCTAGAAGCGTGCCCAGACAGGGGGACACGGCTGGGAGTGGAAGGGCGGTGAACCACAAATAGGGCAGGAAGAGCATATACGTACGGGAAGGGCAGCATGGCCACGGTCAAGAACGCCAACAACGACGTCGCCCACTATGACCAAAATCTCGTATTAGCAAGCACTGATTCACCGTGTCTCCCCAAGAGGAGTGCTAGCACATAATTCGTCTGGTGGTGAGACTGCTACTGACCTGATTACCAAGCTTCTCGTACATCTGAAGCCCGAAGAGGGGGAAGGCTAAAAAGAGAAGAAGAGTACGTGTTAGTCAGAACTGTGTCAGGAACAAAAATAGGGACGAACCACTGATGCTCCTGCTGCTCGCGGGTAGGTAGGTCGTATCGACGACATCGATAGGGAGACGAACACGTCTCCCGCCCGCGCGCCCACGTCGTATCAGCGGCTCGTTTGGGGGAGTGTTCATCGAGGGGCTTCCCAGCTGAGCGGGAGAGGAGGGGTGTGTATTGTGTGAGCTGGGACGGGACGGGGACGGGGACGGCTGGCTGAGATGGCTGGCTGGCTGGCCGGCCGCGCGCCCATCCCAGCCCCCCGTGTGCGACGGCTCAAACTTACCAGCTGCGAAAGAGCACCGGGCCAGTGCGTTTGCGGCCAAACTCGAAGCCGCGTAGAGAGGATAGGCGTCGACCTGAAATCCCACCGCGTGTGACGTTAGCGACCCCCCGCGAAACTTGAAGCCATCCTCGTACGTCGTCCAATTGTTCCCCGGGGCTGCCCTCGCACAACATTTGTTCTTGGGGGTCCACAGAGGAGGACGCAACGTCAAACGTGGTTTTGGGTAGCATGCTAATCTGGGGGGGGTGTCATCTCCTCCTCGCCCGGTGGGCGAGACGGGGGATGATCGGCAGGGTGTAGAACAGGATTCAGGGCATGGAAGGATACTACGTACCAAGTAGCTGAATGTCCCGGAGAAAACAAGCAGCGTCTGTGAGACAGGTTTCCAATCGGTTAGTCGCAGCGTCCCGGTTATGCAGAATGCGAGATCATAGACCAGGCGGAAAGAAAGACACCATGCGAGGGAACGGCGTGGCAAGCCGCCCCTGACGAACAATCATGGCTGATAGTGTTACGCTGGGGCCCCGTCTATCTTGTCTGTCTCTGAACCCCTGGTGTGCCACAGTCGCACGGGCTCTTGAGCCACAGATGGCTGAGGCACCGAGGCCTGACGACGCTGACCACGATGATCGAGGTCGTGCCCAGTCTCGGTTACACGAGGAGACGAATAGCATGCCCAAGTAGGAGGTGATCATACAAAGGGAAATGGGGAAACTGAACGACTCACCCCTGCGCCAAAGATGCCTGAGCCGATTATGGGCATGATCCAGTGTACCCACGGGTAAGAAGACCACCCGAACCAGAACAGGCCAATTGTGACCAGGAAACTCCCCAGAATCGCAGACGGGAGGCGATACTCGGGCTCCGCCTTGCCCTCGACGCCCGTGAGCTCGGCGTTCTTCTCGATCAGCCGGGCGCGGATCTTGACCCAGAGCGGCCCCATCAGGGCGGCAAAGAACATGCCGACGAGCATCCCCAGGAAAGTCAGCCCGGTCTGCCACAGGTTGAAGCCGTAGGTGCCCTGGAACACCAGGGGGAAGGCGCCGAAGAACAGGTAGAGGATGCCCAGCAGGATGGCCGAGTACAGGTTCAGGATCAGCGCCATGGGCTCGAATATCAGGATCTGGAAGGGCCGCAGCAGGGACACGCCCACGGTGCGGAAGAGCGACTTGTTCGTCTTCTCGATCGGGGCCTTCCAGCGCTCGTCGCCGGTGTCCTTGCGGATTTTCCTGGCCTTGTTGCGCAGCACGACTGGGTCTAAAACGTGATTGTCAGTCTCAGTGGCTGCCCTGAATAAGCTGGATGGAACTCACGATATGTTTCCGGCACGGTCACCACGAGAGCCAGGCACATCAGGAACGCCCAAATGATAAGCATGTAGTGAGTCCACCGCCAGTTTACATTGGAGTTTATGAACCCCCCAATCATAGGACCGAAGGAGGGCCCCAAGAATGGTGCCGCGGTGAACATGATCATCGGGTAATGCATCTTGTTAGGAGTGAACAGATCGCCGACCGTGCCACCGGACACGCTCAGGAACGCGCTGCCCGACAGGCCCTGGAAGAAGCGGCTGACGATGACGGTGCCGATGTTGCGCGCCACGGCAGTCGGGATGATCCAGACGGTGAAGACGGCGAAGGCGGCGAGGTAGATGGGCCGGCGGCCGTAGAACTCGGACAGCGGGCTCCACATGGGCCCCAGGGCGATGCCCAGGACGAACATGCTGAGGCCCAGCGTGGCGACGAGGCGCGAGCACCCGAACTCGGCGTCCATCTGCGCGTACGTCGACGTGTAGACGGAGCTCGCGCACGTCACGCAGAAGCTGCCCAGCGACGTGAGCCCCACGATCGCCCACTTGCGCGCCAGGCCCATGCTGCGAGGGTTCCACGGGTCCGCGTTGCCGCCCTCGAAGCCGACCTCGAACGGGTCCCTGTCCCGCGCCTCCCCGGCGGCCCGGCCACCCTTCTCCGTGTCGCCGCCCGAGTCCTCCCCCGACGAGCCCGGCTCGTCATAGTCGTCGCCGTCGCAGCCATAGCCGTTGTGCGACCGCACCCGGCTCATGGACGACCTTATTGAGTTGCCTGACGAGCGGGTCCTCGCCGCGGACCGCCCCGTGGCTCTGGCGTCGGCCGACGTGCCTGTTGCTGGCCTGATGGATTCGAACCGCGCCCCGTCGCCGTTTGCGGAATCTGCGGTTTCCGTCTCGACAATCGCCTCCTCGCTGTCGACCGAAGCCTTTTCGATCGAGCCCTTCTCAAGCTCGTCAATGCTTTTTGAATCATCGGGCCGTCCGAGACCGCTGCTGGCGGTGTCGTTTCCGGCAGCTCGTTCGCTGGCCATCTCCCAGTAGTGACTGTGGCCCAGCCAGGGGGCAGGCGGTTGGAAGGGCTCTGGTTGAAGCAGTCGTTGATGCTGCTTGAATTGCGGGGGCAAGATCAGGTGAGTGAGTGGACTTAACCTTCAATTGGCTGTCTGTCCCCTTAGGTGTAAACGATGAATTAGGTATATACAGAGTCCGGTAGAGAGTGAACAACGGATGCTCAATTTGTCAGAGTTCTTAACGCCGTCGCGTTGGTGACATCCAAAGACCGAAGAAAGCAGGGCCCCAGTGGCGCGATGGCGATCCGCCCGTCTCATACGATACTGCGGTACTCGCTGATCTCAGGGGCTGACAGCAACGTCGCCTATCGCTACCATCACGAATGCGACAACAACAATAAATGCGAGTGTCCTTGAAGGCCTTTTTGTTTTTCTTTCTGCCCTGAAGGCTGTCTCCCTTCAATATCTAGAAAGATTTCAGTCTTGGTATCTCGGCGCATTCCTCGGAAGTAGGTTGTCTATGCCCCATAATTCAGCAGCGGCGACGGGCCGTATCTATACAGAGTGGAGCAACTTCTTGTTGCTTAGTTGGATCCTGGCAGGGATCATTACTTAGGTATGACTGGGTACTCGATCCGGCACACATCGTCATCCCCTTTTTTTGCTGTTCACATCCGGGCGGGGATGGACGGGAGGGCAGGAAGGCGGGCATGGCGCCCATTGCTGCAACGGATTTAAGCGGCAGCTTGCCGATCCTGTTGCCGATGAACGGTGGGTCAGTCCAATTGGCCGTGGAAAAAGATGTGGTACTGCCCTGTAGGTAAATGGTGTAATTCATGTCTGTGGATTGTGTCAGGATGGGGTAGGGATGGCCACTGACAGGACTTGGCATAACGGATGAGCAATGATGATGCGTATAAAGGCGAGAGCCGCGAGACGCGAAGGCCGACCTATGCCGGTACGGTTCGTCTTCCCTAGTTGCCACGCTACCTTGTTAGTCTGACCAAGGCTACTTAGATATACTACCTTATTCTGCCAGGCTCAAACCCATGTGATCCTAGTCTGTGATCTCAGGGCCGTGGTCGCTGCCTACACTACATGCCATCGTTAATCAACGGTTGGTAATGAGGATGGACTCGGATCTCGCTCAAACTCTCCAAGGCGCCGGGTCGTCCATGCTTGGCATTCCGAGATTGCCGATCTGCCGAGACGGAGGAAGATTGACTTGCGACCGGAAGCGCCCGGCTTGGCCTATCGTGGCGGACGGCAATGGCGATTGCTGAATAAATAAAAAGATGTATGAAATTCGGTTAATTCGACCAGATTGCGTCGGATCTCGCTGGCAACTGTTGAATTTTTTTTTTAGAGTCCCGAATGATCTTGATCCGGATCACAGAAACGCGGCTGGTGATACATGGCCTGCCTGCACGATTGATCGACTGAGTGCTTAGAAATCGAGGCGATGCTGTTGGCATTGTCACTGACACTAGCAAGAAAACAACCAACAGGCTCATACAGGCCCCCAAATGTAGGTCCATTCCGAGATGGTTGGAGTCGCCCGGGCAGTCTTACTTAGGTATTTCTGATTGCTGGGGAGCGTCCTCGGCGCCTGGCTGCTTCAAGTCTACGTCATCTGCGCCGCATCTGCCATCGCATCCAAACATGAAGATGTAAGTGGAAGGTGGCTTCAAGAGAGAGACTTGAAGCAGCCAGCTTTCAAGGTCGGGCAACTCTGCCAGCAATTTCATATGACGAGCAGAGTGCGTGCGTACACAACTGAGAAATGCTACCTGCGGTCTCCTGCGTTGCTGCTGGCGGCTGATTCGGGTTTCCAGCGCCGACATCATGTTCGACAGGGCGGCGGGTCGCGTAGTCTCTCAGCATCAGAGGTCCTTCCTCACGGCAAAGAAGTAGTTGCCGACCTTCTCGCTGCCAGCGACCTCCTTCCAGCCCAGGCCGGGCACATACACGACACCCATGACCCTCGGGTGGCTCCAGCCGTGCTTCCTGGCAAAGTAATTCCTCAGCTCCTCCTCGTTGATGTACTTGTCCCAGCTATGCGTCCCCTTGGGCACGATCTTCAGCACGTCCTCAGCCATGAAATTGGTCGTGAACCAGCTCGTCCACGTGCGCGCGATGGTGCTCATCACAAGCCAGCCACCCGGGCGCACAAACTCGCCGCACCGGTCCAGGAAGGACGAGGGCTTGTCGACGTGCTCGATGACCTCGAACAGGCTGACGACGTCGTACTTGGCCTCGGCAGTGGGCGGCAAGGGCAGGGTCTCGATGGCGCCGGCGACGTAGTTGAGCTTGGGGGCCAGGGACGGGTCCTTGGCGGCGTGCAGGCGTGCGACCTTGAGGACCTCGGGGGTGGGGTCGACGGCGGTCACGGACTCGGTGGTGGGCAGGCGGGCGGCAGACTCGGCGAAGATGCCGCCGCCGCAGCCGACGTCGAGGTAGCGGAGCTTTCGGGCGGGCTGTGGGGCGTCTGGTGCGGATGCGTGGCAGTCGCGGATGAAGTCGTGGCGCAGGGGGTTCATCAGGTGCAGTATGCGCGAGGAGCCGTGGGGATCCCACCACTCGGCGGCGAGCTCGTTGAAGTGGGCGACCTCGGATGCGTTCACGGACGAGTACGAGGACTGTGATGACGAGGAGGATGGCCCGGAGTTGGAACTGGCATCAGGGGCACTGTTCTGAAAACTGCGGCATGATGCCACGAAACGGAGCGGCAGCAGACGCGAAGGTGATGGACGAGCCTGACGGAGCTGTCGCAACATGGCAACGGGTGCCCTTGACGGCGCCATATTGGTGCGTGTGAGGCTATCTATGCATACGTGTATAATGTGCAGGCCTGCCAGAAAGGAGGGTCGACGATGCAGAGGACGGAGGTGAGGTGATGAGAGAGTAGTTGGGCAGGTGCAGATGAAGTCAGAGCCTCAACGTCTGTACTCCGTAACTTTTGGCCGGTCCGGGTACGGTACCGATCCCTGCAACGGCAGAACGGGTGCTGCAGGTGCTGCAGGTGCTGCAGGGTCGTCACGGCAAGGGGTCCACTGCACTTCAGCCCAGCAGGCAGATTGCCAGGCACTCCGAGGGAGCTGGAGGGGATGGTTTGATGCGGCTCACCATTGCTGACGAAACCAAAGAGACAGGAAAACTGGCTCGGCAATGGGCACTGGCATAGCCTGACTCCTCCAAAGGCGAAGAACAGGTGTCCACGGAGGCTCTGTGCCTCCAAGGTTTCGGCATTGTCGAATGACGCGATGACCTAAGCATTCCCATATGCTCACTCATCAGCCGATTCCAGGCGAGTCGACTCGAGTCGGGCGCGGCAGCGGGAACGGGAACGGGTCTCGCGGGGCTGTCCACTCTGGCAGTCTGGCTGGCTGATGGTGAGCAACACTTGATGATCTAGACGACACAACATCCACTCGTGGATCTATGTCACGACACAGTATTGCAAATTACCATTACACATACATAGCGAGTCTTTTTCTCTTCTTCTTTTTGGTTTCAACACTGCTTGCCGACCTGATTGAGCCGCACTCAAACCCATAGAACCCTTCCCCGTGCCGACCGTCTTCCCACATCCGCCCCGAACGACTCACGACCGACCACTACGGACTAGACCGAGGAAGCCGACATAGTCCCGACTGCCCAGCTGTGCTTGACGGACTACAAGGGCGGCCACCACTCCAATTGATCTCCTCACGCCCTTGCGACACCATCCTCTCCTCTTCATGGGATCCATAATGCCGTCCACAACCCTCGACCGGTCCGAGTTCGACTCGATACCCGACACCATCAAGGCCTTTCGTACGTACACAAAATCACATGCCCACCCACCACCACACCCGATGTACTGACCCTCTTACCCCCCCGTCGCAGGCGATGGCCAGTTCATAGTAGTCCTAGACGACCCAGGCCGCGAGAACGAGGCCGACCTGATCATCGCCGCCCAGGACATCACCGCCGAGCAGATGGCCTTCATGGTGCGCCACAGCTCGGGCTACGTGTGCGCGCCGCTCACCCCCGACCTGACCCAGAGGCTCGACCTGCCCCAGATGGTCAGCGACAACGAGGACCCCCGCGCCACCGCCTACACCCTGACCGTCGACTCGGCCGACCCCTCCGTCACCACCGGCATCAGCGCCCGCGACAGGGCCCTGACCTGCCGCACCCTCGCCGACCCCCAGGCCAAGCCCGCCTCCTTCCGCAGGCCCGGCCACGTCCTGCCCCTGCGCGCCCGCCCCGGCGGCGTCAGGCAGCGGAGGGGCCACACCGAGGCCGCCACCGAGTTCTGCCGCCTCGCCGGCAAGGAGCCCGCCGGCGTCATCTGCGAGCTCGTCGACGACGGCGAGGAGGTCGAGGGCCAGGCCATATTCAGGGAGCCCGGCATGCTGAGGGGCGAGAAGTGCATCGCCTTCGCCAGGAGGTGGGGGCTCAAGGTCTGCACCATCGAGGACCTGGTCAACTACGTCGAGAAGACGGAGGGGAAGCTGGACGTGAACGGGTCGGCGTGATGCACCACCGCGGTGGGTGGGTGGACAGGCCGAGCCTGTGAGGTTGTGAAGCGGAGGGTGTGGCAGCCAGATCTATGCGGGCATCGGCCTGTTTGCGTGTGACGTCGACGCGCGCGCGTGTGGGTGAAAAGGTGTAACTGATTTATAGAAGTGGTGGTCAAGTCAAAACTTTGGGAATGGATACATCGGAATCTTTTGCCGCGAGGCATTTCGCAGGCCACCAGGGAATGTGTATTTGTTTGTCTATGCTGCTACTCAACTTCTTGTATTAGATCTGTTCATACCTGGGCATATTCGCCCAACAGAAAAGCTAAGCAGTCAGGCCGAAGATCACAGCTGCCCACTGGATGAAAGCGCTCCGAGAGCCCAACTCCCACCACTGGTCATGAAGAGCAGCCACACCTGCGCACTGGATGGCCACAGGTTTATCTCGAATCGTTCCAACCAGTGATCTTGATTGAGTTCTCCACATTGAGCCTGACCGCAGCCGAGCCTTCGTAACGTTACTTGTATAGATGAGCAGGCACATGGCTAGGGAAGTCGTGACGACCCACACACACCGTCGACAACGAACCGACACAGTTCGGCCAGATCTGACGGTCGATCTCGACCCTCCAGAGCCGGGTTGGGGCATCGGTTGCCCTCTTTCTGTAGACTCTTTCCGCTGGCCCCAAGGTGCTGACCCTGGCTTTACAAGTCGCACCACTGCAGTCTCAGGGGCCAGGTGTATACAACGTCCCGGTTCACCTGATGTAGCCCTGTGAGCATGGCCACACACCGCAGGGCCGGGGGGCGCTTCTGCTCGATCTCCTGCACACGGCAAAGCTCTCCGTGGGCCGGGTTTTCAGAACAGAAGAGGTGACGCACAAAAAACGGCAGCGCCGATTCTCTATAGCTACACATGTGAAGCTCCGATGCGGATGACGAGTGAACACATCTCAGCGGGCACAAAACTCTTGCCGAGGCGAACGCCCCGAACCAGACGGGCTGATACTGTAGGGCCGCCCGAGCGCTATCCAAGGTGAGTAACTCCGGACCGCGCATATAGCAGTAGAATACGTGGGGGTAGAAGTATACTCGTTTGCGCCGCTTTCCACCGGGCTTCGCGCCGGCTTGGAATCCAACATCCTAATAATCCATGTGTTAATATCTATAATAGTACAACAACAACTCGCCCGCCTGCCCTGAAACTGCGGACTGGACCTCGGCGCCCACGTCTCGGCCTCGCCCGCCAGCATTGATCAGAGGACGACTCGTCCGATATGCCGACAGGGTGCTCTCGCGCGGGAAAAATAAATGCAACGGTCTCGGTGAAGATCCCACACGGTAGGCCGGGGCGGGTGATAGGGCAACAGGTGACTTGACGCTACGAAAAGCTACCTCAGATCTGGCGCGAGATCGAATACAACCCCCCTGGGATCGACACCGCGATTGGAGCGTGAGAGAAGATGAACTCTGAGAGGGCCGGTGCAAACGGTCAACGGCGATGCGCGGCTTGAAACCGATCTTGTGCAAGCGGCTTCCATGGTTCTCGGGGATGGCCCTGCATGCTGGGAGGCGGGGGGAGTTGGCCGAGAGTCTCTGCTGTCAAAATTCTGGTGGATCAACGGGAACGAGTGGGAAGAGGTGTGTGTGTCCGCTGATGGTGAGGCAAAACATCATGACAGCATCGGTGCTGGGTTCACGATTTGGGGGGGTTGGCGCGAGCATCTAAGTTGAGCAATTCCGTAGAGAAGCTGGAACACACCGACAGGGAACGGTCTGTGCTTCATCCCCTCTTCCTCATCCATTCCCCCATTTCGGGGAGCGAATCGCAGCGGAACGAGCAGGCATTTTCCCTCTGACGTCTGCCACAATCATATAATCCTCCGATGCACATCAGCCGCCCCGGGGTCAACGGCCACGCCGGCAACTGACTCCCAGAAGAACACCGGCCTGCAGTCCTCACAGTGGAATCTGTGGCGTCACTCCACCCGCGCCTGGGTTGGGGTTTTGGCCTCGGCTTTGCTTGGTTCCCCGGCTGGTTTTACATGTGTAATATGGCCTGTATCGCAGGTTCGTCCAGGCTTGATGCCATGAATAGACATGGGGGTGGGGCCGGGTGCCTATGCATCGTGCATCCGCCCGTGCCCTGTTCTCACTGAAGATGCCGTTGTTGAGAGTACACAGTAAGGGGGTCTGCGTGTAGCAGTACCGCGCCTCCCGGTTCCTGGACTCGCACCATTTTGACAGAATCTGTGAAGAGCCGTGACTTGGCAGTAGCATCGACGAGCGCCTCTACTCCGGACTGTGAGCTACTCGCCCAATATTCTCTGACGAAGCTATTTGTTCTCGGCGCTCGCCTCTGATATGATCTCTACGATCCTGCACAAATCGATCACAAATTTGGCCAGGGTGGAGTCCTTCCAGAAGGAAGCTCTGGCCGTCCTGTAGACACTGCGTCCTCCCGCCTGCCCGAGTCACCGATCTCTCATCTCTGATCAGACACGGAACCCTGTTAAGTCCCCGAGGCGCAGCAGAACTGATGACACTAGGCTCTGGGGGAAACGTGGAGGAGGCGTGCGTACGCGGAAATGCGTGTGCTTGCGTCTGCGATTCCCTGGCTTGCCTGGTCCGGGTGTGTGTGAGCGTGCCTAGGGCGAAAATTCCAGGCGAGTCTAATGGACTGCCAGACTGCCCGCTCACCCCTGATGCAAACTGACATCGCCCCAAGATCCCGGCTTCTAGAAGACCCACTCGCGGAACGTGGCCCGAAGCCGGGAACGAGGAGCAGTCCCAGCTCGTGGGGCATGACCCAAGTCTCACCTTGAGTCGCGCAACAAGTTGAAGCATGTGTCTCGCTGATCGGGGTAGACGAGAACAGTCCGCCCTAGGCTATCCTCGTATTCGAAGCCGCTCGAAATGACAACGGTCAATCTCTTCACAGTGTGGTTCTTGATCACAATTTGATGCCGCGGCAATCACTAAGCCTGTGTTCTATAGTACCGAATCGCCGACGAATTACAATTCAATGCGAACAGCTCTGAAATGAGGCCTCTGTTCTCTGGCCAGCGCTTGGGTAGGCAGTCACCTCTTGGTCCAGCAACGAAGCTTTGACGCCCCTATTGTCCCAGGATGAGTGTCAATGTGCTGATCAATTGGATGTCGACCTACGACACCATATTTTTCGGTGGCCTGCTCTCGGTGGTATTCAAGCCAATCAAACAGGATGTTGCTTGACTTTGAGCATTGCCAGACCGACTGCCTCGAGCTTTGCTTAACATGGTTGAAAAAACAATACCGGGCGTTAACGTGAGGGCGCCGAGTCCCAGCACGTTTTACGGTAGATAAGTAGGTTCTGTGGCCTTGAACCTAGTACGCAAGCTTCCGGTATGTTTCGCGTTTGGGAAAACGTGTTCCAGCGAAGTCGCAACGCCACTAATTGCGACCCGGAAAGGTTCCTGAAGCAGGAGCGGACTGCCTAGGTATGCATGCCTGGAGCCAAAGGTGTGTCGAGCACGGGCTTCCAGCAACGCTCTATTTCTTGTCTGGTGATTTTTATAACCTGTCAAAACTATACCTGACGCAATTATTGGCGCCAGGACGATGTCATTGAGAGCTATGCCCCAAGGCGGACAAGCCTGAGGAGACGAGTCAATAGATGGTTTTGCTCAAAGTCATAGCTCTCGAGATCTATGTTTCGAGATCTGCTGCAACATTCAGACTGAGAGCCGCCCTTTGAAACACGGCCGGCCAGTGCTGAAGCTGAGGGAAGATGGACAGGATACCCTCGGCGTCTGTGGGCTGAGATGGCGCTTTGATGTCTGGATGTCTGTTCGCAGGGCTGAGGGCTGGAGAGGAGTGTGAGGGCCGACTCGCCCGAGAAACAATGGGCAGCTGGTGGTCTGCCACATCGATCCTCAATGACCGGGCCAGTCGGTCATTCAGCACGGCTACTCTGTTGCCCTTCGGTCCGTTCCACGACAGAAATAATGGACCCTGATGAGGGCCCGGGACACGGGCCAGGAGAGCCAACTGGTGATCGCTGCGGCTGCAACGCCAAGCTCCGTAATCCGTCTCCATCATCAGGGATTTGGATCAACTTGATCCTGGACTCAGACGGGAAGAGCATCTTGTATGGCAGAGTGGCCCTGGAATCCAAACAGGCTGACAGGTGGGCAAATGACGGCGACTAACGAGGGAAATTATTGTCAAGTCTTACTAGATCCGGCGTAGCAAGGGAAGTAACCAAAAATAGAAGATGGTTTGAAGATGAGCCGACTGCCACGCCGTGGCATGAGTTGCGAGCCTATTGGCGATTGGGAGCACGGCAGATGCGCAACGAAGCTTGCTGTAGTTGCAGTCAATTAGTTGGGCAACGACATTTTCGTGCGCGGGCGAAATTAGAAACTGCGCCCTCCCAATTTCAAAGGGCACGAAACCAAATTTGGGTTGTAATGTTGATTGCCTTGAGTGACGTGTGATGCCCGATTGGGCTTCACAGCACTCCCCTTCCCTTGTCTTGGTGCCTTGTTCGAGATGACGGTCGGGCATTGCCTGATCGATACTGCAACGAGTGATCAGAGAAACGACGCGGCCTGAGATTGCAGAGCCTCTCATGACGTAGAAGCTAGTATACGCACGACTGGAAGCCAAAGACGATGGCAGACAACTCGTAGTTGTCCTGCCGTTTCAGCCGAATTTCGTAGAGAATAATGCATGCCCTGGTACCTGGATGTACATGTATTGTATATCATGCACTGCCGGGTGGTCCAATCCGTTAGCCGGAGATCTTCAGGTGGCTCTTGGGACTGAGCCAGGAACTCGGGAAAGCCGGCCTTCAAATGAGCTGGGGCAGGGGGTAGCCTCACTCCCTGAACGGAAAAGACGAGCACGTTGAGAAGTGCAGGTGGACTCAATTTTTCAGGTGTGACCTCAATCGGGCCTAGGTACCTAGGCAGATTAGTCTGCAACGATTGGAGCTGGAAGTACTTAGCCCATGCCTGTGGTTTCGACTTAGGTCAATATCCGAGGAGTCTGGTGGGATGTATTGGCAGGGAGGCTGAAATGGAACGACGTTGAAATCGGACTTGCAGGGGACTTGGTCGTCAAGACAATCAATCAGTAGGTTCATGTACTCATTGCCGGTTAAGGGGTGACACGGGCCAACCTGGACCGCGAAAGCAGGCTTCCGTGCAATGATTTCACCATGTTCCGTCCTGTGCCATTTCCGACCGGCCCTGATTCTACCTCCTAATAAGGGCTGGAATCCGTCTCGATCTTTGCAGCTGGGCGCTTCTGGTCATCGAATAACGTTGGCGGTCGGTCCCCTGACCGCTTCGTGGCATGCAAGACCAGCGCAGGCGGCACTGACAGCGAACATCTGATATGCTGGTGTGGTCCTTGCTCCCACCGCAGTTTTGCCTCGCATTTCATATTCGACTAGCGAGACAGGGATGATCAGGGCGACGGCTCCACTCCCCGTCTTTGGAAGGATCCATATCTTCTAGAAAGGTTCCAGAAACTTGCCTCTTCTGGAAAAGCCAATTTTAGGCCCCAGTCACTGCCCCAAGCGTTAGCCACAAGCCAGCGCAGTCTCCCCACTGCCCTCCTTGACAATGTGACCCTGCGGCCGGGGGGGCCTCCTGAAGTGTGATGATGATAGTTCATCTCCTCCGCCGGGTTCTTGACGGGTTGCCCCTTTGCGTCGTGTCCACTGCTTGTCAGGATGTCTGAAGTAGCGGTAAGGCGTGAGCGACAACTGTGAGCTACGATGATGGGCAGCATGCGGGCCTCCGCAACAGGCCGCGTAAGAAGCTCTCAAGGACCCTTCGACCTTCGACCTTCGACCTCGCTTTCGAGTAGGGCAATAGTGGCGTGCGAACGACAGGTCAGCTCAATGTATGTGAGACTGAGGGTAGGGCTGGACAGCAGGGGCGAGCGTTGTCACGTTAATGTCCCCGTTCGTCAGCTCCCCCTCACTTCCATACTCATTCCCGTTTCCGAGACCAAATTGAGTTGCTCAGACGTCCGAGCGTCTGCTGTGAGTCGAAGCGCGGGCCTGCTTTTAAATCGACGTACGGAGCACATATCTGCATGCTCCCGCGTTCTCCATTGAATGATGGCCTAGGATAGTCGAGGGCGGAATGCATCTGGCCTCCCACATGGGGAAAGGTTACGGCACATCTGAATCGTCAAAACGTAACTGGAGCATGGCCCATGTCTCGTGGCGCCCGCGCTGGCAAAGTTACGGTGTACGGCCGAATGGGCTCTCGCCCGTCGAAGCCGACCAGGCTCCTGGAATTGGCAGTCGAGTACCGCACGAGTACTTACGGAGCTACCGTGGCAGGGCCGCCGGCTCCGTATGAGGTGGAGATTGTTGTCGTTACAGTAGCGTTGGTCGAAAAGCACAGTGCACAGGGCACAGAGGGGAAGCATCTCAGCATTGGGCTGGCTGAAGTGTAGAATCGCGGACGCTACTTGGGCAGCTGCATCGACATCAGGCGGTGATGCAAGAAATACCGACTGGTTGCATCGGTAATGGCAGACAGGCGATGCGAGAGATTGATCACATCACACATTTGCTGCTGTCTTGCGGTAGATCAGACGGGAGTCTGAGCTCCCAAGCTGGGTTCGCAGCCTGGCGGCGATTTGAGCGCTGATGTCAAACGCAGTTGTGCTGTCCCTCAGGTCCCTGTGCCGTACTCCGTAGTGGCAGGGTGGTCTCGGTCGGCTACATGGCTCCCTGCCGGGTCTGCCTGAAGAAGGTTTTCGCCATTGTCCTGACCCCCGGTGCCCCGGTCCTCGAGGCAAGACCAGCGGGCTGGGTGGTGCAGGAGGCGAGGAGCGGCGGCAAGTAGGCACAAGTCGGAACAGCACGGTTTGCTTGGCTCATCTCGAAGCCTGGCAGATTGAGTTTGTTGCCATGACACAGGGACCAAATGGCAGCCATTCTGGCCTTGGAGTTGTCGAGGCTTGGCAGAGGCACAGGCGCAGGCCGTCCGTCCGCCGTCGTCCGAAGGGCAAGGTTTGGCTGGCCTGGCTGGTGGTGCAGAAGGTTCCAAGGTTGGGCGAGGCCTGCATGGCTCTGGCTCCCGGTGCCCCCAGCCTTGGGTGAGCGTCTCAGGACACCGAATCTTGCAAATCTTGACGACTCGTTGAGTTGGGAGGATCTGCCAACTCATCTGCAGGACAGACAGAAACAGGCAGGCAGGCAAACATGCAGGCAAACAAACAAACGACGGGAAACTATGCCCAGGAGCAGGACGGGCTGACGGGCTGACGGGCTGCCAGACTGCGTCGGTGTTGGTGGCCCCGATTACCGTACTGCAGACTGCAGCGGAGAGGGACTGAGCGTGGAGCGGGTAAGGGACCTCGGGAGGTCTGCTGCAATCAACGACACACAGCAGAAAAGGGCGATGAAGGGACTTGAAACCCCGGCAGTCCGTCGATTTGCACATTGGCCAGCCAGTCAGTTACCCAGCTAGGCAGGCTTGGGGCCGGGGGCAACGGGGGCAACGGGGGCAACGGGCAGCAGCAGGGGGGAAAAGGGTTCGGCTCGGTTCTGGTCTGGCTGCAGGCGGGCGGAAGAGAAGGAGCTCCCCAGCGCCCTGTGCGCCGAGGGGTGGAGTGGGCTGGGCTGCACATGGTGGGTGCTTGGGCTGGTGGGTTCGATGCTGGTGGGCTGGGTGGGCTGGGTGGGCTTGCCTTGCTGTCCACCCCCCCTGGAGCCCTGGTTGCCCAAGTACCGGCTGTGTACAGATGCTGCCCCCTGCACACCTGGACACACACCTGGGCGCCCCCCAAGGTTGGGATGTTTCAACGGACCTGTCGGTCTGGCAGCCTGGGCAAGGGTGCAAGCAGTAGTGTACTGTGCAGGCATGGTGGGCTGTACCAGAGGCCGTCCTTTACACAGGACCGCTACCCAGCCAATGGTCGAGTGGAAACCCTGGAAGTGAAATAGAGTGAGTGGGTTGGACCATGGAAAAAGCTACCTGCCCTCGCCCGCCCTTAGTACCTGCCCAGGGCCATAAGGTACGATTTTATTTTTAAGAAGACCCCTTGTCCTCGACCCAAAACTTCCTCCTTCCCGTCAGAGCGTCATATCTTCTATCACCACCGCCACACGCTCCTCTCTCCGACTCCGACTCCCGTCTCTGTCTGTGCCTCATAGCATCGGACAGCCTGCACCTCACACTCCTTGTTCAGGGTGTAGACATCGCCGTCGTCATAGCCACCGAAATCACCAACCACATCGTAAGTTCTTCACCGACTCGAAACCCCTTGCCTCGCCTTGCCTGGCCTCGCCTCGCCTCGCCTTGCCGCCCTTGTTACCATCACAACCGAGAGCCCAGGACTGTGACTGGAACTGGGAGCGTTGCATCGGACTATCGCATTGTTTTGGCTTGGACGTGTGGGACACGGAAAGCAGCAGCAGGCCTCTGATATCTTGTTGCCCCAAACAAACGCCGCGCCTGCAAACAGTATCGAGGACTCTGGACCAGCCGTCGTGCAATCATTGTTGGCCATCCCTCGCCTCCTCCCATTTGAGTTTTCCTGGCGTCCCATCGGTTTATCTGAGCCCCCGACATCCTTGACGGCCACCTTTCCCGACTCTTGACGCCTGCGCTGCGTTGCTCTGCCTCTCTCCCTGGCTTGCCGACCTCGCAGTCCACCCTGAAGCAGCAACATCGTGACGAGCTCTAATCGCACAGCGGTTCTCTGCGTCTGCGCTTGGCCACGTCTCCGTTGATCTGCATTAGTCCTGCGCATGTGCCATAAGAAAAAAGTGTTGAACCCTTCGGTCCAGTGTAGCTGACCGGCTCAAGCAGAATTTGACAGTCAGCGGCCACGCCGATTCGAGCTTCCTACGCGTCCACAGATCCTACCAACTCCAACGGTGACATCAGGACCATCCATACCGAGGTCACAACTAGCCCTGTCGCGTCCGAGTAGACACCGAGATATCAAAGTCGCCGTGCGAATTCCAGTCGGCAGTAATCGAGGACGGGTTGTATTGAGTCAGCCTCTTCCGACGACTTCGGCCTTCATTGCCATCGACCCTACGGATCCCCTCACAACAGTCTTTCCTGATCAACGCGTCGGGGCGCAACTGCGAAGGGCAGCGGGCACCTCGCGCATCACCTTGCGCGTCAAATCTGCCCACGCCGAATCCTCCGACCTTGCAGGTAAAACTGGTCCCCTACACTGTGCACCGGAATAGACAAGATCCAAACGGGCCTTGGCCAGTGTGGAAAACAGACACTAGGTGCGTCAACATCCTGCAGCGTTTGTAAAGGGGTTGCCTATATCCGTCCAAGATTGCAGGTCTGGGACAGAGTTTGTCTCCGGGCCTGTCGGCAGGGCCATCTTTTGCCCTCTGCCACGTCATCCTAGTTCCACCAGCAGTCACCGTATTTGTGGGCGGGAGACAGAGCCGGAATTTCAAAGAGTATTTGAGCTGACAAGGCAATTGCCAAAACCAGGCTGGTTCAGGACAGAGCGCGTCTCTACTAATTCAACACGCGCCTCTTCCTGCACCTTGATCCGTGCACGACAATCCGGTACCCACCCCCAGCATTTCACGGGTCTCCAGACAGGGCCCGGTCAGCCGCGTGCAGCAGTCAGCAACCGCCAACGACAGGCCCCGTTTTGCTGCCCAGTGCCGAACTGATACACACCTTTGTGGTCTCGTGTGTTCATCTTGAGTAAGTCATGATCGATCCGTTCAGCACACATTCACCGGGCCGGACTACAGACTAGGGGACAAGTGGCAGCCGGGTTGCAGCTCATGCACGCCGGCTGTCACTAATTGGAGGCATTCACCAATATACTCCAAACAGTCACGGCTTCTAAAACATTCACATTCCGGCTCCTGTTCGACCTATCACCTCGGCCATGGGAGACGCCATTCACCTTTCATATGCCCACCAGTCTCACCGCCCCTCCCCTCAGCCTCGAACTTTACTAACAACAGCTTCAGTTGATTCGCGACCTGCATCTAGCGCACCTGCAACCAACAGCCACCGGGTTCCGAAACATTCTGGTGTTGTAAGACACATCTTATTTCCTTGCTGCGGGAGTGCAATTTCCTTGCGGACGAACCCGTGGACCGTGCGTCACGCCTGTCCAACTCGCCTCCTTTGTCTGGCTCCAGCTTAATCATGTCGTCTCCAGCTCCCGGTGAGGTTATGGGCATTACCAATATGCTGAACCAAAAGGGCGGCGTTCAAGCGACGCATTCAATTCCAGGTGTTCAGGGATCCACTCCAGAACAGCCTGCTCACCAGCAACTCCCCCAGATTCCGATGGACCGCGCCGACTCGCCTCACGGATCCGAACACTCGAGGTACTCGCAGCCTACCATGAACGGCAGCATGCAAAACGCTCGGCCGTATGGCTCTCCCAGTGCGATGCACGCCCCTCTCCACATGCCCGAGCCCAACATGGGCCCAATTGGATTTCCTGGCATGGCCCCCGATATTGCCCACGCCATGCCCCAATATGCGAAGCCCCCCGAGGCGGTAGCGGCCCAGCCACCTCCCAAGGCATACCCATGCAGCACTTGTGGGAAGGGATTCGCAAGGCGTAGTGATCTTGCCCGCCATGGTATGTGACCATCATTTTCTTGGCGTTCTTTGCAACTTGAACAGATTTAGGGTCGTTGGCTTGTGTTGAAGTGGAGTTTTGGTTGTTCCATGGCCGCTAGCCGCTACTCCGTCACATCGTCCTTTCGTTCTCGGACGGAGCCCTGGTTATTTGAAGACACGGCGACCATGCTAACAACTGAAATCAGAGCGGATCCACACTGGTGTGCGGCCACATGTCTGCGACTTCCCAAACTGCGGCAAACAGTTCATCCAGCGATCCGCTCTTACCGTTCATCAGCGAGTGCACACGGGAGAGAAGCCACACATGTGTGAACGTTGCGGCAAGGTAAGTTCTCCGGCACTTTGACAGACAAGCCTCAATAGCTGACGAGAATCAAAACAGCCCTTCAGCGACTCTAGCTCTTTGGCGCGGCATCGTCGGATCCACTCGGGTAAGAGGCCGTACAAGTGCCCGTATGCCGATTGTCAAAAGACATTCACGAGACGCACGACACTCACTCGCCACCAAAACCATCACACTGGCACAGTCGAGGATGCTGCCCGCGCGACTGCGGAGGCCCTGGCCAGGAATAGCGTGGCTCGCTCGGGCTCCGCACGTCCTGCCCGGTCTGACGGTGATCAAGTTAGCAACCATGGATCGCCCATCTCTACTCCCTCTCCTGCGCAAAGGACTATGTCCATGTCACCAAGCTCCGAGATGGTGGGTGCCAACGGAATGCAACACGGCTATGTTGGAAACACGTCTTTGCCCGCCCACCTGCGCAACGACCTGCACACCGGCAGCCCCACATCTACAACATCGGCAGGTTTCGCCAACAACGTCCGGCCAACATCGCATCCCACGGCTTATGGAGCAGCGCCTCCGACGACATTGGAGCCGAGCATCGAGAACGGGCAAGGACCCGGCAGTGCTGCTGGAAGCCCACACATGAGCAGTGTTGGATGGGCTTCCCCCTCACATGTTGCGGCATCGCCTGTTCACAGCAACAACGGCAACGGCAGCTACGTCTACCCAGACCCTGACCAAGGGTATCCCAGCAACCCGGCCGCACAAGGGCAGCTGTTCTACAGCGCGGCCATGGGCTTGCAGAGACCTGGGAGCGCTGAGCCTGGTGCGGCAAACTACAACAAGCCACGCCAGGGTGAACTCTGGGCTGCCTGAGAGGAGCCACGAATGTCAGAAGGACACTCAGTGCGTGCACAGGCCTAGAGGCATAGAAACCTCTTCTTTGGTTGCATATCCAGGCATGCAAGTACAAATCATGACAGCAGACCGGCTCGTATTTTCTCAACCCTTTTCGGCCGTCAAACAGTGACGATTCCAGAAAGAATTTTGGCGGGTACCCATTGATTGTTCAATTGGTGCGGAAATCTGCACCTATTCTTTTATAATGCGGAAGTTACGGCGCAAACTTGAATCGACTGTGGAGGGTGGTAATGAGGATTCTCGGCTGGGAGTACACTTTTCTTCACTCCTTTAGACTGGCAAATGGGCACCGAAAAGGCAGGACAAGCGTGGCAGCGCAACAGGACGATGACAGGATGGTGTTTGGAGCTCACGGTTGATTGCTTTCCAGGTCAGCAGACACAAAAGTGACTACCTATTTTACTATTTTGTAACGTGTAAAACAATTAGACGTCCGATAGCTTCGATGACCAAGGAAAGAAAAAAATGGGACTTCTGTGTACTTGACATACAGCTTGACAATAGTGTGACACTGACATGTCATATATCGAGGGCCGGTGAGACGAGGTCAGGAGATATTTCTTGTACTTGCTTGATGAAGCCCTTGTTCGCATCAGCGAGTGGCGCCCAAGCGACTTCTGGGTTGAGAGAGCCGAGCCAGCCTCGTCAGACAGACTGCGTCCGCCAAGTAGATGTAAGAGGTCGGAACCGGAAGCTGGCCAGGATCCGAGGCCAGGCTAGTTTTGTTGTAGCCGGGCGCTGGCTCGGTTTTCTGTTTACTAATCTTCGGGCCTGTGATGCGGCATTGCACCCATGCTGTGGCTCTCTAGGGCATTGTTGGGCTGTCTAGTAATAAATAATAATGTAAAAGCAAACGTGCCTGGGCTCCTGTCTCTCTCTCCACATATACTGGGCCTATTTCCCCTCGATCTCCCCGTGCTGCTGTTCTTTCTGTGGCCGCTCGCTGTCAATGTCAAGGGAACCGCCAGGACGTCGTGCATGGATTTGCTGCTTACCTCATATGAGCCAGCAGCCCATCACTCGACAATAGCAGCCTCATCACGATTTATACTGGGATTGGTATCATCTTGGGGTGAGAAAGAGTTACAGATACTGAGTTAGTTCATGGGTATAAAATCTGATACCATGGCTCCGGATCTCACCATCACGATTCAGACTTTCTCGGACACGGTCTGTCCCTGGAGTTACATCGGCAAGAAGAACCTCGACAAGGCGATAGACATATACAAGCAGGCACACCCGGAAGTCAATTTCGAAGTAACCTGGAACCCCTTCTACCTAAATCCAGAGGCCAAGGTATCAGGTGAGATTCCCACACCCTCACCCTACCTAGCAATGTCACCATCATCACCACAGTTATTTCACCCAGGACAGCTAGAAAGAAGGGAAAAAATACACTGAGGAGGCAATACCCCTATCCAGGCAAAATATTGTCTAACATAGTCGACCAAGAGCTGATACATTCACAAGGATACAAGAAAAAAGACTACTACGCCGTCATGTTCGGCCCCGCGAGGGCCGCAGCCTGGTTCGACCGGGTCAACGACCGGGCGAAGTCGATGGGGCTGTCCCTCAACTGGGACGGGCTATGCGGCAACACGCGCGACTCGCACATCCTCCTCCTCCTCGCCCAGAAGCAACAGCAACAACAAAAACAGCAGCAGGAGGAGCGTGAGGGGGACCAGGACGGAGGAGGAGGAGGAGGAAAGGACGACAGCGACACCACACTGCGGGACACCCTGGACGCCCTCTTCGACGGCGTGTTCGTCGGCGGCCGCGACGTCAGCGACAGGGGCTTCCTGGCCGAGGTGGCGATCGGGGCCGGCCTGTGCGGGGGCCCCGGGGAGCTCCTCGCGGTGCTGGACGACCCGCGGGCCCGGGCCGAGGCGGACGCGCTGGACAGGGCGGCCAAGAGGGTTGCTCGGATCACGGCTGCGCCTAGCTATGTTGTCCAGGGGCGGTACAGCGTGGGCGGGCAGCAGGACTCCGAGGTCTTCCTGGTGTTGTTTGATCGGATCCGGCTCGAGGGGGGCAAGGATGCGCAGTAAAGTTTTTTGCCTGGTGTTTATTTGCTGGGATCTTCGTGTCCCAGGTTAACCGGCGCTTGTTGAATTGTGCTTTGTGTGTTTGATTTGTATGGTCAAGCCCCTTCGGGAAAAGGTGTGGGTGTGTCTTGGCTTGGCCATTTCCTGGCCAGACCGGGTTTGGCAGATCGGAAGGGTTCCTTCCATACTGTGATGTGGGAGCTGGTCGTCAAGAGAGGAGTCCAGTTCAGGGGTAAATGTAGGCCCGTCACCGAGAATGAACAGCTCTGATTTGTGATCACGATGTCACAGCCATCGAGATTGCTTCAGTGGTTTTATTGATGATTAGTATAAGCACACTCGGGTATGCGAGCCTCTCTGTATGCGCGAAAAGTCCATTCCCATCCCCGCAAAGCCTCGTATCGAAAAAAGCAAAGCAAAAGAAAAAAGACTCCCTGGGAGTTCTGGTCCCCGTTCCACCAATGCTCAGTGTGCCCGTACGCCATGAGTGGCCGAAATCGAAACAGTCTGTCGAGGGCCCCGTCCAGATCTACCATTCGCCCGACTTTTTTTATTCTCTTTTCATTTAAATTCACTCCGGTACGCCGTTTATGATGATGATTGATGCACGCAACTGAAAGACCAACCGATACTACCTAGCTTCTTACCTCAGCCACGAGAAGGTGCTATTTCTTCTTGTTGCCGTCGTCAAAGAGACCCATAAGATGGGTGTTGGTAAGGTTCTTGGGCCGCGTAGAGGCCCTCTTCTTCTTCTTCTCCACCTTGGCGGCAACCACCTTGAGGCGTGGGTCCTCGCTCGTGGGCTTCTGACCGACCTGTGTCAGACGGAGGTTGATGTCCTCGACGGCAGGGATGGGGATCTTGTGCCACATGTTCTGGAAGACGGGGTCGACCTCGTTCCAGAGGGTCTGGTCGTCGCTCCACACGTAGCGCGGGTGGTTGTCCTTCTTAGTGCGAACCACCAGCACCTTGTGGTCCCTCTCGAGCTCGGTGAGCGCCTGGTACAGCTTCTCCTTGGGCCAGCCGTCCTCGAGGTCCTTGACCTGCACGTACATGGCGTCCTTCTTCTTCTGCAGGTACGCCAGCAGCGACTCCTTGCTGCGCACGCCCGGGATGAGCGGGTTGTGCACGTAGGTGCCGCTGTCCCACCGCTGCTCGGTGAGGTTCGGGTCGGGGATCCAGCGCACGCGCGGGTTGCGCCGCAGGATCTCGGCCAGCTCGTTCTGGTCCTTCTCCGTGACGGGCCGCCGCGACATGTGGTCCATGATCTCGTAGATGCTCAGCTCCTTGTCCTTCTCCTTGAGGTGGTGCACCGCGTAGACCATCTGCGTCCCCAGCTCCATGCCCGTGCCCGTGAGCGTGGGCTGCGAGAAGATGTCGGCGCCATCGGCGGGCCGCGACTTGTTCTTCTTGGTCGGGGTGGTGCCGGCGAGGGCGCTGCTCGTGGATGCGACCGACGGGGAGGGAGAAGGAGGTGCGAGGGCGGCCTTTTTGGACGGGCCCGTGAGGTCGACGACGGTCGGGCCGCGACTTGCCGCGGCCGACGCGGCTCGCTGACGCTCGAGGAAGGACATGGCGGCGACGCAGTGACGAGATGACAGAACAACTGGGTCGCTGGTCGCTGTCGAGAGGTTGTGGTTGAGTGGCGCGCTGACAAGGTCAACGTCGCAATGTGGAGGCAAGAAGAAGGGGTGGGAAGTCGTAAGGCTGAGACAAAGCGCTCCAGGCCCCAAAGTAACTGGCTGATTACGCCGTGGAAATTGATAAGGAAGTGGGCTGTGCTAGCTCCGTTGGCGGGCTGCTGTTTGGTTGTGGGTGCCAGCACCTGAGAGATCGACAAAAGATTGGCGACCACCCGGCTTGATGGCGTCGGAGATATGTAAGGAAATTATGTGGTAGAATGGTGACTTTTCATAAATTATGGTTCATCATGCAAGTCGGGGCTATACGTGGCCTGGTACTAGAGACGGTTTGTGGGCCAATGCGGCATGTAAGTATTGGCAGCAACAATAGGACAGACAGGCAGACAACCAAGAATTATTAGGACTGCAGGCACGCATCTTTCCAATTGCAGTATATAAGTTTTGATGTATTCCACCCACCTGAAGTATTATGGCAACTGCATATATGTGTTGGTGAAAGCCTAGTTCAAATTCCAGTCCCTGTTGAAGAGGCATCATCACTATGACAACGCGTATTGCGACTTGAGTCAGATCAATCCCGTCACATATTGAGGAAGAGCCCAGAAGTGTAGGAGAACACCCTTAAAAGGAAAGGCGTAACGTCGAAATTGTCGAGGCTGAATTCTGTCTACCTGCAAGGAGAACCCAAAATAACACAAGTGTATATAAGACAGATACCACCGGTGAAAGCACGCCCCAGGGATTGGCACACACACGGCGGCAGGACTTTGTGTCCAGGACCTCTTCACACCGCCAACGCCCCTCCAACTCGCACCCCGTCTACTGGCCTGCCTGCTGGGCCTGCTGGGCCTGGAGGTACTGGTAGGCGAAGTAGGCAGCGGCACCACCGATGAGCACGATGGCGTAGACACCGATGCCGAGGCCGGTGGCATCGCCCGTCGTCGCAGGGGTGACCGCACCGGGCTTGGGGGCCTTGGGGGATGGGTCGCCGGGCTGCACGATAGCAATTACTCGTCAGCAGATGACCAGACCTGACTCGGAGGAGGGGACTCTTCGCCCTCCCCCGTGTGTCGATATCGTCCAGACGTACCTGTCTCTTCAGCTTGCCGGCGTAGAGCTGGTCGAGCGTCTCGCGCGCCTCGTCGCTGTGGCCGACGTCCTCAAAGGCCTCGGTTGCGTCCTGTCCGGCGACATCCAGCATGACCTCCTCACCACCGCTGTGTGTCGCGCAAGAGCACGTGTCAGCCTGAGCTGCCGGTGGTGCCGAGGCATTGGGGGGTTCCGGGGGAGGGGGAACCGGCGGCCGAGCCGCGGGCAACATTGGACGGTTAGAACTCACGGGTGCTCATCGATGAACTTTGCGCAGTCGTAGACCTTGTCGTGGATGACGACGAACAGGTCCTTCTTGGTGTTGTGCTCGGCAACATCCTGGTAGGTGAACTCCTTGTCGGCCATTTTGGTAGGTTTGTTGTGGTGGTACCTGCTGGAGTGGGAGAAAGTTCGGAGGGTTGCGTCGACAGGTCGGGGTAAGGTCAGTTGAGAGAAACTCGACACGGCCAGCTGGTGCGACGGGCAAGCAGGTAGCAGCAGAGGGGGTTGGAGAAGAACGCCAATGGGAAGGTCCGGGGGTGAAGCTGCGACGACAGACTGCAGGGACTGCAAAGAAAACTCGAGGACGGTGAGGTGGATTAGGCCGAGCAGGCGGACGGGAATGGGGAATCGAAAGATAATGTAGGTTCTACTTCTCGGAGTGCTCAATCTGTCTCCCGGCGGCGACGGAACGGAGACTATCACCGTTTTGACCACCCTCTAGACCAGCGGTGGAAGGGGGGGCAGTTCGCAATCCGGCAGCCAGCCAAGCCAGCCTGGCCAGTGGGAAAGGGTCCGCTATGCCAACCCTGGAGCCTGAGCTTAACAAATGGGAACTGTGAGCTGTCCACAGGCCAGGGACCCTGGGGCTCCCCACTGGTGCATCGCGGGCCCCGGGCATCAAATCAAGCCACGCTGGTTGGCCAGACACGGCAACTCATCAACCTTTCTTATCCAGAACGAACCGTACCCTGCCCGTTTGGCTCCCGAGCCCCCTCCGTTTGGGCATGACATTTCTCCACAGGAGCTCCTCCGTCGCGGCAACGGCACCTTGTTGAGACCCGAGGCTGACGGGGCCGATGACAATCGCCGTCCACAAATGCTGCCGTGCACCACGGCTGACACTTGACCACTTGCTTACGACATCAGTATTAAGTCCCCGAACAACCCCCTTTCACAATTCCACAATTTCAAGACCTCGAAGCGCAGGCAATGCTGAGTCGTGAAACTGAGCAGTCGAGTTCGGGATCGTATTCGTATCACCACACCTGCCTAGATATTCGACGCAGCGCCTGTCAGCGTCGCAGTGCTCCCCAAACAAACCAGCTCGCTTGTGATGCTCTCTATGATGCCTAGGGCGAACTATAGTTCTCACGCCAACTACAGCCAAGTGCGGTTTTGAACATCTAGCACGCCCATTCCGGACATCCCATACTGAGCCTAGAGGTTGACAGAGGACTGCATTCGGCCCAACAACTGCTCCACGCTCACCGCCTGGAGCTGCCGCCGCCGATATCCTGTCCTAACCGGTAGCTGGCGACCTTGTCCCACTCGATCTTCTGCCTCGTAACCGGCAGTTGTCTTCTGAGGCTCTTGAATGCGCCCTCGCTCAGACTCGTGAAGCCCTTGTTCAGCTCCTCCTGGTACTTCTTCTCCGCCGTGGAAATCTCCTTGGCGATGCCGCTGCCGGTACCCGAGGAGACAGATGCCGTGACTGCCTTGTTGGTCAGAAGACGCACGTTGCCGTCCTCGTAGTAGTGAACGTCGACCTTGATCGAGCCTTCCAGAGAGCTGTCAGATGGGTCGAAGACGTAGAGAGATCGCCATCGGCCGTTCCTGTTCTCCATTAGTCTTCATTATTTCCTGGCCTCGTGTCGAAGAGGCAATATTCACCAGAAGTTGTTGGGGCTGTATTTGCTGGCCACGACGATAACAGCCAGCTTCGAGTCGTTCTCGATGGGGTAAACCCCGTAGGCTGCGTTAGGGAAGTGCTCCTTGACGTATGATCCCAAGCTCTTCAAGGTCGACTTGCTGCGGGCCGCGACATATTAGCACACAGCCCTGCGACCGAGGTGGCTACCAACACATACACAAGATCAGAGTGCGCGCTCTCGAGAGAATGGCTCTGGGCACCGCTAGCTTTCTGCGTGGCATGGTCGAATTCGAAGCTGGTGGAGCTCTCGACGTCGTAGTATCGGCCGTCCCCCAGGGAATTGTGCGAGCTGACGATGACCGGCTCGCTGCTTCCCGGAAGCTTGGCTGTGATGAACTGCTCCTCGTTATACTTTTGGAAGGCCGGCCCGAGCTCCTTGATGATGCTGGGCTCGGAGACGGTCAGGGCCTTGATGTCTAGACCGGGCACGTTAGTGTCGGGCACTCGCGGGGCGGGTTCGAGGGCATCAACTTGCCGGCGATGACATCTGAAAGCTTCAAGAAGTCAGCGGGATATCAATGGCACCGTAGGGACATGGCGAGGCATACCTCTCCCGGAGGAGCGTCTCCAACGAAGGAAGACACCCACTCTAGACTCTCAGACATGGGCGGTTGGGGGGATGTGATGACCACTTTGTGGGATACAAAGTACGAATGTCAGGCTTTACAGCTGCACCCAAAGTCGATGGTGCGGTATCTGCGCGAAGAAGAGCTGTTATCGTTCGGAGGCGACAGGTTGGTTTCAGGGGTAAGGACGTTGTTGCGTTGACGACACCCAGCCGCGCTTGGCCCCTTGAAGTGGGGTGCTATCCGCGTGTGGCGGGGTACCTGGGTAGCCTGGTGGGAACTGTCTGCTCTCCTCGAGCGTCTCCAAACCTGATCTAAGACAGGCACAGCATCCCCACACTTGTCACCTCGAATCAGCCTGTCAATTTTGACTGTCGAATTTGGAACATTTTCATTATTTATTTACTTTTTTTGGTTGAATTCCTTAAGTTATACCGAGGCGCTGCCATTAACCGTCCTGCATTGCGCTTTTGCCCAGAAATGCCAGCCCCCAGGCCAAGGAGCAAAGCCCCCGCTGCTCAAGAGATGCTAATATTCCAAGACCTTCTTTATGTTGTCGTATACCCCTGATAATTGTTAGCCGCTTTTCCAACCGCATCATTGACTTGGTCTTCTTGGGGGGGGGGGGACGTACTGGCAACATCTGGCAGGTTAAATTTCTCGAAAATCAAAGGGGTGGGTGTGCTCCAGCCAGCAACACGAATGACAGGCGCCTCCAGCCGGATGAAGGTGGACGGGTCCTCTTGGATGGCTGCTGCTACCTCGGCGCCAACACCAGCATTGACCATGGACTCGTGTACGACCATGCACCGCCCTGTCTTCTGAACGCTATTGAAGACTGTGTCCTTGTCCCAAGGATACACAGTCCGCAGGTCAACCAGCTCGATGCTGATGCCCAGATCCTGCTCGGCCTGTTTGATGGCACTCTGGCAGATGTACAGTGGCTGGCCATAAGAGATGATGGTCAAGTCCTTGCCCTCTTTCAGGATCTCAGCCTTGGACAAAGGCAGCTCGAACGGCGCAACGGGAACTTGCTCGACCGCTGCCCGGTACAGGACTTTTGGCTCCATGAAGATGCAAGGGTCATTGCTTCGGATTGCCGCTAACAATAACCCCTTGGCCTGCAGAGGTGAGCGCGGGACAATCACTCGGAAGCCAGGAATGTGGGTGAACAAGCTCTCTGGCGATTGCGTGTGGTACAGAGCACCGTGGCCCACCGCTCCACACGGCATGCGGACGGTAAGGCCTCCGACGTGTCTCCCACATGCTCCGTCCCTGTACCGATATTTGGCCGCCTCGTTGACCATCTGATCGAATGCCGGGAAGACGTAGTCTGCAAATTGGATCTCCGCGACAGGCCTCATGCCCTCGGCAGCACATCCGATGGCGAAGCCCATGATGCCCTGTTCCGACAGAGGCGTGTTGAAGACGCGATCGCCGCCGTAGGTCTCGGCCAACTTCATGGAACAGCGGAAGACACCGCCAAATGCCACATCTTCGCCAAACAAGAGCACATTCTCGTCCTCTGCCAAGGCTATTGACAGAGCGTCGTTTATGGACTGGAACAGGTTCATCTTCTTGGTCGTGCCCCCGCGAACCTCGGGCGGCAACTCCGGGTTGTTGAGGGCCGACTGCGATGTGTGAGCCAGGAGAGGCGTTGTTGAGTAGTCAATCGGTAGGTTGAGCTTCGCATTGGGAGGGTGAGTCGAGTACCTCCTCTGTGGGAGGACATGGCTCGGCGATGAAGGCTTGCAGCTCCGCGAGGGAGCCGCCGCTACAGTCGCGGCCCTTGTGAACAAGTGTCGAGGCAAGTGACCCCTCATCGTGTCAAATGCTGTGGGAGAAAAGCAGTCAGAGCGTTTTCGCAGAAGTCCTGGCGCGTCAGCACATGTAAAGGAAGATGACGGGTGGACATAATCTCCTGGCATCTACCAAGAAGGATCGTGTCCGCCATCATGGACGGGATTGTGGCGGCTCTGTGTCGTTGGAGGTCGAGGGTTCGGCAAACCGCGGTTCAAAGATACGGGTTAAGTCGATCTGGGGTTCAATATGGCCTTGTCCCTGGCATCCCCAGACGGGTCAGAAAGTCGCTCCTGGGGCGCATCCTTGCAGCACCTAGCTGTTGGAGAAGGTACGTACCCGGGGTACCTGGCCCGGCCAGCCAGCCTGACAGGCCCGGAGCTCGGCAGCTGCAGCATGACATGCACAGTGGGTCTTGGCCTACCTATCTGGGTGCTCCCAGCCTCTTTAAATATCCAAGAGTTACCTGGGAGACCAGCCACCCGTAAACAGCACAAGGCTTAGCCAGGCAAATCCCACAGCACTCCGTAGGCAGTCAATGGATTTAATTTTTCAGCACACGCTTCCCTTCTGTCCGTCATCCGTGCTGTTCCACATTAGATCTGAGTTGTATGTGCCATGCTGCAGCTGCAGGTGTTGCATGTGTTGATCTGCCACTGACAGTTTTGGTGGGCTGGCACTGCTACACCAGCAACACTACCTTACCTCCTACCCACTGCTGTAGACCGTCGACCTACATTCCCGACGGCTAACCGAGTCCCCGCACACTTTCTCCAGCAAAGCTACCAAGTACTTAAGTAACTTGAGTATACGCCACATTCTTCAGTGCTCGAACCATGGCTCCAGAGCGGTCTTCCAAGCACCGCGAGTCTGGTGAGAGGAGACACAAGAGCCGTCACTCCAGGTCCCACCAGCATGCCTCCGGTTCAGATGGCACAAGGTCTGGCAATAGCTCCCGCCAGGCCTTGTCGATGGATGCCCTAGCCGCACTGAACGAGGCCAACACCCAGGGTTTCGCCAACCGGGATGCCGAGGAGGAGGCCGAGAGAAGACGGCGCCAGGAGCGTCATGAGCGCCGCGAGAGGCGAAAACGAGAGCAGCGTGCCAGCGCCGCGAGGGATGAGTACCAACTTGTCGAGCCAGATAGCCCGCGAGGGCACCGGACACGAGCATCCAGGTCTTCTCAGCCGCCACCTCCACCTTATGAGGAAAGGGAAGTCGACTCGAGGCACCACAGAGACTCGGGGGAAAGGAGGAAACATCGCTCTTCCAGGACATATGCGCCACCACGGGACGGTCGTCAAGAAGATGACGACGATGAGGAGAGATATCGGCAGGAACGCAGGGAACGCAAACGACAAAAGAGAGTGGTTGCCAGCGCTGCACCACCCGCGGCGGCTCAGCCAAAGCCCGGTGGATTCTGGCACAACCTCCGCGGCGGCGGAACGAATACCTCAAGCAGTTATCTCGGCTACAACGACAAAGAGGGTGCATATGATGATGAGCGGCCCAAAAAGCGGTTCTGGACCAGAAAACGAATATGTAAGTCCGCCCCTGTGTTATGCTTACCTACGTGACTAACATGATCAGTGATTGCTGCCGCGTTATCATTCATCATTGTCCTCATTATCGTCATCGCTGCAGTAGTGGTCAGCAAGAAAAGCTCCGGGGGCTCTGGGTCTGGCTCGGGCTCCGGGTCCAGCACCAGCTGCCTAAAATGCAATTTACCGGAGAAAGGCAGCGTACCCAGTGGTGCTCCGGACTACTTGGATCCATTTCAATGGTACGATACCATCGATTTCAATGTCACCTACACAGATGTCCTCGTGGGCGATCTGCCCATCATAGGCTTGAACTCGGAATGGGACGACTCAAAGGCCCCGAACGAGCTTGTGCCGGCTCTGAATGAGAAATGGGGATCCTACGCAGACCGACCCGCTCGCGGCGTCAACGTTGGAGGCTGGCTCTCGCTCGAGCCTTGGATCACACCGGATATGTTCAACTATCCTCAGACACTAGGGATTGTGGATGAATACACCCTCTGCCAACACCTGGGCTCGAGTTGTGCTTCTACCCTAGAGAAGCACTACTCATCCTTCGTCACCGAATCGACCTTTGCCGAAATTGCTGACGCAGGTCTCGACCACGTCCGCATACCCTTCTCCTACTGGGCTGTCCAGACCTACGACGACGACCCGTACGTCTTCCGCACGTCATGGCGGTACCTTCTCCGTGGGATCGAGTGGGCGCGAAAGTACGGCCTCCGCGTCAATCTCGACTTGCACGGCGTCCCTGGGAGCCAGAACGGGTGGAACCATAGCGGGCGTCTAGGGGCGATAGGCTGGTTCAACGGGACCAACAGCGCACAGAACGTCCAGCGGTCGGTGGACGTGCATGACCGGCTGTCCAAGTTCTTCGGGCAGGAGCGGTACCATAACATCATCTCGCACTACGGGCTGGCCAACGAGCCCAAGATGACGGTGATATCCACGCCCGACGTGATAGAATGGACCGAGTCGGTGTACAGCATGGTGCGCGCCAACGGCGTCAAGAACGCCATCGTGGTGTTTGGCGACGGCTTCCGCGGGCTCGGCAACTGGCAAGGGGAAATGACGGGCTACGGGGACAACATGGTGCTTGATGTGCACCAGTACGTCATCTTCAACAGCCAGCAGATCGTGTTCAACCACAGCGAGAAGGTCGAGTACGCCTGCCGCGGCTGGACGGAGCAGACGGAGCAGTCCATGGACACGAGCACCGGGTTCGGCCCCACGATGGTGGCAGAGTGGTCGCAGGCCGACACGGACTGCGCCCTGTACCTCACCAACGTCGGCTGGGGCAACCGCTGGACGGGGACATACGACACCGGCAACGCGAGCGACCCCAACAACGCCCTGACGCCCAAGTGCCCGACCCAGGACGGCTCCTGCTCCTGCGCCAGCGCCAACGCCAACCCGAGCGACTACAGCGACGAGTACAAGCAGTTCCTGCTCTACTTTGCCGAGGCGCAGATGGACAGCTTCGAGAAGGGCTGGGGCTGGTTCTACTGGACCTGGTGGACCAGCCAGGGCAACTGGCAGTGGAGCTACAAGCGGGGGATGCAGGCCGGCATCCTGCCCCAGAAGGCCTACGACCGGACGTTCCACTGCAACTCGACACAGATCCCGAATTGGTCTCCAGGTCTGCCTGAGACGTACTAGTCGGGAGCAAAGACGAGGGTGGTGGTGACACGGCTTTTGGGGGGAGTAGGTTGTACATGATTGATGATTAGGGTATACCTATGTGGAAACGCGGTGGGCAGCGTTCTTCATGATTTTCTGGCATTGCAAACGGCGTAGATTAAACAGGAATGGCCGGATGGCCTTCAAACTCTTCCAAGGCATTTTGTACATAATCAACATCCTCTAGAGACAACTTTAATTATGGAATACAATGATAGAGTGTCTCTTCCAGCGTTCAGCAGTCGCTCAAAATGTCAATTTGGACAGGCCCCAGGGCCAGCCAACATACGTCCAACTGTGCAAAATGCCGTAGTAGTTAGTCACTGACAGTCAAGAAGACTCTTGCAAGATTTAGGGGTGAGTGCCTTTGATCACTGCTGCAGGTCCTGCTTTCTGCTACGATTGCATTTATATCGTGGAGAGTGGAAGGGAAAAAATGCAAAAAGAGATTAAAAAATGCAAAAAGACCCTCCGAAGAGTCAGAAAACACCTCCGTCTTTTGCAGACCATCGCTGATGTTTTACTGGTTGCCGACTCAGTTTGACCTGAACACGGGATTTACAGCGCCGTAAGTCGAAACTTCGCTCCTACCCAATGCGCTACTTTGCCGGATGATTTCAGGTGGAATTCCAGGTTTATGTGGTCGCCAGCTTGAGTTGGGACGGTTTTTGGGGGGGGGGGGGGTCTGCTTAGCCCAGGAAGATGTGATTGCAGCGAAGGTCAGAGGTTCAAGTCAGAAAATGTTCAATTTTTTCTCTCTAAGTCTAGTCAAGTCTCGGCGATGATGACTGCAACCAGCACGTCATGCCAACGAGTGTTTACGTCAAAATCAGCCCCAACATATCTACAAGCTTTCGACAGCCGTAGAATCGCCTATGGACTCGTGTCTAGACGAGGGCGGTATGTCCCGTACTAGTGGTACCTAGATCTGTTTCTGTCAGCCATGTGCCCAAGGGATATGCTTCAACAATGACTGAGAACGTAGAAGGTGGCGATATCAGTTCGTGGAGCCTCTGTCAAAGGCGATTTCATCAAGGCATTTTGCTATGAAGACCGTCGTGATAAAATTTTATGATCATCATTTTGTCGCAGGGGTGGGAGGGAGATGTATAGAGAAGTAGTCGCTTACCATAGTCAACATGTCAAGAGCTTCACATAGATGCCAGCATGCACCAGATTATCACTGTTTCTGATGAGATTGTTAGCGCCCATCTAATCCAGTGCATGTGAGAAAGATGAGGTTGCGCCTGGTGTTCAGCAGTGACTGTTATCATCTGCGCTCGAAAGCTCTGACATATGCTTGTCATTGTTTTTTGTCAGGTCATCATTAAGGTGTAGAGAGTGGCTAGCTCTTTGGCTTGGGCGACAAGGAAACAGAGATTGATGAACCTACCATATGAAATCATCTGGGAGCTGAAGAGGCGGGAGCAAAAACACTATCTGCTTCAAGGAATGTCAGCAAGCTGCGCCTTGAAGGTATGGGTGCAAAAGGTGCGAGTTGAGTGTCTCTGTCAGGAAATGCATGAATGGTAGGTTAAATATGTTGTCTGCATCGGAAACCCGAATAAGACTCGTCATCTAAAATCATCAGGGAAACGGAGAAGGGTCACAGATGTGGAAGAAAGGAAGCATGTACGTACTGTCTTTAGTAACTGAGATCATGCCTCGTCAAGGCCTCGCGAGCCCCAAGTGCCCGGACGAAACCGTTGCACGAGGCTCATCAAGTATCCCCACGTCGGCCCACGGCTATTCATGCCCGACATTGTCAGAGATCTGGGTGTTGACCCAAGTTAGCAAAGGTGGACGCTCCGCGGTCGCTTCAGCCCATGGTGTCGATTCGAATCAGTGGACGAGGTTTTCTAGGCCTGTCGCAAAAATGGCATATCTGCTCATGAAAATATTTCGGAGCCCAGTGCCGTTTCATCAGGATGAATGTTGAGGAAGGAAGAGGAGATGGTCGTACCATACAAGCAATGGCAGTCGGGCCTGAGGTTCCAAGTTAGCACGACGCGCGAGAACAAGAACCAAACAGAAGATCATATCCCAAGACAGTAATCAGAAACAGCCATTTTTGTCGTCAAAGAATTCTCAGTCGGTAATTCCAACTTGCCGAAGCAAAGTAAATGTTCATCAGATAAAAGGATCGTGGGGAAAGTAAAACATCCACATACCGTCTCGACGAAGGCCCGACGCAGGCAGGTTCTACGATCACGGAGGCATGTCGACGTGGAGGATAACTCGAGCACTAACTTTCAAGGCGTTAGCTTGATGCTGCAGACTGGCAGTGTGGTTTGATGAATGCGCAAGTCGTGCTGAAAGTTCAGACTGACGTTACAATTTCGGTCTCATTCCATTTAGGTCGAAGACTCTAGTTTGCGGTTTTGGTGTTGTCATCAGGAAGACGGCGGGGGGGTAGAAGAAAAATGCTGGCTTACCTCGAGTTTCGCACGCGATGCGCGTGGTTTGATGTTGGGAAAGGAAAAGGTCCATTGCAGAGACTTTTTTTTTCTTGCCGTTTTGAAGCAAGACGGCGGAGCCAAGGTGGCCCAAGCTCCCTAGCCGCTTTTGTGGGGCGCCGGTCAGCTGAGTTGGCGTTTGGCCGCGACCACCCGACTCCATATCAATGCATCACTAAGCCGCGCTCCAACCGCGTCGGCCCCTGTGAATGAGGCTTACATCAATCTGGCTTGAGAACCACAACACCAGGACGCCACCGTCACTATGCCTGAGATTGCCGAAGGCAAGTAATTCTGGTCCTATAGAATTTCCAAAATTTGCTAACAGAGATGTTTAGTCGCGAGATGTGTACATTTCCTCCGCCAGCATCTGGTTGGAAAGAGAATCTCCAAGGTCACCGCCGTCGATGACAATAATGTATTCGGCAAGGTCGGTACGTCCGGCCCAGAGTTCGAGAAAGCCTTGAAGGGCCGTACGGTAAGGGAGCGAGCCACGATGCCGTTCACGCAGATAAGGTGCTAAGTCTCACATAGGTCCGGGCGGCTGGTACTCAAGGGAAATATTTCTGGCTTGAGCTTGATCAAGCGCCACACCCTGTGATGCACCTGGGCATGACGGGTAAGTGACAGAACAGGTACAGTACTGAGCAAGGAAGAATCCTGTTGACAGTCATAGGCTGGGTCCACATCCAGAATGATCGGACCGCGTACACCAACTACTACAAGAAAATGAACCCAGAGGAAGAAGAACAGTGGCCACCGAAATACTGGAAGTTCCAGATTGAGACTGAGGGCAGCCCGGCAGTCCGCGTAGCATTCACCGATCCCAGACGGTAAGCATATATCCAGGGCGATCGCCAGTGCAAGAAGAGCAGGCAGATTTGCTATGCATTCCACCCGCTCGTGATCCAATGTACAATATCCGGACCAATGGATGCTGTGCGCATCAGCATCTTCACACCTGGCTTTCTCCAACACAAGTTCCACCATGTATACACGGCCGTTGACATATTTAGGTTTGGGCGAGTCCGTCTCGTCGACTGTCCCGGTGACCAAATTCGCAAGACCAGTCCTCTCGTGGAGAACGGACCTGACCCGGTAGTCAACAAAGACGTGTTCACGGAGCAGTATCTGAGGGAGAAGATGCGCAAGAAGCATGTCCCTCTCAAGGCTTTCATCTTGGATCAAGCAATGATCAGTGGCATAGGCAACTGGGTTGCCGATGAGAGTCTGTACCACGCAAGGCTTCACCCAGAACAGTACAGCGACGACTTCACAGACGAGGAGATCAAGCGGCTTCACGATTCCATCACGAATGTCTGTCAGACAGCTTGTGACTTGCTCGCCGACTCGGACGAGTTCCCCGATGACTGGCTGTTCAACCACCGATGGGGAAAGGGCAAGAAGACCGCGAGCGCGCTTCCCAACGGAGAGAAGCTGGCTTTCATCACGGTCGGAGGGCGGACTAGCTGCTACGCGCCAAGCCTACAGAAGAAGACCGGCAACGTCGCGCCAGGCATCAAAGAGGAGCCACTTGAGAACGGCGACTCGGAGGAGAAACCGAAGAAACCGAGGGGCAAAATGACGAAGGCGCAGGAGCCTGACGAGGTCCCAGACCCTGTGAAGAAGTCTAAGGCCAGGAAGTCCAATACCGACGCTGCTGATGATGACGACGACGAGGATCAGCGGCCGCGGAAGAAGAGCAAGGTGAAGAACAATGACGTAAAGACAGAACCTTCGGCTTCCAAGTCAAAGACCAATAAGAAAAAGAATGGCTCGGCGGTGGAGGAGGACACAGGCAGGCGACGATCGGCGAGACTTAGCAGAGGTGCCTAAGAATCGGGTCGACCCTCTGGCTGATGAGATACTTCTCCCAGGAGAGGACGTGTACCATCGAACACCGAGTTTCGTCATACTTTCTGAAGGTTTTCGACCAGGGCCGGTACAAGAGATTTGTGAGATCTGTGACTCGTGTATTCGTGCCCTAGATAGAGTTGGGGATAGAATTGATCTGTGGATCGAAGCTGACGAATGGGGCTGGGCTAGGCTGGCCAAGTCTACAGTGTGCTATCCTCTCACGCATCCACTCTCCCGGCTCGAAATCTAAACGCTCACCACGATTGGCAGAGCTGCCTCGCCCTATGACCGATCTGACTTGTCACCCTTTCCCCTTCATGATGGATTCAGAGTCCTCGTATGGCTTCATCTTGGACTTCGACGCACATGTAATAAGCTTTGTCTTAGAGAACATGTATCATTAGGCCCGGGATATGAGACAACCGAATAAGTTGCGACCCCGGTGATCAGAGATCCACAGATTAGGGTTCTGATGGGATATCCGGCGGGAAAGTACCGAACTGTGCCATGAGATAGAACTGATCCGCCTCATCCAGTTTCTCATCGTTTTCCGTCGCCTGGCTCATCATACGGAAATCTACAGTCATTTAGCCTCTTACCCTAGGGTACTCAAGTACAATGTTGTCTATTTCACGCCAGATACTTACAATCGATGTAGTGTCCAGGTGTGGAAGTCATATAGAGCTCAGCCTCCTCGGTGCCCGAGGCGTTCTCGAAGGTGTGGATGGCCCGGGGAGGGACGACCATCACGTCACCCGGGGAGACTGGAACCACATTAGCAATCCGTGTCCTTCAAGGGTCCTCTTACACAAGGGGCTTCTGGTCACATACCATCCATGCTACCGTCGGGGACGATGAAGCGGACCGTCCCTAAGCCACACTTTATATTAGACAACGTCCCCATCCCGAAGCAGCATCAAGTGGCCCCACACCTTTCGTCACGAAGAACAGCTCATCGTGGAAGCGGTGCCAGTGCATAGGCGGGCCCTTGGCCCCCGGCGGGATCATCAAGAGCACCGCGCCGACGCGGTTGTCGGTGCGAGACCCGTCCTCAAAGACATAGCAGGTAATGGGACCCAGCGTGAGGACCTCGGCGTCCTCCCTGCGGAAGAGCTTCACGGGCACCGGGCCGCGGTTGGCGGGCATCCTGGCCAAGACAAGACAGCTGATAGCTGTAAGCAAGGGGGCGAATAGGGGGGCCGGAGGATTTATGGCTTGTGACTTCGGAACTGAAAAAAAAGTTTACTATGGGCTGTTGTCTTAGTTGTGCATTGTGTAGCTCGCTCGGTGGTGTGCGCGGTTGTGCATGTACGAGTTGCCCCTGCTTGTCTCCTCTCCCCTGGTTACATATGCATGCGAGTTGTTTCGTCCGACCGCTCGGATGGTAACCTGCGCTTTGACTTGACCTGTGGTATTCCGCATATGTCTAGTGAGAGATGACGTCGCTCTTCCCATAGCGGGCCTACATGATACTGTGTAGTGGTTTGGCATTGCTCAAAATTCCTTTGTTGGTAATTGTATAGCAGATTGTCTCTGATACGAGAGGAGATGCGCGCAACGTTATAGACGGCAGAGTGATGCAGGAGGTTGTTTAGCCGGCCGTATAAGTCCGGCAACTATATATGCCGTCCGTTCCGCAGCACTCGACATATTCGAAAGAGCCGATGTCAGATTTGTTCTGAAGTGAGCAAGCGAAACCTTAATGGTCGCATACCGTACGAGTTTATCTTGGGGACCCGTGGACAAGAGAAACGCACGTGCTGGTGAAGCAGGGGCTCTTTCTTGGGCTCTGGCTCCTTGTGAAAACGCCGGCGGCGACAAGGCTTTGGATCTGCGAGCATGGCGCTCCCCCCACCCCGACAAAAAGCAACAGTCTGGAGACCCGGCATGACTTTAACGAGGTCGCGGAAGTCTACTTGAGTGTTATCCATGGGGTTCGGAGAGCAAGACAGCAGAGGCGGCCATGCACTGGGGTTCCGTCGAACGCCTGAGCGCCCTGATCTGCCGAGTATTCCTTGGCTGGGTCAGGAAAAACAATGATGCTCGTGAGCTCTACGCTGGATGATGTACAAGCAGGCAGGCAGTCAGGCAGAATGGCCAGTTATCATAGGCGCAGCAATAAGTTGCATCCGGTGGCTGAGGCGCCACGACGATTCATGGGAGGCCGGACCAGCAGCCGCATCGATACACGACAGGTAGATTATCGGAGCCCCTTTATTACGGAAGCGGCTTGCGACGCCCGACAGATCTCGCGGCGTCCTGGGCCACATGTTCTGCGGGCGATAACGGGGCAAAAGAGCACCCGTGGCCGGATGGCGGCCAATGATTTGTGATCCTACCCGACGTGTCAGGTGGAAGAGCCGACACGGCACATCCTCAGGGGGTGTGGGGGATCAGATCTCGTGTAGACTTCACGCGCACTTACACGATCCATCAAATCGGTCCAGGAGGGCTCGGCGGGAGCTGGGACCGGAAAGCCCCCGTGTTGTATCCACCGTGATGTCGACACCGTCTCCGCTGCGAACTTTATCGGAGGGGGGGAGGTTTGAACAAGCCCTGCCCGGGTTGGGACTCAACCCACTTGCGGGACAAATGTTGACACGAATTGTCTCGGCACCTTCATCATTATCCTGACTCCTGAGACCTCTCGATTCACGTCGTTGGAGACTTTGAACCACATCGCGGTGGTGTGACCCGCCGAAGAAATATATAGATTTTCGGGATAAGGTCCGTCTAAGAGGTTGTTTGTACTTTTGTGGCTAGTCTAAGAGCCTGCCCAGACACGTCCGTTGAAATCTATTGCGACTATGGCTTTTCCCGAGCTATATTTGTTTTTTTGTGGATCTTTGACAGAAGTAGATAATTGTATATATGTATCTGATCCCTACAATCTGAGAGCTCGGATGATGACGTGTGCCGATGTCAAGCCATCGCCATGAAACTTCATGTTGCCTCGCGCTTTTTCTTTTACACGCGAGCAATTTAACACGATGTGAAAAATTTGACAAAGATGGGTATCGTTGGAGCCTAATAGCACTATGCCTAAGAGCAAAGAAAATGATGCCTCCGTCCCGTCAGATGGGAACAACCGAAATGCTGTGACCCCAATAGGCCTGCCTAGTAAACTCCCGTGAATGCTGTTGTGGTATGCTGTGATGCTGAGAACTGCCTCAGAGCAGATGCGCCCGCTTGAAACTCCATTGTTGCCTTTATTTGTTTACCTCCATAAGGTCAAACTGCCTGAGCAGCTGTTGGTGAAGCAGTAACGCCGTTGTGGATGCTTTCCGTTGAAAAATGACGACCTGTTTTTGTTGCCTTGTTTATCCAATCTGCTTGACACCGACACCGAAATGGTGTGTAGAAAAAAAAACTCGGAGTGAGGTAGGAGAAGAGGCTCGTGTCTCGTGGCGTGCATGTGATGAATGTGAATCAGAAAGGACATGTTTTTGTGTGTGCTGTCCTACTCCTTCTGGTGCTGGAACCCAACCGAGTAACGGTACTCTTGGGTATCCCACTGGATGGGGATGATGGTGAGAATGTTGACGAAGGGTTTGCCGTCCTTCTTGAAGTTGGTGATCTCGGTCTGGTGCTCCTTGTTGGCCTTGACAGCCTCGCGCATCCCCTTGATGGTCTTGTGGTCGACGTACTTCCGGGACGAGTGTGGTTTGACGTTTCCGCCGGGGGCCTGCAGGAAGCGGCAATTCTTCCCCTTGATGTCGCTCATGCGGTAGCCGGTCATCTCCATGAAGGGGTCTGAGGCGTAGACGATGGGGGCGTCGGGCAGTGCCAGGTCACAGACGAGGAGGGCGACGGAGCAGTCGATAGGGCCCAGGTCGATTTGCGGGTTCGGCCTGGCGTAGATGCGGAACAGGACTGACATGACGTCCAGGCCGCTCGGGGCGTAGAGCCCGGGGTAAATCAGAGGATCAGAGGTTGTGGATGCCTCGGTGCACTGTGCAACTTGTGCCTCTCTTGACCTGCCATTCTGCTGCGTGAAGCGGTACTAGATACTTGTGTTAATACACACACATGTGCCATGAATAGAAGCCGCTAAACCCACCTCGAGAGCACATGATTCCCAGGGGTTCATGGTTGTGGACTGGGAACCAGGGGTCGGGGAGGAAGAAGGGACCTGTTCGGGGCGGCACAGCATCTTCCAGATTTCAATACGGTGAAAATGGTTGAAGTTGGTGAAAGACGAAGGGGAGGCAGTGATCGTGGAGAGAATCTACGAAGACATTGGGAACCATTTGGTAGGCAACTGGCCAGTCTTTAGGAGTAGTGCACGTAAGAGATCGAGATCACAGGCCAAGGCCATTTCGGTACCCGCAACTCTAAGAGTTTGAAGAGCAGATCCAAAGGGGAGAACAGAAAGGAGAAGATACGGGCGAGACAAGTGATCGTGGACCGGGCTAGAGCTTCGTCTGGTAATCGGGCGGACGTGTGGGACGGGTGTGTACAAGTGCACGTGTGGTGGACGGATGCAGGCAGCCGACGGGATGGGAAAGTCGAACAGCAGCAGGCGAAATGGGTCCGGGAATGCGATCGCATTTCGATGGCCGGACGGTGAAGGGCATAGGCCATGATCGCAGCAAGGTGCTGTAGGCCGGGCGATCGGGGCCGTAGCAGCAGACATGGAACAATCACTTCTACCACCTCCACGCTAGGCTGGCACGCAGCAAGGCCCGGCCTGCGAGCCAGCCTACCCTACCTCCTGCCTACCTCCTGCCTCCTGCCTACGCTTGCCAGCCTGCCAGCCTACCAGCCCACCAGCCTAACAGCCCAACTGGCTAGCTCTCGGTAGCAGAGTCGCCTTGTGCCTCCCCAGCTCCCTAATTAATTCCCTCCTGCATCCACTACTATGCGGAATTTGCCTGCTGATTTGTGCCGTGCATGGCGAGCAGCACACTATTTGCAGAAGACTGTGCAGGGACGTGCGTGTCTCGTGCTGCGGGCTTCGAAGGGCTCGATGGACACGACCAACAATTTCATCACTCGTCGTCTCTCCCGTGGTTCCGCCTGGATTCGCGGAATTAGTCAGGGCAGGGGGAGAAGAAAAGTGAGCTGATTACAGCGTCAGGTGTATAAAGCATTGACCGAAGGACGGGCCCGCCGGAATGCCCCTCGGAAACGGATCGATTGACATCGTGGCAGCGTGGTCCGTCGCTGGCGGGGGATCGATGGGTGACGATCGTCATGGAGAGCAGACGTCGTCCAGATCTGGAGCTACTGCTGTACCGAGTAGTGTAGTCTGCCTGGCTGGGCGGCCCTAGGCTGGGACTGGGGTTTGGAAGGGGCGATCTGAACCGCAGGTCAGGTACAATAGTGGGGTCACAGTGCTGAGTAGGATGCACACAGTACCAGATAGAACACAGATGTCAACCCCGATCGACCACCAACGGTCGCCACTGCCCAGCCTCCCGCATCGTGGGCGCCACTCAGGCAATTCAGGCCACTCTGATATCTGTTGTTGTTATGTGGTACACGAGACAAAGCAATCACGCCTCATCTGATCCAAACAAAGCCACATCTCGCGACCGTTCCGGCTGTCAGGAAAAAGAAAGACACATTCCTGCATGCTGCATGTGGCCTGGCGCCCAGCTGGCTGGGTACATGGGTGGGTTGCTTGGGGGTACTGTGTAGCGAGATGCTGTAGTGTACCGAGTATAGTACTAGTATACATGGCTGCTCACCCAAGATAGTATGGCCGCCCATGTCCTCCCGAGGCCTGCTACTGAGTCGTTTCTGTCCCGGGCTGTCCGCAACTCCATACTCCTGGAACAAGCCGCCATCACCCACATCTTGTTGCTTTTCGGAGCGGTGCCACCCAACAACCCCAGAGCCCCTCACTCTCGAACTGCCTTCAGGAGCTTATACTCCGTCGCGGGCGACCAGGCCCAAGCAATGAGGCTCAAGTGGTACGTAGACGGCTTCCCATCCTCACCCCACAGCCTCTCCTCAGCAATGACATCCTTCCCCTCGGGCACCAGCTCGCTCAGGGCGGTAACCCTCGCCTTGTCCCAGTCGGCTTCTCCCGGCTGGCTCTCGTCCACCAGTGTGTTGGCGAGGCGCTTCCTGGGCTCAAGCGCAACATACAATTCGGCAAATTTGGTGTCGACGCCCTTGGCCTGCTTCAGCAGCGGGAGCACCTCCTCCATGGTCTTCTTCGCGAGCACGGGCTTGAACTCGCGCTGCTCGGACCTGGCCTTGGGGTACGTCTCCCTGAGCCACTTGTCAAACACGGCCTGGGCTGCCTTGATATCATCCGTCTTCTTGGGGTGGTGCTTGGCCCGGTTGAACATGGTATTGATGGTCTGGCGCTGGTCTACGGCGCTTCTGGTTAGCGGGCTGTGCCTCTCCATCCCTCAGATCCCCCCATCATGATAATGACATTATACACCTTTGGGGCTAATCCACACACAGACATAGACACAGATAGTGGGACCATCCAAGATGCATACCACCCGGCCTGGCCAGGCGGCCGCCACGGGGTGGGATAGTTCAACGGTGAAAAAGTATATGCCATCTGCGCTTGACAGGCTGACAGGTTGAAAGGCCAATGAAAGAGAGGGATGCTTACAAGTCAGGCTCCTCTTGGAGACAAGTTCGATGGTCTTGTTTGCCGTCTCCACATCTTTAAAGCCCGTCCCCTTGAGCGTGGTCTCCGGGTTGTCATCGGTGTCTATTCCGAATTAAGGATTAGCGACTGTTCTTGGTATGCAAGTATATGCTTTGCTCCGATACGGACTGAAGCCCAGTCTGTACATGTGGTGAGGCGCACTTACACAAGTGGGACGACTTCGGGTCCTTCGAGGGCTCTGCTTCCTCTGCCTCCTTAGAGACATCCTTCTTGGAGGCAACCTTCTTGTCCTTCTTGGACAGTGGGTCCGCCCGGTTGTTCTGCTTATTTGAGGTTGCTTTGGCCATCTTGTTGATCCTGAGCGGTGTTGCTAAGGCTGGTATGGAGAGTGGTTAGCTGTTAGTTGAAGTTGTGGCTGAGGACAAATGTTTGCAAAGATGGCTGCACGGTTGATATAAAACGGTTGGTTCTACTGGTGGCACCTGTGCAAAGGCAGTGAATGAATGGATCGCTTGAAAGCGGTCAATCTCTAAACCATTATCATTAAGAATAGCCCCTGGCGTCTATCTGCAGGGTACGGCAGCAGCTCTTGTTCCTGAATGGACCGGCTGTTCTTGATGCCCACAGGCAAAGCCTGTTGCAGTTTCGACAAAGACGGCTTTGATTAGCTGCAACAGCCACAGTTGGGCGCTTGATGTCATACCCACTCAAAAAGCTGCCCAGGTACTGGTGGACAGGCTAGGGAGCTCCTGCGGGACGTCTCCTGCGGGCAATGAACTCCAGATCCCTGCTCAGCCGACACGTGCTTACATTTTAATGCAACCCACGCGACCGACGCGTCTGCCCCATGAATGAATCGGCCTTGACATAGAGAAACACCGCGATACCTGGCTAATGTGGCACTGTACGCTCAACCAGATCGCATCTTCCTCCTGAAGCCGTCCCTTTGTCGCTCAAAGAATCAATCTGCGACAAATTGTGGAAGGCGAGATTTTGACGCAGAGAAAGCTGCACTGTCGCCCACCACAAAGCCGTCCAACTGCCATCCCACCGATTCACACCTCACAATGCTGGGCTCCCAACGTCGCGCCGGGCGCAGCTCAGCGAGCAACCGGTCGCGGCAACAACCCCGGCACAACCAGCAGGACTCCCTGGACCTCCCACCGTACGAGCCGCCGACGTGTCCTCTCACGCCGGAATATATGCGCGAGCTGAACGACTTGTGCACTGGCCGCGTCAACGACACATACGAGAAACAAATAGCCAAGTCCGAGGTGCTCCTCGCAAAGAGTGTCTTACGGATCAATGAGCGGGTGACCAACCGCAGGAAGCTGGCGGCCCAGGTCGCCGCGAGGGCCGCCAAGAGGAAGCACGGCGCCGAGGACGGGGAGGCCGACGAGGCCGCCGCCGTCGCCGAGGCCGCCGAGACCGCGGCGCGTGAGCTGGAGGAGGAGACTCTTGAGTTGGCCACTCGGATCGAGGAGGCCATGAGGGAGGTGATCGACATGCAGGCCACGGTGGAGGACGAGAAGAACACGCTGAAGAACCTGCCGGAGCTGGTCACAGCGCGGCAGCAGGACCTGGCGGAGCAGGCACAGCGGGACCGGGAGGCGGCCGGCGAGGGAGGGGACGCCGACCCGCCCGAGGTCGCGGGGATCTCCACGCTGGACGTCCTCAAGGAGGCGTGCGACGCCAAGGCCGCCGAGTACGACAGGCTCAGCCCTTACGATAAGTACGCGGTCAACAACAAATACATCAACTTCAGGCAGTCGTGGCACGAGGGCCTGTACGACAACCCGGATGACATCCCGCTGCCCGACCCGACGAGGTGGTTCGACCGGGACGGGCGCCCGAGGCTCGAGGCGCGCAAGGATGACGGGCAAGGGGCCGAGGGTGCTGACGAGGATGGGGACCAGGACGGCGATGAGGAGGATGATGATGAGATACAGATCGCGCGCGAGAAGAGGTCGTTTAGGTGCCCGCTGTCGCTCGCCATCATGCGGGAGCCGTTCACCTGCAGGAACTGCAAGCACTCGTTCGAGAAGAGCGCCATCACGGAGTACATCAGGGGGCCTAACGGCAGAGGCCGGGTGGCCAAGTGCCCCGTGCCTGGATGCAATGTGGAGGTAAGTCCACTCTTGTCGCTCGCTATACATCGCCCCCTCTCCGTGGAGGTGACTGACACGTTCTGCCAGCAAATCACGCTTGATGACTTCTACTTCGATGACGTGCTACTGCGCAGGATCAAGCGCGCCGAGCAGGCTGAGAGGGAAGCGGCGGCGCGGTCCTCGGATCAGGAGGATGATGAGGGCGAGGAGGACGATGAGGGCGAGGAGGACGACGAGGACGAGGAAGGAAACTCACGCATCAGCCGCGCGAGCACGGCCAAGAGGGTCAAGACAGAGCGTCGCCGAGGCGGCTTCGTTGACTCTGATGATGAGACCATAGCTTAGCTCAATGGGAGCCAGGGTCTTGGACCTGTCACTTGGTTTCGACAGAGACCAAAACATAATGATACCCACACTATTTTTTAACCAAGCGAATGCCTTCATCCTGTACATGTCAACTCTCCCACTGCGTCCCGAGGACACGGCACGGGAACGCCAGATTACTTGGTTGCATCCTGATCAAGACACTTAACAGCTTCCGATGACCACGCTGGCCGCAATTGTACCCCCCTTATCTGATCGTACAGGAAGCCAGAGCAGAGCCACACGCGACGCTACCTCTTCTGAGGTATCCTGCGGGACACTACCTCGTAAGACAATATTCTGTGGTTATTTATTTCTCGTAGGATGCTATATACAGGAGACGTTTGTGCGAAAGCCTCACATGTAGAAGGTTGTTGAGACGGTCCTCGCGACCTATGGCAAAAGAAGGCTCAAATTGTCTGCGAAGAATTGTTGATTCAAAACTAGAGTTGCCTAAGGAATAGTATGGGGGAGGCAGCGAAGCTGCAATCCCGCGTCGCGAGAGGTATGGAGGCCACTTGGGCTGATAAGATAAGCAGAGTGCACGGACCCACTGGTTGGTCCTGCGGGCGTTCAGCCCATGGCCCTGACAGTTGTTGAATGGAGGGTAATGCGACAAATAGATTCGCCCTTCAAGAGGTTCGGCGCTGAGCACTGTCTAAACTACCTAGGTATGTATGATCTACATACTGTAGATGAGTTGCAAACACTCGAGCGAGGCAGGCTTGTCTGTCTGATTTGACATTTCCCTTTACTTCACCCAAATTTAATCACATGTACTACTGGGCCACTCGGCATGGACACAATCTGAAAGATTTTAGACTCTTTGATAAACTTCCAGATGTAAGTTGCGTTCCCAGTTGAGCCCATCTTGATTGAAATAAATCCTCTTCCTGACTCCAAGCTATGCCCATAATGATCCCCAGCCCAACACCCAGTATGGCAAAGAGCCTAAAACTGTCCAAGGATACTGGTCCTATCGCTCAAACTATCCCGTGTTTGTCCCCGAGCCTGTCCTTTTCTCTAGACTGCTCGGCCATTTGGCCTACAGAACAGTCGCATCCCGTTGGCATTCTCACTTAGCTCCAAGTATTGCGTTCATTCGATATTTTCCCTGGACTCAGCCAGACGACCCAACAGTCGAGCGCCGCCAGATCACCAAAGCCGCAATGGCGGCACAGGCGGTCGCCCCCAGCGCAACATAGAGACTCGTCATGTCCGGTGGTGGCTCCTCGCTCTTGGGGAACCCGGAGCTGGGGTTCGTCGCCGCCTCGGCCAGCGCGACGAAGAGCTCGCTGATGCTCTCCCATGTGACGCTCACGTGGAGGGGGTGAGGCATCATGAGGCTGTGGGTGTACGTGTCGGGCTGCATCTCGCAGCGCTGCGTGGTCTTGTCCTTGTCGGCCTTGAGGGCCACGTATATGGAAGGCAGCTCGTCGAGGTGCGCGAACTTCTGGCGGAGCTCGACGATGTGCGAGAACGAGTCCGGGTCCGACGAGTCGTACGTGTAGCACAGGAGGTCGCAGGCGTCGAGCTTGGCGCGGTTCTCCAGGATGGCGGGCTCCAGCTCGCCGAGCTCCTCGAGGATGAGATAGCATTGCTTCCCGCCCTGGAGCTCGACGCTGTTGACGGCCCGCCTGGGCTTGATGGTGGGGCGGTGGAGGGCGTCAAAGGGCCGGCTGAGGAAGGCATCCATGAGGGACGACTTGCCAGCCCCTGATGAGCCCAGAACATAGCACAACACAACGCCTCGCTCAACCCGACCTGGTCGCTTCCTACGCTTCCGTGCCTTGGTCACCTTCAATGCGCTGGTGATCGACTCTTTGGGATTTGAGGCCTCAAAGCCAAGGTACGCAAGGTATTCCAGCGTAGTCTTTGGCTCAAGGAAGGTCGTCATGCTCCATTGTGCCAGCCATCCCTGCAGCGTGATATGGCCCGCTTCGTTGCGAACAGTAGAGGAGGGAAACGAAGCGTCAGTCCACGACTGAGGCAGGCCGGGTGTGGGGCGGAACAATGCCGCCAGCTCCTCGCTGTTGAGCCCACCGTCGTTGTCCTTGTCGAATGTGATGAAGAGATCCACAAAGAACCGGTACCCAGCAGGACTCAGCTCCGCAGAGGCGTATTCGGGGACATCGAATTTCGGACGGAGGAAGTTATCGTGTAGACTAAGGCTGTCGGTGTAATGATGCTTCCGCAAGATGATCCATATGGTCTCATGGCGTCCCTTCTCGGCATACATCCTGTTTAGGCGAAGGAACCCTTCTAAGTCTACGCCCTTTTCCAGGTTGGTGCCGGGCGACACTTTGCCGACAGTCAATTTGATGTTATCCAGGTCCTCCTGCGACAAGGGCCGCTCGAAAGACTTGGCCTGGAAATCGTGCATCTCCTGGTCATTGAGGTAGCCGTCCTGGTCCTTATCACTCAGGTAGAATATCCTCCGTAGCGCCGACGCGCAGGCAGGTTTGAGGTTGCCCTCCTTGTAGTCGAACAGCGGGGCGATGGGGTGAGTCACGGCCTTCTGGCAGAGGAAGAAGACCTCGTTCACGTTACGGTGCTCCCTTGCGCTGGTTCTAATGCAGGAATCTATCTCACGGAACTCGTGCATCACTGGCAATATCTCCTCGTCAACGACCTGTGCTGTGTTTCCGTCGCCCGTCAGGTCCGACTTGTTCGCGCACAACACAACAGGGACGTTAACTCCGAGGGAGCGGAAGTAGGGCATCCAGAAAAGCGCAACCCTCTCATAGCTGTAGTGGTCGGAGTAGACAAGCAGGATGACATTGGACTTCCGGATCTCTTTGCGCAAGGTGTTGCGGTCTTGTGGTCGGGCAGATGTGTCAACGATGGTCGTAGTAACATTCTCTGGGGTCCCTATGCTCGGTGGAAGGGATATCTGGGGCAGGACGGCCTGTACGTGCGCGAAGGTCAGCGTGCTGATCGAACATACGAGGAGTTTCCAGCACGGGGAGTCGTATGAGTCGCGGACGCTCACGCACCTGGATCTTGTTGGAAACGAAGACGTCCTTTACAAGCGACGCAATCAGGCTGGACTTGCCTGTCCCCTCATCACCGCACACGCAGATACGCACTGATATCTAAATGTCAGAGGGTCATCATATAAGGGGCTCGTCTCGGGAAACGGACCTGTCGCCATGGCAGCTGAGGTGGCGGAGACGGCGTTGGAACTTGGAGGAGCTGCTCATGCCATTCCAGGTGGCGGACCGGCAGCGAGGTGGCACGTTGTTGGAGGCGATGAGCGATCACAAATTTATTCTAACGGTGGACAGCCAGACTGAAACAGAGTGGTGCTTTGTTGTGGAAGTGAGGAAGAAGAGCAAGCAAAAGTATGGCGTTGTAGTGGGCAGAGGTGTGGGAAAGCTACCCACATTTGTCCACGTTGGGGTCACGCAGTGCAGGTGAGTGGTAGCTCTCAGCAATTTCCGAGAGCTTCGCAGCCAACCACGAGCTGATCAATCGAGGCGTGACCATCTCAATTTTGGGACCCATCGCTCTAGCTCTTCCTCCGCCTCTCTTTTGATCTTATTTATCTACGCACATGGAATGCACACCGGCTGCGGCGGGTACGCAGGCACTTGAATGCTGGCCTTGGACTGGACAGGAACTATACCAACGCGCCCGTCTCTCCGCCACGCCGAGTGTTGGGCTTCTAGAATGCACGAATGCATAGATGCACGGATGGCTTGCGCTGGGGACCAAAGTCATTGAACGCCGTGCTGAGTTGCTGTTCCCACCTACGTAGCTGCTCGATGTTCCTGCATCCACACCTAGGTAGTGCGAAGACTATGACGGATCTAGATGCCATATGGGTCAAGATATCAAGAATCTATACTATTTCTGGATGCTTAATAGACTGGCGGATCTCTTACGTGCAGTTTGACAGGCCGAGACAAAACCCCAGCAGACCCCGTGGCCCTCTTCTCCAAGCTCCAACAAGCTTCCCCTCACTCCATCGCGGCTACCCCACAAGATCCATGTGGGTGACCAGGCCGATAGGGCAATTGGCACCTGGGCACTTGCGAAAGTAGGGATCACGTCCGAATTCCCAAGGGTGATCCCCAGGATCAGGGGCTACCGACACGACGGGCCCAACCCAAAGGCCCAATGGGTCCCGAGGTCTTGTCCTTCTAACCTGCCAACATCTCTCATCTCTCTCCGACACCTCGAACGTCGTCTCGTCTTGTTTGCCTCCCATCTCGTCTTCCACGCCTCTTTGTAAATAGTCGTCGATATTTGCTCCTCCTCACCCACTCCCAGCGACCATTTTGAGACCCATCAAAGGACTGTGAACGCGCAATTGGTTTCCTCCGTCCGTCCGATCCGTCCCCCTTCGGCCAGGAACGTCACCGTAATTGGCAGGTCGATCGAGCTGCGCGCCCAGCCTACACAACCCCCGACGGCCTGTCAGACTCGTGCCTCTGTCGTACTGTGGCTGCCACACTGCACAGCTCATTGCATATACATAGTCTAGCACCATCTCCTCTCGATCCCACCAACGACCGTCAGCCGCGGCCGCGCGCAACCGGTTCAGGCAGACAGACCGCAGCCGAGGACTGCCTGTCGTTATATTACACCACCCACCAGGGGGTCCGCTCTATTGCATGGGGCTCACTCCATAGATAAACACCACCACCCGTGGAATACAGACATCTCGCCAAGAGAAGCACCGTCCAGTACCACACCCATCAGGAGCTCTCACTCGTCCCACCGGCGCCATGTTGTGAGCTTATATTCCCATTTTACAATCTACCCCTTCCTTGTCCATCGTCCCACCCCGTTTCGCGGAAGCGCCACAAAAATGACGGACGTCTCGCTGATCACTGCCCTCAGCGTCCTACCTCCTCCCCCGCGGTATCCCACCCAGGCCGCATACAATGCCGCCGTCGGCTCGGGCCATATCCCGCCCATGATCGAGACCAACAATATTCTCTCGAACCCAGAGGACCACTTCCTGGTCGGAGAGGGTGAGCCCCGTCCAAGACCCTCCTATCTGCGGGCCTCGCACACTTGCTGCTGCGCGCGCGAGGCTAAACCGGTCTGACATCACCCAGGTACCTACGTCCTCAAGGAAGACCTGCATCTCGCGACCCCTCCACCACATCCATCCGAGGCACCCGTCATAAACCCAAACCCACTCTCCACGAACCCACAGCCCGCCACCGCGGGTACGAGCGTGTCGCTGATCAACGTCGACGCCCGGCACTCCCCCTTTCAGTACAGAGGGGGCATCACAGCAGCCAACCTCGGGCAGTCGAGCAGCATACAAGAGCACCCGCACGAGGACAACTCGAGGGATCCGACCATCAGCGGCAGTGAAGGGCGCGCAAATTCCAGCGATGCGCCCTTATCGTTAGGCTCGGCCCCTGCGTTCGGGGAGGGGACTGCCTTGCTTGTTGCGCCGAATTCCAAGGATGCTAACAAGCGGAAGAAGCCCAAGAATAACATGACGAAAAGCAACTCTTCGTTCATCAGCAGGGTTATCGTTAATGAGAACCTGAGCAAGAGGATACAAGAGCGCCCGACGGACGGCGTATGGGGCTTTGCCAATATCAACCGCGCATTTCAATGGCTGGATATGTCGGCTTCCAACAAGGTTGGTATCTCCTGTTGTATCTCTGCCAAAGGACTTGTGGGCTAGAGTCTGTGCTGACCATTTGTAGGCCGAGTATCTCACCAAGGTCCTCTTCACCAAGGCGCATTGTCTTTGTCATGATGTGAACCACATCACGAAAAGTATAAACCACGTGGACGTGATCATGGGCTTCTCTACTGGCGAGATAATTTGGTGGGAACCCACCTCACAACGATATGCGCGTTTGAATAAGAATGTAGGTCCCCCGGCGAGTGCTTATTCAGGTCCAAGCTGACGACCACAGGGCGTCATAAATGGAACCCCCGTCTCCCAGATCAAATGGATACCAGGCTCAGAGACCCTTTTCTTGGCATCACACATGGACGGGTCTCTAGTGGTTTACGACAAGGAGAAGGAGGATGCCATTTTCACATCAGAGCAGGAGAATGGTGAGGTCGAGGCAACCAACGGCACGAATGGAGTCCACAGCCCCAGGAACGATATCCAGGTTCAGAAGTCGGTCAACTCGAAGAACCAAAAGTTCAACCCTGTCGCAGCGTGGAAGCTCTCAAACCAGCGGATCAATGCCTTCTCCTTCTCACCAGATAACCGGCGGCTGGCTGTGGTGTCGGAGGACGGCTCGCTGAGGATCATCGACTACCTCAAGGAAGAGTGAGAAGCCCAACTGCCAGGACTCCGCGCTGATCTCCTTAGCTGACTAAATCTCACAGACTGGTCGATCACTTCCACTCCTACTACGGCGGACTCATCTCCGTCTGCTGGTCACCAGACGGAAAATACGTCCTCACAGGGGGGCAGGACGACCTCATTTCGATCTGGCACGTCCCCGACGCCGTGCTCATCGCTCGATGCCAGGGCCATCACTCCTGGGTGACCTCCGTAGCCTTCGACCCCTGGCGATGCGACGACAAGAACTACCGTTTCGGCAGCGTGGGGGAGGACCGCCGGTTGTGTTTGTGGGACTTCAGCGTCGGCATGCTGCACCGGCCCAGGGCTGGGACGGGCGCCGGCGCAGCATCCGTCCGCCAGCGGGGCTCGATTGCCTCCCGGCTGACTACGTCGCAGCTCACACGCGCCGAGACACAAGGGACATCGGCGAGCAGGGTACGGTCTAACTCGGCGATCTCAGCCGGAGTTGATGGCGAAGACGGCTTCGTTGGACCGCACGCCGTCGAGCCCAGGGCGAACACCGCGATCCTGCCGCCCGTGTTGACAAAGGTTGTGGACACGGATCCGTTGTGCTGGTTGGAGTTCACAGAGGAGGCCATTGTGACGAGCTGCAAGTCTGGTAAGGGAAATACGCATCCGCCCCCTCCTTCTACCTCGTGCGTCCCGTCCGTCGCATCTGCTCCGCCCACTGACCGTCTCTTTCCTTCAAGGACACATTCGCACCTGGACTCGCCCATCAGACTCGACGGCGCCCGTCGGTGAGACCTCGGCCAGTTGAGAAAGCGAGAACATTTGTTGGGATGGCATCAGCGCGAGAATTGGTCCGCCAAAGTTCAAGTAGCAGGTTTTTCGGGCTATGCCATATCCGCTATGCCGCGCAGGGACACATGTGAGACGGGCCTGATAGGCAATGCTAATCCAGGCACATGAATCCCAGGCCTTGCATAAGCACTACAAAGCCTTTTCACATGCTTTTGACTCTTGCGTTTCGTGAATGGCTCGGAGTGTGCCCGATAGAGTTGTCATCGCTGTGCCCTGGCTGTCCCCACCGGAGAGCTTCAGATCCGCTCCTGTTGAAGGGGCGACATGCATATATGTGTGTGAACTTTTGTTTCTCGTTGGTGGTAGGGGCCCCATCCCGCGTCGCCCATGGCTCCGGTTCGAGCCGCAATATCCTACATGCGGTTGATCTTGGGGACCCACACCAACTGGTCGAGAACGTTGCAGGACTTTTGACTCAAGACACGCCGGTCTGTCGAGCTACCAGCGGGCGAGGCTCGCGGAATGTCGCCGAGGAACCTCCTTAGGGGGGCGGGTTCCTGATCGGCGCGATCCATCTATCGAACTGTGACAGCTACTGCAGCCCTCGGCGGGCTTGAATTTTCTTTCTCCGACTCACCGAGTCCCTGAGTATTTTGGGGCCAGAGGGGGGAAGGGGGACCTGCTCGAGCTAAGCTCCTGGAGCTGTGCTCGGAAACACGTGGGTCCTTTGTTCCTCGAATTGTCAGAGTGGGACCCGGGAGATATCGCAATGGCAGATGGATCTCGTCCCGGCCACCCGACCCACAGCGGGAAAAGCATACTGCAGCCTCAGCCTCTGAGCCTGCAGCGGTCAATCTAGTGCAATCAATGGTGGTGCGATTGGTTGTCAGCAGCGACGGAGCAAAAGTGCACTGAGAGGTCTCAGCCTGCCTGTCCGGGTCTGTCCCGCATGAGGATCGATCAAGAGGTGTGCGGCGCCGGGCACATTGTTGGCATATGAGAGGCTGCATTGTATGTTTGTGGATTGACTGCGCCGGATTCGTGACCTGCCGAATTCTTAGCGCGAGGAATCGGTCAAAGGAAGTATTGATTGTATCTGTACACGCGCATGGCGCTAAGATGTCTCGAAGCAAAGCCTGCTTGAGGGTTGTCGAGCAGACGGTCTCAGCACTGACGCGCTCGTCATCGTGACAGATCCAGATAGGCGTCGACGTCCAGAACAAAGCCTTTTTTGGCACATCCCAAGCAGCTAGGAACAGGGATGACGCGTTAAATCATCTGCAAGGTTTTGCTTAAGAGAGCCGCTGTTATCAGGCTTTGGCGGGCTGCGGCAAAACTTTTCGAGCGTCGAACATGTGAAAATGATGACACTGCACTGCCTGCTCATAGTTTGCCTGCTCACCGTGGACGCTGCCGCATATTTGAATTTGCACGCATTTCATGGTCGGTTTCGTCGACCGTGTACCTACCCCTTGCGGCTCACTGTAGTGAGACAGACAGACAGACAGACAGATGCAAGCAAGATGTTGTGCAACCAGCAAGGCTGAGGACCGATCTTTTGTCATGTACCCACCTACGCTCTGTTTGGTTAGTGTCGATCTTTAGAGGATATACGAGCGGCCGAGCCGTGAGGCCGTTGATAAGGAGCGATGGGAACGGTGGACCCGGCCAGGACGGGTGCCGCTGGACAATCAATGCGGCGCAGGACCGGCGTCTCGTGGCGTAGATTGCTTCGTAGTAGTAGTAAGCCCGGATAGGCAGCCTGCCGACAAATCCTGAATCGTGACGGTGGCGGGAGGCTACACACGCCGCCTCTCGCTCTCGCGGCAATCAACCGTCGACCCTTAGCTTCGGCAAAGCCCAGGCGGAAGCGGTCGACCCAGATGCCTGCCGATAATGCAAGCTGCACCTCAAACAAATGACTTATGAAACTTGTCTGCTGAGGCTCACAGCTGAGTCTAAAGCACTCTGGGCGAACTGGTTGTGCTATCAAGAAGTTGACATGTGCCCGTGTGTTTCCTTTTTTTCGGCAGATCTTGGAATCGTTCCGATTGACACAGGGGCCAGGTATCAGGGCTGGACTTGTGGTGGGCCGACCCAGAGTCGGTCAATTAATCGTCGAATTCTGGCCGAGGCAGCGGTTGTTTTGAGCGGTCTGGCGGTTCCCTCAATCCTCGGACACAACGGTCAGGGCTTGTCAGGCACAAGCGTTCGTCTGGATTGCCCCAATACTGATGTAGCGCGTGGTTTCGGCTACCGGTTAGGTTTTGCCTGCGAGATGCGGTTGAACATGCTCTCTGCGCCGGTCCCGTGCGCTCCAATCGGCTACGGACCACCCCCTACATGTGGCGTGGTGTCACCCCGAACGAAGGTCATGCTATCGCCTGCTTTTCTCCGGAGGGCAGCGAGGCCCGCCGGTCACAAGGCCGCGGCGTGCAGGTTGAGACCCCGCGATTATGGGACGGTGAGGCGTGTATTTTATATATATCGGCTGCAAGAGCAGGTGCAAGCCGCCGGGGGAGGTGCATCGGCTCATTAGCACGGGTTGGCAGACAGGGCGGATAAGCAGGCTGGGCTGGTGGAAAAGAGGGCCATCAGGCGAGGGCTCGGAGAGATCATGCCACTGCCCCGTGACGCGGGCATGGGACGACAGTGTGGCACCTTCTAGGCCCTCTGACCGTTGGCGACGAGTTACAGACCAGGCCTCGTGCAGCAGGTGCTGTCTTGCATGCAGAGCCACTGTTGATCACAGCCGGGCAAACATGGAGGGTGTCGCCATGGCAGCTGCGCAGCTGGGTCGAGGCATCTGGTATCCGTGGAGGGCTCCGAACTGCCGCCGCTCGAATGCCATGCCCCGTCTTTCCCGCCCAATTCAGCAGTCCCACGCTGCAACGTAGATCTCGCCCTGGCAGCGTGGCAGGCGGAAGGCCACCAATGAAGTCCTGGTCATTTGCATGTACGGAGTACTGTACAACACGCGCTGCACGGTCCGCAATACCACAGTAGTATTGCTGAACGGGGTCGACTCGCTTGCGCCACTCGAGGAGGCATAAGCGAGAAGACTGCTGTTGTTCCGGCCGTATCGCGACGGCTTGACGGCAGGTGCCAAAATTGAAGCAAGGTGCCTCTCGTATCGAGAACAGACGCCACAAGCGAGGGGAGGAAGGCCAAAATGGAGGTCAGATCGCATCTAGATGTTAGCCCAGCCGTGGGGGCCCTTGGGGGTTGGGCGAGCCAACAGACCGCCGGGGCCTAGATTTGACGGGCCAGCCAGCGAGCGAGACGAAAGGCAGATACACTAGATGGAAGCTTGAAGGAAGGATAATGGAAGGATTCCCGATAAGGAAACCACTGCAGATTGATAGTGACGGGCTGGCCTGGGCTGACGCTGGACCCACTTTGCAAGTACCTAGGTTCCCGTGTACTGTACAGTACTCCGAACATGCAGAGGTGGTGACAGCGACGAACGGAAGGGCCGATCAGCAATCACCCCTTGCCGTCATGACCCGCCAGAGAGGCGAACGGGGCGCCTGTTCGGGCCTGTCAGAGTGGGATTTCAGGATTCGCCAGAGCACAGTCCTGGCAGTCTTGTTTTCGTGGGTTGGGTTGGTATCAGGGTTCACGGCGGAAATGCGGAATAGTCCGGAGATTCAACGGCAAAAGATACTGCCAGACGGGCCCAAGTGGCAGATTTGGCTTCCACCCATGCTGCCATGACGCTCGCGGTTCCGGCTGGAACGAGCGCAAACCTGAAGTGTATCGAGAACGGTGCCGACCCCGGCGACTCTTGACGCCCTGATGGATGACGCCAGGAGTCAAAAGTCAGTTCCAAGTATTCGGTACAAGTCATTCAGCCCACCCACACACGACGTCTTTGATACCATCACTGCAGAGTGACACAGCCCCCATCTGTACTCACACATACCCACTGGGTGAGCCCAGGTACCTAGGCACCTAGGTAGTCAGTCGGCTGGCTGCTTTGTCGACATCGGGCGTAGAAACTCTGATGCAGCCGTCGGCAGGGGCCTAAATTCTAGTAAGGGGTTTGTTTTTTACCGCGAGAAAGCCAGGGAAGGCGGGAGTAGAGCGGACGGGCGGGCGCTGGGCGGGGCAGGGGAAGCCCCTCGAGTCCAAAAGTGACTAGGATGCTTGCAGTAAAGTGATTGTTGACCTGGTACTATCAGTATGTGGGACACAACATCGCTTATTATTGTGACTGAGCGGTGCTGCTTGCTGCTTGGCCTGGCCGCGGCCGTTCTTTTGTACCGGTACCTGTCACCTGTTCCCATCTCCCAGTTCCCAGTTCCCAGTCAGCAGATCGTAGACGTGCTTGCAGAAAGCCGATGCGTGCATATGGGACCCAGCGCTTGGGTTCCACGTCCCACCCAGCCCAGCCAGCCAGCCCAGCTGTGTGTGCTCCATCCGATCGCCCTTTGTGTGTGTGTGCGAGTGTGTTGCGAGTACATACATTGTGCTGCTGTCGGCCGGTCGTCGCTTGTTCTCGTTTTTATTAGGGGGCAATGACCAACAGGGCGATATCCTTTCTACATGTAGAAAACGTTTGCCCATCCTGCCCTGCCCTTTTCCAATCCCACTCTGATCATCCCCTTTCACCAATCCCAAAACGAGGGCCAGAGACCCCCACCACCCACTTCGTCGCCGCTGCCTCCTCGTGGGGTGTTTTTTCGCATCTTTCGATACCAGTCGCCTCGACCCGTCTCGTCACCCTGCCTGCCTTGTCTGCCTTGCCTGCCTGCCTGCCTCCCTTCCACCCCCTTCTGCTGCATCCGCCATCCACCAGGCCAAGGGTCCCAGTCCACTCACGGGGCGCGCTACGCTACAGCAGTTATCGTCGTCTCTGATACCGGCCACTTATAGCAGCCGCAAACGACTCATTCCCACTTCTGCCCGGTGTTACTACGCCCATTTACATTTTTTTCGCCTCACCAGTACCCACTCCGCTTCCATGATCTGCATTGGGTTCCTGGATTAAAAACACCCGACCCTGCCTGGCAGTCCCTGGCCTTTCCTGACCCTTCCTGCCCCTCGGGCTATTGCACTGCGATTCTCATGCACAGAGCACCCACGGCTTGAGAATGCCCTCATTTAATCCCATCGCCAACGTCACTGGGCGTAATGCCTATACGCTTTTCGAAATCAGGCTCGACAATGACTTTTTGGTCTTTCGAGGCAATGACCATGAGTCCTCAGGCCAACTACTGAAGGGCACCGTCGTGCTGTGTCTCCCACAAGCCCTCAAGGTCGACGACGTGCACCTGCGACTAGTCGGTACGGAGAGGTTGAAGTGAGTTTGTTGCAGTACTCTAGCAGCCGTTCTCTACATCACTGCCTCGTCGTCTCCCTTGCACCGAACCCCCTCCCTACCTAAGCATTTTTTCCGCCTATAGAGATCCCTCACTAACAGCCACACCAGCTGGACGGACGCACGGGTCACGCCAACGGGAATCTCAAATCAGAAGGTCGATCGTACCAACATCTTCTACCAGCACAGATGGAACCCTTTTGTTGGCGGCAACTCGGGGAAGAGCACCCTGCTCGAGAAAGGGAATTACGAATGGCCCTTTGAGCTTATGTTGCCAGGAGACTTTTGCGAATCCATCGAGGGGATGCCCGAGGCCAGCATCACCTACCACCTGAAAGCGACCGTTGCGCGCGGCAAACTCGCCTACGACCTGCACGCAAAAAAGAGGGTCAGGATTATCCGCACACTCGAGTCCTCCGCCCTGGAGTTCCTACACGCCATGAGCGTCGAAAACATCTGGCCAAACAAGGTCGAGTACAGCGTGGTGATCCCGACCAAGGCCATCGTATTTGGAAGCTCCATCCCGCTCGAAACCAGGTTCACGCCGCTGCTGAAAGGCTTGGAGATCGGGGATATCAACTGCAGGTTGATGGAGGTCCACGAGATAATGGTGACGACAGCGGCAGGCCACAGCATACGGGAGCACAAGAGGGAACGCGAGGTCGCACACTGGACGCTCACGGTAAATCGAGATGAGCATTGGAATGACATGATAGAGGATTCGGGCCAGGAGGGCTGGGTCCTCAACGCAAATCTCGATCTCCCGAGGAAGTTGGGCAAGTGCATGCAAGACACCAATGTGCACGGCATCAAGATAAGACACAAACTGAAGATGGTGGTTGCGCTGCACAACCCAGACGGCCACGTCTCAGAGGTAAGTCAACTGCCAGCGGATGGAACATGAAGTCACAGGCTGACCCGACCTCACAGCTGCGTGCAACTCTCCCCGTGACGATATTCATATCGCCCAACATGCCTCTGGATGATGAGGGCAATCTTGTGCGACAGTCACCGACCGAGACCAACCCAGCACAGCGCATGCACGGCATTGCGCCGCCGGGCTACGGCGAGCACGTCCTTGATCAGCTTTACGACGAGGTCGATATGAACGGCCTGCAGAGCGGGTTTCAGACACCAGCGATCCAATCTGGCGTCAACACACCATTCTACGCCCTGTCCCGGGCTGGCTCGGCCGAGAATCTGCACCAGATGGCAGGAATGGCAGTACCTCCCGCAGCGCTTAGCTCGCGGCTACAGGATGTGTCTCTCAATGCCTCAAATAGGAGTCAATCGTATCACAGCCTCAGCGGCGCGACAACAGGTGGCGCGACGACGCCACACTCGCAGCCGCCACCGGCTGACAGCACCCACAACTCACCTCCGCCCTCGGCGCCGCTTTCCAGGTCAAATAGTGGCGAGGACCAGTCCGGCATAAACACACCGGAACACATCGAGATGGAGAGCCTCAGCAAGGTGCCCAGCTACACCACGGCGATCAAGACGCCTGCGCGACCCCTCAGCACTGGGGAGGGCCTGAGCCTACCCGATTACGACTCAGTGGTGAGCGCGCCGACGACACCGACGACACACAACAGCACGCAGGCAGCAAATCCCCTGGACTCAATCCCCGAGGCGGCAACCACCGAGAACAACCAGCCACCGCCGCGGCCTCGCCCTTCCAGGAGGCAGACCTCCCTGGGGTTCAGCAACCTGCTTCACCATCACCACTTCGGGGTCGAAGATGACGTCCGTCGGAGGCTGCACCTGCTGCAGGCTCGAGCCCAGCCCTACTAGAGGGAGGGACTGGCGCGAGTTCGTCGTCCGCCCAAGCAGTGGCCGTGGTTTCCAGGCGGACCCTCAAGACCTACTTAGCAGAAGCCTTCTTTTTTTGAGGAATGGTCGAAACATTGTTTTTGTGTGGATTTAGACAGCATTGGTACAAAGGATACAAGCACGATCATGAGGGTATTAATAAGGGATCATCATAAGGGTGCATGCATCAGGCATTATAGACAGTGGCCGCAAAGGACGGAGTTTTGGACATAGGGACCGTTTATACCCCAAATAGCCTTGCTTTGGTAAATGGACAATAGATTCCAAGCATTAATAACAGGGACTGTAGTGATATCCGTTTCCTACCCGTGGACCCCAATGACATATGACCGAGAAGGATTTGGCTCATGACAGACCACTTTTCCATGTCCCCAATGGTGTTATAAAGCACATGAGTGCTCCTGTACATTACCTAATTTGAACAACAACTGGAATCATTTAGGACAGTCATGGACCGTTTTAGTGTAGTACTGCCACGCATGAGAAACCCAGTCTGTGTTCCCTCTCCACACGGTTGTGACGGTCTAAGACATCTAGCCAACTCGATGCGACCTCCTGAGAAGGCGGGGAGTAGCTACCAGACCTGTCACCACCGACCAGCGAACCTTGTTCCATGCCTTGCTTGCCATGGTGCCAACCAGATTTCGATCGTCCCATCTTGCTTGGCTTTCCCTCGCTGCATCAGGCGGCCTCAGGTTAGCGGTGGACCACCGGTGCTGCAGTGGTAGCCAGAGAGGCGCAGTGCCTTTCCCCGAAAACCTTCGCACCCAGAAGACGGGATCGTGGGGAGATCATGTCCCTAATCCAGTATGGCGCCTGATGGCGATAGGTGTGCGTGTGATGTTGCGCCCCTATCAAGCTTTTTGGCCATGTGGACCGCGACAGCCGCTATTGAAGCTGGGTATGGGCTCTGCCGGGGTGGTCTCGTCCCGCTGTTTCTTCCTTTCTCAAAGGGCCAAGGAAACTGCGTTGTGGCTTTCCCGCGCACCACGCTACTCTGAGGTGCCAGGCCGTAGTAGGCTACGTGTGTATGCTTGTATGCTGGGTATGATGCACAAAAGAAGGCGCTTGTTAGGGGACCGCTACGTCATCGCCACTCACTGGCCGCCCACGACGCCGGGTGTTATATAGCCCAATATCTGTCGGTCGAAATGACACACCATGCCAATAGACCTAGATCTCCTACACCAACAACAGCATCATCAAAGCGCTGCCAGATTAAATAGACCAAAGACTCATTTTCCTAGGTAAGCACAGCCGTTTTGTTTATCGCATCCCGAGTTCATGTGCCCTGTGCTTGTCAGGCAACGCGCCTGCAGGCAGCTCGAACCGGAGGCTCCGTGCAGCCCCCACCACAAGGTTCATCAATCTCGTCTGTCGAGATCGCCACAGGGGTCTTGAGTGCTGCATTGTGACGGCCCCACTGGGGGGGGGTGGTCGGCAGCTTGGCCCCTGAGCTCTACTGCACAGGTGAAGCTGTGCCGTGTCATGACGGTCCTATCATCAGCACATCGCTCAGACGACCTCACTCTTTCAGCCTCAAGATCTGCTGGCGTTTGAAGCTATTCACACATACGATATTGAATCCAGGTAAAGTTTAGATAGCGTGCTGACATTGGCTCTATAGTTTCTTGCGAACAACGCTATCGTCTCCACCCATTAATAGCCCGTCTCTAAGACCCGATAATCCGAAAGCAGACAACTGCATCCACGATGGCCGACGACGTGAAGACGTTGCCCCAGAGGTCGGGCACGATCATGACCAAGTCGAGCACTTTCAGCGAGTCTGCCGTCCCTGACACAGATCCCGGAACCGTACGTAGCCTCATGTCCTAGACTGTCTGTCGCGTCGACGACTGACCGAAACTACAGACCGCTGGGCTGCTTGCCGAGCGTCTGCAAGCATGGAAGCATGCCGTGGGCTACCTTGAGGAGTACATGGGCGCCATTGAGAAGATCCACAAGGAGCAGTCTAAGGAGTACGAGAAGGTCATGAAGACCATCTCCAAGCCCCTGCGCGAGGGCCACCACTTCGACCAGAACCTCGGCGGCGTTGCCGGCTTCTATGAGAACCTGCGTCAGAACACGCAGGCCCTCATCAACACCAATACCGAGACCGAGAAGAGCATCAAGGGCTCTGTCCTGCCCATCCTGGACCGCCTCCACAAGGAGATCAAGAACAAGGCCAAGGAGCTGGCCAGCGGCGCGCAGAAGGGCGCCAAGGAGGTCGAGAAGGCCCGGAACACCACCCAGAAGCACATCGAGCTTCTCGGCCAGCACGCTGCGTCTTTCGAGTCTACTGGTGGCAGGATGAACCCCTCTGAGGACCCCTATGTCATCCGCCGGGGTGTCCTGCACCGCCTGAACAAGCAGGTCATCGAGGAGAACAACCACCGCAACGATCTCATCGCGGTACAGGGCAACTTCCAAGACTTCGAGGCCCACGTCATCCAGGTCCTTCAACAGGCCATGGAAGTATTCAACCAGTTCGCCGGCGGGCAGGCCGAGAAGACCCGTGCGCTCTACGCCGATATGCTCGGTGCCGCCCAGAGGATCCCTCCGGACATGGAGTGGCAGGCCTTCACCCAGCGCAACGCCGATATCCTCATCGACCCCGAGGACCCTCCCAGGACGGTTGAGGCTATCGAGTTCCCCAACCAGGGCCACAACTCGACCGAGCCACTTATTGAGGGCAGCCTCGAGCGCAAGTCGCGGAACAAGCTGTCTTGGGGATTCTCGACCGGCTACTATGTGGTGACTCCTTCCAAGTTCTTGCACGAGTTCAAGACAGATGAGTAAGTTACTTTTGTGCTTTTTTCCTTTCTTTCTATCTGCCGATACGCCGGGCGGACCTCTGCTCCGGCCGCGTCTCGCAATTCCTGCCTAGATAACAAGATACTGACTACATGTGTCATAGCAATGCGGCCAAGGACCCAGTCCCAGAGCTCTCCATCTATCTCCCTGAGGCAACCATTGGCACCCCCAGTGGAGACAAATTCAACGTCAAGGGCAAGGACAAATCCAAGAGCATGAGCAGCAAGCTCACGGGAACCTCTGAACTCTCCTTCAAGGCGCACACGGCAGCGGATGCTCAGCGGTGGTTTGAGGTCATTTCAAGGGTTGCGGGGGCCAATTCGTCCGCAGGAAGCACACCCGCCAGTCCTGTTGTCGGCAGCGGTGATTCTCCGGTAATGAACGAGGCCCACGACCTTGGAGCAGAGAGGCCAGCAGAAGGATCAGCGGGAACGGTTGGGACTAATGACATGACTGGACAGAAGCAGGAGCCCGCTGGACAAACCTCGGGGATCACGGGCGAAGACACAGTTGCCAGCCCGACGGCTGTGTCGCCATCAGACACTAAGGGTAAGGAAGCTGTGGACCACCAACAAACCATCCCACCATCTGCGGCGAACACGACTGAGACAAAAGCAACTGCCCCAGCATCGGAAACTTAGGAAGCTACCATCGAGACCAATACGACCGCAGCCGAGGTTGATGTGAAACCGTGGTACGAGAGCTAGGGAGACCCGAGAGACGAGTTGTATGGCGGGGCGAGAGCCTGGGACAGCGAAGACTCCTGGGGAGCAACGGACGGCGGAGGGAGCGCGCTGGCGGCTCATGACGGGAATGTGTTCAACGATGCGAGAGTGAGCCACTCTCAGCCATGGAGGTTGAGGTATCCCACGCCACGTGATCTGAAGGAGCGCGTGGGAAGGACTCGGTCCTCATACGACAGGGCCCAGGGCACAGCATTCTGGTGGGACGTATAGTAAGTCGGATTACACAAGGTGGGATGGCAGAGCTATAGTAAGTGGCCGTAATGACGGGCCAAGAGGGCGAGGGAAGGGTCTTTTGTGTTTCACACACCAACCATATTTAATACTCATTCGGTTACAACACGGCAGGGAGGTTTGAACATCGGGTCCTGTCGCTCTTATCGATTCCCCCTTCTTCTCCCCTCCTAGATGAGCATACGCAGGACAAATTTAGGCCTCCGCCCGACAGGGCACTTTTTCTACTTGGCCCTCGCCCGTGTGACGAGCATCTAGCATCTGATTCGCCATCTCCCAACTGCTGACATGCAGCTGCAGGGTGGGTGATCAATTGATGCGCCGAGGTTTTTGGGGGCTGAAAAGGTACATGCTGGCCGCGTCAAGCGAGGCCAGCCCACCCACACCCTGAGTGTTCTCTGGCTTTTCGATCTCCGAATACACAGATGCGTACGCAGTAGTGTGCATTACCAACACCCGGGCGCGTTTCGGCACCCCTCGCTTGCGCGTTGGTCTCAGGACTCAGGTCTGTCTGTCTGCCCGTCTGTCTTGCGAGCCGCCCGCCCCATTGTTTCATAATCAGCCGCCCACGAGGCTGGACGTGGTGAGAAAGTAGTCTCCCGATTCCCCGAAGGAATAAGCATCCCACAGACCTTTGTGTATGTATGTGTGTGTGTATGTACGTGCATACCAGGCTGAGTGAGTCCCGGAAGGAAAGGCCAAAAAAATAATAATACACGCGGGCACCTTGGCCCAGACGATAATATCTATTTCCCCGCTTTGGCTGAGCAGCCTGGCTTGCCGCTCTGAATCCTTCAGAGCCGCCTCCACCTCCACGACCAGCCAGCCTGAAGGGTTACTTCTGGGATGGCATCCAAGGCAAACGAGGCGGGGAGGTATAGGCAGGCTCTGAGGGGCTTTTCCCTCCCTCCCACACAGCCCAGCCGAACCCCGGGTCCAGCCACGTTTTCCCTAACGAGGCCCACACCTTGGGTGTGCAGGCCGCCGGTGAGCGAACTGCAGAGAGAGAAGCGAAGGGTGGGTGGGTGGTGGTGAGCAGGGCCTGTCCCCTTCCAAGGTGTACAGTGAGGCCACCCAGCCGGGCCCCAAGAGTGAGCGAGCGCCTGCTCGAAGACCACAGCCCAGCCCAGCCAGCCCTGGGGTGGGCGCTTTCGACGCCCGAGGCAAAGCCACCCTCCACCATCTTCACCCCCCCCCCCCAACATTCCTGCCAGATAGATGGCAGCGTTGCATGTAGAATGTCTGAGATGCCTGGGAGCTGCTGGCCGACTGACCAACCAGGACTGTTTTGGGTGGTGGACAACATGTGCCCATAGCCGGACACGCGTGGGTTTTTTTTTGGCGTGGCGGTTGATGGTGTGGTTGAACTGGATACCACGCCGTTTCGCTTCGCGTCATATGGAGGGCGCCTACGCTGTCGGACTTTTTCCCTGCTGCTGCTCCTGCTGACACCCTGCGTCTAAATCCTCAGCTTGTGGGACGGGCCGCGCTCCATCTGGACGCCTAGTTTGTCTGCCTCTCTCTCTCTCTGTGTGTGTCTCCGGATGCCTAAAAGGCGTCGCCAGCACAGTCAGTCCCCCACACCCCCTTCGAGGCTCTCTCTTGGGATCTGGGATCGCCACGGTGCCAGACCGAACTTTCGAGGGCGGACCCTTTTTGACTCATCGAGATTGCGGAAGGGAAAGCTTCGACGTGGCCGGGGCAGGGGAGGCTGCGATTCTTGTTATAGACATGATCGTTCGTCCCCCCCTCCTCTATGGGGCGGCAGGGAAGATCTAGGACTGGGTTTAGCAACACCTCCCAGCCTACCGTGGCCAGGTGAGGCTCCAGGGACATGGGTTCGTGGGGTTGAGCGTGGACTGTTCCATTGGGTGCCTTGTTATCCCAAGTAGTTATCTATAGCCCTCAGAGTGTCCCTCCGTGCTTTCCCTTCCATCCCCTCCTCAGGGCTTCCCAAGTACGCCTTGCTGAGGCGCCCCGTCACACCTCCATCTCTGCCCCGGCTACTTCTATGATGCTTTCTCCTCCCGAGCAGTCTCCTCTCCCATAGCCCTATCTCCACGCTCCTATATCCATGACAATCATCTCCGTCTGTGGCAAAAAAAGAAATACTCAGCTGCCGGCCAAAACTCTAATGCCTCGCGCCGCCCGAGCTGACGGCCTCCCCCAGGCTGGACCACAGCTCCCCAGGACCGGGGACAACGCCATCCCGGCGTGAAGGCCGGTGATAACCACCGAACAAGGGAAAAGATGACCAAGGAATGGCTGAGGTACCGGTCGACGATCCTCGGCCTGTACAAGGATCAAAGCAAGACCCTCGACGAGGTGAGGCGGATCATGAAGGAGGAGTATGGCTTCGAAGCATCGTAAGTAAAAGATCTCCATTGCTACCCCGAGACACTGACTTTCCCTGGCCACCCGTCTTCTTTCGAGGCGAGACATGTTCCCGCTGACAGACATGATCCCATCTCCAGGGTCCGGGCATATAGGTCCCGCTTTGATAAATGGAGAATCCACAAGTATAACTGCGCGCGCCGAAGGGCCGTGACAGTGACGGCGGCGGGAAGCTTCCACCAGCAGGAAGGCTATCTGTGTCGAGGCCGGGACGTCCATGTCCCGGCGTCGCACGCTGAGTGCCAGTTCCTGCCCATAAGGCATTACTCCGCTCCAGACGTGCTGGCGACCGAAAGGTAAGCTGTGCTTCGTCCTCTGCCACCGTCTTGCGGCCCCAGAGCCACCTGGACTTTCCAACCCTCTCCCGGTGAAACGTCCATTTTGGCTAACTCGCTCCGTGCCTCCTCCCATAACAGCGAGTTCCGCCCGTACACGCCACAGGAGCCCTACACCACCACCAGGCCAGGGATAAAGCCAGAACCGCCGGTGGACCACGAGAACAGCCCGAGGATCCAGCCCGTAGGCGGGGAGCATCAACCCGGACAGGCTTACCGCTCCTGGTTCGAGTCGTCGCACAGCGCGGGAATCGGGGACGCCACCCACCAAGCCCCGAAGGCGGAGGGGGGCGTTTCCGCCAGCAGCTGCAGCAGCAACAACAGCAGCAGTCCGCCCAGCACCACCAACACCACCACACGGATGTTCTTCAGCAATAGCGGTGGCATACCCCAGGCCCGAGGAGCAGCAGACAACAACAACAACAGCAGCCCCAGCCCCTACAATGCCACGGACCAGCTGCACTGGATCATGCACGCCGTCCAGGTCCCGCTCCAGCAGGACGCCCTCGAGACCCTGCGGCAATATCTCCTGTGCAGTCCAGTCGTGACCCGTGGCCTTTCCAGCGGGGAGTCACCATTTTCCAGGCTGGCCATCATGGTCTGGCAGCAGCTGGCCTCGGACGGCACGCTGGGGCCCGAGCCGGTGTGGAAGCTGGCCGCCGAGTGCCTGCGGCAGTTCCTCCTCCTAGGCGAGGACCCGGATGTCCTGGTCGGCGACAGGCCCCTCCTGATCCGGATCCTCGAGCAGCCAGTGCGGACCAGGGCCTTTGACCTGCTCTGGCCGTTCGTGTGGACCCTCGCCCAGCAGGCCAGCCCGGCCAACCACCACCACCACCACGGCCTCAACGCCCTCCACACACTGCTGCTCTCGATGGGGGCAAGCGAGATCGGTGTCGGTGGCATGGCCGTCATCGTCCCCACCGACATCGCCGCCGCCCGCACCCGCCTCGTCAAGCTCCTCGTCACCCGCGTCGCGGAGGCGGGGCGCCTCGCCGACCGCAACGCCCAGGGGTACACGGCGCTCCAGCAGTACGTCTACCACACCGCGCGGCACGACTACCCGGAGCACGTCCTGGCCATCTGCGCCGAGCTCGTCCGGCATGAGGCCAGCAGCAGCAGCAGCGCCGTGGTCTCGCCGACGTTCGTGGCCGACCTGCGCGCCGGCAAGCTGGCCGCGGGCCTACACGACCAGGCCTCCGCCGCGGGGCTGCTGCCCTTCGTCTGGACCTCGGCATGCCAGCTCAGCGTCGCGGGTGACGCCACCGCCGCCGAGGAGCACCTGAATGTTGTCCTCTGCTGCATCGGGCGCCGGGCTGAGGCCGAGCAGCTCAGGGTGATGCTGCCCCGGCCAGTGGTGCCAGCACCAATGGCTCTTCCTAGTCCTGTCTCGCCGTTGGCTGTTTCGCCTAGGGTTGAGGTGAAGTATGCGTGGTGATGGGCGTCGGGATTGGGAGTGTATAAGATATTACAAGGCGAAATGGGAGGTCGATCCGGGAAGTCCATTCGCTTGTAAGCTGTCGTTCTGTCTGGGGGGTTGTTTTCATTCCTTTCTTTCCTGTCAACGCTGTTCCCTTTCCACGAAGCTGCTCCAGTCAGCAAGCCCATAAGCCCAGGTTCACAGTACTGGGATAGACGTATCCCTAAGAACAAGACATGAGGTCGGCAAAGATTCTTCAAAAAAGCATACATGACAGACGAACCGTTTATGGGTTGTTAGCAGATCATTTGTAACACGCATTGACTTTGGTTCCCCTCGGTGTCAAAATCATTATTTCGTTATCTCCTCTAGCTGAGGTTCACCTCATGTGCACGCTTGGGGCATGGCGTTCGCGCATTCATGTGCCACTTCTTGTTCGATGAACGGACAGCTGTCTGCTGATAAACTACGCCGTAGCCTGTATCGTGGTGGTCATACAACAAACCAGCATCCTCATTCGCGACTGACAACGGCAGAAGGTATGAGGTCCAGGTATGGCTGAAATGAGAAGTTTCTGGACTGGTCTTGCGGTGACAGTAGGAGGAGGGGTCCTACACCTTGTAAAAGCAGAATCCTACGTAGAACGATGCGGCCTCCATCTCCTCCGGAGAGACCAAAAGCTCGCCCCCATGTCTCTGTCGTACACCCATCCGCTCGCTTAGGGCACCCAGCGTAGGGTCATCCTTCTCTGTCTTCCAAATGTCGGAAAAAGTCTTGTGGTACTGCAGCTCGAGATTGTAGTCCTCCGCTAGAGCTCGGAAGGCCTCCCAAGGGACAACGTACTCAGGCACCTCCTCGACGGCCTCGTGCAGGAAGAAGTTGTACTTCCAGCCGAATGGAGGTCGAAAAATGCCGTCTTCGGGGGTCTTACCCGGGAACCTAACCCGGTAGATGTCGTTGCCCCACTCAGCAGTCGGCTCGGCCTCGCCCTCCTCCTTCTCCTCGCCCTCCTCAAGCTCGCCCTCATCCTCGGCCTTGGGCTCTTCGCCATTCTTCTCGGCCTGTTCAGCCTTGGCCTTCTGCTTCTCGTTGAATTCCTTCACCTTCTCGCCGATGACGTCAGAATTGGGAATGGTGCCGATCAAGCGTCCGCCTTTCTTCAATGAGCCAGCCACGTTCTTCAGCATCTGGCGGGCTTTTGCCTCGCTCTCAAACGCGTAGTGCATGCAGAACATCATGGAGACGACGTCGAACCCGCGCTCGCTGCTGATGTTGGACTGCGTGAATCCCACTTGTCGTACGATGTCGATGTCTTCGATAGATTCGGCGAAACAGTCCTTGACGTGGAACCTTGCCTGGAACAAGCGAGGCTGTGGACGCCGGTAGTTACCCCCGCGGCCACCTCTTCCGCCGTGCCGGTCCCTCTGCGACATGCCTCTGTATCGTTCCTGCGCCTGTTCGATTGAGATGTCGGCCGGGTCGAGCCCCACATATAACTCCACAGTCTGCGGCGCCTGCTGCCACTTGCCCAAGTCGCCTCCCTTGCCGCAGCCGATGTCCAAGATCAGTAGCTCTCTGCCACTTGACATGCCCCTCTCGAATGCGCCTGGTGTGTGATCCTCATCCGGGGCGAACTTTTGAATGATGCAGCTCTTGATCCAGTTGTTGAAGGAGCGGAGTCCCTTGATTCGGCTGTCGGTCTTACGCCAGTCGCGACCACGCTCGGGAACTGCATTATAGTGAGCGCGGACCACGTCGTTGATGGCGGCGCGCTGTGTCTCGGCCTGTGTTGCCGCGGCCTGCTGCTCGCGCTCGCGCTCAAGGGCACGCTGGCGGAGTTCCTCGCGCTGGGCTTCGTTGATGCGCGACCGCTGGCCAGGTCTCTTGAGTTTGCGGGGCTGTTCAGAACCTGAGGGGGACGTGCTTCGCTGTCGCTTTTTGGCAGGCGCAAGGGCCCTGGCGTCGTACGGTTGGGGAAGATCGTCTCCTGCCATGGCGACAAGTGTGCGATTGATATGGATTCGAGTTACCACAGTCGTCGGAGTCGTTTAAAGTGTCAGATTCGTGGAGATGGTAGTAGAGATGATAGAGTTTGTAAGGTCGAAGTTGTCGCGTGGGAAGTCGCAACGGCGGGCTGCTCCCAATAAATAACTTAGGTAACCTCGAGAAGCGGCCGTGCAAGTCCAAGACGGTCTGGGACGGAAGGGACACTGGTGGTCTCGATTTGAGCCGACAGCTCCTGCCTAGACTTCTAGCTGATTTAGCTCGACGTCTACTGCCCAGAGGCCCAGAGGTCGTAAAAAATGGTGTCTTCTCACGGGGTATTTCTTGTGCCGGGGTTTCTGACTCTGATTCGGAAACAATGAAGAGCCTGTGACGGAACAGTAGAAGAGTGAAGAAAGGGGCAGTCAGTCAGTCAGACGCATCTGGGGTCCAGCGAGGTTCAAGCATTGCACCTTGCTAGGTGGGCGGTACCTGGGTACCTAGGTACATTGTAAGAGCCTGGACCCACCCCCGGGTGCATGGGCGATTATGGCGGGCATTACGAAAGAAGCTCTGGAGCCTGCTGCTGTCAGCCACTCACTACCTCAACAGCAACATCGGCAAGCTTCCTTTGCCAACACAACTTCTCAAGCATCCGAAGCCCAACGATCACCACCCAATTCGGCGCCTCAAACCCTTGCCTCTATCGCCGTTCTCTCCTGTACCTCTCATCCCCAGCTGACATCGTCCTCACCCCCATTCGAACACAATCATGGGCTCAGATCCTCAATACGCGAAATGGCCTCTGCTGCCCCTGTCGCAGCATGTCTTCACCCTCACAAACCCATACGCCTCGCGGCCAACTCAGGATGCCGCCGTCAAGAAGCTGCAGGATGCTATCGAGGAGCACAAGATGGCACCTCTGTACAGATACCTGGCACACCCGCTTGAGGGCATCCTGAACGCCGTGGGCGAGGGTGGCGCCAACACACCCGGCAAGCCTCTGAGCAGGAAGTCGAGCGCTGCTGGCATGATCGCCACCAAGGGACCTACGGCAACAGTCACAATCCCCTGGGACGAGGGTCTGTATCAGAAGCTGAAGGCGGAGAACGACCGGGAGCTGGAGGAGATTCAGAAGGAGGAGGACGAGGCCGTCGAGAAGGCCGGCGACTCTGAGATAATGGCTGCAAAGGGCAAGAGAGCCGAGTTCTGGGCGCGGGTTGGCGACAAGGTGCGCCTCCATCATCACCATCTCAGACCCCTTCATCACAATAGCTAATATCTGTCGTCTCACCAGGAGAAAGCCATAAGCACTTACGAAGACGTCTACGAGAAGACCGGAATCCTCGGCACCAAGATCGATCTCGTCCTCGCCATAATACGCATGGGGCTGTTCTACGGCGACAAGCTGCTCGTCAAGAAGGAGGTCGAGCGCGCCAAGACACTCGTCGAGAGCGGTGGTGACTGGGACAGGCGAAACCGCCTCAAGGCTTATGAGGGCTTGCACCTGCTCACCGTCCGATCGTACAACCTTTCCGCGCCCCTCCTGCTCGACTCCCTGTCCACATTCACGTCATACGAGCTCTGCACCTACTCCAACCTGGTAGTGTACTCCGTGCTCGCAGGGTCCGTTAGCCTGAAGCGTGTCGACTTCAAGAGCAAGGTCGTGGACGCCCCCGAGATCAAGGCCATCCTAGGCGATGGCGAGGACAAGCTGGCGGCCCTCAGCGGGCGTGTGTCCGCAGGCCCCAGTGCGGACGACCCGGCCACTGGGGACGAGTCTGGCACCCAGGCACAGCAGGCGGCCAAGAAGAAGGCCGTCAACCTCACGACGCTGGGCTCCAGCACCGAGCAGCCCGAGGCCGAGATGGCGGTGGACTTCTCGCCGCTGGCCAAGCTGGTCAGCAGCCTGTACAGCGGGCGCTACAAGACCTTCTTCCAGTCCCTGGCGCTCGTCGAGGAGCAGTTCCTCACCCAGGACCGGTACCTCCACGAGCACAAGAACTGGTTCATCCGCGAGATGCGGCTGCGCGCGTACCAGCAGCTGCTGCAGAGCTACAGGGTCGTCGGGCTGGAGAGCATGGCGAACCAGTTTGGCGTCACGGTGGACTTTTTGGACAGGTTCGTTTTTACCCTCTCCTCACAGAAGGACGTCCTTCAAAAGCACGAATTACTGACAATACTTTAGGGATCTCGCCAAGTTTGTCGCTGGAGGCCGCATCCCCTGCACCATCGACCGGGTGTCGGGCAAGGGCGTCATCGAGACGAACCGGCCTGACGACAAGAACAAGCAGTACCAAGATGTGGTGCGCCAGGGTGACCAGCTGATCACCAAGCTGCAGAAGTACGGCCAGGCCGTGAGGCTCCGTGGGAGCGAGAGGGCATAGACGCAACATCAAGGCGCAAGATAGACCCGGGACAATGGAAGGGCAGATGATGCTTGTGGCATGGCACACATTGATGGGGTGCTGGGCCATGTGCCCAAGCCACACTGTATTGTATGATACCTAGACACAGATGAAATGACCTATTGGGGAATCCAAACAGAAGTGCTCCGAATTGAGGTGGGAATCCTCTTTTGTTACATTTCCAATTCCGTCATGTACTCATCTATGATGCAGCACTGTCATGAAAACATCGCGGTTTGCATCCAAACAGGCGAACGCCATGCCATGTCCAAATCCACTCAAAATCTACACGATGGCTGAAGCCATCTGTTTCCCCTCTCCTTCGTCCCCTTTCCAACGCGACTGGCTGTTCTGTCTACCTGTACTTGTTCATGAACTCCTCGTGGAACTTGACAATCGACCCGACCCACTCGGTACCAGGGGCGAGGAAAGTCGTCCGGAAGTGCAGGGTGCCCTCCTTCTGACCAAACCCGCTGCCAGGGACCAGACAGACGCCAGTAGCCTCGAGCAGCCTCAGGCAGTAGAACTCGTCGGCGGCACGGCCCTCGGCCCTGGCGGCCTCGATGGCCTTGGCGGGGATCTTGACGGTGGGGAACAGGTACATGCTGCCCTGGGGCTCGCCGCACTCGACGCCCTCCATCTTCTCGAAGGCGCGCCACAGGGCGTACGCGCGGTCCTTGAGGTTGTTGAAGATGAAGTTGTACTCCTTGTCGTACAGCTCGTAGCTGGGCTCGCCCGGCTTGGGCGGGTTGACCATGAGCTCGACCAGGCACTGGGCGATGACGGGGGCGCACAGGGTGATGGACACGAACTTGTAGATCTCGGCCTGGACCTTGGGGTCGAAGCCGACCAGCTCGAAGTAGCCGCCGCGGTGGCCGCACTCGCCCACCATGCCCTTGGACACGGACTGCAGCGACGCGAGCTCGACGGCGTCGTACTTGCCGGGCTGCTCCTTCTGCAGCGTCCTGAGGACCTTCTTGAAGGAGTGGAACTCGCCGACGAACACGTTGGTCTGGTACACCTCGTCGGCCATGACGACCAGCTTCTCCTCGCTCGCAAAGTCGAGGACGCTGCGGATGTCGTCCTCGGACAGGCTGGCGCCGGTGGGGTTGCCTGGGTTGATGATGACGATGGCGCGGACGTCGACGCCCTTTGCCTTTGCGTCGGCACAGGCCTGCTTGATGGCCGATACATCGGTGCCCCAGTTGTGCGACTCATCCAGGTAGTAGGGCACACATGTGGCGTTCAAGACGGCGAGGGAAGCAGTGTAGAGGGGGTACTGGGGGATGGGCACCAAGACGCCTGTGTTGGGACCCTCACAGATGATGTGCAGGAGGGTGTTGACACCGGAGGAGGCACCGCCCGAGAGGTAGATGTCCGCCTCATTGGCTGGGAAGCCATCTCGCCCTGCGGCAGGTTAGCCTTGTCTCATGCAGCCTCAATCATTCTGCGGCAGCCTCATCCACCGCAACTTCTTCTGCACAGTGATCCCTGCTCTGTTTTTCTTTTTCAGGTTGAGGGCCAACTCACTCTCAAGAAAGTCAGCAATGCTCTGCCTGATGGCCGGGACACCGTTGCTGGCGCTGTATGCTCCGACTGAGCCAGCCTTGCTCAACAGCCACTTGGCCCTCTCGATCACATCGGTCTTGTAGCCGAGCTGATTCAGGAGAACATCCTCATGCTGCAGGAGCTGTGGGTTCTCGCACAGACTCAGGACCTGCCTGAAGAAGGTGATGGGCTTCTGGTCGAGCTGCTGGGGGTTGCCGATGTTGGCGGAGATGACCTCCTTGAAGGGGAGGTCGGTGTCGCCCCTAGCGAGCTTGGCCCGGTACTCCTCAGACTTGACGGCGAGCTCGCCACGGACGGCGTACTTGGCCTCCCTGACGTGAGGGTTGACGTTGTTGATATTCAGCCTCCGTGCCGGTGTGGACGACATTGCGCGATATGTGGGTATGTGAGGCTGCAGCTGGTGAGAAAAGCTGGCAGTGGATGCGAGAGTGGTCGGCGCTGAAGATGCTACAGAAGGGCAATATTGTGAGTTTAGATGTGCTATTGATCAGAAGCCAAGACGATATGTTGACAGAAAGTGAGAGTAGATGGATCAATGACGCTTTTAGCGGAGACGGCGGCAAGGTACGGTGAAGCTGGGATGAGTCAAGCAACGATAAGTATTGTAGACTATTAGTAGCAGCCAAGCAGCCGGGGAGGAAATGGGGTTTCAAGACTCTGTCAGGGAAGACCAAAAAAATGCGCGCATCCAGACGGACCCTGTCAAGAAAAGCTTCGGATCTCGTGGGGTAGATGGAAATCTCGCGTGCATACGGACGCAACAAAACAAGTACCGATGTGACTTGTCGATTAGATACAGCGTCATTGTATCTCCAACGTGGTGGGGCGAACCATGTCTCTGGCTTGTGCACCACGAGGACCTGCCCATGTGCACCTTGCACCTGCTGTTCCTCAGCTCCTGCGCCCGATCCAGCCGCTGGCTACTGGCTCCTGGCGCCCCCGTGGACCGTGGGGCCGGCCGACTTGGCCGACATCGGGGGCGGCGGACGGGGATCTATAGTGCGGGAGGCTGCGGGACAGGAAGGGTTGACCCAGAGGCTGAGTGGCTAGTAGCCAGTGAGTTAGCCCTGAAGCCAGCCAGCCACGCTTGAGGCCATCACCGAGTTTCAGGGCCTCGACCGCAAGCACACCTGTGCCCTCCAAAAATGGTGGTGGATCGTGCCGTGCCCAGAAAGAGTTCCACTGGGTCGTCGATCGTCGATCTTTTGGCCGTGGCGGTAGCAACGGCTGTCACTTTGAGATCGGTAGATCTGCCTCAGCCAAGCAGTGTGCAATGCAGTGCAGTGTAATAAGGTCAAGATTTGTGGGATAGGAAAGACGTTACCCAGTCTAAGTTTACCCCGAGCCAATGAAGCCCGGCAGCGACTCGACAAAACCGGGGCCACAGCCCTGGCCGACATCGAGACCGCCCTCTGCCCACGGAGAGCCATCGTCGTCAGCCCGTCTCTTGTCTGCTCGTCTTTTCGCACGACAGATGGTGGGCTGGGGGGATTCAGGCTTGATAGGAGGATGTTTGATTTGGATCAATTGATCAAGGGAGAGTCGTGAGCTGAATTAAAATAGCGTGGGGGAGAGATAAACAGGCCCGCAGGGCTGCCCCTGCTCGGCCAGGTAAGCTGGATATAGCCGCAAAAGCAGTGCCGCACGTAACACGGCAGCCCGTAATAAGCGCCGTCCCGATATGGCTCCAGTCACAGCTGTGGATAACCCGTTGTTGACGTTGACTCGCGATTTTCATTACATGGAACAGTGACACTAGTATTGGGGGTTGCTTTCCAGGACCAGCTAGAGGCTCTTTCTGCAAGTGGGATGTCGGGTTGTCTGATGCAAGACTGTCTGAACCTCGTAGTAATAGAGGACCCGCCACTGATGGGTGGGTTAGGTGGTTTCGTTCTTAATTTGTAACCATCCCAAAGGCGTACGCCCCTTCACACAGTGGTAAACACTCAATGACCCAGCTTTTACAAAAATTAGATTAAACACAATGCCGATGACAGTCATCCGGATACTATAGGTGAGAGGAGATAAACTTTGAGATTTGTAGATATTGAAAATGCCCTTGATGCCCGGGATGAGGTTGCGGGTTATGATCGCCTTGCGCGCTTTTTGAGGGCAGCGCGGTAGGGCGTCTTAGATGAATCTGGGAGCGAGAGGACGGAGTGGGCTAGGGCGAAGTAGGTTGCAATCTCAGCTGGTGTGAGACCGTTGTTGTAGACTTAGAAGGAGTCTGTTGTTTTGCTTAGAAATCATGTCATATCTGGGGGTAACGAGATGCAAGTGGGATAGCTCCAGGGAATGATGTTTATCTCAAGGTGAATCTATGGATGTCTCGTGATAACTGCAACTTGCCGCACAGATGGATCATTGTCTTCTCAAAACCATGGTAGTCGGCAATACCGTGCCTGGCACCGGGCCGTTGGGGTTTGAGCCCGCATGTACCGTACTGGTAAATAGGGGGGATCCGCAAGCGTTACGGCCCTCTGCAAGCGTTGTGGCTACTGCAAGACTTGCGCCTACCGTAAGAGTTAACCCCTTCCGCAAGAGTTAGAGAATTAAGGTATAAAAGTTATGTGAGAAGATTCTGGTAATCTGAAAGTTGCTTTGTTTACCTAGGCGTGGAGAATGGCTGAGAAGGATTCTTCTTTTGGTACGATTTTGAGGTTTTTCATTCTATGAGTTGTTTTGTCTTTACCGTTGCCTTCGCCTTCGCCTTTGCCTTCGCCTTCATCTTCTTTGTCGTCTTTCTCTTCGTGACTGCCTCTTCGTGACTGCCTCTTTGTGACTGCCTCTTTGTGACTGCCTCTTTGTGACTGCCTCTTTGTGACTGCCTCTTTGTGACTGCCTCTTCCTTAGGTACGTACCTACCTAGGTACGCCTAAAAAGCCCTTACGTGACTTTTATACTTTAATCCTCTAAGTCTTGCGGAAGGGCAACTCTTGCGGGCTGCCTGCAGACACCGGTACGGTAGGCTGCTGATATGAAGATGTCGACGTGATAGACACGTACCCTGGTAATACACCATCGCTCCCTTGATTCACAGTTCAGGTGCAGGCACAGCTCGAGCCTAATGCTATCAGTTGTGGCTAAAATACTAGTTTCCAGAAGCAAATTGAAAGTCACTGTCAAATTCCCTGCATGTGGAAACTTGCTGTGTCTATCTTGAAAGATGTATTGACTTGTCCTTCTAGGGCACTTGCTGTATTTCCGACTTATTAGTGGAGGGACAAAAAGAATTCAAATAGGCCTATGATCCACAGGTCCTTATACTGGATCTTTTCCTTTTCATGGGGGGTTTGAACACATTGAAATCCAGCCATTACTAGTCATCTAGTGCAGTGAAAGCTAAAGTGATAGTTTGCTGTGGATAATTTGTGCCTAGTTGGCTTGGGTTCCAAGGTTCACGTGGTGTTTCCAAGGCGGTCCCTACATATCGGACAAGAGCCTGCCGACGATCATCCTTGACTAGTCACAAAAGACAACCCCCATCCTAGCTGTCACCGGCAGGAGCAATATAGGCCGGTCCCTTTTGATTATTGAAATCCAGGGACGTAGAGCTTGTCCATCGGTCAGTGTCTCTTGGTATCGGCACAAGTTGTCAAGAAACAAATGAGAGGTGCCGTCCAAGCACCACTAAATCGCTCAAAATTTTCAACATGACGGCATCATCAATCCGGGAGAGCAACGCCGCAGCGGCCAGCTCCAGTCCGTCCAAGGAAAAACCAGGCATCGCGACGCCGGCAATGGAATTAGTTGGGGAAGAGGCGAGACCAATCGACCCTAGAGCGGAGAAGAGAGTCGTCAGGAAGATCGACCTTTTCCTCATGCCGGCCATGGTAATTGGTAGGATCGCAAGACCGTCCCATGATCAGACCAGAAAATCATTGACAGTGGCGTGCAGGTTACGGCCTGGTCTACTACGACAAGGCTATTCTGGGCAGTGCAGCACTCTTCGGCATGACGGCTGACCTCCATCTCTCGGTGGCGGACTCATCGGTCAGCCCGCCCAGGGTAGATACCACGAGGCTCAGCTGGGCCACCTCCATATTCTACTTTGGTCAGCTGGTTGGCTCATATCCCATGACTTATATCCTCCAGCGCTTCAACAATCGACAAATTCTCGGTCCTGCCGTGATGCTTTGGGCAGTGATCTGTGCCGCCACTGCTGGGGTGACTACTTGGCAAGGTCTCCTGGTGCAGCGATTCTTCCTGGGTATGACCATTGGACTTGCTTTACGATTTACGAGAATTTTCGAGCTGACGATATTTGACCAGGATTCACTGAGTCCATAGTCCCTACCTCCTTCATGATCACCGTCAGTGGGTATTACACCCAACCCGAACAAGCCTTGCGACAAAGCTGGTGGTTCTCAGGTACAGGCTGGTTCACGATTATCGGCGGGGGTCTCAATTACGGGTTTGCTCAGATTGATGGCGCTCTCAAGCCGTGGCAGTACCTCTACATCTTCGCCGGCGCACTAACGTTCCTGTTCGGATTGTGGTGCTTTGCATTGCCGAACTCCCCCTTGGATGCGTGGTTCTTGACGCCCGAGGAGCGTATTGTCGCCGTTGAGAGGCTGCGGGCAGGCCAGACTGGTGTCAGAAACCAGGAAATCAAAGGCGCCCAGATTATGGAGGCATTGTTGGATGCGAAGATCTGGCTAGTCGTGGTGATGATGGCCGCTGCGTGAGTTTCCCGCCACCCCTAATTGCTGGCCTGGCTCTCAGTTTTGCCGAGCTGATGCGTATTAATATAGGTACACGGTGAACGGTGCTGTATCCGGCTTTGGCCCTCTCATAGTGTCGACTTTCGGCTATTCTTCTCTCGACAGTATCTTGTTTCAGTTCCCGCTCGGTGCTATCAGTGCAAGCGGCATCACTCTGACCGGCTGGATATGCACCCGCCGCAACATTCGAATCCCACTTTTGGTCGCCTGTTGTCTTCCTGTCATCGCTGGCTTCATCATCATCTGGAAGTCTGAGTGGGGATACCGGCCAGCTGCTCCGGTTGTGGGATATTCAATCATTGGCTTCTTCGGGCCCGTAGTCGGACTTATCATTACCCTGGCGGCTGGTAATGTAGCAGGCGAGACGAAGAAAAGTTTCACAGCATCAGCTGTATTCGTCGCTTACTGCGTGGGCAACATAATCGGGCCTCAGATGGTAAAGAGTCAAACTAAGAGCCAGCACTATCCTGAGCTGTGGACAGGTTTGACCATTTGGTATGTACAGTGCCCTTTTACACTCCGAGTGACCTTATTAACAAGATGGATAGCTACTGTATCACCATCATCTCTGCCTCTGCATTGTATTTCATTCTACATAAAGAGAACAAAAGGCGGGATGCCCTTGGCCTGGATGAATGTGAACGAGACAGGCTGGCTTTCAAAGACTTGACAGATAAGAAGAACTTATATTTCAGATACGTCCTATAGAGGGCGCGCTGGGACATTCCTCGCTACGTTGTAAATTACCCGCAGATGACCCACTGACAAAGAACATAGGTATATACTTCAGGACTGCATATCTACCTAGGTACATAAGTGTTAGAAAATAGTAATGATATGATGTTAAAAATGCTCTTAGTCTAATACGAAGGGCAGAGGCGAGGGCGGGGACGAGCCGCTCAGTGACAGTGGCGGTAGCTGTGACCGTGAGGTGAACATAGGAGCACATTGTTGACTGCACCCCATACCGTACTTTGGTGGGTACTAGAGAGGCTTACTTACTATGAGCTGAAGGACGTTTTTTACCACCTCTTGGGTCTTGGGCGTTTACCACCGTATGAAGGCGCCATGTGTCCTCGGACGTATACGGAATAGAAGCGAAACCAGTTAATGAGCTTTCACGGAGTCAAGAACAACCGCTGCATGTGGTTACATTTAGAGATCGGATATTCGCACCCACCAAAACGGAGGGTACACCCATACCAGGAAACTCAGAGTTCAAAGTGCTTAGTTTGCACCAAGCTACAAGTAATTATGTGGTTTCGCTTCTATTCCGTATACGTCCGAGGACATATATGGCGCCTTCATACGGTGGTAACTACAAGTAATTATCTCGTAGGTTTATCCTATAGGATGTTATCCTATAGGAGGTTGTCCTACAGGAGGTTGTGTCCCATAGGAGGTCATCCCATAGGAGGTTGTCCTATGAGAGGTTGTCCCTTGGGGCTTGGGTATACCCTCCGTTTTGGTGGGTGCGAATATCCGATCTCTACATTTATCATTAGTTAGACATGAGCCAAACACGCCCTAACGCTGGTAATGTGTGCCTATGTGAAGTGCTGTTAGATTGTTCCAGTGAAGAAATGGCTACAACCAACGGCAGCAATCCAGGGTCCAACCCTGACAGGGGTCGTGCGATCGCCCGAAGCCCATTCCGACGTCAACCCAAAATCAAACCTCGCCCGTCAGCTCGCCGAATCCCCCATCAGGCCACGACAATTCCACACAGCTAGCCATGGCCAAGAAAGGTGAGCAGTGCAACACCCCAATCCAAGCCTTCTCCTCCCCCCAGCATGCCTGGCCAAGTACTAACCCGCGGCAACCTGCCGTCGTGAGCAGCGAAATCCCGCGTCGTCTCGGTGCGGCTCCTCTCGATGGCCATGACGGGCTTCTTCTACCAGTTCACGCGCCCGCGCACGTCGCCGCCCATGAGCATGCTCAAGTACGACCCGATAGGTACGCCACCAGCCAGTCGATCTCCTTGATGATCCTCCAATCTGGACGCCGCGACCGTGCCCTCCCGCCAACCCAAGTCGCGCCCAACTGAAGACGGCAGGCAGGCCGGCGCATTCCCACCCCTCGGCCGCCCACGTCCCATTCGAGCCCGAGGCCGGCCTGTCGCGGCGCACAAAAACCGCGCGATGACTGGGAATCCCTTCCGCGACTGCAATGGTGCACGGGACTGGGGGTCCAGACTATCCAATTGCACGCACTGCTGCCCCGGACCGATTTTGCTGACATTGGATCCAACAGTGCGACGAAAGGTCCTCTTCCTCGAACAAAAGCGGAAGGGAAATAGGTAGACAACTACAATCTATACCGTCGCTTGGCCGATAGCCTACAGTTATGAGGACACAAAGAAGCAACACTAAGATCCGCTCAAGTCTCTGGCTGTGCGGATACCCATCACACGGCGCTTCTGAAAATGGGAGACCGCGAATGGGGAGCAGTACGGAGCATGCACTGCGGGTGCAGGGTGGGTGCTAAGGAATCCGGGCTAGACCTCTACCTCAACAGAGGTCGTCCCGATGCCATGCCATCAGTTCCGGGTAATGAGGATTCGTTCAAGTCCAGGACAACGACATCCGCCTTTTCATGGGCTCGACGAGTTGTGGTCGAGGAGGTGAACGTGATAGAATAGGTCGCATTCGCGCTGCAATGCCGTGTATCAAGCAAGGTTCGATTAGTCTAGCAGAGCTACAAGTCGCAAAATCCTCTTCCTCAGCAATTTCACTCATCACAAGCTACGTGTCGTCCGTCTTCACCTCTTTCACGGTTTCCCAGACCCGCTGAGATCAAAGACCCTGAAATCAAGCAAGCCTCTTCAGAATTGAATCTGCCCCCGGTCGCTAGAGCGGTTCCTTGCAAATCCCACCATTCTTCACAATCTTCGACTACACCAACATTGCATCTTCCTCTCGTTGTCAAAGGATCCCTGAAGTCACTCTTCATGTCTCGTTGAAGAAGGAGTTGAAGTACCATGGGCGACGTATGGGCTGATGGACTGGCCCTGCGGGCTCGCTTCTTCCCTTCTGGGAGTGGGTAATCGAGTCTTGAGAATCCTCCTGCTGCGAAGAGCGTTGGCGTGGGTAGTCGAGCAACTGCGTATCCTGGCTACTGTCTTTCGGGGCAGTCGATGCTCCTCGCCCGCTTGAAACCACATCCTCGGTTCTTCTGCGCTGCTTGTGCCCCTTTTTCTTAGTCTCACGCTCTCCCATGGATCCACTTTGTTCAAAGTAGAGACTGCGAACGGGAGAGATGGAGTCATCTGTATTCTTGCGAGCTCTCTTGCGTGGCGCGTCAGGCGGCTCCTGTAGCTCACCGGCTTGGCTCACTTGGCCCTCTGGAGGGGACAAGTGTTGAACCACACGCCGTGGGCTTTGCTCCTCCGTACTACCACTGGCCTGCTTGACAGCCGAATCCGCCACTCGACGGCTGCCCTGCTTGCGCTTTGTTGAATCTCGTTCAACACGAATTTCAGCTTGGCTGACGTTGTTGTCGGCCGTTGTTTTGGTACCTGACACGGGCCGATTGTAGGGCGCCCGGACGAAGTTACTGCGAGTAATGGTACTACTGTCCTGGTGAGTCTGGTCTTGCACCTCTCCTTCCCTCGCGCGAGCTAGTGGCAACCGCTTGAAGGCTCTTCTGCCGAAGGAGCCCCGAGTTGGCAGACTGACAGGCTCGGCAGTCGCATGCAGATCTTCATCCTTGATGATGCTTTGGCTGGATGCTTTCATAATGGATTTCGGTGGATCTGCTGATCGCCTGTGCTCCTGTTCTGCTGACACTGATGGGGGATTCGGAGAAGACACGCTGTGTCTTGGGCTTCTGATCGTCACGCGACGACCAATCTGGTCCAGCACTCTCGTAGCAAGGCTCTTCCGTGACCTTGGCTCTGATGAGCTACCCGGCAGGCGATCTACCCCAGCATCTCCGCTGGCGATGGTCTCATCTGCTGTTTCTTGGTCGCCATCTGGCGTCAATCCTCCCTGAGATTGACAACACCGAAAAATTGCCTGATGCAGCATGTCGATTTCCAATATTGCTTTCAGCTTGGGGTTGACGCCATCGAGGTCACCACCTTGAGCCTTCCGTAGCTCAGAGAAAAGGCTCTTCACAGCCTGATGGCCTCTTGCCCATTCCTTCAAACCGTCGAGAGCCTCCTGTAATTTCTTGTCGTACGCCTGGGCGTCTTCCGACAGCCGGGCAAGCTCACTCTCCTTTTGCGCAATCTTGGCTTCGAGGCCCGTGACTTCCTTCGAATTGTGATCAATAGCCTTTTGGGCCTCCATGTCCTTCTCATGTACCTCTTTGCCAAGTCGATTTGCATTCGCTTGTGCGATCTCTAGCTCAGATCTCAGCTCGTTCACTGTTGTGCCCGATCGTTTGTTCTCTTCTTGAGCCATCGAGACCTGTTGTTTTGTCGCATCGAGTTGCTGTTTCAATGCAGTGCGCTCTGCCTCAGTTTGTTTAAGGAGCATGCTAAGATTCTCTTTGGCAATGTCCATGTCGTGTGTAACCTCCTGGCGAGCAAGCTCAACCGCGGCTTCTCGGACCAACCGCGCGTTTTCGTCATGCTGCTCAACCAACTTTTGCAACGTCTGGGTGTGACTCTTGTGCTGTTCCTTCTCGTTTTGGAGCGCTTCTTGGCAATCCCGAAGTCTACCCTCGAGGTCACTGGAAATTGCGGCCTTGGCGATAATGTCCATCTTCAGCTTCTCGCATTCCTCATGGAGCGAGTTTGCGCGTTCGGCCTGTTCCATGTCGTTGGCTTGAGCCTGTTCTAGCTCGGCGATGTCACTTCTGAGGTTCTCGAGCTCGCTCTCACTTTGTCGAACTGCGACCCCAGCCTCTTCGAGTTGGAAGGAAAGGATGTTGCACTCCTCCTCCCTCAGTTGCGCATCAGCTTGTAGCTGGCGGTTTTCTTCCTTGGTCTTGTCCAGAAGCTCTACGAGGACATCTTCACGATCCTCAAGCCTCATCCAGAAATCTTCCATGTAGTCTTCGACGGCATCAGCGAGTTCGTTCATGTTGGATTGGATCTCTGTGTTCGATCTCAGCACTGGGTCAAGTAGGCTATAAGTCTGGTCAGCACAAGATCAGTCTACCCTACTTGGTGACTTACTTGGAGAAAGTTTTAACATTGGCTTCCTGCATCTTGTCGATGAAGCTTGCCTGTGGCTCGACTCGCTCATCAAGAGTAGACAGATGTCCGACGATTTTGTCAAGTCTGCTTGGTCAGCCTTTCGACCCTGACAGCAGAGAAGCCGAATACGTACTTGATTTGTATCTCCTCCACAGCCGCTCCGTCTCGATTCTGCTGAAATGATGCAAGGTCCCCCATTTTCGTATTGATCTGCGCAATCTGAGCTCCATAGGTCTTCATCGTATCTTGAACGGATTTGATGGTTGCGGTTTGCTCTAGGAGCTTCCGGATAGTCTCCCGTTCTCGCTGCACATCAGCTTCCCGCTCTTGGGCTCTCTGCTGTAATGATTCGAGCTTGACGTTGACTGCTGCTTTTCAGCGTTGGAAGAAGACGTGCATGCAAGATGTGTACTCACATTCTCGTTCTTTGGAACTATACTCAGCAACCGTCGACTTGACAACCTCAGTGAGACGTTCACGGGTGGCTTGCAGGTCTTTGCGGTGCTGTTCATCGAGCATTTTCCTTTTGTGCTCTTCTTCTCGCATATGTTGGATAGCAGTCTCGCATTTCGCCTTGGAAGCCATGTAAAGCTCCTGCTGCTCTGCGGTAGCCGAGTTCAGGTGCTCCTTGTATGTTCGGCACTTCTTCTGGAGCTCAGAGAGCTTGTTTGATCGATCTTCGAGCTGCTGGTTTGCGGACTCGAGCTGCTCTTGAAGTCGACTGTGATCTTCTTCCAACTCCTGGATCCTCCCAGACTTGCCTGCACTCTGTTTTCGAAAGTTCGACAATTTTTCAGCCTGTTTGCGAAGGTTGTGCTCGAGATAGGCAATATCTTGCTCCTTTCGTCGCCATTCGTCCTTCATCATCCCAAAGTTGTTGTTCAAGGCTTGAGCAAGGTTTCCAGCCATCATATCGATGTCAATTGATTCATTTGACTGCTGAGGACCCTCTTCTATCACAGGACTGGGGTGACTCGCTGCATGCTGGCGGTCCCGTAGTCTGATGGACGGCGTGTCGTTATGGCGGCGCGAGTGCCGTGACCGTGGCTGATGCAATCCGCTCAAGGGTGTTGGGCGAGGACGCGACCGCTTCTTGCTGATGTTCGAACCATGCGCAGATGAGCAAGATGATGGGCGAGGGGTTGGAGTCTTCAACTTGGTGACCTGACGAGTGTCTCTCATTGGTCGATTGAGACTGATATATGGTGACAGTCCGAGAGCTTTCTTTCGCGCGAGATCCTCACGGAGCCCCCGACATTGAGAGGTCTCTTGAGGCAATGCCCTAGAAGCTTGGGCTGGTGACACGGAGGTATCATTTGGCAGTGAGATGCGCTGTCTCGGCCCGTCGGTCTGAACAGGAGTTGTAAGTTGATCTTGATGCAGTCGCTGGGTTACTGGGTTGTGAGTTCCCCTCCTATGCTCAGTAGAGATCTTCTCTACGCGAGGAGCTCGAGACTCGAGTTGAGGGGTGACGTGATCTTGTTGCTCTCCCGTGCTTGAATCATCCGGATGGGCCACGCGACAGGCAGAAGTCTGCGCGAAGGATGCTTGTACTTGGACATCTGAACGGCGGTATGGTGGCACACAGTCCTCGAAAGGGGGACGTCTTGTGGAGGGGTCAACCTGAGGCAGTTGCTCACCCTCATTTGCGACGGATCTGTCCGTCTCTTCAGGGTTCAGACCGCCATTGATGCTGTGAACATTAATACGAGCTGACTCCTCAACAGGAAGTCTCAACCTAGGAGAAACAGAGTCACCAAATTTCCTAGAGGCGACGGGAAGTGGCTGGCCAGAACTGTCTGCAATGGCATCACGGCCATTGGTAGTCAGATTGCCAGTGGTAACAAGAGAGCTCGCGGAAGCCTTCTCCTTGACGGTATCGAGCATAGACCTTGTGGGAGCCGGGCGGCTGAACTGCCCAGGAATGATCTTCACCGGCTTTCCCCACAAGAAGCTCTCACCTGGATCAACTTCCAGGTTTTGCGGTCGAGACAGCAGCTGAAGGCCGCCATTTCGTTCAGTCGGCGACGAGTGAGAGTTCTCGGAACTGCCATTCTGGGTGTCAGGCAAGGGGCGCAGGGCATTCTGTAGGGTCATAGAGTCTTGAGAATCCTCGTCCTCTGGAGCCACGTCCGGCGGTCCGGGACTGTGGTGGGACATGGGCGAGATCGCGTCCACGTCCTCCATGTCGGGCAAGTAGACTGTACAGGTGCAAAAGCGAGACTTGTACGGCCTAGCAGGACAAGGGAAAGTTTCTTGAGCTCCAGTATGGTGTATATTGTCACTTCTGAGTTGCTGAACAGATGGGTAGGAGCCGAGAAGAAGGGGGTTGACGGTAGAGTGATTCAGTTGTGGTCGCTAGAGTGGGTGAAGTTCCTCGAAAGATGCTCTTGCGGGCATGCTGATTTTTTTCAGGCAGACGCCAGCAAAATTTCACAGAAGGGAAGCGACGTCTTAGATGGTGCGATACAAGCTCTCATTGATGAGAGAGGAGGCAGGCACCGTGACTGCCTCACCACCAAGGAAGGTACCTAGATACCCTAGGGTACCGCTCCCCATCGCCAATTTGGCGCTGGCGATCTAATGACTGTTGGACCAGTGGCTGGAACTTCATGCTTGAAAAAATATCCAGAGCTCATCTTTTTGATTCCTGTTGAACATGAAATCAAATCTCGAATTCTGGAGACGGATCGTCTTGTAAGAGGTGACTTCCTTGCCATCGTCGACAAGGCCGGCACCTTGTGGATCCCGGGCATGGAGGATATCGGCAGTGCTGTCCATCGTCTCGGCCCAATATTTTAAGACTGCAGGTGTTCAGCTAGCAGAGTCTACCATGGTGCTACTGGTTGTAGAATGATCGAGTAACCTCGTCGTCGAGTCATCCTCAACTTCTACAGTTGGGAATGGACCACATCGGTCATTGTCGTACTGTAGACCTAGCTACAATGACAGTAACATGACAGCTGACTGAGCATTGAAGGGCCAAAGTGCTTTCAACAAGTCAGAACTGACATCCGCTATCCAAGAAAATGGTCAATGGCAGCAAAGACTTGGAAATCTTAATAACGCAGTCCGGAAAAAAGCCACCTCAAACACCGTCAGCCGCCTTGGTGGTGGACGAAGAGGTTGAAAGTAAACAAGTTGCATCAAGACATTACCTCAATTTAGACGCTGGAAATTCCGAAACACGATGTCGTCTAGAGAGCAGCGCGTCTGATACTATTCATAGCCTCTCCTTACCAGGGCTTCGCGTCAAGCTGCGTCTGGAAGCAGGCGAGCTCCCTCAGCATCCGCTCGCTTACAGCTCCTGTCTTATCCAAATAAGGCCACAAGCCAAGCAAGTCAATATCCCCAAAGCAACATGAGGTCGTCTCGGGATATTAAAACTCTCGGCCGGGTACGGAGCCACACAGGCAGGCAGGCAGGCAGGCCGCATAACACAGAACCCCCGAATGTCGCCCGGCGGTAACTGACACCTGGTGTCTTGGTCATCTTTTTTTGGTGCTTCTTGAGTCTCGCAGTGGCAGGCCTGCAGCATCCAGTAGATTTTGACCAGGTTTTCATGCAGCTCGGCACAGGCTTGCTTGGGTCTGACCCCAAAACCCAATCCGTGCTGCAACTGTGCGTCCCATTCAAGCTGCCAGTCCCGTCACCACGGTGATGGTGTGGTGATTCTGGCACGCTGACAAGTTTCTCGAATCGTGAATGCCCGCTTGTGGTGCAACTTTGGCAGATGCTGATTCAAGAGCGGGGAAATGTGCCATGAAAGAATTAGCATCGTGACGAGAAATTCGCACGATACAGATCGGCAGTGATATTGGTGAGAAGTCGGGCACCATTCCAAAGGTGAAGTCAAGGGCTCGGCGCTTACACGCACCCCTGCCTCCCGGCCCATTTATCCTGATTGGCCCGGACAGCCCAGTCCAACTCAGGGGTACTGTGAAGTGATCCGCAAGGACGGGCGCGTAGCAGCACCCGCCCTCGCCAATGACAGAGACAGAGGCTGCAAAAGAGCTGTCAGTTTCACCTGGCACCTTTTGGGTGGCCAATGGCCGCACCACTGACATCGGCTTGCCCAAGTGCCGAGGAGGGTCCAGCATGCATGCACATGCACTGCTTTCTTTGGCAGCACCCACGATGTCCACATGCGCCCTTGTCTTTCGTGACGATTGCGGGCTGCAGACTCTGAGGGTGAGGTCTAGCGTGGTATTTCTCTGGGTATTCATGTGTGACTGTAGATCTAGTTGTCTAAATAGAGCGGCTCCTCGCCCTGTGAAACAATATTGGGGCATTTTCATACCCTACTCTCCCCGAATTCTTTCGACTGCTGTCCCTTCAAGTCCGAATTTTCCACATTCCCAACCGCTTGCAGGGCTGACAAGCATTTCTTGATAAGGTCTTCCGTCTGTGACGGGATTCACGGACCATCCAGCTTGCGGCTTTTGTTGTGAGCGACCGGCAATCATGGCGGCGACATCATCCTCGTACTTCCCGCTCGCAACTGAGGACCCATACACTGGCGGCGGCGACAACACAGCTGGCACGGCGAACGCTGGCTCAGATGGAAGTCCCGACAATGACGCCGGAGCGTCTGGCAGCAGCAGCAACAATTTCCAAATATCGCAGGGCGCACTCATCGCCATCATCCTGATCGTTGTCCTTGTTGCACTTATCGGCAGTAAGACGCCCCTTTCTCGCGTTCCCAGCGCGTGCTAACCCTTGACAGTCGCCTCTGGAACACTCTTCTACCTCGCAAAGAAGAGAGAATGGAAAGTCCGCGAGACCATTCGCAGGTCAGCCAGGAAGGTAGTCACAGCACTGACACCGCGACGCTCCGAGTTCCCGAGATCTGTGAAGGAACAGTCGATAAGGTCACGAAGTGGACGTACCCGGGTTGAGGATGAGATCCCACCAACTCCACGCTTGAAGCCCGAAGATCTCGAAAAAGGCCTGGCCGCCAAGGTGGACGTGAAGCGGAAGTACTTTCATCGAAAGTAGGGGTATCGCAAGTGGGTGTGAAGCGGACTGGTTTTTGAATGCGGAATTACCCTTGGCTGTGAGTCTGATGGGAGCGTGATGATATTCAGAACGAGATGATAATCGACCTTCAACCGCGAAGGGCGGTGTGGAGTTCAGGGTTGTAATTGAGCCGGATCATATAAGTAGTACGATGCAGATGTATTATAGTTTCCTGAAGGTGTTCGTGCTGGCACTCCGTCTTTGTGCTGAGCGTTTGTTATCCGAGGCTGGCTGCTCAGGCTTTTGCTTCTTCTTGGATTCTGGCACGAAAGTAATTGACCTTTCGCCCACCGCATCGCCCTGCGAAATCTTGCCAACGCGGCCAGTCTTCTTCTGCACTCGTGAGCCGAGAGCGATATCCTTATTTCTTCCTGCCTGGCCGGATGACGATACCCGCATGGAGACACCTTGTGGTTCATTTCGAATCGGCTCGTCGTCCTCGCTGACAAAACCATCTTCGGACTCTTCCTCAGAATCCACACGTTGTCTTCGGGTGCCGTTCGTACCTGCCTGCGCATCGGTCGTTGTGCTGGGGTTGAGCATCTTGAACTCCCTGCTCGTCTCATCCACAGCGAAGTCTTCGTCTTCGAAGAGCTTGCCGAAACGGTCGTCCCCGAGCACGCCGGCGTTGGTATCCACGGTGTCTCTCCTTTCTTGCCGTGCGAGGATCTTGTCCGCCAACTTCTGATTGACCTTGACCTTCTTGGTGCCACGGATCCTGCTCGCACGCTCCTTCTCCACCTTCTGTTGAATCTTCTTCTGGCGCTCCTCCTCGAGCACGAACGGGTTGGCAACCAGGTGCGCCTGCTCGTAGAGTTTCGTGTCGACAAAGTAACCGTGCATGTACGGGCGGAGCGTAGGGGTCCCGATCAGGTGATCCAGGCTGAGGGCCTTCAGCTCTGGCAGGGTCAAGAACTTGTAGTTGTCGTATGTCTCCGTGCGGGCCTCCTCGGTCATCTCTTCCACCATGTTGTCGAGGAATCCACACCACTTCGGTGCTGAACCCAGGGATGGGATATGGAACACGTGCTGCTGCTTTCCCTCATTTGCGGTCACAAGTGTGCCCGTGTCCTTGACCCACTGGACGAAGTTCAGGTCGGTAATGGGCTCTATATGTGTCCAGGCCTCGCCACTCGTCTCGTCCCAAATTTTGATGATTTTCTTGTCGGATGTCAATATTTTCCTCTCCTGGGATGCAGTCTTGAGATGCAGAATGTTTTGGATAGCATAGCCGAAGCCTTGATCCTTTCGTAGTAGAGGCACCGGTCGCCGGAGGTCGAAGACGGAGCATATACCCTGGCTGGTACCTATTGCCAGAGAGAGCCCAGAATAGGGATTGAAATCCAAGGCCGTGACTTGTCCCTCCAAACCTTCAAGAACAGCCACCTTTGATCTGACGCGTGGGTCGAACATCTCGACCGAGCCCTTTGATGTTCCGAAGGCCAGCAAGTTGTGGGTGTCTTCAGCGATAGCAGCCGCGCTCACGCAGCCAGCCTCAACACTGCCCTGCAAACCAGCCTCGATTCCTTCGTCGCCTCCCACATCAATCTCGTAAGACTTCATGAATCTGCCCTCGACAAGGTTCATGCGGAATACCTCTCCAGTACCGTTCGATCCCAGTCCTGTAGCTGCGACGAGAGCCTCGGACGAGTTGCGGTCGTAGACAAGATCTCGGCCGTAACGCGGCAACCGTATTTCGTGATGGCATCCGGCCAAGGTGTGGAACTCGAGTTTGCGGTCGGACTGGAGGTGAAGCGACTTGGAGGCATCCTGGCTGAGGAGGACAAAAGACTGATTGAGACTGGTGGTGTGTCTGTCCCAACTGAGGGAGAGTTGGCTGAGATCGTGCGTGTGTATTTGCGGTTTGTATGTGCCTGTGCTCATGATCCATTGCCCATCTTCCGAGACCCTGACACAGACACTAGCCTCTTCGAACTCGAAGTCCTGAAGCAGCTCGACTCGGTTTGAATATTCGGGGTCATATTTCAAACTTCTCTTCCTCCTGCGGGCGAGCCAGTCTGGCAGCGGCCTGCCTGTAGATGCGCCGGAGACGGTGTATACTGGCACAAGGCCAGGCGTGGTGACCTTCATGCTTTCTCACGACCGTGGGTCGAAAGAGACACGCAAGATTGTGTACAGGCGGGTCTAGGCGCAGAGGAAAGCGTGGTGAGGCTTGTTTTCGAGGCAGCAGAAAATCGCTTGTAAGAGGCCGCAAGAAAGTAATCCTTATCGGAACTTTTTTTATCGACCTCGCTAGGCCCACCAAGCATTGGACTGCCCAGGTACTATGGTAGAACGTAGAGCCCCAAGCTGGCCCTGGCCCCACACCTGGAGGACCCCTGTGAGAGGTGCAGGCGGGCGGGCCAAGCACCCACGAGCTAGTCCCGTCCCCCGGGCCCAGCAGCAAAGGGCAAGAGAGCGGCCAGGCCGCGCTGGATTCCATACATCAACGAAGAGCCAACCTTCTAGTCCGACCTGCTTAGCCGTGCCCGTCGTCCCGGCCGGAAGCTTCCCCGAACTGTACGATTAATTGCCCTTCCAACAGGTGCATCCCTAGCTCGAGCCGCTATACCCAGGTTTCGAACTGCACAGCTCAAAGTCGGAACCCCCGCGGTTGGCCTGCTGTTCTAGCCGTTGGGAACAACGGCCTGGTACTCCGTACTCCGATCGCCTTGCCACATCACGCACCTGTCTCACGATATCCGCACCTGGTCCCGACTGAGATGGACTGTGGCCCTCCGAGGGCTTTCAGCAGACCAGACCACTCCACACCCATGAGCCTCCGTCGCATGAGACGCCCCAACCTCAAAAACCGTGCCGGGCTTTCCACGAGGTCCTGGATGTGACACTCGCTTGGGAGGACGGCCGATCTACACGTGCCCCATGAATGGAGGCTGTCTCCCCCTGTGAGGGACTCGATACTACGAAATGGACCCTGGGGAATATGATACTAATACATTATTGATTGTGAGTTGCCCCCAGCGGCTCTTGCACTCCTTGGCGCGTGCCTCCGCTGACGTCTGCGCGCGCTACTCGTCCAGAACAACGTCTCCTCCGTCGCTTTCAAGATCTACGAGCCCGTGGTCACACACGCTTCCTCATACTCCTTCTCCGCTTCCGACGTCGAATCCACACTTAGGAATGGGGGGCATTTGGTCTATGCCGACGCGATTCGGCGGGCAATATGGTGTTTCTCACTTACTGCCGTCGATGGGTCCACCATGGGCCTTTCGGCACAGCCATACCTCGACGCGAATCTCGAAGTCTGCGGCTACAAGCTTGTGATGGTAGAAGAAAGCGGTCTCGAGCCCATCAGCTTGCTCAAGAATCGGAATGTCACCCCGAATACGCTCAACACCCCCGTATCCTCGTCGCCCATCGGATCCGCGCTCGACAATGCGCTACGAGGCGCACAGGCCCCAGGAGGCGCGATGGCCACGACAGGTTTCCCCATGGAACCAGACAACAAGACAAGCGTCGCTTTCTCGGCAGACTCGAAAGGCTATGGATCTATACCGGCGAAAGACATATACGAGTTCTTCACCGCGGCAGTCTTGACCAGCATTTCACAACGTTTCTGTGCTAAGACTGGTGCAATCCCGCTGGACTCGAGATCCTTCATCCTGCCCTCCACTTCGACCGATTCAGAGTCTTCGGAGCTTTCCAGCGCCCCAATAATTGCCTCGCTGAGGGTACATCTGACTACAACAGGCTCACTGTTCCTTGGCGTCTCGCTGTCTTTCTCCCAAGGCCTGCATGCCGGCGCAGATGGCTTGAACTCGTCTCTTCCGCCAGCTGGCACTACTATTCTAGCTGCGCCATTCGGGGTGTTTGGCACATTCCAGGGGTTGACAGAAGGTGACGGCAGCTCGGTTGATGGTAGTGCGGCTCAATCGCCCGAGACACAAATTACACGTTTCAGACCCGATGGAGATGCGAACTCCGGTCAATGGCGCGCTACGTGCTGCAAGTTGCTTGAAATGCGAGGCATCTCGACTGCTATTTTAAGCAGGTCTTCTTGGCTGAGCATCCAGTACCTGCGACGAAAACCGGTTGAGTCCAGGTCGGACGGCAAGCGTACTCCTGTGGTGAATTCTCAAACACACATATTGTGGCCAGCGGTGCTTTGTTTCCGGAAAAGGGCGAGAAGCTCACTCGCGATGAATTGCACTGTCGACCCCAGCGGCATCAGTCTACGGGATGGCTTCGATGCCTTGAATCATGCCAAGAGTTGGTTCATTGGGAACAGTGATCGTGAAGAGCTCTTGGCGAAGAAAAAGAATGAGAGAGAAGCGGCGGCAACAAGAGACACCAGCGAAGCTAATCCTCGCCTGCTGCAGAACAACGGGTCATCACCGTTTGATATGCGTCGAGCAAGCAACAACGGGGCCGCCGGTGGCGCTATGTACCCTACGCCACCCGATGGCGTGCAAACAGCGGCAGGCGTCACGCCGTCCATAGACGGAACTACGTCTAGCCCCGGAAATCCAGCACCCTCAGCAGCACTTGTTGACATTGACACATCGATGACAGCGCCAGGAGTTTTGGGCGATGCTTTTGGCGAAGGATGGGACGGTCCTGACACAAAGCGAGAGCAATCCTTCATCCAAGGCGAAAATTGGGAACTTAACAACGATGTCTTCGTTGACAACGACATCACGGATGCAGACTTCAACTTTTTCGACGACGAGAATCCTGGCTCCATGGATGTCAGCGTTCCTGATCTTTCCGAATTGAACACCGGACTGCCAAGCCTGGGCTCTGCGGACCAATTCGCCGCGCCCACCCCTCAGAAGCCTCCAGAACTTGGGACTCCAAAGAACAACGATCTGCCGGCTCCTCCTGTCTTCGCCAAACCAGAACTTAAGCACGCAAGGAGCATAATAGGCGAAAACCGCTCCCGCGACAGTACCAAGGTACGGCCATCAAATGGGGTCAAGAGGCAGGCCAGCCCTTTTGATCCCACAGCCGTCTACAAGAGGTTGAAGGCGTCCATTGCAGGTGGTTTTCGAACCAACTCGAATTCCGTCAATCTACCGCTTCGCCGAGGCAGTGTTTATGACAAGCTTCAGTTTGATCCGTCTCTGTCCATGGTGAACAAGAAGTACGAGCATAGCGGCAGGTTCGACTTCCAATGGGACAGCGAGGAGAACGCAACCAAGAAGACTGGCTCGCCTCCAACGACCGACTATTTGCGGCGGCATGGTAAGTCGAGAGCCACAATGAAAGACGTGCCGGCCAATGCGGGCAGTCGAGGTCTGGATGGCGCGGGAGTCATGGGACACAGCCTGCATCTTGATTCTATCAAGTATGAGGACTCAACTTCGGACGCTGATGAAGTCAGCCTGGTCTCAGACCAAGATGATGCAAGTGACTTCTCTGATGAGCCATCGTCTCCCACGAAACTGAGTGTGCGGCGGCGACGGCTTGGTGACGACAACGAATCGCTTGCCCCGTCCATACGAGACATTGACTTCATGGATGACAATCAGACGCTGAGTAGTACGGATCTGTCAAAGTTGTCCATAAATGACCACTCTGAGACTTCCATCTTGCGCTATTTCGCCGACGCAGAGCCGGCCTCTCAACGACCGATTCTCAACGACGACGAGTTCATCATGATTGCTCAGATACTCACAGAACAGGCTGTGTCTGGCAGCCTCAAAATTCCTCTTCCAGAGTCCATCCATGTGGGTCTACACTCGGCCGACATGCAGCGAGACATCGTGCATGGCACACAGACTTCGTTGCGGACACTGCAGGCAATACTGCCACCAAATCTGCAGACAGCGACGGTATGCCAGCTCCGTCAGTTGCTGGAAATACAAGACGTTCCATTCCTCGCAGCGCCTAGCCGCATGCAACCACGGCCGGCAGGCGGGCCAGAACAACGACCAAGTCTCGTCCAGATCCCGCCGCCGCACCTCGAGCTGCGGAGGCAAGAGTCCAGATTGTCAGTGTTGCCGTCTGCCGTCAGATTCTGGGAGACACTCGGGCTCGGGCCGTCACAGGGCCCCAAGAACGTACATGCTGTCTGTGTATTCCCTGGTCTAGACGGTGTGGCCGACTTTGCTGGTATCTTACTAGAGCGTCTCCACAACGTTTACGAATCCCTGAAGTTGGGTAGTTTCGAACGGATGCCGTCATCGGCGAATGTCCCGAATGTGCAAAACGGACTCTTCTCATACGAGGTTGACAGGACGAACAATGCCGCGGTTGCTTCACCGGGATCTCAATTAAGATCACTGCTGGTCGAGAACATGGCGAAACTCGCAGTGGCTATATACAACTCGACAGCGGTATCCAAGAACTTTGTCATCTACTTCGTTTACACACCCGACAACCCTCAGACGATTGTTGACGCTTGTGCAGCTTTCAAGAGACTCTTCGACATATACAAACGAGTTCTGGCGGAGAGGAAGAAGCCGGCACAGAACGAGCTGGTGCTGCAGCTGGTCTCTCTAGATTTCATGGCTACATCGACTTCATTGGTTGTGCTCCAGCCGTTTGAACACATTCGACTATGTCTCGAGACTTACGATCGTTGCACTCTGTTTGGAGGCCCGATGCCCGCTCCAGCTATTGTCCTTGAGCAACCCATAACCCGGGGCATCGACTTCCAGATCAGGAATCCGCCGTCAGCGAACATACTCCAGGAGAACTCAGCAATGCACATTGCGTATGCCCAGAGTGTGGATGAGAGATGGATCTCGGCTGCTTGGTCGGACAATCGTGGCTCCAAGCAAATGACTGCATCGTATTGCCTGGGAAGAAGAGGCAAGCCACTATCGAGGGGCTTCACTGATGTGGCCCATGAAATCTGGACGACGACATTTGACCTGATATCTATCTGGAAGGTGCACTGGCGCATAATCGTGACCAAAGTCGGTCCAATGGACCAACAGGAGGCCAGCGACTGGATCACGCTGGCACAGACAGAGACCAAGGCCTCTGTCACACTCACTCTGCTGGCAGTAGATACCAACCCATCGCTGCAACTGATCCCAGCAGTATCGAAAATACCCATCACTGCACAATCTGCATTCTACTCGACACCGGTGTCGACGCCCCAGTCATCCATTGTCTCACCAGAGCAAGTTGGGAACCCGACCACACCCAAAGGCGGGCCGACGTCCTCCCAGAGCGCTACTACGCCAGGGGCAGACGCAAACGCGTCCGAGGCCGATACTGATGCAAGCCTCGTGGACGTGACCGACACAGTCTGGGCAGCCATAGCCTCGCACCGGCTCAACATCTCACACTCGCTGGTGGACCCCAACCCAGCCCTCATCAGCGGCTACCTGATCAAGCGGGGATGCTCAAGCACAGAGGACCCGCCGGCCGTGCTAGAAGTCAACGTGGTCCACAGCGAGGGCAACCCCCGGATGCATGAGCTGCTTCTTAGAGAGATGTTGACTTACTTCCGGGGACTGTGCACCATTGCGAGGGCCAGGTCTGTGACAGACGAGGAGGGCGATGTGCGGCCGTGGCATGTAGCCGCGGCCGAGAAAGGCGTACAGGCGTTGTATCAACTGATGTGAGGGGTGGGCGAGGCGGATATCTTGGTATTGTACCACGGACTGGCCGGGCCGTTGGTGTTTTGGGCGTTGATCTTACTGGCGCAAAAGCATGGGAGAAGCACTTGAGCATGAAATGTCTATTATAGAGGCCCAATGTAGGATATCATGCACACCAAACAATCCGTGGAGCAATTTTTCATCGCTCTCAGTAGTGTACTTCGCGAGCGATACGGTCTTGTGTCTCATTGCATATTGAATTCCTGGATGGCACGCAAGTCTCGCAAAATCTACAGTCTATATTGCTGCGCTTACTTCTCTATATGTGCAGACTGAGCGCTTTCTTCTCACGCGGCACGTTGCTGACTCCGAGAAAGCCACGGATGAGAGCAGCAGCATCGCTGCCAAGCCGGTCGCTTTGACCTCTACGCCCCCCAAGACCTTAATTCTCCCAGAACCCGGGGAACAGGTACTCGATCCTCTTCATGGCCTCCGGGTCCCTGCCCTCAGGCTTGGTCATGAACTTGACGGCACCGGAGCTGGCGCCCTCCCAGTGCTTGGCGAGGACGAGGTCGCTGTTGTCGTGCTTGGACAGCTCGTCGAGGGCGGCGCCGACGAGCCGCTTGGCGTTGACGCTGTTGGCGCTCATGTAGCCCATGACCATGGCGACGTCGACGTCCTCCCCGCCGGCGGCGGTGCGCCAGCAGTCGTAGTCGGTCGCCATGCAGACCATCTGGTAGGCCAGCTCGGCCTCGCGGGCCAGCTTGGCCTCGGGAAGGGCCGACATGTTGATGACGCTGCCGCCCCAGGAGCGGTACATGTTGGACTCGGCGCGGGTGGAGAACTGGGGGCCCTCTGTTGTTGGGAGGCGGTCAGAAATGTAACCGAGGGGGGAAGTCCTTGAACATCAGGTGAAACTACTGACCCATGCAAATGATTGTGCCGCCGTCGTGCAGGGTCGAGCCCTCGCCCTGCATGGCGCCGGCGCAGGCCTTGACGACGGCAGCCAGCTTGGCGTCGAAGGGGTCGGCGAAGCCGACGTGGCCGACGAGGCCCTTCTCGAAGAAGGTGAAGGGGCGGACGCCCTTTGTGCGGTCGATGACCTGGTCGGGGACGACAAAGTCCATGGGCTTGATGTGCTCTTGCAGGGAGCCGACGGCGCTGAAGGCGATGACGCTGCGCACGCCGACGTGCCTCAGGGCGGCGATGTTGGCGCGCGAGGGGACCTCATGGGGCGCGAGCTCGTGGTGGGCGCCGTGGCGCGACAGGAAGGCGATGGGCACGCCGTTGTGCTCGAGGATCTGGATCGGAGCCGAGGGGTAGCCCCATGGCGTCTGCGGGTTGACCTGCGCGACGGGCACGTAGCCGTCGATCTTGGAGAGGCCGGTGCCGCCTATCACGGCGATGTGGACCGGGCCTGGGGGGAGAGGGAGACAAGTTAGCCGCGTATCCCGTGGAATTGGGCTATGGATGGGAGTGTGAGGAAAGCTTCTTACGGTCATACTTGTCTGGGAGATTTGTAGTCATGGTGAGAGCGAGGCAACCGGCCGGACGAGGTCAGAAGTGGGAAGGGTCGGGCTCACGGTTGAAAGAACCCCTCCAAAATTATCAATTAGTCTATCAATGGAGGGGTTGGGAGCTTTACATTTCTTGTCTAAATCGACCCCTCGGCGTGAGGTCCTGAAAATGTCCAGACGACCTGGATCTACATCCTGGTAGACAGACTACTGCGTATCTAATTACTCACTTAAGTAGGTAACTTATAAGACGTTGAATATTTGAGCAGAGTAGATCTCTCTGTTCCACCATTCCTTCGAGTCGTCTCGACGCCAGTCAGCCGCCCACGTGGTAGACGAAGGAGCGCCACATCGTCACCGTTGTAAAAATTCAAATTCGAGCAACTGTCTCACTTCAAAACCGCAATGTCGACCTTGACAGCTTGAGTCGGGCGGCTAATGCCGTGGGATCCCTCATTGATGTGGGCCATTTTACATTTACAAGGGCAATCTGCCAGGGGCAGACACACCTGAGCTTTGTATGTATGCCTGATGCTGTCAGGCTGACCCGGCACCAGGCACCGAGGCAGCTGCGAGGTTGACTGTGCCTGCCCTGGGGCACTAGATCCTTCCTTTCCCTTTTCGTTATGTCGTGCGCTTCGACGCCGCTGATCTTGCACTATCCCACGGACTTCCCTAGACCCCGAGAGTGAGTCCTGTGAGGCACAGTCTTGCCTGCAGGCACTCCGATTGGCAGACGAGCGAACACCACCACTACACTCCCCTGGTGCGCTAGTCTAATGCAAGGTCCTCAGGAGCAATAGCCTCATTCAAGTCTACCAACGGGGCCAAGAGCAATGATTGTTGACCACCAACACCGACTTCTTGTCATCCACATTAGGTGAGCAGCTCCGCAGTGGCCGAGGTTGCTTACTCTATGTTTTCACTCAATACTTGGCTGCAGCCTTACTGAAGCCCTTAAAAATAGATCAACGTCCAGAGTGAGTATGGTATATAAGACCACGGCGACGCCTTCAAGCAACATGGATGATGATGCTGCCATCATCCCTACACTCCCTTAGATTCACCCTCACCCTTTTTAAATCCAGTTGCCAGTTGGTCGACAATGCAGCTCAAGACTGTGATTCCTGCCACCCTCCTTGCCGCCACTGCGACAGCGCAGCAGGTCGTTACCGAGACTATCGAGGGATACGTCTTCGAGCACTCAGGCCCCAGAGACGCGGCTCCGCAGGCCACCTACGAGATCCGGGGCCTGAAGACTGCCAATGAGCTCCTCAAGACCCGCATGGGGCTCGACCCCTCGACGTCGGATGACCTCGCCGCGCTGAGGGAGGAGAACAGGCGCCTCAAGGCCGAGTACGATGCTGACGGCTTCCTGGAGCTCCTGGCCCCCGACATCACCTCAGCGGATGAGTTCTGGCAGGACGTGATCAAGGACTCAACCCCGGGCAGCTGGATACCCGCCGACGCCCGGGGAGCCGCCTTCCTGCCGAACCTCACAGCCTTGGCCTTCGCCGCGTGGTCGCAGTCGCCCCTCGCCGACAAGGCAAACAACGACGTCAACGGCGAGCACTACTTCAAGCGCACGGTAACCAAGGGCCACGGCGTGCTGGCCTCGGAGATACTAGAGGGATGGGGCGGCGTGACGACCCTCTTCAACATCCCGGACTACGCCACCCCACCCAACAGGCTCCAGTTCCCGTTTCTGCGTCTCCTGCCCGGGTTCCTCTTCCAGGCGGCGGGGAGCAAGGTCCTTGCGGACGGCAGCCTGTTCGGCGTGCTGCACATCTCAACACGCGATGTTGTCGGGAAGGCGGGCGAGCGCGGCATCGAGATCTACTCTACCGTCTGGTACGGCGATGCAGCCGAGGATGATTTCCTGGAGGCGGAGAGGCAGCACATGGTTACTGAGATCGTCAAACTGACGATTCAGGCCCAGAAGGACGTGGAGAGCGGCAGGTTCAGTGTGCCTTCTGTGTGGGAATATTCAAAGGCCGCAGGCGAGGGAATCAAAAATGAAGATGGGAGCTACGGTCTTCAGACCCAGTTCGCAATAGGCAGTAATTAATTTTCAATCGAGAGTACCGGTACACCACGGTGAGCGTTGTCTGCAATGAGCTTACTGTGTACAATGGTTGAATTTGCTGTGGCGCCAAATCGAGTTTGTGGCCAAAGAGAGACTGAATACACGGTTGTGCCACAGCAGATCTTGGGAAGGCGTGCTCCAATTGCGTAAGGCTGGGTGAGTCGGTGGCGCTACACCGGTGTGAGCTTAGGCAAGGATCCGCTGCAAAATTCACGCCCGCCTCTCCCCTGCCGACTGCACTGCTCACGGCATCCATCCGGTTTGGCAAGCTCCATCTGTTTGCCGTCAGTAACAATTAGCACTATTTTTTTTGTTGCCTCACAACGCACTTATCGCTCTATCTGCTATCAGAGAACGAAGCAACAGAACTATTACTGTCTGGCGCGAACCAGTAATCCAGTCGCGCGACGTTGTGAGCTCGGCCCGAGGAAGCAGAGGTAGCTTTGAGTTCGACCTTAGCGACCCGTCGAGGTCGCTGCTCAAGCTATCGTTTGTGGACGAGGCGCCAAATAAGGCACACTTCACAACAACGGTATCGAGGTACCAGCCAGGGTCAACCAGAGTGGGCTGCTCTCTGTAGCCCTCACCGAAAAAAATGGCGACGACAGAGGAGCCGGAGCCCGCTTCTAACGGCAATAAGTGCTCATACAATTCGATAGAGGAGCGATGTTTTGCTTCCGCCCTCATCTGCCTCGAGGGTCACTATACCGACTCGCCCGCAATGGGACCTCTGACCAATGCCAAGGTCGTCAAATTTGTATCACGCACATTGGAGAAGACCCATGCGTCGAAAGAGGTCCGGTGAGTGATCCCTCTGCTCAACGTTGCTGCCCCCTCACACACGCTGAACCACACTACAGAGAAGCGCTTTCAAGAAATGTCGCCATATGGATATGGCTCACGAGGATCTTTGCTGCCGCCATTCCCAATCTCACAACACGCTCTGTTGGCCCACTAGCAAGCCTTAATGACCCCGACAAGGGAGTGACACCCCAGGAGAGTACGGCTCTCATCGTGAAAAACTACCAAGGCCTAAAGGACGACCTGCAGATTCTTAACAAGCTCATGCACATCGCCCGTAATCTTCTCGTGACGACAGAGCCTGAGGTGCCTCAGGATCTATGTGCGGCGGTCCACTTCGACCAAATGGTCTACCAGACCATCATCCTCTGTGTTAATGTGACAAGTAAGGGTTATGACGGCGAGGTTTTGGATGAGCACTCTAGGCAGAGACTTAATGAAATCACTGAGCTCTGTAAGTATCATGGGATGCCACCTGGTTGGGAACTGTACTGACGTCCTGTCCAGACAAGAAGATACTGGTCACCTCATTACAACAGGCCCACAATTGGACTGCCAAGAATGACCGGAACAAGATGTCATTCTGGTTCGACGTGCTGTTCGACGAGGATGCTGCACTCGACGATCCGCAAGACGGGCTTGGCGATGGGCTGGGATTCCGGGTTGACGTCGCCAAAACGGAGGTCCAACACTGGCTGGAACGTAACTCAACAATGTGCGATACGGCCCGCCGACTTCTCAGGGACTATGCCGAGAACAGTTCCCATAGGCCTCCTGGCGCACTTGCACCGATATCACCGTTGGCATGGAACTGGCTTCCTCCAGGCTCGGTCAAGGTCAGAGCGGACGACCCCGAGGATAACGACAAGATCAACCCACAATGGAAACCCGAGGAGACAGACAAGTTTGAGCAGGACAGGGCCTATGGTCGCGTGTCAAGAGAGGTCGACATGTGGTGGATCAAGGCGCGGGATGCCAACTTTGATGATTGGGTCGTGCCCATGCCCTCGGTAGAGTTTGCGCAAAAGCGCACCGAAAACTGCAAGGAGAACCTCGTCAACCGATACGCCCATCAATATCGCGCCGAAGACCACGAAAGACAAGGTTCGCCACAGGAGGGAATCCACGAGGCGGATTACCCAGAAGAAGGTGACCAGCATGTCCCTGAAGAATACAGCGAGGAGTACGCGGACGACATGGTGGAGGACGAGGACGTGGACGATGACGACTCTTACGGCGAAGGCCCCATGACGGGTCTCCTCACCGAGGTGCCCAACATACTTGATCCTAAGCAGATTGAGGCCTTGCACATGATCGTCAAGTCGTGCATCTTGGATGCGGCTGGAAGCGGTTGGACTAGGGCAGGCGAGAATCTCCAAAAGACGCGATGTCGCATGTTTCTGGCTCTAGACTGCGGTAAGAGTTTGCTTAGAGAGATGCTTGTCTTCATTGCGGTCTGGGAAAAGGACGAGTCATCTCTTATCTTCCAGATTACGAGTCAAATCGTGGAAGCCATTCACCACAGTGCTCTCATTCCTTACGCCTGGAACAACCTGAGGATACCCAAGGACATAGTGTCTCCGGCTCAGACAATCCTGCTCCGTCTCATCAACTACATGTTTCGAGCACGGATTAAGAACCCACCCGTCGAGGAGAACAAGGATCAGATGGTGGCGATCAGATTGGTTCACTTTTTCTTCATCACCTTCAGAAGCCGCATCGTTCCAGAGTGTGTGGCTCTGATGAATCTTCAGGCACAAATTCGGGACAACGCCATGGATCCTGCGGACTTCCCCGTCGACAATTGGGACATGGAACGTGCAAAGGATGGCCTGGTCCAGTTTCTTGATTTCCTCACCACTGTTTCCGACGACTTTGACATGCGGAGCAAACTGATCGAGTGGGAGGCAGCGTATGACCTCTTGGCTCTGCTAAAGGGCCTCGAGGCCGGCGTTCCAAAGAAGCCCCTGGTTGATGTGCCTCACCGCTCACAACATCGTCCAGCAGATCCGGCGGCATCAACACCAGGCAACGAGCACTACGACGCCCACGACCCCCTCCCCCTCCCCATCCAAACATCAGAGAGACGCCATCCGCTCACACATTCCCGTGGGCCGGTGTCAAGGGCCAGATCTTGCAGATCCTCGCAGCCCTGCTCCAACCGCCTGCCGGCCGCAGCAGCCCGGGTAATCCAACGGTGCAATCGCAGGTCGTTCGGCACAACGGCATAGTGGCCCTGCTGAACTGCTGCACCTACGACGACCACAACCGCTACGCCCGCGAGCGCGTCCAGCTCTGTCTGAAGTGGCTCATGGACGGCTGCGAGGACGCCAACACGTTCCTCCGCAACCTGGTCCACAACACACCCGCTCCGCCGGGTGCCTCTGCCCCGGCCACCACGGCCCAGCAGCAGCAGCAGCAGCAGCAGCAGACTACGAACCTTCGCATCGACGGCGTGCCCGGCGAGGTGAGGGTGCAGGTGCGTCCAGCTCCGAGCGAGCCGGCAATGGCCACGCTGAATAACAGTAACGGTGTCAGCGGCGGCTCCAGTAACCACCACCACCCCGGGCCGGCTGCCGGCGCCGCTCCGTCGCGAGGCTCGGCTAACCACCCTCCTCCCGTCCCGGCTGTCCCTGGCCCGAGCAGCGCCAACGGCGGCGGTGGCCTACAGCTGGACAACCCACGAAGCAACATGCGGACGTACCTACAAGCGCTGGATTGGGCGCAGGCTCAGATGTAATGAGAGACCCTTTTCTGCTTTTGATTGCATTTTTTCCTCCCCAAGGACACCCGCGGCTCGAGAATTCGAAAAAGTCCGAGACTTCATGCTGACAATGGATCTTTCGTCCCACGCCACAAAGGCCCCCTAGGAGTCGCACCGACGAGCTCCTGCACGACATAATCAACCTGGCGGACGAGGCGGCGCGGCTTGCCCTCGGCGAGAACGGGGAGGAAACGGAAGACGAGGACTTCATGTGAGGGCAATCACAACACACCAAATACTTGTGGGAGACGGTCCCCCTTTTGTTCTTTCTGCTTGCATTTGACTTCTCCCGGCTTTTCCCACCCCGCCTTAAGTTTCCAGCTGCCTCTCCCCCCTCTGCCTCTTTTCTCAAAACCCACGCACAGAGAACCCTGTCTAACCTGCGTCTATTTTTTCACCTCGCGTACAGGTACTGCGTCTTGAAGCTTACAGAGCGCCTGAAGAGGGAGGGCATCGACATCAACCTACGAGACGCGCTCGGCGTCGACACGGACCCGAAATTGAGGAATTTGCGGGGGAAGCTGTGATGTTAGCGTACATATTAGATTAAAGCGAGGTCACTGGCGTAGGGACGCCACGAGACAACGGGCGTTGAGGATTATTGACTTTCCGCAACACAAATTGCGTCTAGAGATACCAGGTTAAGAGGTTCACTTTTTTGTTGAAACGGGCTTCTTAATCATAAACAAAACAAAACGGCTATTCTTTTGTATGGGTGCTGTGCCGTAACGTATCCCTCGATGAGGTGTTGGAAACCGTCGCGCGTGATCCCGGCCCCAGAGCTATATTTGAACGATCAGACACGCTCGCCCCCCACGATTCAGTCTCCCATGTTCCGGGAGGGCTCAAGCAGACTGCACTGTTCTCGTCCAAGGTGATGTCGTCCCCCCGTCGTTTGGGCCTGACATATACCACGCTGACCTCGTCCTTCCTGGGTGGCGGTGGGCTGGCCCCCCTCCACAACTGCGCCACCAGGTCCGTCGTGCTCCCGGCGTGCAGCTCCGCCGGGTGGATGTAGCTGCCCACCACCTCGGCGGGCTTCCCCCTGCCGTCAAACTCGAGCCGGTTGAAATGCGTGGCGAGCTCCTGCGGCGGGGACTTCGGCGAGGACACGGTGTGTGGCGAGCGCAACGACCTGCCCGCGTGGTAGCTGCTGTTGCTGGGTGCGACCCGGCTCGTGCGGTGGTGTGTCGAGGGGTGTAGGCTGGCCACCTCCTGGCGCTTCTTCCTAGCGAAGCGCCTGGAGGTGCAGAAGACGAGGAGGACGAGGAGGATAAGTAATATGATGGCGCCGATCACTATGCCGGCTATTATCCCCGGTGAGAGGCCGGAGGGCCTGCTGCCCGACGACGACCCGGATGAGGAGGATTCGTCCGTGGCGGATTTTGTGAAGACGTAGACCAGGGTCAGGTCACTGCTGACGGTGTTTGGAGAGTCCGTGATGAGGGCCGCCTCGGTCGAGACTGTGGAAGACGCGGCGATATCATCTCGGGTGATTGTGACGGTGAGGATTGAATGTGAGGAGGATGGTGCGAGGCTCTCGGTCAAGGGAAGGGAAGATGTGGTGGTCATGATAGCCCGGACCAAGCAAGTCACTGCTGTGTGATACTTGGGCACCGATTCGAAACGAGTGTGTATTGAAAAGGCGGAGGGAGGTAGAAGATCAACTGATGTTCATCTTCATATCACCAGTTTCTATGAGGCTCTGCTCAGGCTCAGGCCCATTCTCGCGGCACAGTCGAGCGAGGTCGGATCAGACAGACATTGGCTAGGTGATATCCACATATGTGACCAGGTTCGAGTACTGAGTAAAAGACGGCGGTCCCGGGTGCAATGTTTGGGCAGACGGGCGTCGTTTCCTGGTCTAAGTCGGCGAATATGGTGCGGAAGAAGGACAAAAGAAGATGGGAGAGCCGAACGCATGCATGCCACAAAGTCGAGGAGGGGAATAGACCTACATGAGAAGAAAAGCTGAATCCTCCCGTTGGGAGTGCTTTTGGTTACTCACGAAGAGGCTCCAAACCAACAGCCACAGCCATCCTTGCACCGCGATGAGAGCGAGATTGGACACGACAGGGGCCTCGCCTGAACCGTCAGGTTGGGCCTACACTGAGTAGCGTGACCAAGGAACGAGCAGCGTCTGACGGCCAAATAGGACTTCGTATCTGGATGCGGGTGTTGGGTCAATAGGGTAGCATGGGCGTCCCGTCCCCCCAACGAGCCGAGCGGACTGGACGCGCAAAACAGCCGCCCACGCCGCCTGGCCGCCTACAACACTACTAGTACAACTCGTGGATGGCAGGGAAGTGGCCCTGGCGAGAAGGGTCAAGTGACATGGGTAGAAGGGCCAGGACCCGGCCCGCCCGCCCAGATCTCGCTGCTAACGGCGAGCGGGCGAGCAGGCTGAGGAATAGTTCCCCTCGAGGGATCTTGGCAAGGATCTGGTCATCTTGTGGGTGTTGGTCCATTGACAGGAGCTTGACCCGATCTGGACGAAGCGAGATGAAATTTGCACAATTGTGCATCCGTCCACTCTTGCACAGACAGCATATGCTTCAATGGGCGGATGGACGGATTGATGGGAAGATGAAATGATAGGTGAGCTGACGGACTGACTGATGGATCAACGTGAGCGTAGATGGGTGGTTAATATAAATACAGGCTTACTATACCAGGTGTGGGATTGGAAATATTGATGACGGTCGAGATTGCAACATCCTCTCTTGGTGACGGCTTTTGTCCCTGCTTCCTTCAGGCGAACCCGAATGGGTGCTAATAAGAAGAAGACGGATGCCGCGTGATTTGTCTATCTGACAGGCAATTGAAACACAGGTTAGTCTGTGTTCCCCAGAAAGACCAGGAAAGAGCCGCATGCCCCAGATTGTCGGAGGGCTAGTCGACTGTGCCGGGATGGGGACCATCGCAGTGCTGTGGAAGAGGTTAAGCATGTGAAACTGCCGCTTACTCGTTCGTTCACAGCCAGCAGTGATGGAGAGTCGAGCAGCCACAGCACGGCTCTTTAACAATTTCTTAGTGCATCAAATGACCTCCCCGTCCTGCTGTGGGCGGCCCAGGTCAGCAGAAACGGCAGGGGCGACTGGCATGTGAAGACGCTGGAAGGTCCGTCGCAGTAGGGCAGTCCCATGACGCCAAGGCCCCTATGCGTGTCCGACTTCCGGCCGCTGCTGCAACCAAAGTCCACATCGCTTCGGGCTCGGTCGTCGTGTGCCTCGGCTCATCGAGCCAGGCGGTCCAGACAGATTACTACAACAACATTCCTCTCCTCTTCGTTTCTGAATTTGCACCAGACAACGCAAACTTGTTCCTCTGTCAGTCTGTCCACAGCACGAGACGAATACCATTCTCATCCGTATCCTATCTGCAGCATCACCGCGCCTTGTGTCACCCGATACCAATAGCCAGTAACCACTTACACCCTGGACAGAACAGGCAAACATGGGTGGTAGGAGAGCTCTCTCGTGTGCGCTTCCAGCGAACCTCGGACTGATCAAGCGGCCACAGCTATCGATAGGATCTCAGCAGTCGCTGGCCAGCTCTCCAGCCCCAAGCAGGGCAAGGCCAGACTCCTCGAGAAGAACCCCGATGATGTGAGCTCACCTGCTTCTCCCCTCTGCGGCTCCTTGCGCTGGTCGCCTCGTCACTACCTTCGCTGACCAGGGCTCCATCGCCTGCACTCTAGATCGTCGTGACAGCATGCCTTCGGACAGCATTCACAAAGGGCGGAAAGGGCGGCTTCAAGGACACCATGGCCTCCGACTTGGTTGCTGGCGCACTCAGGGGCATCATCGAACGCTCCAAGATCGACCCCAAGCTGGTTGAGGATGTCTGCGTCGGTACCGTCCTTGCCCCCGGTGGCGGTGCCACCGAGATGCGTGCCGCTGCTCTGGTCGCCGGCTTCACAGAGGCCACCGCTGTGCGCACTCTCAACAGGCAGTGCTCTTCCGGCCTGCAGGCGTGTGTGGACGTTGCCAACCAGATCAGCGCCGGCATGATCGAGGTCGGCATCGGTGCCGGTGTCGAGTCCATGTCAACGCAATACGGGTATGCAATGAACTGACCACGTCTCTGCTATCTTTCTGAGATCGGAAGCTAACAAGCGCGACAACCACAGCCCCGGCGCCGTCTCCGAGTTCTCGGAGCTTCTCGAGTCCCACCCCGAGGCCGCCAACTGCAAGGTACCCATGGGGGTGCTGTCCGAGCAGATGGCCAAGGACCGCAACATCGACCGGGCCAGCCAGGACGCCTTCGCCGCCAGCTCCTACCAGAAGGCAATCAAGGCTCAGCAACAGGGCCTGTTCAACGAGGAGATCATGCCCCTCAAGGTCAAGTACGAGGACCCCAAGTCGGGCGAGACCAAGGAGGTGGTCGTGGACAAGGACGACGGCGTGCGACCGGGCATCACCGCCGAGTCCCTCGGCAAGATCAAGCCGGCCTTCGCCAAGGACGGCAGCATCCACGCCGGCAACGCCTCCCAGATCAGCGACGGCGCCGCCGCCGTGCTGTTGATGAAGCGCAGCACCGCCCAGCGCCTGGGCCAGACCATCCTGGGCAAGTACGTCGCGGCGAGCATTGTCGGCGTCCCGCCTCTGCTGATGGGCGTCGGGCCCTGGAAGGCCATCCCCAAGGTCTTTGAGCTCACCGGCATCACCAAGGACGACGTCGACATCTTCGAGATCAACGAGGCCTTCGCCAGCCAGTGCCTGTGGTGCGCCAACGAGCTGGGCCTGCCCATAGAGAAGATCAACCCCAAGGGCGGCGCCATCGCCTTCGGCCACCCTCTCGGCTGCACCGGCGCCAGGCAGGTCTCGACCCTGCTGTACGAGCTCAAGAGGAGGGGCGAGAAGATCGGTGTCACGAGTATGTGCGTTGGTACGGGCATGGGGTAAGTCATCTGCATTACTATTCGCTTTCAATCTCGCCGAGTCGCCCCGCAAATGCTAACGTCTTTCTTTCCAGAATGGCTGCCGTCTGGGTTGCCGAGTAGACTATATAGCTGTAGTATAAAAATGTGATATTGCTAGCTTTGCATCTTGAGCCATGCGACTTCCCAACCACGCTGTCCTGTGTATCATCGACCTCAGTAAGTCGTCTGAGATCAGTACGTTCCGCAAATATTCTCGTGTAGCCACCATCCCCACAAGACTTGCACAGAAGCCCTCCACGTGGACTTCGTACAGCAGTCCCTCTGGGTGCTCGTGGCGTTGGCTGTGACATGTCTCGTACCGCGGGGCACAACAGGTCCTTTTTAGCATCGCACGAGATCCACGCGCATAGTGCATGGTTGCGCGCCACAGTACGTGCTTCTCTACAGTTGCCCGTCTAGAACCCAGGCACATGCGCGCCGATCCCCTTTTCCCGGGCAAACTCAACAACCTTCATGCCGACGGTCAGGTCCATCAGCCCCAGGCCGACGCTCTTGTAGATGACGTTGCCGGCCTGGAGCCAGCGGCACATGTGGTCCTCGCGCTCCTTCTTCTTCTTGGACACGGCGTCGCCCGAGCTGTTGGTGCTGCTGCTCCCCTTGCGCCGGTGGAACAGCGAGCCGGGCCGGCTGGGCGGCCGGCTGCCGTCTGCGTCGTCGGCGAGCGTTGTGGCGCTGCTGTTGTAGACTGAGGACATGGATGGCCCCGAGCTAAGGTCTAGCTTGTCGAATTCTGAGGACGGCGCTGTGCTCGCGCCGCTGCTGGAGATGAGGCTGCCCGTGTCGTCTGAGGAGGACTCCTCATCCATCTTGATGCGGTGGAGCATTACGAGTTCGCCCAGCCTGTGTTTGTGTTAGACTGCGTGTTGCCGTGGGGCTCAATACAATACAGTAGCCGGCGGGTTTCCACAATGGCTGGACTCACTCGATAAGCTGCTTGGGTGTTAACCCGCCCTGGATGACCTCGCCGGCCTCCTGCAGTGCGCCATCCAGGGTATCTACGATGATGACGCCGCCCTCGGTGGCATGCTTGTGGAAATGCCTGTGGCCCTCATGTTTCTTGACGGCCTGGTTTACCACCTCGAGGGGGATCTCAATCATGTCAGGCGTGTAGCTACCGATGGCGATGATGAGGCGGCCCTTGCGGCGGCCATCGCCGTTGGTGAGGAAGGTGTGGTCAAACAGCGGCTCCTTGCTAGGCGTGCAGCAGAAGATGACATCGGCTGCGCGGACCTGCTCCTTGAGCAGGCGGTCGAACTCGCCGTACCCGGGCGTGAGGATGCCAAACTGCGCGTCCTGCCAGCCCTCGCGCTCCTTGACGGCGCTGGGCACGGCGTACAGCCGCTTCAGGATGAGCTTGCACGACTCGGAGAAGCGGCGGTTGATGACGTTGACCTGGCGGATGGTGGGCCCGCGCAGCATGAGGGCGAGGCGTATGTGCCAGTAGGCCTGGTCGCCGGCGCCAAAGGCCGTGATGGTGTGGATGCGGTTGCGGCGGACGACGAGGCAGGCGGAGGCGAGGGCGGTCCGGAAGGCCGTCAGGGTGGAGGCGTGCAGGAGCCCGACGGGCTGGCCCGCCTCGGAGAAGAGGGTGATGGCGCCCGTGGGCTTGATCTTGGGCCTCCCCCCGGCTTCCCCTCCATCGCCGCCCTCGTCGTGTTTTGGCCGGGGTGGTGAGAGGGTGATGACTATTCATCTCGTCTGATCAGCAAGGGGCGGGACGGGTTTGAGGCAGGCCTGGGGCAAGGGCAAGGTTCAAGGTCAAGGGCGATGACATGGGGGCCGGGGACGGGGCCGTGACAAGACGGGTGGCTGCACACCTTTGACGCCCACGCCGGCTGGGCTGCTCGAGGGCATGAACAGGGTCGTGGCGCCTGTCCTTGAGGAGTGGACGCTCTGCCTGTGAGGCTGGTGGATATCGGACTCGCCGCCGGGAACCTGAGACCCGTTTGAGTAATCGTGAAGCGCGCCCTTGAGGTTCACAATGAAGGACTCGAGCTCATCCCCTGTCAGGGACTCGAGGAGCAGCCTTATCTGCTCGTCCGTGAGTACTGTGAGAGACATTGCGCTGTTATTGCACGAACGGTTCCCGTATATGTATATAAGACGCCGTATACTCGGGCAGTTCGGTCGATTCAGGAGGTGAGCATTCGCTTGACACCAGCAGGGGGTGAGGTTGTTGGACTTGTATGTGGCGATGGTTGGCCTTGGTCAACTTGGCAGACACAAATTTGAGAGTGAATAGTGTTTTCTCATACGACCAGAGGACAATGACGGGTGAGATGGTTTGCAGCAGGCAATGATGGACCAGATGTTTCTCGTTTAGGTAGGTGCAGTACCTAGGTACCTAGGACGTAGTTTGTGAGAAGTGAGTGAGTGATTGGGGAGGGACTCACTCGCATCTGCCAAGTGCCGCTAAACGAAGACGGCATTTTGACAGAACTTGAAGACCCGACGACAATTACATGAACAAGACGTTCTTGACATTGAATTCACGTCATTACGCTTTTCTGTCCATGCTTGGGGCTCGCGGCAGTTGGACTGTGGAATTTTGCAGCCCTTCTCAATCCACCCTCAGCAGCACATGCCGGTTTACGGAGTCTAATAGAGCAGCTAAGGGGCATTTGATCGTGGTCTGGCGGGGTTGATTGATTGACATCAGAAATAGAGCACAACAAAAATCCACATCATTTTGCAAAGAAGAATTCTACCTCTTATTCAGACATTCGATCAGTCTGCAAGGCTCCCACGCCACGCTCTTGTTTGAATACACATGATGACGGATCGTGCCTCTTCGCTGGTCTCGCGATGCAACTGACGCTTTCTTTTGAGTACATCCAAACACATCCAAACACATCCGCCCCCCAAGGCGCATAAATATCATGCCCAATCCGTCCGCCAAGGGGTCCCCCCGAGGGGCCCCACGACTCGAGGGCTCGTCCGGCCCAGGTCATTCGCCCCATGCACATGTTTGAACGCCAGGCACAAGAAACAATAAAAAGAAAACCAGAGCTAATAAATCATAAAACACACGCGCAAGCAAGCATCTCCATCGCTCTTCTATCTCTATCGCCCCGTCATGGAGGCTCCCTGACCGCCGCTGCGGAAGACCAGCGTCGCGTGGTTGCCCCTGATGATCTCGTCAGGTCCGGGGCTGCGGTGACCGTTGGCCTTGGCCTTTGTGTTGCCGAAGCCAAGGTCCCTGACCTTGCCGCAGCTGATGTCGAACAGGCACCCGTGGACCTCGAGCCCGCGGTCGCGGATGGCCTCCTGGATGGTGAAGTTGGCCATGAGCACCTTGACCCCGGCCTCGACGTTGAGCTCGGCGATGCGCACCCCGCGCTCCTTGTCGTCCCGGATCGCCGCCAGCTCCTCGGCGTGCGCGTACCGCACCGCCTTGAGCGGCGTCAGCCACGTGTCGAGCACCCCGCCCACCCGAGAGTCGGACAGCGCCGCCGCCGCCCCGCCGCACGACGTGTGCCCGCACAGCACCACGTGCTTCACCTTGAGGTGCGCCACCGCGTACTCGATCACCGCCGACGTGTTGATGTCCGTCGCCGAGATGATGTTGGCGATGTTGCGGTGCACAAAGACGTCGCCCGGCTGCAGGCCCAGGATCGTCGTCTCCGGGCAGCGGGAGTCGGAGCATCCGAGCCACACTGTTTGGTTTGCGTGTCCATTAGTCAGTTGTCATCTTTTCGAGACCCTTGGCGGTCCAGATGCCGAGCCAAGAAGCGAGCCCAGAATAGGTATCAAAGTCTAAATGAGCCGCATGGGGGGGAGGGAGACGAAACAACTCAGGGACTTACGGATCTGGGGTGCTTGCCCGCTCGCCAGCTTTGGGAAGAATTGTGGGTTCTGGTACGCCTTGTAGCCTGCCCACGCTCCGTTCGAGCTCATGGCATACTGGAAGGTATCCTCTGCATCGGCAACAAGTCTTGGTCAGCGAAATGGATATCACATCTGCCTGCAAGTGCATTGCAGATGGTGGAACCTGGACTGGTTACTCACGTTGGGCCATTTCGGAAGTCCGCTTGTGTGTGTCTCCCAACAAAAACTTGGTTTCGCCTTGCTGGTGGGTTTTTATACGCTGAGAGGCGCAAAGGAGGCGTCGGCTAGTGCAGGCGCTCTTCTGGTGACCCCGTCACAAGCTCGCAGCCTCGCAGGCTTCTAGGTCTTGCGGGTGGAATACCGGTGACGTTATTCCCACGCGAGAGTAAGGGGGGAAGGGGGCAGTGGACAACGGTGAGGCACCAGAGCCGGGATGGTGAGAACCGTTGGTGGTGACGGTGTGCTAGGCTCGGCTTGACGGTGACGGGCTAACGGGGTGATCTGATGCAGCGGACCGTTCCGGTGCTTGGAAGCAACTCGCGATGTAAGAGCGAGTTTACTGGACCCTGGCCTGCGAGATGGGGAAAGCTGTGGTCCACAATATTGGGTCTGCAGTCGCGTCAGACGAAGAAGCCGAAGAAGCGATACTCAAGGTTCCAGAAGCACATCCAGAGGGGGGGGGGGTGATGCAAGATAAAGATACGTACCTGGCCCGGGGAACACGGAGTATGTGCACGGTAGTTGACGAAACTCGGGGACACAGAACGGTGAGCGATTTAGACGCCGTCAACCAATTGTCAGCCGGGTAATGTCGACGCTACGAACTGCGCGAAGGGACGCTTTGTGGAACTCTGTTTCTGATCGAGGGGAATTCTGGCTGCCGCGGTGAGTCCTTCTTGTACTCGTGGGGAGGGAAAAAAGAAAGAAAAAGGAAAAAGAGGTTTGGGAAACCTTATAATATCATCTACGTCTGTGGGTGAGATCAAAACCCGGTGTACCCCAGGCTACGGATTTAGTTTTGAGATGAAACGACTCGAGCCCGAGTACCAGATCTGCTATCGCTCAACAGGCCGACCGATCGCACAGATGCAATTAGTGTTATTGGGAGTGGCCCGGGAATTTGACCGAGTGTTCGCGATCGCAGGAGCGTCGACAGGCGTGCGTGCAAGGCCCCCCAAGGAATGTCAAACACAGATCGCCGTCCCAGAACCCCTGGTCTGCCAGATCTATGCCTGGCTGCCGGGGCCAAGGCTCCTACCACATACCTAGGCTCGGGATGAATCAGGGTCTGTTTTGTCGTTATTGCTGCACACTATTATAGTCCCGGCATAAAAGAATGCCCAGCTGCTCCCTGCGAGACAGGCAGCCCGGTCACGGGTCCTGGTGTCTCTTGTGACTTGTGTGGCTTTTGATAGGGGGGATGCGACGCTACGGACCCAGCATGTGTTACCAAGCGGGTGCTTGGCACCCAACAACCACGTCCGGGAGTCGCCCAGCGCAATCATGTCACGGTGGTGATACGCTTTGAACATGGCAGGCTTTTCCATCTCGAGAGTCGTATTCTTAGTAGTGGCTGGCTACTCGGCGGCAATGTCACACAACACGAATGTGCCCAAGATGCTTCCAGATTAAGCAATTCCATTGTGTCCATAAACCGTTTTGGTATTTCCCAGACGCCGTGACCAGTTACCCTTTGCCGATCATGCTTCCCAATCATAGAAATCAGTCCTCGTCGAAACAGAATTAGACCTTGAGGGCCTGCTCGACAGCCTTCCTCTTCTTCTCAGTGCGCTTGTTGGCCTTGTCACCCATGATACCACCTCCCCACTGGCGGCGAGCGCTCTCAGTGTTGGCCAGGTAGCCGTCCTTGATGGTGGAAACCAGCTTGGACAGCTCGGACTTGTCCTCAGAGCGGACCTCGGTGATGGCGAGGACAGCGGCGGTCTAGACAAACGAGTGTTAGCATACATGCGCACTTGGTAGCTGGAGACCGGGGCAGCGCTCACCTTCTTGTGGACGACAGTTCCCAGACGAGCCTTGCCCTTCACGATGGCGAAGGGGACACCCATCTTGCGGCAGAGGGCAGGCAGGAAGATGACGAGCTCAATGGGGTCGACATCGTTGGGGATCAGGACCAGGGCGGCCTTCTTGTTCTCAATCAGGCCGACAACGTGGTTCAGACCGTACTTGACGGTGTAGGGCTTCTTGGAGACATCCTCCTTCTTCTTGCCCTCCTTGATGGCGGTAGCCTCCTTCAGCAGACGCTCCTTCTTCTCGACCTTGGTCTCAGGGCGGTACTTGTTGAGGAGCTTGAAAGCCTGGGTGGCGGTGTTCTTGTCGAGGACGTGCTGGAACTGGGCGATCGCAGGGGGGACCTTCAACCGCATGTTGAGGATCTTCTTCTGGCGCTGCAGGCGGACATACTCGGGCCACTTGACCATACGCGCAAGGTTGCGCTTGGGCTGGATGTCGGCACCGATACCGAAGTTGCGAGGACGCTTCTCGATGAGAGGGTTCTGGGGGCACTCGTTAGCATACAACGGGCCGTCGACCGCAAGAGGGGATGGATATCTATCAGCACATACCTTGGGGGCCTTCTTGCCAGCCTTAGACTGGGGGAAGGGGGCGGGAGCCGCCTTCTTTCCGGATTTGGGAGGCTATCATTGAGGAAGAAAGACATCAGCGAATGTGTTTCATTGCTTGTTGGTCTTTCTCGATCTCTAAAGAGCTCGCACGAGGCATCTCTGCCATCGTTGCGGAGGCTCAAGCCAAGTCATCACCTGAGTCCGAAGACAACAGGCGGAATCTGCATCTCGAATTTCTTCAAGAGCAGTCTCGAGTCGAACAGATGGACGACAGACAGCAGCACGCACGAGGCGGCCTGGTCTGCCGCCAACAAGACATCTCAATCAAGGGCTTACCATTTTGAAGGGTGGTGGTCGGCAGTTCTGGAATAGACCCTCTCGAAGAACTGTGGTTTGGCGATGGTTCAAGGGAAAGGAAACTTTTCGCTGGTGGGATCGCGGAGAAAATCGACTGGCAAGTTTTGTGGTGGGTTTCAGAGTAGCTAGTGCGAAACGGGACTAGCCTGCTGGGGGAGCCCGCTCACCAGCCACACTTGACGCCACAATGGGAAGGTACCTAGGTACCTAGGTAGCTTTTACAGGCCGGTGACTCGGCAGGCTTGACTCTTGTTACTCCGTAGAGTGCTCCATAGTCCAGACTGCCCTTCATACACTGACTTTTCGACTTGAAGTCCTTCAACACGGGTGAAAAGGACAACGATATTCGCTTTTCCTGTCACAGATTTGAGATTACAACTACTCCCATGAAAACATCTTGGGTTTCATATTTGGCCATTTTCTTTCCTCCTGGTTGTGACTCAGATTGCGAAGTTTGAACTGCAAGCACCGCAGTCTTCCAGTCCAGCGCCCTCGGAATGGCCCCGGTACCATGCGCCGTCTGCAAGACGGACAGGGCTCTCATCAAGCGGCCAAAGAACCACATGAAGCTTTGCAAGAAGTGTTTCATACAGGTATTTGAGGACGAGGTTCATCACACCATCACATCTTCAAATCTGTTTTACCCCGGAGAGAGGGTAGCTATCGGCGCGTCGGGTGGCAAGGACTCGACCGTGCTGGCTTCGGTTCTGAAGACGTTGAACGAACGTCACAATTATGGCCTGGACCTGGTGTTGCTCAGCGTGGACGAGGGTATCAAAGGCTACCGAGATGATTCCCTTGAAACGGTCAAGCGGAACTCGGAGCAGTATGAGATGCCTCTCAAGATAGTGGGCTACGGCGAACTCTACGGCTGGACGATGGACCAGGTGGTCGAGACGATTGGGAAGAAGGGCAACTGCACCTACTGCGGAGTGTTTCGCCGGCAGGCGTTGGATCGCGGTGCAAAGATGCTAGAGATTAGGCATGTCGTCACCGGCCACAACGCCGACGATGTCGCCGAGACCGTGCTCATGAACCTGCTCAGAGGCGACTTGCCAAGGCTGTCACGGGCGACACACATCGTCACCGGCGACTCAAACTCGGATGTCAAGCGGAGCAAGCCACTCAAGTACTCATACGAGAAGGAGATCGTGTTGTACGCACATCACAAGAAGTTGGACTACTTCACCACAGAGTGCATCTACAGCCCCGAGGCCTTCAGGGGAAGTGCACGGAGTCTCATCAAGAACCTCGAGAAAGTGCGGCCGAGTGCCATCCTGGACATTGTACGCAGTGGTGAGGACATGGCCCGCTTGGTGCCAGGGAGACAACCCGACAAGTGCGCCTGTGACGGAAAACCATCCCGCGCTGCAGCGCCGGTCGAGGAGGACGAAGGTGTCGGAGGGTGCGGCTCTGGCAATGGTCGCAGTACAGGGAATGAGATGGCCGCAATGGAAGCTCAACTAAGGGGCAACGAAACGTCGACGGGGCTTGAGACCGACGTAACAGCTGCCGTGCCTCTGAAGGCCCGGTCGAACGGGTCCAAAGAACTGCCAATACGGACTGCCAACTCCACAAATAAGCCAGGGGTGTCAAGGCAGGTGCTGGGAAGGTGTGAGAAATGCGGTTACATGTCGAGCCAGGCGATATGTCAGGCTTGCATGCTGTTGGATGGTCTGAACAAGAACAGAGCACAGATTCAGTTATAGCAAAAGATACCCGACACGGTTCATCCGTGCGCCTCTTGACAAGAATCATTCTTGTAAATGGCTCGTAGTATTGTCCCAACAAATTCGTTGCAGACTTTGTCTTCCATTGTTGCATGCATTGCGTTAGAAAGCCCCTATTCTGACTGCGTCTCCCAGGCGAATATATGCAAGTTGCGACCAAGCACGTATGCCTCTTCACGGCCCATGAACTCCCGGCCCACACGTATCGAGGCGCGCTAGGAGCCACAGTCTCGTGCTCTTGAGCCAAATATGTTCGCTTCGTGACGTCGTGGCGTCTAGGTGAGAATCGGTCTCCATCTAGCATATGCGTCGCTCGACCTGTGCATGCTCGTCAGCCTCCTCGTTGCAATTGCCAAGTTCCCAGCTGTTTCGTCTTACTCTCCAGGGGTTGTTCAATTCGTAGCCATCTGGTGCCACTGCATTTGACGTCTGGCCCCTGAGGAATCCAGTTAACCGCCTATCGCGGTTCATCACTTGTAGTCCGATCAGTATGGCACGTCCACGTCGTGATTACCAGCTCAAAGTAGCGTACTCTGTCTGTCCCACTGATCGAGCGAGCGCCTCGCTCGCTTGCCCCCGTTTTGGTAGTACTTCATGTTGGCAAGTCCCACGCCGGACACGCCGAACATCTGCAATTGAAGTCAGCCAAAAGTCGGGTGATTATGCCTCCTCTCTCTTCCGCCTCCGAAGTCTTACCGCAAGGATGATTCCATAGGGAATCAAGGTCTCGAATGGGACGGGCATCGTGCTGGCTCGGTCTGGATGGTGATTGAATTGGGTGTGGGATCTGACGTCGCCGAGACAGAACGTCGCTGCTGGAGTTGTCAAGCAGTCCGGTTAGAGGTGCTTGCTCGGGCCGGCACTGTTGTCTCAGACTGCAGACCGCGGGGCTGCAATTAGGCTCCATTGACCCCAACCCCAATTTGCGCCGACTGCAGGTACCGGCCGTGCTAGAATCCCTGGTCTGCGCCGAGACAGCCCACTCCTGCACCTCCGTTTGCGACGGACGTCTCGCCCTTGGGAGCCGGTCCGTCTTTCAACACGAACAGCTAATTTAGAAGCTCGAAACGCGTCAAAGTCGAAATTTTCGAAGAAGTGACTGCCTAGATGCTCATCGCCTCATGGTATCCCCTCAAATTCGCGCGTCCAACCACGGGCAACTCTCCAGACCGAGCCATCCACAACTTCATGCGTAGCGCCACCACGTCTCGTCGCAAATCACAGATCGCAAGGCAGACCGACATCGAGTGTGCGATCTAGGTACAACTACATACATAAAGAGTTGGGAATGAAGCCAGGCACTCCAGCAGTGATTGCCTGTCCGTAAGAAGGGTGGAGCAGGCCACGCGCAAGTCGTCGCTGGCAGGCAGAGCCTGGGCGGCGATCCAGAACAGGACCCCAACGAAGCTCCGCAGCTGGATTTCAAGTGTCCCCAACGAAATGGCGGCCGCGGGATCAGCTAGTAGCGCTCCCCTCACCGAGGACGAGCTGCAGCAAAGCGCGACAAATACCGACGAGGCTCCCGAGTTTGGCCAAGATGACGATGCCCCTGGTGACGAAGATCCAGATGCCGAGGGCGAGGAATATGATGAGGATGCTGAGGGTGACGAAGATGCGGAGGGTGACGAGGACGCCGAAGGCGAGTACGAGGACTTGGACGTTCTACCAGAAGAAGCCGAGGAGGACGAGCAAGAAGGCGCTATAGGATCCGGGGACGGCGACCTCGGGAGCGACGCAGATGCTGAGGGAGAAGAGGATGATAATTACTACGACGATGCCGAAGGCGAGCCGGATGATGAAGCCATGGAAGACGCACAAATGGGCCGGGGCAAAGAGGTCCCAGAAGACGAGGAGGAAGAAGAAAACGAGGACGAGGAGGGCGTAGGTGCTGTCAAGCTCCGGCCAGGCGAGACCGATGACGAGGAAAGCGAGGCCAGCGAGGGCGAATCGTATCACGCCGAGAGCGAGGAGGCATCCGAAGCAGAGGCCGACTGGAACGTCGCTGCAGACAACGACGACGATGACGATGAGTCGGAGAACGCGCCGGCTAACATCTGCATGTTCTGCAAGCAAGACGAGGAAAACGACCCTTGTGAGGAGTTCGAGATCTTTCTGAGTTGTACCGGCTGTGGTGACAGTGGTTTGTACCCCTTTACGTGAATCCGATGTACCCGTATGCTAATAATACCAATATAGCTCACCAGCAGTGTGCTCGGGAGAATAAGGCGCTAGAGGGCAAGCAAAGTGAGTGGCCAACCAACCCCCCCTCCCCCATGATCATAAATAACAGCATGTCTGATACTAATCTCGACCGTAGCCTCCAAGTCGTGGAGATGTCCAGAGTGCCATGAGCAATCCGAAGCCGAGCAGGACGAATCCCAGGCTGAATCCCCAGGTGAATCCCAAGAGGACCTGAATGATGAATTGAATGGGATCGTCGACGCCGATTCGCCCCCTGCCACAAGACGGGCCACGGCCCCAAAGCTCGCCAGAGACCTCCTCCCATCGCAAAGGGGTGCAGTGAAGCCAGATTCACATTCTGTGTTCAACCAGCTTGTTCTTGACGATGACCCCATGGATGGGTCGCGCGTGCTTAGGAAACGCAAAACATCCTCAGCGGAAGCTGACGAGCACGTTGTTGGCCTCCGCAAACGACGTAAGAACACCGGTGACAGTCAGACTCTCGAGGGTGTGGCAAGCGTCACAAATGTCACAAACGCGGCAGAGGAGGACAGCCGTCCACGCTCTGCACGGTCCCTCAGGTTAAAGATATCAACCCAGGCGCCAGCGACAATCATCAAAAAGACCAGAACCACTCTTGTTCTGAAGTTCCGCGTCGCACCGACAGAACTGAAAAAGATCACATCCAAAAAGCCGAAGCCATCCAGGTCTGGTGGGGGTGGGCGGCGCACGACAGCGTCTAGACCAGCCAGGGCGTCTGCTCCTTCACGCTCAAGAAGGGCGGCCACGCCTCCCGTCGCACCCTTCGCCTCCAACCTTTCGCAGCCGTTCTACTCCTTTTTCGACAAGGACATGGACGACAAGGGCAAACCGTACGGAGGCATCCTTACAGAGGCGGAGGCAGATACTTCAAAGACAGTGCCGACCAACGAGGACCGCCGCCGTTTCGACGAAGCAAAACAGAAGGCTGAGGAGGACTGGCAGGAGCGGCTTTTGAAGATGCAAGAAGAGATCGAAGTCCCTGCCAAGAAATCAAAGAAGTCGCAAGGCCCTGCGAGCCAGATCGAGTGCATCGAGTTCGGCGGCTGGGAGATCGACACGTGGTACGCGGCACCGTACCCAGAAGAGTACAGCAGGAACCGTGTGCTCTTCATCTGCGAGTTCTGCCTCAAGTACATGAACTCGGACTATGTTGCTTGGCGACACAAGCTGAAGTGCCCTGCAAAGCATCCCCCAGGCGACGAAATCTACAGGCATGGATCCATTTCAGTCTTCGAAGTCGATGGTCGCAAGAACCCGGTCTACTGCCAGAACCTGTGTCTACTGGCCAAACTTTTCTTGGGTTCGAAGACGCTCTACTACGATGTTGAGCCGTTTCTCTTCTACGTGCTCTGCGAGTACGACGATCTTGGCTACCACTTTGTGGGCTATTTCTCGAAAGAGAAGAGGGCCAGCAGTCAGAACAACGTGTCCTGTATCCTGACTCTGCCCATCCACCAGCGAAAGGGATACGGCAACCTCTTGATCGACTTCTCTTACCTCCTTACTCGGGTAGAGGGGAAGACTGGGTCTCCTGAGAAGCCATTGTCAGATATGGGCCTGGTGTCATATCGAAATTATTGGCGCCTGATCATGTGCCGATATCTACTCGAGCACTGCCCAGAGGACAAATACGTCAAGAGAGGCCTCAGCATCAAACAAATATCCGATGACACTGGTCTCACGCCGGACGATGTCATCTCGGCCTTGGAAGGCCTGAGATGCCTCGTCCGCGAGCCACAAACCCAGCTCTACGCCTTCAGGGTTGATATACAGTTTTGCAAGGAGTACGTTGCGAAGTGGGAGTCCAAGAACTATGTTCAGCTCGACCCGAGCATGTTGACTTGGACGCCCTATGTTATGGGCCGCAGCAACGCTACAAACTTCGAGCTCGCACCCGCTATACATGCCATCGCCCCTAGGGATGAAGATGACGAGCAGAAAGCGGAGGAAGCTGTGGTTGCAGAGATTGTGGAGAACGGCATGCCTGTTGCTGTCCAAGTTGAACCCGAAGCAGAGGCCGAAGTACCTACCGAGGTTAACGCGGAAATCGAAGCCGGCGCCGCGACTAACGGCATCGGCGACGACGCGGAAGCGGCTGAGAAGGAAGCGCAGGCTGCCAGGGAGGCAGCCGACACGCCAATCAAGTCTACTGAGCCCAACGAAATGGGAACGGACGGGGCAAGTGACTTGGGCAATGGCAACGGGCCCGTGGCCGATACAACGGAGTATGGATCCGAGCAACGAGTGACTGAGCCCGAAGCGGCTGGGAACGTGGTCGAACAGAAGCACTCGAGTGCAAAGGACTCTGAGAACAAGGAGAATTCTTGGGTGGATGCCTACAGTGGCATTCCGCCCACCAGGTTCGTTGTGTACCCTCACATCCACGGTGGGAGACGTACCACAACCATCCGACCGATGACGACCCCTCGGCCTCCGGCGGTTCGGACAGCCAGCGTATCTCGGCCGAAAGCCCGGAGACCAACCGGGAGCCGGCGATCTGCGGGGCCAAAGGCCAGAAGCAGTAGCAGCAGCGCGCGGAGGAAGCCCGGTGGCACGGGGCGAGGGCCAGGTCGCTGGCCAAAGGGCACGAAGAAGAGCGACTACGGTAATGCCGATAGCGGTCCGGGCCTGCCGCCAGGGTGGTTGGAGCAGCGGCGACTGGAACTCGCTGCGGGCGGGAAGATTACGACGCAAGAGGCGGAGGAGTCTCTTGGCGTCAGCAGCGATGGTGTCCAAGGGAAAGTGGCCGAGAGCCGGGCCACAGCCAGCCCACGCCAAGTCAATGGCAACGGTGCAGCTTCTTCTAGGAGCAGCAGCAGCAGCAGCAGCCGTAAGACAAATGAGACCGGCGATGGCGACGGCGACGTCGCCATGGCTGATGCCGAGGACATGGCTGCTTAGAGAGGAAACAAGTGGCTCTCTTTTCTATTCAGTAGCTTGTCGAAGGCCTTTTGATGAATTGCTAGCAAGGCGTTGGGAAATTATTGTGTATCTATGTATTACTACTATCGATGGACTGGAGTAGTGGGTGGAAGTTGAGTCGACAACTGAACCGAAGGACTATTTAGCACAGGCGCCGTGAAGCCTCGTTGCCGCTTAGAAGATAATGGACAAGGGTGTTCGATGGAGCTTCTGGTCTACTCTCCAGGCTACCGGTGCGGGTCCAGTGGATGGAACGGTTCAAACGATAATGCTAATATTAGCGAGAGTGCCAGATAGGCGGGCTGGTTAGCATACGTGCAAGGGACGGGACGCCAGGGTCTGTCTTTGTTCCTGCTTGTGCACTTCTGACTTGTGACCTGTGATCAGCACTTGAGCACTCATGCTTGGTACGGTCATGTCTGGAAGTGGATTGTGATGAATTACCGCAGCTCCGTACAGAGATGGACTGGCCTGGTCCGTTCAGAATTGTGGGCTCGGGGTACCCACCTGTCCACTAGCTGGCCAAGTCTGTGGTCATCGTAATTCATCGCATTTAGATTTACAGTGCATGGTTTCAAGAAGGCTCTATTTCGCCTTAGTCACGCCCTGTCGCCTGCAGCTCGCTCATCAGATAGTACCCGGACGGGCTTAGCGCACGTGGACGGGGGGCCCTGTCAGGTTTCGTCATGCCCAAGCCCAAGCCGAGCCCAAGCCTGAGCTGGGCAGACCGGCTTGCTGCTGCGCCTGGGTTTTGACGCGGTGGGGTGTGGGAGAGTAGAGTGCACGCCAGTACCTTGGTTACAGTGCCGACAGTACCTCCTACCTCAGTGCCTTCCGGGACGGGCGCCGCCTGCAACACAGGCCATCACCTCCAAAGAAAGGGACCTCCAGCTTTACTTTCACTTGACTCTGGAACATTGTCTCATTCCTCATCGTACCATCTCCAGCGCCCTTCTCACATCGGGCTGCAACCCCCATCTCGCCGGCCCGTGACACACTCGTTGGCATTATCCCATACGAAGCATCCTACAGAAAGGCACTCTCCGACCGCACAGCAGCCGAGGAGCCACCGCTGCGGTAATTCCAGAACTGGAACCCATCGAACCGCTCAATTTCCCGTGCCAACTGCCTGCGATCCCGCCGTCCCCCGTCCTCACTCCATCGATCGATTAATCACTCCTGCCACCAACTTTCCCGTCTGCGTTCGACAATCAGCGCCGGCCAACCACCCCTTTCCTCCCTCGCCATTGTCGCATGTGGCATACCTGCCCTCACTCGTCGTCCGCAGGCTCGCCCATTGCTGTCGCTGTTAATTCGCAGTGGACGACACACCCGCCAGTTGCATACCGATATCCATTGCACGGCATCACGACTGCGCGCGACAAACTTCCAGGCTCGCCTGCGACAATACTACTCTCGGCGCAGCCGGTCGGGACCTGATTGTCCGGCTCTCACCGGGAAAGAGATCCATTCCTCTGCCGCAAAACCATCCGCCTCCCCAGATCACACACGTGATAACTCCCAGACCCTACCGCCAAGATGTCCAAGGTGCTGAGGGGCGTCAAAAATGTCACCAAGGGATACTCAGGTGTCCAGATTAAAGTGCGCGAGGGTATGTTGGCCACCCTCACGACAATTCGACCGGACGGTTCAGGATGTCGCAAACTGACGTAGCCATGCAGCGACGAGCAATGACCCATGGGGCCCCACGGGGACTCAGATGAGCGAGATCGCCCAGCTCACCTTTAACTCGTATGTCGCCGAGCCATCGCAGTGCTAATTATGGTGGTAAGCTAAAGCTAATGCGCTCGCAATTTAGGTCAACTGAGTTCTACGAGATTATGGACATGCTAGACAAGAGGTTGAACGATAAAGGCAAGAACTGGAGGCACGTTCTGAAGGCACTGAAGGTTCTCGACTACTGCCTCCACGAGGGCTCCGAGCTGGTGGTCACATGGGCGAAGCAGAACGTCTACATCATCAAGACCCTCCGCGAGTTCATGTACACTGATGAGGAGGGCAGAGATGTCGGTCAAAACAGTAGGTGGCGGCATCTTACCTCTGGTGCGAGACGAGGCTAACAATTTCCCTTGCAGTCCGCGTAGCAGCAAAGGAGCTGACGTCCTTGCTGCTGGACGAGGAGCGCTTGCGGGCTGAGCGTAGTGATCGCAGAACGTGGAAGTCTCGTGTCACAGGCCTCGAAGAATATGGCTCGAACTCCCACGAAACACCACCAAGCCGCCGTGAGCGTCGCCCACGGCCGATGAACGACGAGGAGGACGCCGAGTACAAGCTAGCTCTAGAGGCCAGCAAATACCAGGAGGAAGAGGACAGGAGGAGGCGTGAGGGCCGCCCCGGCCAGGACACAGAGGACGACGACCTTGCGAAGGCTATCAAATTGAGCAAGGAAGAGGAAGAGGCGCGCCGACGAGCTTTGGAGGAGCAGAACGCCCAATCACTGTTTGACGACACTCCCACGCAGACTCAACCCCAGCAGACTGGATGGAACCAAGGGTACCAGCAGGGCAGCGGGGTTGACTTTTTCGGAAACCCTATTGACCAGAGCCAGTTGCAGCCACAGCCCACGGGGTTCATGCCAAACGCATATACTGGCTTCCAGACACAGCCCACTGGGTACCAGAACGGCTTCTCAAACGGTTTCGGCCAGCCTCAGCCAACCGGATTCGATGCCTTTGGCCAACAAAACATGCAACAGCAGCCGTTCCAACCTCAACCGACTGGCTACAACCCATATGCGCAGCAGCAGCAACTCCAGCCACAGCAGACGGAGTCACCCCTGCAAGCAGGGAGCAACAACCCTTGGGCGACGAACCAAAGTACGGGTCTGTCGGCAATGGCCCCGATGAAGACAGGCTCCAACAACCCATTTGCGCAGCAATCATCTTCACCCTTCAACAGGCCTGGGCCGTCCAAGATGCCATCAATGTCGGTCTTAAACCCGCTTCCAGAGCAAAAGACGCTGTCAGCCTTCAACCAGCTACCCACATCTTTCACTCCACCGCCGAAGTCATCTCCGGCACCGTCCAAGCCGATGAGCGAGCACGAGGCGAGGCTCAATGCGCTCCTCTCCAGCGGCGAGGGCCAAGACACCTTCGGCAATACCGGCGAGACCAGGATACCGGCGCAACATACAGCGCCGGGGACGTTCGTCAACAGTGCAGGGGCGGGCGCCAACAAGTTGACGGCCGAGGCGACGGGCAACAACCCATTCCTCCGACAGCAGTTCACGGGCATGCCGACCGTGTCGTACGGGGCCACGGGCCCCGGGGGCATGGGCATGGGCGGCGGCTTTGGCGCGCCGGGCTCGAGCAACCCCTTCGGCGCGAGGCCGCAGCAGCAGCAGGCTAACCAGGGAGATCTGATCCAGTTCTGAGGTGGACCAATGAGTGGGCGATTGGAATAAAGGGAAGCAGGCTGGCAAGGATTCGTTTGACCGACGAGCAGGAAGAAAGAAGGAGAGAATTCGCGCGCGCGTATCTGTCTGCGTGTCTGTCTCCATCGTAGGAAATTGGTGTGTTGTGTTCTCTCCCCTTGGGTGGCGCCTTGCGTTGCTGGGTTGGGCTTGAGTGCGAAAGGTTTTTTTCTTTATGAAGATATATCCCCTCGGAGGTCCCTAGGTAGCATTCATAAATCATTATTGTTTCTGTTGGCATTGGGCGTAGGATACTATCTGTGTCACTCTTGGATTCCCGTGTCAGCCGTGATAGACCTGCTGCTCTGTTTAGTATTACATAGACGCATGTCGTAGAACATATCTCATACAGCCACGGTACAGTGGGCTGTCGCGGTCAATCCAGGTTGGGATAGGGAAGCAGGCGAGGTAGGCTCAGACGTCCGCTCGCGAGATGGGCTTGCCGATAGGGTAGGACGGCAAGAGATCGTAAGGAACGTAGATGTTATACTCAACCTCACGAGTCGATAGGCCGTTATATCCATCGTCGTGAAGGGTTTATCGAAAGGCCGCACAGTCACCGCTACGGCGGGCAAGCAGCACGTCGTGTCTGGTGGAAGTAGTATAGGTATAGTTAGCGATAGCTGTCTCTCCACCGTACAGGTAGACGGCCCAGCGGTACCCATGATACTGGATCTGAGGAAGATGGAGCTTCGAGTAGAGTATTCCAATGATCACACTGATCAAATAAACGCATATCAAACCCCAAATAGTACAACAGCAGCATGCTTTGCTTCGGTGTCTTCTAGGCAATCACATAATCAATGCCCCCAAACTCCTACAGGTCAGCCTCTTTTAGACAACCTCTAATGGGACAACAGCGTATGGGATAACCTCCTATGGTACATTCTCCTATGGTGACGGATATGGTGGCGGATTTCGTCAAGCGTTGGCAGCTTCTGCCTGGATGAACCTCCTATGCTATCTCCTCCCTGCCAAACCGGTCAACAACCTCCTTTCTCTTGGAATCTGGCAAAGTTATCCCATACTTCTCCCCATATCCCTAGTCGTCTCTAATCTTCCACTCGTCACACTCAGGATCTTACGGTCTTCATCAAGCGGTGCCGAGCCAGAAATCTCTTCCCAGATTGGATCAAACAGACTGGCATTAAGCTCAAGGCCAAAAGCCTTCGACATTAGAAAGGGTCATCCACTCCTCTGAAATTCGGACATGCCGTGCTCTCAATGGCAGACCCTGGCTTATAGAGGCTATCAATCCGTCAGAAGACTGACATCACCGCTGATCGAAGACTCCTGAGCGTCTTGAGAGATATGCTCACGCCAATAGTCACAGTTGAATTGATGTCAAATCCGGCAATCACTGTTTTGGAGTCCAGGGTCAAGTTCATGATCGAGAATCCGAGTAAACCCTCGGTCCTATCTGTGCGGCTGCTACGAGGCTTTGGCCCAGGGCCTTGTGCCATTTATCCCCGTCCCCCCCAACGCTGAGTCCTTGAGCGTAAACCACTGTATGTATGAAGGCACCACATACGTTTAGGTGTATGGGCATTTGAAGAGAAAGCACCATCCCACCTGGAAACGAAACCGCCACCCCTCATTCTCAGCCTGGCATTCCCAAGAGAGGCGGCAGGGCAGCATTTATGGTAAAGATGTCGACAAAATCTGACAGCCACATTCTAGTGGATTGAGTGCCAATTTATAGGTGTTAGTTCTCTGCAGGAGATGCATGAAGACGAGATTGAAGACGACATTGGCGTACACGGCATCTAGGACTTCCCGCCTACCACCCAACGGACGCGATGCGGGCTAGAACGAAGTGACTTTGGGTATCTTCTGGCAGACCAAGTAAGATGGCGTTGGCAGTTGTCGTATTGTTTGTCTAGTGTATGAGTAAAGCACATCCCACGTCCCTAGGTTACTCTTCAATTTCCTCCACTAAAAATTGATAAACACAACGGCGATGATCCGGGTGACTGGACAGTAATCGATGTGTACAGGACAATTTTGACTTCGCTGGTTACAGCACTTAAGGAAGGCCATCAAAAAAATCCGACTGACTGTCAGATGAGAGTATTCAGGTAAATCGCCGAGCCAATTCTGGCAATGTGTCTGGCCACCCACCACGGACCCGCCAATCCCTTGTTCAATAAACAACAGATCGGACATTCGCACACACAAACACAAAGGGTACACCCAGGTAAGACTAGCAACCTACATAAGTAGATTTAGCTAGTAAGAGCTAATGAAGACACAGGCCAACTCGGAGATCTTAGTACTCAGGTTAACACTTAACTAGTTACCCCATAGGAGGTTATCTTATAGGAAATTGTCTCAAGAGAGGTTGGGAGGTTATCCTTTGGGGCTTAGGTGTGCCCTCCGTTTTCGCAGGTTCGAATCTCCGGCCTCAGTCTAGCAGACCTCAATCAGCGACTATCATGGACTGGTGCGAGTGTTCACTATAATGGTGCTGAAGTGATTGGTGGTTGTCTGTCTGTTTATGTCTTCAAATAAAGTCCGAGTAGGCGCAGGCTCCAGAACTATATCGCCAGACTTGCTGTGGACAACCACTGAGTACACCTATCCTCAGTTCCATAAACTCGCTCGTGCACACGGTTTCCAGTCCCAAGGAGTACTGGAGCATTTGGCGTTCGGTGACCTTGTGGCAGCGCTTATCCCTGCTGGTAGTTGTCAACCTACCAGCCCGGCCAGTTCCTCGTGACAAGGAAGGCCGTTGAAATTGAAGTTGTCAGAACTGAAGGTCGTGGCTCGCAGCGATGGAATCACCGTCCTGTACGGCACGACAAAGGGGGAGATAGTCAAATCAACGCTACACAGAATCGCCAAACTGCCAGCCGTTCAGGCACATCCATCAAATTCAACAACATGACTTCACTTTCCGAATGGGGCCTGATCCGTACCATCAAGGTCGGCCAGTTGGCAAACAGATTTGGAGTCCCTGAGACTAGGCTAGAGACACAAAATTCTCTAATTGCCAGATTCTTCCGCGCAGGTCTTGTGCATGCGGTAGAAGAGGGGATGGTCCGTGACGGTAGCCTGATGGAAAAGCTCTCACAGTGGGATTTGATCTGGCACCTTAGAGCTCGAGGTGACGAAATTCGCCGATAATAAGGCCCAAGTAAGAGGCTACCCAGGCTTCGGGAAATCAGTCACAAGCTGCCAGATTACGATACCCCTGAGCCCCATGAAGACAGCCCTCCCGTGTTGAGTTTCGCTAGGCTGCGGCAGCACATAACCTCTACGTGAAATACGGCGACAGTAATGAGGTAATTCAGCGTTAATCACTGGGGACGGTAACTTCCGTAGGATTACCGGAAATAACATTGAAAACAGGTGAAGACGCCACATGACACGCTTTATATGCATTGGAATTAAGAATCAAAACCACTTTCCGGTGGCAGTAACGATCAGAACCCCGGTAGTGACAGGGGCTCTGGCGACGAGGGTGACCCTCATGAGTCCGGCAGTGACCAAAAGGAAATATGACAGCGCATACTATCAGATTGATCCGAAGCGGCGCAAACTTTCTCGCAAAAGGCGCGAGGCACGACGCAAGACAGCAAGCAAACCCAAATCTGGCAGATCGAACTCAAAAAGGATCAGCGCCGCATTCACCTCTGACGGAAAATGTACATGGGTTTCCTGAATTTGCTACCTTCCAAGGTTGATCATGGGTTTGTTCTGCTACTTAGGTACTGACAGGTTCAGCCCGAGACGGACTGTTTAAAAAGTATATCTCTCAACGTCCTACAGACCAGCTTGCGATGGCGTGTTACCCATTGAGACACTCAGGTAGAAGAAGAGGAAGCTACTTCTAAATAGGTACCCACAGGGATACTTTTTACAATTTTGGAATCGCAGCTTAGTTCTGGAACAAGATGTGTGAATTGGGTTCGAATTGAGTGCTGAATAAATCTTGTGACACTGCCTTACTGCAAGCGACGAGTCAGGGGAGAGCAAGATAGAAGATATATACCTACTCACTCTACAAATCCCTGACAAGAAGTTGTCGGTTGTTGTTGGTCATCACTTGTGTTCCCGGTCACATGCGGGGGGGATGCAAAACGGCCACAGATTTCAGTGCTCAAGGGTCATTTGAGGATCTGCAGCAAGTGTCTGGTCTATGTTTTGTTTATATATTAATATGCCCACTCAATCCAGCTCGACAGAAGACATGGCCTGGGCGATAAAGCTATCCGCCCCCGCATCGGCCCGTCTGGCGTGCGCCGCTGTTGGCCCGTTCCTAACGTCAAGATCATCTGAACGCACACTGGCCTCCCCGTCGTCACTTCTCTCACTGCTTTCCTCACTCTCCGTCTCAGGGGGAGTCTGCAAACCCGTGCCTTCTCCGCCCGACGGGAAGTGCCTCTTTAACATACACATCTCCACCGTCACGCCTGGCCCAAAAGCACAGCCCACGATGTGGTCTTTCGGGCCTCTGCCGTCTGGTGTGCAGGCATCCATGTCTTTTGAGCGCAGGCGATCGAGAACGCTGAATATCGTGGCGCTGCTCGAGTTTCCGTGGTTGATGTACGTGTCATAGCTCGCTCTCATATGCTCCGGCACCAAACCCATGGCCTTCTCTGCACCACTCAGAATTGTTGCACCTCCTGGGTGCATGGCCCAGTCAAAATCCGATGGCTTGGCGTCATCCCACGGTGGCGGCAAATCCAGCGAGGACATCAGATCCGAGAAAGTCTCCTGCAAAGCCCCTTGGGCAATCCTGGGCACGTTTGGTGTCAGGATCACCTTCCAGCCGACGGGATCGACGTCGAAGCCCAAATCTTTGGCTGTGTCTGGGATGATCCGGTTATCCCAACCCAGGTACTCATACACTGGGGGCCCGGAGACTCTACCCAGTCCGTTGCTCAGAACCACTGCGCTGGCGCAGTCCGAGAAAAGACACACTCCTATCCTGGTCTCCTGGAGCTTGTCGATGCTATCCATCTCACTCCGTACCATTGTCGTGCTCACTTCAAGGGCAAGGACCAATATACGCGCTGGTTTCCCTCGGAAGGTGTGGCCCAAGGCGAGGTTTGCGGCAGTTCGTAAAGCGGTCAGTCCGCCCGCACAACCGACTCCATGGAGGAGAACCCTTTCTACCTTGGGAGAGACTCCCAGCTCCTCGCAGACGAAGTGATCGTAGCCAGGATTAGCACTGTCCGTACATGTTGTCGAAACAACATGTGTCTGGCTCGTTGTCAGTCTGGGACGCACACTAGCAAAGGCAGGAAGGGATGCCGCATATCCACACAGCCCCAGGCCCAAAAGGTTTGGTCCTCAGACTGAGGGAGAGGCATCGAAACACTCACAATTTCATTGAGGTCAACCTTGGCTTCAGCAATGGCTTTCCGAGCAGCATTGACGGCCAATGGGACTCCATCACTCATGAAGACCTCATGAAGCTGGGCTATGGAGGGAGGACCAGGGTGGTTGACGACTGGGTGGTCGGGGTTGCCGATGGACGAGCGGGTGTCGATGCCAGTGAACTGGTTGATAGCCCGAACCTTTTTCATCGAGGGGCTGTCCGGGTAAAAGCGTGTGGCGAGGGTGTCGATGGCATCTGGCTTGAGACCATATGGTGGGTACTGGGAGCCGACTCCCAAGATAGACAGGCCCAGCTGCCCGAAGCTGTTTGGAGAAGCCATTGTCGGCTTTCCTGTGATGCCTTTGCGAATTTCCCTCAAGATGGAGCTTCGAGCGTTTGGAGGTTACCGTTCGTAGTCGTAAATCAACCACTGGCTGGCTCAATGGCTCATAGGCGCCCGGCACGTGCTGCCAGGATCGTCGACCTTGGCGGGTAGGTCACAGAGAGGTCGTGACACTGTCCAAGGCAGGCAAATCCGCGGCAAACTGATAAGTGGGTTCCTCCCCAGCCTCTGGTGCACTTCTTTCCCCCCCGAAAGGTTTATGGCATCAACAGTTTGTGGGCAGAAGGAATATCGAAGCAAAATAAGCGACTGAGTTGCGACGGTCCAACCGCAGCACTTTCGGAGAAATTGTCTTGAGGTGTCAAATCGGTCTCGACATGAAAATTGATATCCGTGGAGAGTCTTCAGCTAATTCGAGGGGCACCTACTCGGTGGCAAAGACCGGTCAGAGTGGCTTGGGTTTTTGTCTTGCGAGGCGGCAATGTTTAAAACAGGTCGGGAGAAGGGTCCCAACAAATTATGGCGCCAGCGGGAGAGTGATGCACAGGAGGGCGTGACGGGCTGCGTTAAAGTGTTCGGTTGAGGTGTTAATAATGATTGTGATAACGATTGCGAGGCAACAACTTGCAGGAGGAAAGAGCCGAGTAGGTTCTTGTACCCTGCATGTGTCTACTCCGTACCGTAGCTGAAGATACAATTCCTCCTTGGGCAGTCACGACCGTGGTGGCGAGAGCTTGATTTTCTCTCAGAAAAATACCCAAGCCCCCCAGCCTGCCAGCCTGCCAGCCCAGCCCAGCCTGCGTGTCTGATACCGAGGCATCTGCAAGCATGCAAGCATGCTGGCATGCCAATATGCTCGACACTAGTCATTCGGGCGTCGGCCCATTCGCAGAAATCCTGTAGTGCAATCTACCTGGACGACCCTGGCAGCCTGGCCGGCCGTGGAGGACCCTGGATGTGGGTGCACCACACCGAGACAACCAAGACAGCCAGTATTAACAGCCCCCACGAAAGCTGACAAGGTCTCCTCCCAAACGCAAAACACGAGAGTCTCGAGTTCCGCCACGGCAAGTGTAGCAGAGCATGGCTGCGTGAACGGGCAGCTGCACGCCTGCAAGCCCACCCCTGGAATTCAAGAGCCTCCCCTGCCGGATCCCGGCCTCCCTCTCACGAGCTTGCTGCTCCCCGCTGACAAGCACAGCAGGAGTCAAGCTTGTCAAGGTTCGTTGAGCAGGGCGCTGAGACAAGGGTCAACAGCTCTACGGAATACTCGACAGCTCGACCACTCGGCCATCTCGTGTGCAACTATCACACACAGCCACAACCACATCAACCGTACAAGGAGCCAATATAACCCACAATCCCACCGCCGTGCAGCCCACTAAGCCCTATGCGACTTCCCAGCCCGTCAATATGACATAGCATCACACCGCACACACAGCACCTGGCAGCCTATCACACAACGGCAGACGCGAAGCAGACTACGTGAGCCGCCTCTCAGCCTCTGGAACCAACTGCAATCAATGAATCATAAATGGCAGCGTTGACCAGGTACGATCTAGCCATTGGCCAATTGGACCGACAAACTGCTCAGCTGCAGCAACTACGGAGTACAACGCCCCGGATCCCCCACCACACCGGCTGACCGGCCGGCACCCGGAACACATATTGCACCGCCGCCGATCCGCCGCCGACTGCAAACAAATCAAGCCACTATCCCTAGCCACGCAGTCAACAAGAGGAAAGAAAGAAGGAAGAAGGGAAAAAAAATGCACCACGGCAACCTGGCCCTCGTCTTCCACGTCCTCATCGAGGCGCCCGCCTCGCTGTCCTTCCTGCTGAACGCGCCCAAGCAGCTCCTGGAGTCGAGGCCCAGCCCCGAGGCCGTCCTCGTGTGCCAGAGCTACGGCGGCCTGCTGGTCGCCACCAACGTCTTGTGCCTGCTGCTCCTCTACTCCAGGGGCATTAGCACATTTGACGACGCCAGCGCCATCGTCGCCGCTTCGCTGGCCATGTACCATGTCATGCCTTTGCGGCGGGCCTGGGTGAGGATAAGGGCCCGGGGGGCCGGCCGGGGATGGTTGCAACAGGCTGACGCGCTCGGTGGCCCTTATGTGCACTTTATGGTGCATACTCTCTTGCTCGTGTCTCTCACGTGGGCGGGCTTGCACGAAGTAGTTGGCGGAAAGCCTTGAGTTCGATGCAAATGCTTGTATATATATGTATGTATATACACACACATATGAGGTCTAAAGTCCTGTGCACCGCCTTAACGAGGGTTACACGGCGTATACCCCCGGTTGGCTTTCTATAGGGCGACCATCCAAAAATTGCCGTGGCAGTCGTCCCTGGCTCCTATCTCTCAAGGAGTACACCCGAATTTTCTTCGTTAATCTAATTCCTGAATAGCTTCAGCCCCTCCTCCTCGGCCACAAGATCATCGTCTTCCTCGTCCGAGACATCCTCCTTGAGCTGCATGCGCTGCCCGAACAGGGTCCCGAACAGCCGGTCGATGGCCTCGTCCTCCCAGGACCGCCTGTCCTCTGGCGCCATGAAGTTCTGCAGCTTCTCATGCACCGTGAACCGCAGCTTGCGGCCCTTGCTCGCCCGCCTGTCCACCTGCTTCCGCGTCTTGGCCTCCTTGATCGCCGTCCACCGCACCGTGGGCACGTTGTCGTTGCCCGTGGCTCCAGAGTCACTGGTGCGCTGGTCGACGAGCTCCTTGAGCAGCATCTGGTAGAAGTCGGCGTCGTCGTAGATGGTCGGGTCCTCGGTGACCTTCTTGGCCACCTGGAGGGGGGCGCAGGACCGGGGCACCTGGGTGCGCTTGACCCAGCGGTCCGTGTTGAGCATCATCTGGTCCTCGAGCACGGAAACCAGCGACTCTGAGCCCTTGGCGGCGCCGAGCTGACGAGTGTTGCTGTTCACGACCGTCGTCTTGTTCTTGGCCTTGGTGGACCATTTCTCCAGGACCTGTTTCCGCTTCGCGATGGCCCGCTTCTCGGTGGCTTGCATCTCCTCCCAGAGCTCGTCGGTGGACATGACGGCGGCGTCCCGCTTGCGCTTCTCTCCCGCCTTGGGCTCGGGGAGCAGGCTGGCCCTGAAGCCATCGATGGCGTTCCACAGCTTGATAGCAGCCTCCTCGGCCGCCTCGTAGGGCTCCTTGTCTGCGTCGTCAACCTCGGTCGCCTCGTTTAGAGAGTTGGTGGCGACGAGGCCCTTTTGGAGGCGGATTCTGAGGTTCAAGAGCGAATCGTATGTACGCCTCTGCTTCCGGATCGCAGCACCCTTCTCGGCGTCCTCCTTGGCTGCTTGGGATATGATGTTGAGCGCGGGCTTCTCGCCTTGTTGCATCATCCCGCGCAGCGATTCTTCGCTGTCCTTGGGCCTGGAATCATCCATCTCGACGTCCGAGTCTTCTTCCTCTCCATCCTCGGAGCTCTCATCTTCCTCAGAGCCCTCTTCCGAGTCTTCGTCGGACGTTTCCTCGGCTTCCCTGTCGATGAGATCGTCCCCCGAGGCTAGGTCGTCCAGCGAATCGTCGCTCTCTGAACCGTGTTCGGACTCGGCATCTTCCTCCTCGTCTTCATCCTGCTCGCTTCCCGAGCTGGACATGAAATCCGCCGCGACGGCCCTCTTTGATCGCCCGTTGGTGGTAGGTTTGGAATCCTTCTTGGCAGCGCTCTTGCTGTCTTTAAATGTGAAACCCTTCTTTCTGAAGCGTTCCTCCTCGCCCTCCCCAAAGGCCTCATCGCTGTCGATTTCGTCGTCCTCGTCGATGATGTTATCTCGTTCAAGATCGGCCGTGTCGGGGTCGTCGTACTCTTGGGAGTCCTCCGAGCCGCTTTCATCGTCCTCTTCTGACTCGCCCTCGCTCATGCCATCGCTGCTGTCATCCAGGGCCGCGCGACTGACTTTGACGCCGCTGTACTTGGGACCTAGTGCCGGGGCCTCCTTTTGGCGGAGACGACTCTTGCTGTGGGAGCAGTCAGACCCGTGCTATTCTGGCGCAAAGGGTTTTTCATTTTCAGGAAAGAACATACCCAACATTTACATAGTGTTCAGTTCCTGCCAAGTCCTCCTCGGCCTCGCTGTCGCTGTCGCTATCGGACGGGGGGGCATTCGCTTCCGGATCGAAATCTGCGAGGCAGGTTGTCAGACAAATCTTTCTGCTTTTTGCTTCAGAATTCTGGGCGGACATATGCATACCCTTCATAGCCTTTTCCTCAAACGCAGCGAACTTCTTCGCGCGTGCTGATTTTGCTGGCGCCATGGTTTTTTGTTATGCGAGACGGTTGTTGGAGGAACATGGAAATTTCGCCCGCCAGCAAAAATGCACCTTGAAGCTTCTGAACTTTTTAGTGGGTCCTATTCGGCGTTTTGGGGTACTCCCTGGCGGCCAGGGGCAGTGATTGGTTGCTAAAGTTGACCGCCCCGAATTTCGTCGTGGGGTCTTGGTTTATCAACGACGACATGCGGCTCGAACGCGGCATCCTGCTGCGAAGCATTGAGTTCAGCTTCATAGATGAGATATCAGTTCCTGTCTTGTTTCTTTTCAGTGTTTCCGGCAGATTTGAAAACTTGAAATGTTCTGTTAGAACTCTCAACATGATCACTGCGTTTTTATTAATTGCCTGTTTCTCACATACCTCTTTCTGAATTTGCAGCACTTTTCCGGGTCTTCGACTTGATTTCACAACCTATATCCTGCATTGACAATGACCGTCATGACCCCCATACAACGACGTTTCTTCAGCACCCTCCGTGCTCTACAACATGAGAACCCTCTCGTAAGACACTTTTATTTTGTTCAATTTGATAGAGGCTAATCAAACTCATATAGGGCCTCCCGCGTACAGGTTCCATCCCACGGATGCAGCGTGGCCTTCCTGAACGGCGCAAGATCAAGGATGTCGCCAAGGTCATCGCCGTGTCCTCCGCAAAGGGCGGCGTAGGCAAGAGCACCATCGCCGCCAACCTGGCTCTTTCCTTTGCGAGGCTGGGCCACCGCTCCGGTATCCTGGACACGGACATCTTTGGGCCGTCGATCCCAACGCTGTTCAACCTCAACGAGGAGCCTCGGCTTTCTGAAAGTACGTGGTCAACAAACCCCCTTTGGAGTCATCCACGGTTGCTGATGACTGCGGAACAGATAACCAGCTGCTTCCTCTTTCGAACTATGGCGTCAAGACCATGTCCATGGGCTACCTGGTCGGCGAGGACGCCCCTGTTGTGTGGCGCGGCATGATGGTCATGAAGGCCTTGCAGCAGCTCCTCCACGAGGTCCACTGGGGCGGTCTGGACGTGCTTGTCCTGGACCTGCCACCGGGAACTGGCGACACGCAGTTGAGCATCACACAGCAGATCGTGCTGGATGGTAAGCTCCTCTTCCACATCCCAATCAGTCATCATCACCCAGCACACAGAGAGAGATATATATATTGACGCCTCACCCAAAGGCTCGTTGATTGTGACAACACCACACTCCCTCTCCGTCAAGGACGCCATAAAGGGCATCAACATGTTCAAGAAGGTCAACGTGCCCCTCCTGGGACTAGTCAACAACATGTCCCTCTTCACCTGCCCGGACTGCGGCGGGCAGCACCACATCTTTGGCCGCAGCGACGGCGTCCAGCGCGTGTGCGCCGACCACGCCATCGACTTCCTCGGCGACGTCCCTCTGCACCAGAACATCGGCAGCCATGCGCAGGAGGGCAAGCCGACTGTCGTCGCGGAGCCTGGTAGCGAGCGGGCCGAGTTGTTCCTAGGCATGGCGAGGAGCCTTGGGGGAAAGATTGGGCTCTAGTGTCGCCTGATGAGTGCGTGTGAGAGAGAGAGAGAGGCTACCCCATGATTAGGTGATCAACCTCATGATATTTGGCCGCTACGGTGTGTGTCAGCTGACAAGAGCATATCCAATGCTCGTACTGTGGCAGGCAAGATAACGTCCATGCTGAATGTTATCACCAGCAAATGTTATCACCAGCCTCATATCATGTCGGCGCGGGCAGGCGGGAGTGCTCAACTCATTACAGATGCGCAGGTTCGAGTCACCACAAGAGTGGGAAGCAAAACGGGGGCAGAGAAGGGCCAACAAAGAGGAAGACCGGTGTGCCAAAAAGGCAAAATAGAGTTCGGACCCGGTGGCGTATGTCCTACATCTCTTTGTCGTGCAGCGCGGAATTTTTGGCTCCCAGGCGGCGAGAGCCTGATCGTCGGTGGAGCCTCACCGACTGTCCTGCATTTGCTGGTTAGGTGGTTGTGTGCAGCGCGGAATATTCGGTCCCCAGGCGGCGCCACCTGACCGTCGGTGGGACCCCACCGCTGTCCTGCAGGGGAATCGAACTCGGGGGCTTCGGTCGGGATTGGCGAGGGCAGACAGCTTTCGAGGCAGGCGTCCCTACCGCTAGGCCATCTGCCCTGGTTTCTGGATGGTCTAGCTTGTTTATATGGCCTGGGCTACTGTGTTGGGAGGGCGGGGGAGGGGCAGTGAATCACCCAGGTGATGGGATGAAAGGTGCGCGTCGCGCGGCGCGTGGGCGTGGCTGGACGCGATTGTGCTAGCCAGGTGACCATCGTGCTAGCCAGGTGACGGGCCTGCGGACAGCGGGGCGACGAGGTTCGAACCCCGGGCGTGGACATCCAGGCTCGAGGATCTGTGACGGAGTCGAGGAGAACAGTGTCTCAAGCATGAGGCTCCTCTCGGGCAGGTGGCTTCGCGGCTTGATATACGCGAGGTGGTTCTCGTCACCTACACATACCCACCTGTGCCTGTCGCCTTTCAGGCGGGCATACAGTTCAACTCATGGATGACGTTACGCCCATTGGTACTGCCGCATTTGTCAAGCATTGGGAGTGGAGGAGTATGGTACAAGATCACAATATTGACCTTCCTAATTGTTTTCTTCTAAACAGGCTGGAGGACATGTGCTCATCGCACAAGGCAAGCACCAGAATTAGTGTATGTTATAAGAGCTTGGTCATAGCAAATACCAGAAGATGTAGACAACATCTATTGATTGACACCTTTCTGGCATAGTGAATACATTTAAATATGTTTGAATACACTTAGGTACCTTGTTGATCCAGTCGATGATATCGGCGGGCACCAGTGGCCCACCCTCTGCGTAGCCTTGATCATATATCAACCTCATGACAATCTCAGTACAAGTGGTCTCGTATACATATAAAACGCCAAAGGATCTCATTGGTATCAGCCGCCATGGGAAAAACCGCCCACCGCCACCAGGCCAACTAACTACCCAAAAGCGAGGAAGAGCTCTCATGATTCGATGACTCCGGGTCGCCATCGTCTCGCATTAAATTCAACGCCGTTCCCGTCATACTGTCCGACTCATCCCGCCTGGTTCACGACGCTCAGGCCGTCTTCTTCCATTGCGCCACCAGCCCGATCAAACTGCTGACGGTACCGGCAATACCGACAATGCCATCGTCGAGGTTGACCCAGCCGAGAGCCGAGGAGGGGATGGTCAGATCGCACAAGTCAGAGATGAGCTGCAGCTGGCTGGCGGACCGCTCACTGTGGCACAGGTATTAGTAGGTGTCGCAACGACAGAGAACAAATAGCGGCAAAGGAAACGAGGCGGGAACACTCACAGCGCTATCCGCTTGCTCTCAACAACACCCTCGCCCTCCTTCTTGTCGACCTTGGCCTCGCGCTGCTTGAGCTGATACAGCGTGTAAGCCTGCGCGATGAGGGAGCTGATAAGCCCCATGGCCCAGAAGCGGTACGCCTCCCGCTGGAACTTCTTGGCGGACTCGGACTTGCGGATACCGGCGGCGTCGAGGACGGTGGCCATGTCGAGGGACAGGTAGCCGGCGTAGCCCAGCTGGCGGGCGACGGAGGTGTAGCGCAGGACGGGGTCGACGGAGCCGGCCTTGGCGTCGGCGGCGACGGCGGCGGCGCGCAGGTGCTCGACGTTCTTGCCGACGCGCATCAGCTTGCGGGTCAGGCCGAACTGCTTCTTGACGGCGTCCCAGGGGGCGACCTCGGCGGGGGACCCGTTGGTGCGGAACAGGTACCAGGCGTAGAAGCGGGCAAAGTACTGCAGGGTGCGCAGGACCTTGTCGCGGCCGACGGTGGTGGCGACGAAGCGCAGGTAGTGGGCCACGCTGGGGTGGTAGATTGCGGCGTCGGCGACCATTTTGACGGGTTCTGTGGTGTGTGTGTGTGAGTGTGTCTTTGGTGTAGGGCGAGGTTCGCGGGTTGGTCTGGTCGGTGGTGAGGCTGCGCCGGTCGGTCGGACGTCACGAGGGCGTGAGGTCGAGCTGCTGTACAGAAACAGTGGGGACGGGCAAGAGGCAAGAGGGGAATGCGCTGGGATATGGAATCACTGCTGGAATGGACGCGAGGACGGGCAAAGATGAGCAACGGATCAATTAAGACTTTAGCTAGAGTCGAGTCACCCTCGAGGGAAGACAGTCGCAGCCGCTAGAATAAAAAGAAGACGCCGTGAAAGTACGCATTGGCGTCGGCTATCGAGTGCAACGGCTTTGCCTTGGTCGCACGCGTGGATTGGCGCATGTGCCGAGGTCAAAGTCGGCGATTTTGGGACTGGGGCTGATGAGTCTGGCACGCGGCAATGGCGCACAACCCGAACCCTGGTGTTGGAAGCCCGTCCAGATTGGGGTCTAACAAACTACATGAGAGCTTGTGCAAGTGTAATCTGTAGGCCTACTTGTTAGTAGACAGCCAGTGCTACGCTCGAAACATGAGCATGTGAAAAGGGTGAGCGCTGTTACAGCCAGCCCTGGATGATACGCGTGTTCATCCCTGGCCGACACAACCTCGTAATATGGGATTGATACTCGGTGGTCTTTGTAGAGACAAAGATAAGAGGATAATGATATCGGCCTGTATTAATCCGCAGACCCGTCGTTTTCCCTGGTGTCTGAGGGTCTAGGCTGAACGTCGTCGCAGGAGATGGGCGTGCAGTTGCGACGAGGTCGACAGCGTCCCGGGAAATTGTCTTGGATCAGTGTTGTGTCAATGTCAAAGGGGTGAGCCCCCCCAGGACCCGTCAAAGGCGGGACCCACCGTAGCCACAGCGCCCCCGCATTCCTCCGCCTGGGCCGTTCTGAACCGTCTGGAATACCCGTGGAAACCCCAAGGGCCCACCAGCCCTCCGAGCAGCGTCAGTGTGGAGAAGCGCATCGTACCTGGACGTGCATGCAGCTGGGACCGCTGGCCAGTGCTGGGGCAGATCAGGCCGATCAAGCTGACAGCGACCCGGCTGCCCGGCTGCGCGGCCTCGAGCACGTCGGAAACGGAAACGGAAAAGCTTCTTTGCTCCAATTAAACGTCACTCCTGCGTACCGTTTACCCCATAGCCGCCACTGTGCCGAACCCACGGCAACGTCAACCCTCGACTCTCGCTCTGGCCGTCTGCATGTCCCGGCCTAGTGAGGGGCATTGGTCCTGGAGCAAGACCGAGGAGGGGCAAGTCACTCTGCCACTGCCCGCCATGGGCAAACGGGGGATGGAGGTCTGTCTGCATGCTTTGCCCATATTCCGTACCCCGTCAACCCGTACAGCTTGACACATAGCTAGGGTGATGCTGCCCTGCTCTAGCCAAGGTACCCTGCCCAGCGTAGCCGAAGCCGACGAGGGCCCCTCCGGCCGTGTCATTATCGTGAGTCCCTTCCTGGCTAGAAATTGATCTGATCTGCTCTGGTCCGCAACGGCTGGTTCGCCTCTCTCCTTTCTTCCTTCCTGCTTCTTCCTACTTCTTCTCCTGCGCATTGCAAGTCCTCCCTCAAACAATATCGCAACCATCCTGCCCAATCTAGAACATCCCAGTTCCAGACATCACGACAACCTCACCTCAACCTCACCCTCAACCGTAACCACCAGCTCTTACTCTTTAAGAATTACACACACCCGGCTATTCAAGGCTAAGGTGATACAGCCCATAGCCTCCCTCAACTTCGTTTCAAGGTCCTGTCCCCGTGCTCACCACCGCGGCCCAATTCATCTGCTTGGTTGATACCCATTACTTCTTTGTTCTGTTCTCTGTGTTTCTTGCAGTCCTACCACCACAATGTCTGCACAAGTAAATACCAATGGGGGTGGCAATGAGGCCGAGACCATCAACACCAACATCGTAACGCTCACCCGTTTCCTGACGGAAGAGCAAGTCAAGATCAAGGAGGCAACTGGAGACTTCACGTATGTCAGCCCTTGAACACACACACAGCCGCTGCCCACCCCATGACCTGAACAAGACAAGACTGACCCCTCGACCAGCCTGCTGTGCCACGCCCTGCAGTTCTCCTTCAAGTCGATCGCCTACTACATCCGAAGAGCAACCCTCGTCAACCTGACCGGCCTGGCCGGCTCCTCCAACACCACCGGTGACGAGCAGAAGAAGCTCGATGTCATCTCCAACGACCTCTTCATCGCCGCGATGCAGTCCTCGGGCAAGTGCGCACTACTGGTCTCCGAGGAGGAGGAGAACGTCATATACTTCAAGGAGAACCAGCACGCCCGCTACGCAGTCGCCTGCGACCCCATCGACGGCTCCTCCAACCTGGACGCCGGTGTCTCCGTCGGCACCATCTTCGCCATCCACAAGCTGGCCGAGGGCTCCACCGGCACCAAGGAGGACATCCTCAAGCCCGGCACCGAGCTGGTCGCCGCCGGCTTCACCATGTACGGCGCCTCGGCCCAGCTGGTCATCACCATGAAGGGCGGCGGCGTCAACGGCTTCACCCTCGACAACGGCGTCGGCGAGTTCATCCTCACCCACCCCAACATGCGCCTGCCCAAGTCGCGCGCCATCTACTCCGTCAACGAGGGCAACTCGCTCTACTGGGAGGACAACGTCAAGGGCTACTTCGAGTCGCTCAAGCAGCCCCAGGGCGGCGACGGCAAGGGCAAGCCTTACAGCGCCCGGTACATCGGCTCCATGGTCGCCGATGCCTACCGGACGCTGCTGTACGGTGGCATCTTTGCCTACCCTGCCGACAAGAAGGCCCCCAAGGGCAAGCTGAGGATCCTGTACGAGTGTGCGCCTATGGCCATGGTGTTTGAGAATGGTGAGTTGTTCACTCCTCCTTACCTTTTCATATATATATATATATATATATACATATATCCGCAAGAACTCGAGACTGACAATGTGTAGCTGGCGGACAAGCTGTCAACTCGAAAATGGAGCGTATGCTGGAAGTCGTTCCTGAGTATGTTGCCCCTTTCGCCCTGCCTTTTCACCTTGTACATATTCACTAACAACAACCACAGGGATATCCACGACAAGTCAGGAATCTTCATGGGCAGCTGGGATGAGGTCGAGAAGGTCAAGCAGTTCCACAAGTCATAAGATACCCGACCGGATAGGCGCTCTGTCTCACGCACACTCTCACACACATTCTTGGCTTCGGAGGTATCATGGGAGGAGCAAAGGACGGCGTTACTGCTTGCTTGCGCTGCTGTCACGATTAACCGGTTGGATGTCGGATCAGATTGGAAACGGTCATAATGTGCATAGCTGTGTCACTAAACGAATAATACCATGGAGAAACTCAACGAAAAGCGTCGCATTGGTCGTACAATGATGAGGTTATCTAGGCACGTGAGGCTCCTCGACAGCATTTGGAATGAGCTGGACTTGGTCAACATCACTTCTCACATGGAAAGACTGGGCACTCGTTTTGAAGCATGAAGCTTGTCTTGTGACTATCTAACACTATCTGCTGAGCACGTGGCACGCCCAGGTCTTGCCATTTCTGTAGAGGCCAACCCCCTCTTCCGATTTACGTCTCATCATCTTTGTGAGATGTCTGTGTCCGACTCAATTCTCCTCTCATGCCCTGTATCACCCACAATGTGCCATTAGTTGAGCCATGGGGGAGAAAAAAAGTCAAGAATGTAAAATGCCATGCTCGCTCCGCCCTGCCCTGCCCTGCCCTGCCCTGCCTTGCCTTTCCGTTGCTGATTGGACCGATCAGGATCAACACCTGGTGCTACAACCACCCCTTTCCTTCGACCTTTGCCGGTTGGTTCCCTTTCGCATGGCTATCAGCTGCGCCCGACCATGACGTCTTTGTAATACGCAAAGGCCAGCTCGTTCGAGTACTTCAGGTACGCGTCCTCCGTGAGCGGCAGGCCGAGAACTTGGGTAAGTGTTGTCTGTAGTAGGAGATGAGATTAGCATGGTGTCATTCCAAACAAAGGGAGTGGATGTGAAGAATCATGAACATACCTCGCCCTTCTTAGCCAGCTCGACAACCACCTTGGCCACCTCGCTCGCCATGTCCGCCACGGCCGCAACCTCGAGGACGTCCGCGTCCTGCCTGACCTGGACGCTCTCGTGCAGCGCCGGCAGGCCGGCCATCAGACCCTCGACGACCTTGGGCGGCACGGTGGCGGCGGACCCGTGCTCGACGTGGCGGATGAGCTCGACAAAGTCGCAGTAGATCTTGCCGCCAAAGTTCCAGTCGGGGACGAAGCGGCCCGCGTCGTCGCCAAACTCGGCCAGCAGGTCGTCCAGGCCGTCCCAGTCGCGCTCGATGACCGCCGCGGGCGCCACCTGCTTGGTGAAGGTCTTGTGCGCCTCGGCGTAGCTGCCCGCCCGCAGCAGGTACACGACCTCCTGCCTGGGGTTGCCCTTGACGCTGCGCATGTACAGCGCCTTGGCCTGCCAGACCCACTCCGCGGGGATCTTGAAGGTCTGCGTGAGTGTCGTGAAGTCCTCGCTCTGCTCGCCCCCGATCAGCTTGGCGTGGTGTGAGAGGTGCTCCTGGATGGCCTTGGCCCGTGCCTCGGGTCTGGTCAGGTACAGGAGGACGAAGACGGCCTCGAGCCAGTGGCCGTCGTTGGTCAGCTGCCACGCGAAGGTCAAGGTTGCAGCGTCTGCCTTGTCTTCTGCGTCTCGTCCGAATGACACCTTTCCGGTGTTGACCAGAGCCTGACCCAGCTGCCAGCACAAACGGTTGTCCAAGGGGGATAGCTGCGAGTTTTCGGGTCGGAGGATGTCAGCCAGATCAATCTCTTTGTCGGCGTACAGCTTCAGTAATCCCCACATGAGGTCCTCGCGCAAGTCCTTGTCAGGGTCGTCCCATAGGGCGGCGATGCCTTGCTCGGCATACCATGGCTGAGGCCGCGGCTCCTTGTCTTGCTGAATGTCTTCTGCAAAGGAGTGGATCGCTTCGACAACGTCATCAGCTGAGGTGATCGCATACCACAGCCGTAGGCCGAACGCTTGCTTCCAGTCCAGACCAAATCGTTGTGAAAGTATGAATGATTCCATCCGGTTCTCCATGGTTCCCTTAGAGCCCTCAACGGCGCAGACATTGCCTCCGAGTAGTTCATAGATGGCACGAATGGGCTCGGTGAATTCGGACAGCACGTTTGCCTCACGCCATCCCTTGACCTGTTCGCGCATGTCTTGCATGAGTTGGTCACTGGTTCCAATGAGTGAGACCAGAGTCGCCAGCCGGAAGTTCTTGCCATCAAGCAGGTGCTTGCAAGCGTCCGGAACCCGGTGACCAGAAAGAGAAGCGATGGCCTTGTCCTCGGGGGATCGGGCCATACCGACAGCCCTATTAGATGCCTCTTCGACAGTGTTCTGCCAGAATTCGGAGAGGTTACGTCGGCGGGCCTGACGGAGACCAGACGGTGGAACTCTCTTCCCATCGGGGTCAGAGACTGGATCAAAGAGGATGCTGGCAAGTTCCCAGACCATCTTCTCGTGGACGTTGGCCGGTTTTTGAAGATCCTGTCCATGGAAAAATGCCGTCAAAGCATTGACAGGGCCCAGCGAAACAGTGGGAACATTGTCGATGAGTTTGACCCGGGTCAAATTCATTTGATTGGCTAGCGACTTTGGTGAGGTCTCGTTCGAGAACTTCGCAAATCGAATGTCGCGGTGCTCAGAGACGATGTTCAGTCTACCCATAGCCATGATGCCATCCTTCTCAAGGGCTCGCCGAGATGATCGAGTAAGGGTCTTGGGTGTGGAAGAAATGACCAGGGTCCCATCCGGGCCCCAGCTAGGGCGGAGTGTATCGTGGAAGGCCTTGTCGGCTGGATCCATGTTTGCCTCATCCTCCTCACCGGTCTTGTCTTGTCTCTTGTACGGCCACTAGAAAAGAAAGGAAAAGTCTTAGTATGAAGCACGTTTTATTGAAGGCAATGCATATGAATAAATACAAAACATCCACAACCAGTAGTAACCTGACCCATGCACGAGAAACATTCTAATAGACAGATGTGGTACCGACCTTGAATCCCGACGTGGGAATAGGAGCCGGGGCAGCCCGAGCGGGCGCTCTTGGCTTTTCGAACAACGAGTTCATGAGTTCAATGCTCGTTGCAAATCCACGGCCATCCGGCACGGCTCTTGGCTTTGCCTGTGGGGCGTCCTGCCGAACACTGGCTTTCAGGTCCTCGTAGGTCTCTTCCTCGTTCATGGCCTTCAACGCAGCGCGGTCTCGCTTTGCGGGGCCAATGGTCTTCTGGAGCATATCCATCCAGTCATCACCATCGGCGACCTGAAGCCTGAGAGGCGCGTTTGAGTCCTTGATAGCACGCATTCTGGCCCTCATGATGCCACCGGGCGTCTCTTGGTACTCAACCATCGATCCTTGGTAAGGCGAGTCGTAGTCTGGCTCCGCGGCTTGATGATACCCCAGGTAAGCACTCGTATCTTGTGCCTCGGGTAGAGCATGCTCTTCGTCCATTAGTTCAGCCTCGTGGTGTTCGAATGCTTTGGACGTAGAGCCCACGGAGCGGTTAGATAAAAAAGACTGCTCGTTGGCGTCGGCCATTTCCTCCTCGTCATCTGAAATGGCGCCTGTGTAGTCGAAAGCGCCAGGAAGAGCACGTCGCTTCCGCCTGAACTCGAAAGTGTCCTCGGGCTCGGGGTGCTCATGCTCAACTTGGAAGGATGACATGGGGGGCGCAGGTAGGGTGGCCTCCTCCGGAGCGGCCTCAGCAATAGTAGTGTCGCCTTCAGTGTCGTCCTCGTCATAGTCAAGACCGTAGGTAGTAAAGTGCTCCACCTCGAAGGTCCACACCCCGGTTTCCGCGTTGTAGTCAATGAACTTCGTGTCAGGAATCTTCTTAAGGCGCTCGACATGCTTGTTGAATGCGCGGCCAGACTTCTCGGGGATTGGCGTCCGCTTGTCCCGGCCACGAGGCCAGGAGTGCTCCAGAGAGATCTCAGAAGGCACGTTCAAGCCCTTGCCAACCGGAGGCTTCTTCGCAGCGACAGGATACACCGTGCAAGATCGAGTCTCCAGGACAACGATGCCTCCTGGAATCTCATCTAGGTCGATGTTGGTGAGATCGACAGGCGTCTTGAACTGGACCTGTCCGACGTTGTACCGACCAACAGTAAAGCCCGGTACCTGACCACGTTGGACACGGTTCATCTTCAAAATTTCGTCTTTAGAAGGACTCAACCAATAGGCGCCAGCTTCTTTGCTTGGAGAAGAGGTGGCGTCCTGGGTTGTAGAAGTGGTAGAAGACTCCTCGTGCACAACCGCCAATTCGTTGCCCTTAACCTGTTCCATCTCAGGCTGAGCATCGGGACTCTTCGAACCGTTAGTTGTCAGGCTACCTCCGTTTGTTGGGCGGATGAAACCCAGATCCTGAGCGGAGGTGCTGGGGGTTGGTGTGCCATCAAGAGTGCCATTCTCGGACGCGTCAAGGCTGGTGTCGAAGCTGACCCGTTTTGGGAGCTTACGGGGACCAGGTGACTCTGCAAGCTGCTTGTCTCTGGAGGGCGAAGAGAACAGATCGAGACGCAAGGATTTGTCGATGTTCAACTTCTTCAGGCCTGCGCTACCATAAGGGCGAGTTCCCATGCTGGATGAGAACGACCCAGGCGTCAAGATGCTATCCTCGGCATTGAAACTCTTGCGCAGGTTGCTCGAGGAAACACTCTTGCTCAGAGACCGGTTCAGGCTCCCTGTACCGAGCAAACTCTGCCCCAGCCCACCGGGGGTGCTCCCCGCACTTGACGGTGTCGCTGGAGAGCCGTAAGTACTATAAGAGAAGCCAAAGCCCCGCTTCACCGGAGTATTAAACCTGGTGGATGATCCAGGGTTCAGCTTCCACATGGGAAGGATAGAGCCCTTGCGCTCCTTCTTCTTACCAGACAAAGGCGTGGCAAGGGGGCCAGGGTTCTGCACTTCTCCATTGCCAAGCCCCGAGAACAGGGACGGTGTACCGTATGCATTAACATCGCCGATACTAGCAGTCAATGCTTGCGGCCCTGGCTGTGAGTTCTGTGAGGCGCCGAAAAGAGAGTTTCCCAAGGCATTCTGTTGGGGTTGCTGGGCTGTGGACTGTCCAAAGAGGCCACCTCCCACTTGTTGCGTGTTTTGGTTTCCAAAGAGACCACCGCCAGTTGACTGTCCCGTCTGACCGCCGAAGAGAGAGGTTTTGTTTTGGTTCTGGTTGCCCCCCAGGTTACCGAACAACGATGTGGTGCCTGTCTGCTGTTGCTGGGTCTGGTTGTTGGACCCCAGGCCGCCGAAAAGACCGCCCCCAGTCTGTCCAGTCTGCCCGGTGGTAGCACCTCCAAAGAGGCCGCCACCAGTTGCTGGTTTGTTGGCTACCCCAAACAAGCCACCACCGCCTTGTTGCTGAGTGTTGTTCTGGCCAAACGCATTTGTGTTGGTGTTGGTGTTGGCTCCCCCGAACAAGCCACCGGTGTTTTGCTGAGCTCCAGTGTTGCCGAAGAGCCCTCCTCCAGTGGTGGCTGCAGGCTTGTTCTGGTTTCCAAACAGGCCGCCACCGGGCTGCTGTGTGTTGGTTTGTCCAAACCCACCGGTGCCGAAGCCGGTGGACTGGGGCTGCTGCTGTGCGTTGCCGCCGAAAAGACCACCGCCCGTGTTGGCTTGTTGCGTGTTCGTGTTCCCAAAGAGCCCGCCGCCTGTATTTGTGGCGGTGTTCTGGCCAAAGCCGGTGCTGGTTCCAGTATTGGCGCCAAAGCCCGTGCCCGTTGTTCCGCTCCCGAACCCGCTCGTGAACCCGGTTGTGGTAGCAGGCTTGTTTTGAGTGTTGCCGAACAAGCCGCCGCCCGTGTTTGATCCGAAGCCAGTCGTGGCAGTATTTGTGGCTCCAAATCCACCCGTCGTACCACCTGTGGAACCGAACAGTCCGCCGGCCGGTGCTGGTTGACTCGTCGCGGTCGTGCTGCCAAATAGACCCCCACCGGTCGCAGGTTTGTTCTGCCCAAAGAGACCTCCACCCGTCGCACCGGCCCCGAAGCCAGTTGTGTTCGAGGTGCTGCCGAAACCGGTCGCGCCCGTATTATTTTGGGTGTTGCCAAAGAGGCCAGTGCCTGTATTCGTGCTTCCGAAGCCGGTGGTCTGAGCGGTATTGGTACCGAAGCCACCACTTCCAAACCCAGAAGTTGCTCCAAAGGCGCCACCACCACCTGCTGGACCATTGCCGTATTGTCGGCCCTGGGCATAGTCTGCCATCCTCAGCTCTTCGGCCGAGAACTTCTTGTATGGCTCTTGGAAGAGGATGTTCTGGAAAGCGTTCTGTGCTGTGCTGTTCGGCTCCTTCTCTAAGTAGGGGGAGAAAGCCAGAACAGCAGTGCCAGGGGGGTCTCCGACATTGGTTCCTATCCCAGGGTTGTTGGTCGCACCTCCGAACGCGCCGGTGGTGTTGCTGCTACCGCCGAAGGCACTACCACTTCCAAACAAGGTAGACCCAGTGCTGGTTGCGGTGGTCCCGCCGCCGAAGGGAGTTGACGTCTTGTTGGCGCCGAACAAGGAGTTGGTGGCTCCACCGCCGAAGGGCGACGAAGTTGCCGCAGTATTGGTGCCAAAACCGCTTCCAAAGCCAGTTCCACCGGAGGTTGTCGTTGTCGAGCCGAAGAGGCCGCCCCCAGTACCGGTTGTAGCGGCACCAAATGCGGGTTTCGCTGCTCCGAAGCCTGTGTTGCCCGAGCCAAATGCACCTGTGACAGAAAGTTGTTAGTAAAACGAGACTGTCTTGCAGCAGCCTGGTGTGATCAAGAAGACGCCAGCGGCCTTGGAGATAGAGAATGGGGCGAGACGTTTCGAGCAGACGACTGGCGCATTCCACGGTAGTGCGGTGAGTGCGCCCAGGACCACATCGACCAGTGAAACGCGGCGCTCGCGGCGTTCAAAGGAAAATGATGTATCATACCGCCAGTGTTGCTGCCAAAGCCACCTGTGGTGCCACCACCACCAAAGAGACCGCCCCCGGTGTTGGTTGTCTGCGCTGGCGCGCCAAACGCAGGAGTGCTGGATGATCCGAAGGCTGGTAGTTGGGAGCATCATGTCAGCCGAGGCGGGTGAAGATCAAGGCCTGGCGCGAGAGCGAGAGCAAGAGACGAAACAAAAAGAAGACACGAGTATCACGGCGAGAAAATTATAGGGAGGAACATACCCGAGGTGGTGTTGTTTGTGTTTGCACCGAATCCGCCGCCGCCGAAGGTATTACTGGTTTGGTTGTTCTGGCCGAAGCCACCGCCGCCGAACCCGAAAGACATGTCGGAGATGGGGCGAGGTGCAGTAGCCCTGCCAGGCAGTGATGGGCGCCGAGGTTGGGATGATCAAGGGCGCGAGGGCCGTGGATCGCGCGCGGAACGCGTCAAGGTTTCCAAGGCGCGACACGGCTGGGTCCAAGTCGCAATCGACACTCGAAATAGAGGCGTCGGTCGCGGTGGTTGGGTGGGACCGCGGTCTGTCGCGCGATCGCGGCGGGTGATGGAGCTCTGCCTCGCTCAGGAGGAGGTTGGGATGAGGTCGACGCCGTAGGTGGGTGGCAGGGAGGTTGGTTTTTTTTCTTCAGTTGCAGTGGGACATGAGGAAACCAGATCTCCAGTGAGAAAGACAAGAAACTGCCCGTGCTTGAAAGGTGGCGACAATCAAAAATGCAAGACTCGCCAGAATCAAAAGAAAAATGAAGCCATGTGAAGGCTGTCGCAGACAGGGAGGTAGGGAGGTTGAGGGTCGGTGACAGCTCCTTCGCAAGCTTGCTCGGGGTTGGTAGGTGGTGTCTGTGAGCAAAAAGCGGACGGGGGCGATAATCCAGTGGGCAGACAGTGGCTAGTCCAGCCAGCCGGCCGAGCGACTGCTTGGGCTCTAAAGAGGCCCAGCCCACCGCGCCTGGGCCACCAAGCTCGGGCCAATCAGGGGAGACCGAAGTCCCGCGCTGCTGCTGCCTCAGGTGGATTAGTCAGTCAGGCCCTGACAGGCCGGATTCATTGGTCAATCCCACAGAGATGACCCTCCTCGATTCTGCCTTGCGAGCTTTACATGGCCAGTACCTGTCAAAATAGAGTCATATGACCAACACTGCCTTGTAAAGCAGGACAATGGATTCATTGTGAGTCAATATCAGGGACCTTGATTGGATAGCAGTTTCAGGCTGCCGTACGTGAGAAAAATGCTGACATATCAAACAAGATGTTGGTTATTTTCGAAGAGAGGGTACACCCAAGCCCCACCACGTATGTATTTCTTCCACTGCACTCCTTGGCAACATTTGAAAGTCGTGAACGGGCAGTCAGTGAGACCGGCAGCCCAACCAACAAGAGGGTTGAATCCCGAGGTCGTGACAACCATGTTTTAAAGTAGTCGACCTGCCAAAGACGACTCCTCCCTTGACTGCTAAATATCTCAGACACCCAGGGACTGCTTGACATAATTGAGTAAGTGCGGCGAGACTCGGGACTGGATAAGCCTGTCACCCTGTTCGTTCGGGTGAACGCCATCCCTCAGCATGTTGGATGTGAACCCAGTGTAACAGTCCGCAATGACTATGGGAGACTCAGTGCTATTCAGACCAGCAGCCCAGGAAGGAATTGCGTCGTTGATGGAGACGATGGCGTTGTTATTAAAGGATAGGGGGATGACCTTATCAACCTATCACGTTGTAGGCCCGGTGTTAGGAATAGTATTCACCCTGAAAACAAAAGCTAGAGTAAACTTACGATAAACTTGGCCTTGGGATTGGACGCGCGGACCGTCTGTACGATCTTGGTGTAGGCAGCAAGAATTTGCGAAGTAGGATACCCCCTTGTAGCGTCGTTGGTGCCACCCATGAACATCACGATATCCGCCGGCGTGTTCTTTATCCAGGTTCTAGTGTGTGTCAGTCACCTGCTACAGATTCTCTAGTGAATTTTTCTACAGTGTTTCCAGAGAGAAGAGCATGATACTGACCCGATGTAGTTGTTAGCAATGTCAATAGCCAGCCAGCCAGAGTGGGCCTCGTTATGTTGATCCCAAGATTGAGTCTGAGGCTTGCAATTCTGAGGGTTGCTGTTCTGCGATCCGACGTACTGCACATGGCTCGACAGATTGGCAGCCGTGAGATCGTCCCAGACGTAAGCACGCCAGCAAGTTATTTCAGTGATACTATCGCCCAATGGCACTGATATAATGTCAATAATTCCGTGTCTCTTCATCATAATAAGTCCATGAGATGAGACTTACTGATACGCAGCTTGTTCTGGGCCATGCCGCAGCTGAAGAGGGCTGAAGCCGCCGCCACAACAATCTTGGAGACCTGCATGTTGTCGATCTAAGTCAAGGAGGCTTGGACTACGATTTTTTTCATGTCACACGAGATGAACGGAACGAGATCCCAAGTCGAGCATAGTTATATAATATTTGAGGTCGCTGTCGTCTATGTCGCTTGGCAGCACCCGAATCTACGGCTGATGTACAGGAGATGCAACTGAGGAGAAAGGAAACCAAGATTCTGAGTGATCTCCAAACCTTCCTCGGGCACGGCAATAAAAGTGTGCAGCCGGGTAACAATCAAAGACGTTGGCGAATTAGCCTGAACTGAATTGGCATGCGATACTACAGCAAAATGAATTCACCGTCGTATCGGCACGTTTCCCTTTTCCTTTTCCTACATCCTTCAATTGCACGTTGTCTTAGCCTCTCTTTATGCCGGCTTGTAGGCTCCGTGTGGGTAGTGCACGATCCTTACAATATCAGTCTTAAAGTAATTGCATGTGAGGACACACGAGACCTAACCAAAATGGGGTGTGCCATGTGCGAAGCGTCTCGCGTCTCCTGGGCACATATGAACTTGTGACCGCCGGGTCAATGGAAGAGTCGTTCAAAGCCTACTCCGTGTCACTTGGATAACACAGGTGTCTCTTTTGCTAGCAGCTTCCATGCCAATACTTGCTTATATCTCTAGTGCCACTACTCAATAGCAGACCCCCGTGAACTGCTTTCACTGCTTACTCTTACACATTGCTGTTAGTAGGTCCAATACCACGGCCGAAATACAGCCTCCATGTTCGACGGTCAGCAGAAATAGAACGCCGGTTCCCCTGGATCGTGCTTTCTCCAGGGGCCAACGACCAAGCACTTGGAAACGCTTTTGATGAGAGATATCGTATTGGAGGGAAGCATGTGATCCTTTGAAAATAGCCACCATATTTGATTTTGTGAATCCTGGCGGAGACTGGAAATTGCTTCGCTTTTCATGTCCGTAGGGGCCCATGAGCCATAGCTAGCTAATTCAAAGATTGTGTACCACGTGAACCTTATGCATGTTGTACCGAGTGGTTTGGTGTCCAATAGAAAGAGCTGTGGGCTTAAGAATTGCTAGATATGGCATGTCAAAATGTTCTAGCATTGTCATAGTCGAACACAAGGCATTATAAAAAAAATACGACTTATTAGAGAGCCTGCATAATCGTCGGAGGTATGTACTTGGCCGTTGGGGTGCACATTTCTCTTCACCATTCTGCTCGATCTGTGGGCAGCTCACACAGCTCGGGACGATCATCAAGATATGATGTCGTGAGCTGACGATATCGACAGCTCAGCCCTGGAGAGGTCATTTCGTGAGCTCGTTCAGTGAGAAATACATGTCCTCGGACGGTGGGAAAATAGAGTTGAGGGCATATGATGTACCTTAGATCTACACAGGCAGTCATGAGACCATAGAAGATACAACTTTGTAGTAACTCTCTTCGTAATTCGGATTGCATGGCGGCTTGCATCACAGCCTCACATATGGACATGCACCACCTCATGTTGAGAAACGTCGTTCCAGCAAACTGAGAGCTCAGCGTATTGGATGTATTCGATTCGAACCACACCAAGAGACTCACCACAATCCTCGAACGACTTTTTCAAATTGCTGAGACATTTGCGATCAGCCTCTTGATACCGTTGGCCAATCGGCTCCTCACTCCAGGCTGTCAACCCTGAACGGCATTCAAGTGGTTCTCACTCTACATCTACGTCTTTTGCTCGAACATCGTTCTCCATTCTCCTGGTTGTCCCTCCAGTTTTCCTTCGGTTTTCCATTTCTCAACTCTCTTGTTCTGCTGCTGTCTCCTCTGCTCTCCCTGCATCCTCACTCCCATCAACTTCAACACGGTGGTCTCACCTCAAAACCTCCATCTGTCCATCTTCGTAAGTACCTCATTTTCTCAATTCAACAAACTTTTCGTCTTATCTACACGTAACTACATCACAAGCTTTCAGCTGTGCTGCCTGAGGTGGATCACCTTGCTTCTGCAACTCCTTACTTCCGTAGTCAATCTTGCCCTTCTTGATACCTTTCTCTCTCGACACCTCTCTTGCTAAGCTCATGCTTCCCTCTATGGTCGGTGAGCATCAGTTTTACCTTTGAAGCCTTTTCAAACACATTGATCAGAACTCATCTATTTCATCGAGTCTCCTACCAGGCTGTTAGTTCTCCTCGTCTTATTACTTCCCTTCCGTCCCTTCATCCGACTTACAAACACAGAGTACTTACTAGCACCCCTTACCACCTTTCTTTCTCAAACGCGTTCTCCTCACACACGGACCCGCACAGTCTCACTCACTCACTCACTCACTCACTCACTCACTCACTCACTCACTCACTCACCCACTCACTCATCCACTCTCTTCTCACAAGCTTCTTCTTGCATCCCTGGTCGGCATAACGTCTTCATACTGACGACTGGGTTACCGGCCTCGCAATATCTCAGACTTGGTGGTGAGTGACAACTGGTTTCATCTCAGTCTTAACATTACATTGCCTTTCTTGCTCTCTCGCCTACTTCGACTCTTTCCTGCTCCATCCTTGACTTTCCTTCTATCATTGCCTGCCCTTGAACTCAAGTGTCTTCACTTGTGGAAGGCTCGCTGGTCTGCACCCACTTACAACCACACCTTTACGCCTACCCACGTAAACCTGCGCACTTACACCTACAGACTTACATCTGCGCACCCACAACTACACTCTCATCCACACAATACCTCTTCCCCTCACTTCATCCCACCACTCTTCAACCTTTCAACAGCATTTGATGACATACAAGATCGGTTTCCACTCCTAACCGCTCTTTGCAGACAACGCACTCGCGTGACATCCACAATGGATGACCCGGGCGAAGGTGGCGGAGGCTCTCCAAGACTTCCCCCAGACGGCCAGGGCGGTGCTGAGCCTGTGCGAGGGAATGACGGATCACCGGATAGTGGCATATTTGTGCCGCAACTATCACCAGAAGAGGACGAGCAAACCGCCTCCCCTGAGCAGGAGCGAGAGGTCTCGCAACCAGGCTCCTCCAGAGAAACCCCCATGGTCATTGATGACGATGAGCATGTTGAGGAAGCTCCGTCCGAGCGCCCAGAGGGGTCTCAGCCGCCCGAGGACGAGCCTGCCCCAGACCAAGACGAAAGCGATCAGGAGGGTGGAGAAAGCGAGTCTGAAAGCGAGGAGGCTGAGGACCCAGCCGAGTATGAAATCCTAGCTGCATGCCTGGGGGCCCAATGCCAACAGCAGTGTGATCAGATTGCACAGACAATACGTCTGAAGAATCGAACCAACAAAGATCTCCGGCGCACGCTCAAGCAGAAGAGGCGCAGGATTAGATTCCTGGATGGAAAGATCACGCTGTTGGCCCGACAGGTTCGCCTGCTTGGAGGTGTACCTGTCTACGGAGCAAGACGAAGAGCCACTCAGCGCCGCCCAAATGCTTCCACCCCGCGTGGCATGAACCGTTGGCAGGAACTGCTCAGACGCTCCATTGACGGCAATGAATCTTACAACAGGGCATGGAAGAGTAGTCAACAAACTCTGAACATGCCTATCGACAATAGCAAAACACATCCTGGCATCAGGTTCGTCGCCCATGCCAATGCTGAGGATGAAGAGCCTGAGGATGAACAGTCCGAGGGTGACGAGCTCGAGAACGAGCCCGCTGAGGGTTCTCTCGTCAGGGCAAGATGGCCTGCGGACTCGGAGTTGCCCGACAATGTGTTGTTTTGCATATTGGAGCATCTCCTCTTCTACGACCAACAAATGTGTCACTGCATCTCCAGGCTTGACTATCACGAACCGCCTGTCAGTTTTCCAACACGAGAGGAGCTGGGTAACTCACGTACTGGACTTAAAGGACGGTTCTACTTTTCAAGCTTTCAAAGAACGCCGGTTTCCCTCACGCATGACACACTGGACCCAAACGTCGTGCTCGCTCCATCCTTGGTGTGCCGCCGGTGGGCCTTTTACTCATTGAACATATTCTTTGGACGCAACACGTTCAGCTTCAGTTCGTTGGTAAGTCCTTGCGATATTTATAACAGCACACCACTTCGGGGCTTGCAGCACATGGCTAACACGCCCCAGGGTGAGTTTGGCAGAGCCATGACCGGCTGGAAATCATCCAGAATCGCAATCATCCAAAATATCGAGCTCGCATGGTTAGGTGGAAGGGTAGTCCGCTTCAGTGAATCGACTGGGGAACGCCGGGACGCGCGGACTCAACCACTGTCGTGGTTTTGCGAGTTGGCTAACTTGAAAACATTGGTGATCCACATTGAAGAGGCGAATAGGAAAGTCATCAGGCGATCCTACGAGTCCGAGAATTGGAAGGAATACCAGAGGAAAAATATGGCAGGCAAATGCCAAGGCAGAATGACAAGAGCCCTGCGCTGTTGTCGAGGCATGGATTTCATCACGCTTATGCGGGGACTTTCATGGGTTCGCGTTTTTGATTTGGACAAGCAGCTCAAGATGGTTCCTCGAGATGAAGCCGCCATCAGAGACCAGAGTTTCAGAATCGACGTTGAGCGCGCTGTGACTCAAGCCAAGCGACCATCGGCAGCAGCTAAAGCACGCCCTGAGAGGCTTGACGCGCTGTTCCCCGTCCGCCGGCACGTTTGGAACCCAGAAGACGAGGACTTCCAGCGCGTGTGTGTCATTTTCGACGAGCACACTGGATATTCTCCAAGGGAAAATGATTTGGACGCCGACGCCGACTCCTCTGAGGGGACAATCGTGCCGAGCGAGTCCGACTCGTCTGGCGATTCTGAGGGAGACGACTCTGAATCTTCTGGGAGCCCACCTCCACTCAGACGCCGTCAATTCACACCTGCACGCAGAGATAATTCCAGGGAAGACGAAGGGCTCAGCGAGTCTGGGGATGAAAACCATCATTCTGGCAGCGACAGCGGCGATTCTGACAACGATTCTGACAACGATTCTGACAACGATTCTGACAACGAGTCTGACAATGATTCCGACAACGGGTCCCTTTCGACCAGGAGAAGGAGGCGCCTCGTGCAATATCGCCGGCAGTCGACAGTGTCAGAAAGCTATTCTGATGTGAATCCTCGCAGAGCTCAGAGTGAAGGAGGAACAGTCTCCCATACATCAGAGATCATTGATATCTCAAGCGAACATGAAGAGAGAACACCATTGCCTCTCGGGCTCAGGGACCGATCGTCATCCGGCATGTTTGTCACCTCATGTGAGCGCTCCACGGGCACGCCGGATCTTCTAGGGCGCTCTTCAAGTACGATGCAACGACGCGCGTCCAGCGCACCCCGTCCTGGCTCTTCGCTTCATAACACCGTCGATCTCACTCAAGAGGAAAGCGACAAGGAAGATGGCGAGGAGGGTGTCGACAAGGAGGGTGTCGACAAGGAGGCGAAAGAAGAGGACACCGCGGCCAACGAAACTGGCGGAGATGCACGTGCCCAGCTGATGCCTAGGAGGAAACGCAGCCGACGGGTGACGAGTTCTCCCAGTGAGGATGAACATCACGGTGAACCAAAGAGGCACAAGTCGGTCCCACAGGACTGGCACTTCCCTTCCCAGATCATACGGTGATACTGCCACATGAGACGTTTGTTTCTGCTATTTGGCGCCTGATCACACCACATCGCTTTTCATCATCAATATCCATTTTTCCGACAGCGTTCATTGCCACTATCCCAAAACCACCACTACCCTCCGCCCAAGGGTTTGTACATTATCAACAATTTGAGCCGACGACTGGAGCGTCTCCCGTTGGAGAGTTTGACGCTGAGAAGTCATCTGAGCTGAGACTGTCCCAGTAGAGGGACACACGTGGGAGGTGATCCCGCGGAGGTCATTGCTTTGGTAGGCTGAGCCACAGGAGCTACATCTTGGAGGTTAACCCGCATGAGATCATCCTATTTGAGATGATCTCCTGGGATACTAACCCATCAGTGGTTATCGGAGAGGAATTCCCAGGTTGGGAGGCTATCCTCTCCCGCACTATGGACACTACACCACGGTCACGACCGAACAGCTTGCGTTGAATTTTGCTTCAGACTAACCCAATACACTCATTTTTAAAAAAGACCTTCTGCTCATTTGTGTGATATCTATGTACTCGTCTATGCAACCCCTTGTCTCCACTTACTTGAGAGGAGAGCCCTTACTTGGCGTAAACCCTCCTGCTCCCGGACCAGCCGACCAGCTCGGCGTGAGTGTCCCTGACATGCTAACCAGTCCTTTCCTAACGGGCGTCGAGGGCGCCTCCGAGATAGGCGTGGTGCTTCTCTGCACGACGCCCTGCTGCTGATGACTCTGCTGCTCGTTCGGAGCCGGGGGTTTCCAGCCCACACCATCTCCCGCACGGTATATCTCGTTGAGCATCATCTTGGTGATGCCCGCGTCGTCGAACTCGAGGAACTTCTTGTACAGCTTGAGCGCGATGCGCGCGTCCTCGATCGAGTCGTGCGTGTCGACCTGGATGCCCTCCTTGAGCAGGTACCAGGCCAGGAACTTGAGGCTCAGCTTGCGCCTGTAGTTCTTCTGGTAGAAGAGGTCGATCGTGTCGATGATCTGCGCCTTGGGGACCTGGATGTTGATCACGCGGAAGTCGCCCTTGAGGCCGTGCCCGATGAACTTGCAGCCGAGGTTCAACAACACCCAGAGGCGCTTGTATGCGACCTTCAGGGACACCAGGCAGTGCTTGCTGTTGCGCGGGTCCAGGTCGTCCGGTTTGATGCCTGAGTAGCTGTGCAGGTAGTCGATGACCGGCTCCCTGACTTGGATCCAGTCGTCTATGAAGGCCAGGCCCTCGTCCTCGCCTTCACCGCGCACAATAGAGACACGGGCCAGCGCGTGGAAATTAGGCCGGATGACCTCTCTAACGCCATCCGATTTCATCTCCACCTCTGACTGTTTGGCCAGCACGAACTCCGTATCAAGGGCCACCGTAGTCTCGGGCCCCGGTCGTTCAAGGACTGGGTCGAGTGTGCGATACGGGTGCTCTGGTGCGTCGGGCCTGAGGAATGTCAGCTGGAATCCACGACGAGGAAAGGGGTAGGGCCGCACCTGAAATCGAAGTGCAGCACCGAGGTGTCAATGTTCTTGACCCACTCGGTGTCAAGGTTGTTGTTTGCAGTCTTCAGCTGGTACACAAGCACGGACGGCATCTTCCACCTTGAATTGAAGGTAAGAGCCTCCGCAGCTGAGATTGGCTTGACGGAGAAGTCGTTGAAGAGATGCCACTGGCTGTCTCCTGGAGGCGTTGGCTCGGCATGAGCAACTAAATTTCGGTCAGCGTGTTTTTTTCTTAGATTTGACGATGTCACAGGAGCACTTACCGTTGACCATGGCAACAAGGTGGGGTTTATGGTTTGACCCAGTATCGACGCTCACTGGCGATAGGGCCGCAAGGTGTGGTTTTTGAGGTGACCCGCTCTCAATGTTGACCGACAGGCCGATGAGCGAGTAGACCTGGATATTGTGCACCCCGCGTTGGAGGTGTAGTTTCAGGTCCTCGCCTTGGTAGCAAAAGAAGGAGCCGTTATCTACTATGATACCGATCTCCTCGGGAAGCCACCCTGGGTTTGCCCACAACATCCTCTGTTCGAGCTCGCTGTCGCGGTGCTCCGCGACTGGGACATTCAGGGTCAATACTGAAGGAATTCCTTGGATAGTCTTGCGGGCCTGCAGGGACTGGTACCGATTACAACGGATACACCAGCCTTTCATGGCCCCTTCTCCTTCGACGCTGTTTTTCAACACTTGAGAGAAGGTGGTCTTGGTTGAAAGGCTTCCGCGGCCTTTGGTCATCGGATACGTCAGATCCGTCACGTAATTTGAGCCCGACCGGCTGGTCTCATTTCCGCAGTTCAAACATTTGATCGTAGTGAGAGCAGAAGTAGCGAGAATCTCCTGCATCGCGGTCGGGGTAGGGGACTTGGTACGGTAGTCGTCCGCCATGGTCTGAAGCAGAAACCTCGTGAGCTGCTGCATCATCTTGGTCAGAGAGCCTTGCCGCGAGTCTTCCTCCAAAAGGCCAAGACGAGATGCCGGTGGATGGTTGCTCAAGCATTTCAAGAGATTCGACGCGTGGCATGATGAGCCCTCGGTCTTCTGCAACATATCCGACAAATAGCCAAGCTCACAGAGCAGGCACATTTCGCTCAAGCAATCCGTCGCCGCATGCTGGAGAGCGAGATTTCGAACCAATGGCGTGAAATGCAAGACCTGAAGGAGGGAATTTGCGTATGAGTTCGCAATGTGGTTTTCCAAGCCAGCATATCGGGTCATGTTGTAGAACCCGAAGTCGAAGTCGTCCACGCCATACTTGCTGAATGAGATCTCAACATTTTGATATAGAGCCGGGACATCCAGACGCAGACTTTCCAGCTCAGTGGTACCCAGCGAGCCCACGGCCATGTCGACCTGCCCGTCCGGGGCAGTCTTGCTGCTCGATACCTTGGTCGCATCTCTGGCCTTTTCACTGAGGAACTTGGGTGCTCGTATAGCAAGGGTGGTCTTGTCAGCAACCCGTGTGTCCTGGATCTGATTCCGGCGTATTCCCCGGGTATTTGGACCGTAGAAACCAAAGGCAGCTTTCGTGAGATGGGCTAGATCATTTTGCGCGAACCTGGGAGGAGGAGCTCCGACATCTGAGATGGAGGTGTTTGGAAGGGCTGATGAGAGTGCCTCTCGATAGTAGGGCATGCCGATGGAGTTCAGTGGCCTGGCACGGTCAGTCAAAGGTTTCGGTACCGCGCTTCAAGCACGCGACTTACGTATTGTCTTTCCAGTCAATATGGGGAGGTGGCACCTCGTCATCTGGCCATTCAGTGGGCTGTGGCAGCTCGACAAAGTGACACTTGGAAGGAGAGCCCCAGAGGTGCATATTACATCCAGTGTCGGCCAACGCGATGGCCTCGCCTGATGGTGCGATTTCTATTCCTGTAAGTACCGAGCCTACGACATTCGCCTGGCGTACATTGCTAGTGTTTGGGTTCAGGAGGTCCACCACATGCATCTGGCCACCCTGGGAAGCCACTATTCCTGTGGTGAGCATGCGCGGATGCATACGGACATAGGCAGCCAGCGGGGGGAAGGGTATAGGAGGCATGGTGGCAAGATTCTTAAGATCGAAGACCATGACAAAGGGGTCGAGCATATAAGTACCCGCGGGTTGCTTAAGCGAGGTACCACAGGTGACAACAAAGTCCTGCTGGACGTCCATGTCATTTATGAAGGCAGAGTGAGCGCGCCATTTGTGTATGATGCTGAACTTGACGGGGTCGAGGATGTGGACGTTGCCGTCGGTTGTAGCTGCGCATATGTAGCGGCCCTTTTTCATCTTGATGTAGTGGTGTGCGGTGGGTATCTGGAGGGCATTAGCCAATACTCGGGCCAGCAGCACCACGGACGGCGGTCCTACTCGTTTCACTATTTCCCCCTTGTTTGTGTCAATCACAAACATTGTATCTTGCACGCCGGCGACGAGGATTTCGGAGGTTGCTTTCGAGGTGAAACTCATGCAGCGGAGATCTCTCATGTCTTCGGCACTATGGCGGAATGACCATCAGTCGCTGCTCCCGAACAGCACCATTGCAGCAGCAGCACCCACCTGATATGTGGCCATACTGGCGGTCCCCTCCTTAGAGCCATGTGGACGCCTCGGGCGCCGAGTGCGAGGACGCCCTTCTCATTGAACAGCAGCTGGTGCACCGCACCCTCGGACGGTGGGTGGGCGCGGAAGGAGGTGTATTTTTGAAGATTGTTTGCATAGAAGGATGTAACACGGCCCTGGAAAACTGTCAGGAATCTGGTTGCGACGGTGAATGGGGACCAGAGAGGTCGGTCTGGTCGAGCGTACGTATTCGTTTCCGGCCCACAGGAGCTCCTGGCTTGAATCGAAGGCGAGCGCGGTGACGCCGGTAGGCACCGACTGCCCTCCCGGTGGAGGGAGGAGTTGACGACTCAACTGTGGTTGTTGGAATTAGCATCCTTGGCCCAGCCGCTCGTTGTTGTGAATATGTCCAGCCCTCAGCCCTCAGCCCTCATCGCCAGAGTCCGCAGTTCAGCACCCGCAACGCCAGCCAGGTGGTGATGGCGGGGTCTGCCTCGTCGCGCAGGACCAGCTGCGGCTGAAAAGACCTGTCGATGGTCGGTCTGTAACTGGGCAAAGGTGGCGACTTACCTCATCCCAGTCCGCATCCATTGCACCGGGTCGCCAGGTGGCATCGTGGTGCCCTCTTGCAGTTGAAACGAGGCCTCAGAGACTCGAAAGGAGTACGCGCTCAGGCAGACCATAAATCCGCCAACTTGCTGGGAGCTGGGACTTGGCGTGCCGCGGCCCGTGGTGGGGGTGCAATTCCTGGGGGTCTAGCGAGAAACTACAGGGGCTAACTGCCACGGTGGGTTGTACTAATACCACAGTCGGGCGCATGCAACTGGCAAGGCTATTCAAGACAGTACCTAGGTACTTACATACTTAAGCATGTACTCGGCCAAGATGCCGGCTCGAGAGACACTTCACAGTCTTTGCAGATAATGCATTGTGCGTTCTGGAACATTCAGATCAACTTCACGCAGTATTCTGCTTTCACCCGTTGGATGCAGTTGGCTCAGACACGGGCATTAACCACAAGACCGTAGCCAAGCACCTCATACAGTGAGTGACTTAAAGCAGACTTACACAAGCCCATCAGACACCACTACTATAACACCGTCACTGCTCCAAAAAAAAAGGGTTAATATCATATAACAACCCCATGACTTTATCTACCGCTCTGATTGATTTAAAACTTGTTGTATCAATCAACCATTTTGGAGCCGCCCTTATGAGGCTGTTGTGTAGAGGTTCGGAAGTTTGTCTTATACAATCATCGATGTTGCCTTATAGCAGGTTGTCCTTTAGTAGGTTGGGTGGGGATAGATGCTGTGGCTGTATCATACTTAGATAGAACCAAGCAAAGCTTTTGTCGTCAAACCACATCACCATATGGGCGGATCAGCCTAAATTCTGAGCACACTTACTGAATGGGTAGTTAGAAGTACAATACCTGCGAATCGCTAGACTGATGTTCATTGAACACTTGCAAAAATCTGGCTACGAGTTCTAATTCTATCCCAGGCTCGAAGCGGCAGCCAAAAAATCGGTCCGAGAACCCGTGCAACAAGAAATAAGTTGGTGTCATGTATCCGCTCTGACGAAATCAGTATACGGCAGGGAATGTGCCCAACCTGCCTCCGTCGATGACCGTGACATTGCCATTCAGGTACGCCCCAGCCCGCGACACGAGGTAAAGAACCGTGCCCGTCATGTCCTGCGCATCGCCCATTCTTCCCAGAGGGACCACGCTCTTGTCCAGCGGGATCAGGTCCCCTCCAGTAAGGCTGCCTCCCATTTTCTCGACGATAGGTGCCGACATCTCGCTGGGGAACAGTCCGGGCGCCAAGGCGTTCGCCCTACAAGACTCTCGTTAGTGCTGGTACCCAGAACAATCACTGCCTGCCGTCAGACAGTCTACTCACCTGATGCCCCATTTGGGCAGGAGGACGGACAACTGCTTCGCGGAGTGTGTCGCCGCCGCCTTGGACTGCCCGTAAGGCCACCCGCCGGGAGCCTTCTTGTTGAAGCCGGCGATGCTGCTCGTGACGAGGACCTGGCCCTGCCAGTCCAGGTTCCCCTTCTTGTTGCCCTTGTCCAGCAGCTCCAGGAAGGCCATCGCCGTGTACCAGACCGCCGTGACGTTGACTCTAAACGTCTGCTCGTACTCGTCCATCGGGATGGCAAGGGCCGTCTCGCGGAACTCCTGCAGGGTTGTCTCTCCGGGGTTGTACGTGATCTGGGGCCCGCCGACACCGCTGTTGCAGACGAGGAGGTTGAGGTAGCCTGAGCGCTTCTCAACCTCGGAGACGAGGGCCATGAGGGAGTCCTGCGAGGTCACGTCGCAGGTGAGAGGGACCACGACGTCGGGCTTGTTGATCGTCTTGGCGGCGGACTCGAGGACCTCGAGGCGTCTGCCCGCGATGTACACCTTGGCAGCGCCTGCGTTGGCGAGGGCCTGAGCCATCATGAGGCCGATGCCTTGAGCAATGTTAGCATACTGTGTATATGAGTCTAGTATAAAAGGTAGGTTTAGTACCTGTTCCTCCACCTGTGATCTGTCAACCAGAAATCGTGTTAGCAGATGCCATAAATGGGTGGGGTGGCGGCGGTGGTGGTGGTGGGGGGCTTGTAAGCCGACGGACTGGCTGTCCGTTCTGAGACATTACACAGAGTCGCTGACAACAGTCGCACCGCATACTTGGGGACTGACAGGAGAGTATGACTTCACGGTCGAAACTTACCAGTGCGACCATTCCCTTCACAGAGAACAACTCTGTAGGGCTGCTTGTGGTGTCCGACATGATGACGTCTTGTGTCCAAGTCTGAGATCAAACACTTTGAAGATGGTAATCACCGAATCCAGATGCAATGATGGGTCAAGAAGAAGAGAAGTGAGCGTTGAAATCTCTCACTTGAAAGACAGACTGTGGTGTCTTTTTGCGAGTGCAGTCAACATCTCTCTCTTTCAGTACTGATTAGAACGGATTTAAGTAGACGATGCTGCCCCCCGCGACCCCATTACTAAGGCCGTTGACGTCGCAGCTGCGTCCCTTGCGCTTCCACATGGGAAAACAACTCCACGCCCTGAGGTTGACAGGTGAATGACTCACCGAGACCTACTCGCACTTCATGGCAATCACAATTGAGCATGACTGAGGCTACGGCGGACCCTTTCTCCAAATTATGACTTCAATTCTCCCGCAAGTATGGGTATCTCTTAATCAAATGTGATCTTCTTGCCTTGGAAAGCAGCCGCCTGTTGCGCCTCCTTCGCCTTCTTCCGTGCCTCCCAGCTAGGATGCAACGGGCCTTCATCGTCCTTCTTCGGCGGCGGCCTTGGGCGGCTCGACTCAGGGGCACTGTGCTCCTGCTGACCATCAGGCCTCCTCTCAAACGGCGTCTTGATTCCCTTTTTCCAGGGCGTCCTCTCGCTGCCGTCTACCGCACCGCGCTTCAAATCCCACCCCGAGTCCCGCCCGGACTTCTCCAGGCTTAGATGCTTGGCCTTTTCCTTGAATTTCTTCTCCCAAATGGCTTGTCGAGCCCGCTGGCCTCTCCTGTTCTTTCGTGCGGCTGGCGCCACGTCGATGTCAGACGCCTCGGATTCTGAGCCCGAAATGTACCCTCCCATCAGGCTGGGGAGCATGCCGCCCCGCTTGAGAATTTCATCTGCCTTCTTGGAATCCTTTCGCGAAGCTTTGGGTGGCGGGGATATCGCAGAGACCTCAGAATCAGAACCAGATTCGGACTCGGATTCAGACTCTGACTCAGACCCAGTTTCTTCCTCCGAATCGGTTGAACCATCCTCATCCAGCCCGGCCTGCGTGCCTGGTTCATCACCCTCTGAATCCTCCGATGCGGACTCGTCTGTGATTTCCATCGGGTCGAGTTCCTCGTTTGCGGTATCGTACTCGTCCTCGTCGTCAGAGTTGGCGTTTTCCTCAGAATCAGAACCCCCAATTCTGTCCTCAAATTGCGCGAGGGCCTTTTCTACTAGCTCTTCATCTTCGTCGGCTCCGTCGTCGTCGGAGAGACCACCCCATTCGCTATCCTCATCGTCCGATGATGGATCGTCTCGCCGAGTCTCGCTCTTGGCAGGCTTCTTCTCCTCGCCCTTCTCCATCTCTTTCGTTGCTTTCTTCACGGTCTTTTCGGTGGCCTGTTCCTCTGTGTCTTTGCTGGTCTTCGACTCGCTCTTCTTGTCTCCTCTCTTTAATTTACCCTTTTTGTCAGGTACTGGTACGTGCAGCACCTGGCAAATGTCGGCAACGGCTGCGTCCAGAGTCGCCCGAACCTTGGGCTGGTTGCAGAGCCCACTGGTGACATTATGCAAAGCCGCTCGCTCCTCTTCTGAGATGTCGGGTTTTGGGACACCCTGCTTGAATTCGTCTGGCAGTCTCGGGGATTCGGCAACAGCCTTGATCTTTAGAAGGGCTGAACAGAGATGGGCGTGTGCGACTGAGTGGAGGTCGATTGACTGCACCGAGCTGTCAGCTTCATGCCCAAGGGCTACATGTCAGATATTCAATTTGGGAGCATGAGAATGCGAACCTTCAACACCTCGATCTCCTTTTCTATCCTGGCTCTCTTTTCCCTGGTCGACTTGGGATCGCGCTGCCGTTTTGCCATGCGCTGTCTCTCGAATCCCTTCGCAACTTTCAGGGCGCGGGAGAGCACCGTGCTGTGGTGCTCCAGCTTCTCCTGAAGATCATCTCTCTTCCGCTTCGGCATCCTGTCGGTGGTGTCGTGCCTACTTGTCGCAAGGCCCAATCGTACGCAACCTTGGTAAAATCGGTCGAGGGTGTGTAGGTAGATGCAGCCTGTGAAATGCTGGTCAAGCTTTGGGGAGCCAAAATTTTGTAGATCGCATCCGTCTTATCTGTTAGCTAGCCGAGAGGTCACACTGCAAACTTTGGTGGGGACAGCTACAAAAGCATAACAGATTGTGCCGTGGCACCCCTAGCTGTTCTGCCCCTCGGCCTCTGTGAGCACTTAGACCAGATCGGACTGGACTGCAATCTTGGTGGGGTGGGAACTCAGGCTAGCTCACTGCAAATGCTGCTTGCTCTCCTGTGATCATTCGCCCTCGCTTTCGCTCGGCAGAAAAGTGTCGGACAGGCTGACAGGGAGCGCGTCCAGGGACCGCAGGTCGCGTCGAGGCGGCCCTGCCAAAACTTAAACCGACGGTCCACATTTGTTTGCGACCCCCCCAGTGATCCCAGTCACTCGACGAGAACCATTCGATCCCTGGCAAGGTCAGGATCTCTACAGGAACCATTGACCGACCTGATTGATTGATTGTTCGGGAGCAAGCGCAGAGAAGTGCTCGATCCGGTCGTTCTTGACCACCCCAGCACCCCGGGCATTCTCGACCGCTCGAAAACAAAGGAGGGCGAGCGCCCATCAACACCCTCACCTCGCCCCTTCTGACGGAGAAAGAGCGCGTGCGTGCGTGCGTCTTGTATCGTGCAGCGCGCGGGCGCAGGATGCTTACTTTCAGGATACAACTCCCTCAATCGCTTCTGGTTTCACCCTCGCCTCCTTGAGAAATTGCTCCTCTTCACACCACGACCACGACTCACGACTCCTCGCGAAATCTTGAAACCACTTGCTTTCTGTCGCACTTCTGCTGCTCGCCCCCCCCCCAAAAGCAAAGCGACCAAACTCGAACATAGGATCCACCGCTTCCTCGCCGTACCACAAACACTAGCTGTTCCGCCTACTATCGCCTCGCGCTCGATTAGTGCATCTATCTGTATCCGGCCGCATTCGAACGATATATCCTTCGAAAATGATGTCAAGAAGTATCAACCAGCTCCCGGCGCACGGTGCGCCGTCCAGGGACGACTTTGCGAAGTTGGACGAGCGACAAAGGGATCAGATTAACGATGTCGTATGTCACCCTCCATCCAACCCCTCTCCTCTGGCAACTGTAACCTTCCCGCGCATCGTCTGCTCCCGCTAACGACGCCTGCCAACCCCATCTCTAGTTCTCCGTATTCGACGTAAACAAAGACGGCCGCCTCGACTACCACGAGCTGCGGTTCTGCCTGCGAGCGCTGGGCTTCGAGCTTCCCAAGTCGGAGACGTATCCGTACCTGGTGAAGTACGGCGTGCAGCCGATCGACTGGGACCCGAAGCGCGAGTGCACGCCCGTGTGGCGCGAGTTCACGCAGCCCATCTGGCAGGGGATCGCGGGCACGCTCATGTACAACCGGGACCCGGTGGAGGAGTGCCACCGCGCGTTCAAGCTGTTCGACGTCGAGGGCAAGGGCATCATCACGCTCGACGACCTGCGCCGCACCATGCGCGAGATCGGCCAGAGCATGGAGGAGCAGGAGCTGCAGTCGATGATTAAGGAGTTCGACTCGGAGGGCAAGGGCGGCGTCAACGTCGACGAGTTCACCAAGATTATGATGACCAGGAAGCAGAAGTAGGGCCCGTCTGCCGTGGCGGATAATCTGGACTGGAAGGGCGCGACTGGGGACGGGCCGCCGCGACATGTCAAGGGCGTCGGGAGGGCTGCTGCGCGGTGAAGAAAGGAGGAGGGAGGTTCCGATGGAGGATGGGACGAATCTTGTGCATGATTGCATAGGCGTTGTTGTGATGTGATATGATACCAGGAGAGACACCATTACCATGACGAGAGAGACTATCTATAGCTTCAAAGAAGCAAGGACCACCGAACGAGAAGGGGGCAGGATCGTTACAAAGAGGCATATTTATTGCTCTGGCAGATACATTTTGTCTATTATATGTCAATGTTGCCCTGCACCGTCCACCGTCTATAAATAATCTTTACATGCTCAAAACAGCTTGGGGAAGAACTTGGGCGTGTTCTTCTTCCACTGCTGGTAGTCCTTGCGGTCGCCGTACCGCTTGTCGTATTTCGACTCCGACATGGGGATGCCGCTCACTTTGGTGACCAGGAAAGTCGTGAATGCTGGGCTGACGTAGGCCAGTGCCAGGGCACCGAGGATACCACCCGCACCTCCGCTGAATCCAATGGCCGCCTGGATGGGCTGGCTCGCGAGGACTCCCGCCGCAGTGGTCGCGATACCAGTCCAGAGGGTCGACTCGCCGAAGTAGTTGGGATATTGGCTACAAAGTCACCGTAAGTCAGCACATCCGCCCTGAATGGAAACCCGATATCCATCCGCCTGAGTGAGACCTTACCTGCGCTGCCAGAGCCCCCGGGTCATAAAGTCCTCCGAGTGCTTCTTCTCGCGCTTCTCCTTGAGCCACTGCGACTTCTGCTTGTCGGCGGTGGCCTCGAGCGTGATGCCCCCGACCCACAGCGCGACGCCCAGCACGTCGGTGAGCCTCAGGCCGGGGATGGCGGCGAACGCGGACGCGGGGACGGCGTTGAGCGCGATGACGGGCAGGCAGATCAGGGAGCACCAGGTCGCCTGGGCCATCCAGGCGACGAAGAACTTGGGCGTGGACTTCTTGATCTCGTCGAAGCGGGAGTCGTGGCCGTCGCGGAGCACGCGCTGGAAGAGGTACGCCCCCACTGTTTTTTTTCGTGCTGGTCAGTCAAAGCTTCTTCCCTGGCTGGCTGGCTAGGTAGACGGATGCGTGGCGGGCGCCTCGCAGACGGCCTGGAGCAGGGGTGAGGATGTTCACGTACGCCGGGCGGCCCATAACGTCACGAAGCCAGTGAGCGCGACCTGTCGCCAGTTCAGGCCCGCGGCGGCCGGGTTGGTGAAGGGCGTCAGCAGGCTCGGCAGGGCCTTGCCCGCGGCCGCGGCGGCCCCCCCGGCATACTTGGCGCGCAGGGCCGGCAGGTACAGGCTCAGGGCGACGATGCTGATGTTGGTGAGGGCGCCTGAGAAGTCGTAGAACCGCTCCGTCTGGGCTACTATGGAGGGCACGGCAAAGGCAGCCTGGATGGCGAAGGCGGCTGACACGGATGGCACCACCGTCCGGAGGAAGGGGGACGAGAAGTTGGTGAGGTGCAGGAGCTTCTGCACGAGAGCCATGTTTGCGACTTTCTATGAGAGACCCTCTTGTTGAGAATTGGCAGAACTCCCAGGTGATTGAGTGAACCCCTGGAAGAGAGGACGGAGTATATAGTATTCAGGACATCCGTCTCAATGAAGCTCGATTGGAGCTAGGAAGAGCTGTGACGACATTGACAAAGGAGCTTGAATCTGCCCGAGTCCGACGAAGCATGTGTTAATGCGAGAGCCAGTGCTACACCCAAACAAGCCTGACATGCTGTGCCGGTGGATCCTCTAGTTGCGGAAGACACCGAATTGAAGCGTGTTCTAGAGTCTTTCTGGCTGTTCGATCGTGCTCAGGCGAGACCGATCTGTCGCGTGGGAGACTGTCGGCTCACAATCGAACCCTGGATTCCGGTCCCAGCCAGCTGGATGGGCACGATAAAACGGAGCCGACTGCCAGCTCGGAGCCGGATAGTCTCGGACTGCCGCTGCTAGAGAATGCCGGCTTCAGTCACATCTCACACAACAGAGCCCCTATAGCCTGCCTGCCTCTAGAACATTACCTAAGTATCTTATCCTATACAAGATTAGGAGCTTATCCTATAGGAGGTTGGGGGGCATATTTGCCGTGGCCGCGTAGCAGGCACCTACACAAAGCTCATCGTCAATTATACGCCATGGCCCATGAGGATGTGATGGATATGGAGTATGGATCAAATCGTACTTCATTCTTTCCTGAGACTGGAACGTCGAATGAGCCATTGCATGCAGCACGAGAGTGAGCAAGAAAACATCGCCATGGCCTACGCTCTCTTTTAACGGACCATCACTGCATGCTGCAAGAGCTACTTGCACTTTTCAGAGGTGCAGATGAGACCCCATAGACTCTGCAGGTTTCGGCCACTGCTAAACGAGGAGAAGGTCAGCTTAAGGAGATCCTTCGGCATCCCCACTATAGTCGAACCTCGTTGACTATGGTGTGTCCTGTGTTACGCGAGCCTGCCAGGCCTGTTAAGACATGCTCACGGAGAGCTCGGTGATAATACGGAATCATGTCCCTGTCCTGATCAGGATGTGCTGTGCTCCCGGAACCTGGACAGGGCGGGGTTGGGAGGGGGGACTCTGAGGGGAGCAATCTGGGTGCCGAGCCTGAGCCAGGCATGCCAGGCGTGCCAGGCCCCGGTTACCCCGGATTCTGTCGGACGGGAGCGGTGGAGTCGCCCCAGCGTGGCATGTTACGCTACGCTACAGTTGGATGTGTCGTTACCCCGCAGTGTCAAGGCTGAGGCGTGAATGATGTGACGGCCAGCGCGGAGTCCTTGAGATGAAGGGGAATGAGTGCTGTAACCCTCGAACTTGGAGCATCTGCTCCCTTCGCAGGCAGAGTGAGTACCCAGGGCATGCTTTGTCGCTGGCGACTGGCCCGCGGGAGACGGAAAGCAAGACATGCTCAGCTGAGAAGGGCAGGGCAGGGCAGGGCAGGTCGGTGGCCCCCAAGGAGGGGCCGGTGCTGATTTGCGCAGCTATTTTGATCGCGCCCGTCCGCCCTGAGCTGGATCCCTGGCAAGAGACGAATCCCGGCGGCCAGAAGGCGGTGCACCTGTGGCCTCGAGTCTGTTACAGAACGAGCTGTTGGTCGCATGCCATTAGTCCATTAGAGTGTCCATAGCCACACTAGTGCCCTGTTCGCCTGGGGAACCGAGAGGCCATGTCGAGCGCTGGTACCTCCCCGCCCTCGCCCTGCCAGGGGGGCTACCAGCTGATGACCGCGACGTCATGTCTCGTGCTCTCTCTCTGTTTCGCCTGCCCCGAGAGGGGAGAGCTCCTGGGCAGCTTGTAACCCGTAGCAAGTCGTGCGAGTGACGAGTCCCTTTCCCCTCCCCGCACAAGCGGATCCCTGAGTGCCTGTTACTGGGCGAGTGTCGTATCGGAAACAAGGCTTGGAAACTTGGGGAAATGGGTACCTCGCCAACTCGCCAGCTGCTGAGGTGTGGTCTGTCTGTCACATGCGGGCAGGGCGACTGGGCATCTGGGACGAGGAGGAGGAGGACGGCTTGGACGGATGGATGGCTGGGCCATGGCTGGATGGGCGACCGCCGACCGATCCAGCAACCGTTGTCCCAGTCTCCTTGTCGCAAGCGCCGGACCTGTCCCACGCGAGAGAGGTTACGGGCTACGTCGCTGGCACACCAGCTCGTTAGGCCTGGCACAACAGTATGCCCGCCGTAGACAAAATGCGCGCTCCCCGCCTCGGGAATTGGAGTTATTATGTGCCTGTTTGACTCCAACCTGCCCTTTTATTAGTCGAAGCCGCCCACCCTCTTGACGGTTTCGTCGGCTTAGCCCCTTCTTTCTCCTCAGAAGATCACTCACACTGCGTTCCAACCTCGACTTTTGGTGGTTTTCTTTTTCTCGGATATCCATCAAACCAATACTCGATATTCTCGGCTCTGGTGTTCTCTGCTCCGAGCGGTGTTAACGCCCACCCCCAGTCAATCTCCGAGTCTCGGCACTCAGCCCTGAGCTACGGAATCGCGTCAGCGGTCGGTCCCCCACCTTTGATAGCACCCTTTCTCGAGTACCGTGGGCCAGCCCCGCGGAAAGCGGAAAGCGACAGGACGAGCCCGGAACAGTCCGGTGGCTGTTGCCGCTGTTTGGCACCGAAGAGGTCGGGTAGAGAAAAAAGTACGCCATAGAAAAAGAGACCAGGGATTTTGGATCCGGGCCGCTGGAATTGAATGTGAGTGAGTTGCCGAGATTGTTGAGTTGACGAGGGGTCGCTGGTCAGCCCACCACACATTGTCCAGCTCCCGGTTGGTTGGGAAGGAGGGAGCTCCGGCCCAGCTCTGGGCGGGAGAGTCTCACCATACCCGCATCCCGCACTTACACAGTACACCCACCAAACCCACCAACCGCAATACACGCGCGTACACTTGCACTTTGCCTGCACTGCTCCCTCCCGCCTCGATACAAGCTCAGGTCAACGTTTCTGGATCATCGGCTTTAGTGAGCCGGTGAACCCAACCATGCCCATGGGCAGATGCATCTACCACGGCTTACCTGGCAAGTCTGGGCCCTCAGTCGCCCTGGTTCCTGCTTTTCCCGACGGAACTGGTGCCGTCGATACCAACAACCCAATCTGGGATGGCTGCAACCTCATCCCTCAACCACGTAGCCGATCACAGCCGCACGCCCACCTCGGTAGACGTGCCCGGCCCTGATGTGAGTGGTGGGCGCTACTACGGGGCATCGAGTAGCGCCGTAGTCTGCCATGGAATGCATGGCGATGCCACATCCAGACTGTGGGCCCACTGGGATTGAATTCAGAGCTGAGGGCTGAGGACTGAGGACTGAGGACTGAGGGACTGACGAAGGGGCCGGGCAGGTGGCAGGTGTATAACATAATTCACCTGCCCGTGGCTCCTTCTGTCCGTCCAGCCAGTCAGTCTCACGTCGACTCCACGGATGTCCTTGGCCGTTTCGCTCCCCGAAACGTTGACCTCCCTCTAGTTGAGGAAGTTACTCCCAGGTCCCCGTGAATGAGCACTTGCTTGCTTCGTGGGCCGTCTCACAGCTCCCCTGCACCTGCACCTGCCCCTGCCCGACACCGACCAGTTCCTCGCCTTCTTGCCAGCACTCTGCTCTGCACCTGCTCAGTCCCGTGGTTCTGACAGCATACAGTTTTTTTCAACCGACCTTCTCCTCGGCGTGTCCAGGCGTCGCATAGAAACCGCCCACAATCCACTTCAGAGGCGCATTAGACTCATTTTTCGTCATTCCAATACACCCCATCGATCATGTCCAACACCATCAAGCAGGCCGCCGAGGCAGCCAGGTCCAAGACCTCAGAAGTCATGGGAAAGAACGTCCAGAGCGAGGGCGCAGCCGTGGCAAACGATTTCCTGCACACACCCTACATGAGGGCCGCGCTGCCCTTCATCAACGGCGGCCTGAGTGGGATGGTCGCAACCTCGGTCATCCAGCCCGTCGACATGGTCAAGGTGCGCATCCAGCTGGCCGGCGAGGGTGTAGCAACGGGCCCCAAACCAACACCTCTCTCCGTCACCCGCGAGATCATCGCCAAGGGCAAGGTCCTTGATCTGTACACCGGCCTGTCCGCTGGTCTGCTGCGACAAGCTGTCTACACGACCGCCCGTATCGGCTTCTTCGACACCTTCATGGGCCAGTTGACAGCTAGGGCAAAGGCCAAGGAACAGACGATCGGCTTCGCGGAACGCGCCGCCGCAGGTCTCTCAGCTGGCGGCATCGCAGCCATGATCGGCAACCCGGCGGACCTGGCGTTGATCCGCATGCAAAGCGACGGCCTGAAGCCTGTGGATCAGCGCAAGAACTACAAGTCCGTCATCGACGCCCTGTCCCGGATCGCGAAGAGCGAGGGCGTCGCCGCCCTGTGGGCCGGAGCAACCCCGACGGTCGTGCGAGCGATGGCGCTCAACTTTGGACAGCTCGCATTCTTCAGCGAGGCCAAGTCGCAGCTCAAGACGCGCACAGATTGGTCGCCGCGCGTGCAAACCCTGAGCGCCAGTGCCGTTGCCGGCTTCTTCGCATCCTTCTTCTCCCTGCCCTTCGACTTCGTCAAGACACGGCTGCAGAAGCAGAGCAGGGGCCCCGACGGCAAGCTCCCATACAAGAGCATGGCCGACTGCTTCGTCAAGGTCTCCAAGCAGGAGGGTCTGCTGCGCTTCTACCGCGGCTTCGAAACCTACTATGTCCGCATTGCGCCGCACGCCATGGTGACGCTCATCGTGGCAGACTACCTCGGATGGCTCACCAAGTAAACGAGGGCGTGGGACCCGGTCATCTTAGGTGCGGCGTTCGGGCGGATTTCTGCGTTTTTTCTCGGTTTGACAGTTTCCCTGGGTTGGCCTCGAGTTCACGCACTTACTGGTGTTCGCTCTTTCCAGCAATGCCGACCTGGCGGCGTGCTTTGTTCGTTTCGTGACTGGCTTGATAGTGATTCCCGGATGGCAAATAAGTTAGATCCAGTATCTCATAGGAACCACAGATTATTGAATCGTTGCCAATCATTTGCAAATTGGTCGAGAAGTCAATGTGCCAGAGTTGAAAACCCATGACTGCTCGGGCGGCTGGAGAAAACAAATCTGTATTACCGGGTTACCGGTGTTTGCTTCTGCCAGACGGGGCGAAGACCGGAGGTAACCTTCCAGGTTGGCAAAGCTCCTAGCCCCACAATAGCTCCTGACGGCCTGCAGCTGCATGTCTTGCAGGGATCCTGGACAGTCAGTCGCCAGGAACTGTGGCTTCCTGCGGGTTTATACTGTTGTCAAAAACCGTGCAGATATCTACTGTATTGCAAGACGCCTTTGAGTCCTTTAACTGCAGAGAAGAACCAGTGTCTCCCAGTCTTCTCCGCCAAGAGGTTGAGAGGTCTCAGTCGAGCCTCAACCGCCCAAAAATCCTGTTTCATAACGAATTGCATTATTACCACTGCATGTGCGCGAGCCCTTCTGTGCGTATAGCTTCCCGGAGAGGCCTTGCCTTGAGCACGGTTGGCGGGTGTGCTACTTGATTGGACCATAATTGGTGGGCAGTTAGGGCGGCGCGGATGATACGCGCATATCGGGTCTAAGTCAGAGCTGGGTGTAGCTGGGCCTCGCTCGTCTCGTCGTCACTATGCCTCACACCGAATGCATGTGCCCCTCCTCAGCCGACTGAGCCCTCGACCTCGACTTGTGCACCCTTTTCTACCCCATTTTTGCTGTATTCGGTTCAAATCCATTCCCGATCTGCCCGACAGCTCTCGGTATTGTCGCACAACAGACAACCCTTCTCAAATAGTACCATATCTATCAATCGAATCGAACCCGTCACTGGCTGCCCACGTCGTCCCCACCATCACAGCTTATTACTACAGGTGGCAACTTTCCCCAGACCAGCGACACACGTCCCGTCCACCACAGAGCGCACCCAACTCGACATCGCATATCGACGTCCGCGCCCCTCTTCCGCACTTCCTTCGCACCTTTAAAAACGCCGTGATCCATATCGAGACTCACAGCGAGGTGCACCGAAGTGCCGGAAGAGTCTAAGCCGCCCATCACTCCGGCTCAATGAGTCACAACTTACTGTGGAAAGCCTACCATGAGGACAACGTCGACAGGTTTCGGCGCCTGCTGGCCCCCGCCGGCTACAACGCCCAGAGCGCCTCCAAGAGCCCCAGCGTAGGAGGGACAGGGGGAGGGGCTGCGAGCCCCGGCGCGTTCGGGACATCGCCCAGGAACGCCTTCAGGTCGCGCAAGGCCTCGGCCTTTGGCCCGGGCCCGGGCGGCGCGCGGTCGGGCAACGTGAACTTTGGTCGCGCCGAGGTCAACAGCCGCGACTACATGGGCCTGACCATCCTCCTGCGCGCCGCCTCCTCCGACTCCGCCAACGCCATCGCCTTTGTCGAAGCCCTCCTCGACCACCCCGCCGTCGACATCTACGTCCAAGACCCCGAGAGTGGCTGGAATGCCCTCCACCGCGCGCTTTACACTGGAAACGTCTCCATCGCGAGACTGTTGCTAGACAAGGAGCGAAGGGATCTGTCAGGCCTGACTGTTGGCGCATCTGTCTCCAGGGTCGGCAGGCTCATAAAGACCAAGGACAACGAGGGCAACAGTCCTTTCGACTTGTACAACTCGACGATTGGCGAGAGAGATCTGAAGGGCCTGGACGATGCGGATAAGTCGGACGATGATTCGGAGAGCGAGGAAATACCGGTTACGACGGACAACGCTGGCAGCAGCGGTCTGCTGGACATTGTTAATGGGACCGAAGTCTTCGCGTTTGGAAGCAACAAGAACTTGTCGCTTGGTCTCGGAGACGAGGATGACCGACAGTACCCCGAGCGCGTGTACCTTGAGCGCCCTGATCATCTGATCCAAAGGTTCTACGAAGAATATCTCGGGAAAGGGGGGCTTGAGACGCCCGAGCAGATCCCGACGCTCACCCGTCACAAGGAGCTGCTCGTGCATGATGTGGCCCTGTCGAAATACCACAGTGCCATTCTGACGACAGACCCGGTCTCCAACTTGTACGTCTGTGGCATTGGCCGCGGGGGCAGACTCGGACTGGGAGATGAGAACACCCGGTTTACGTATGCTCCCGTGCAAGGCGGCCTGACCAACAAGAAAGTGACTCAAGTTGCGCTGGGACAGAACCACACCTTGGCCGTCACGTCGGAAGGTGGCTTGTATAGCTGGGGGTCCAATGCAGACTCCGCGCTTGGTTATGCACTGCCTGAGCCCCCTCCTGGAGAAGAGGCTATGAGTCTTCTACCCAGGCAGTTGTTCGGGCCACTCAAGAAGGAGGCTATAGTTGGCGTAGCTGCGTCAACTATCCACTCGGTGGCGTTCACGAGCACCGGCAGTCTTTACTGCTGGGGTCGCAATACTGGCCAGTGAGTCGTTTCGAGCATAGTCTTCCATAAGACTCCATTCGCTGATATGTCCCCAGGCTGGCTCTGATGGATGCGGACTCTCGGTCACTTGAGGTGCAGCAGACACCTAGAAAAGTAGCCGCTTCCTTGTTAAACAGTGGTATTACCATGGTTTCGGCCATCGACAAGGCGACGACCTGTCTCCTTGCGAACTACACCGTGGTTGTATTCACAAGCTATGGCTACAATGTCGTCAAGTTCCCATTTGGCGAAGCCGGGCTCACAAGCCATCGTCTGGGCAACATTTCCATGTCCTCGCGTTACGATGCAGAGCGGAACCGGATCAAGTACATCGCCTCGGGCGGCGAGACCATTGTAGGAGTAAGCGGCCGTGGCGACCTCTTCTCCATGAATCTCACCAAGAAAGCGGATACCCAGTTGTCCACGTCCACTACAAATCCATCAAAGATCAAAGGCGCTGTCAGCCAGCCGATCTGTATCTGGAGCGCTCACAAGGACGGAGTGCGGTCCGTTGACGTGGGTGAACATGGTGCAGTCATCATCAGCACACAATCAGGGGCAGTATGGCGGCGTATAATCAGGGCCAAAGCAAAAGACACTCACGTGGCCGGGTCCAGTGAAGCAAGGCGCAAGGACTTCAAGTTCCAGCGTGTGCCGGGAATCACCAACATCGTCACAGTTCGAAGCTCTGTGTTCGGGGCCTTCGCGGCCGTTCGCAAAGACTCAGAAGTCATGCGCGAGCAGGTCAATGTTGGTCGCCAGACCCTCTGGGACGACATTGCACCACTCAATTGTCTACGGGACTTCAAGTCCTCTGATCCAGGGCCGAAAGGGAAGGGAATTCTGAAGACCTGGGATGCTACAACACTCCACCAGAAACTGGGGTCGGTCGCATTTGAAGTACTGAAATCGCCCGACCTCGAAAAGGACCTTCAGAACTACTTGCTCTTGTGGCGGCCCACGAACGAGTCTACGCAGACTGCTCTGGATGCCGTCATCCGATCTTCTTCTCTCCCAGAGCTACAAGTACCCATCCACAGCTGGGTACTTTCCGCCAGGAGCCCAGTTCTCCGACAAGCGCTGTGGTCCTTCCGGACCAGCGGCACTTACAAGACCTCCGATGTTTTCGGAATTGAGAAGCTCGGGGAAAAGATTGCCGTGACTTTTACTGGCCTTGACATCATTTCCCTACTGAACCTGGTTGTCTACATGTACGAAGATCGTGTCATTCCTGCGTGGAACTACACTCGCCACGACCCGTCCCTAGCCTATAGGTATCGCCAAATTCGAGCTGAAGTCGTCAAGACAGCAAGCAATCTTGAGCTCGGAAAGCTGGAGAACTCAGCTCAGAAGCAAGTCGACCCTCAAAGGCAACTAGATGAGGATTTGCGATCAGCACTGGAAGACCCACAGTTCTTCGAGGATGCAGACGCCGTTGTGGAGCTCGAGGGTGACGAGATGCTTGTTCACAGCTCCTTGTTGTGTCAAAGGTGCCCCTTCTTCGAGGGTCTGTTCTACGGACGCTCCCAGGGTATGTGGCTAGCAAGCCGACTTGCCGCTCAGGGGCCTTCAGAAAGGATCCCCGTCGACCTGAAGCACATCCAACCAGAGACTTTCAAATTTGTTCTCAGTTATCTTTATGCTGACACAGGAGATCAAATGTTCGACGGAGTCGTGACGGACAATCTGGACGAATTCACTGACTTGGTGATGGACGTTCTTTCTGTCGCGAATGAGCTTATGCTCGATCGTCTGTCACAAATCTGCCAGCAGGTCTTGGCTCGGTTCATAAACACCCGCAACATTGCACATTTCCTGAACGCCATCAGCCCGTGCTCTGTTACAGAGTTTAAGGATGCTGGCCTGGAATATATAACTCTTCAACTGGAGAATATGCTCGAGAATAACCTGTTGGCCGACCTCGACGAGGAGCTACTACTCGACCTGGACGAAGTGGTCAGAGGAAATCAGCTTGCTCGATACCCGTTTGCGAGGAGCGGTCGGGCGACGCTCCTGCTTCACGAACAATATCCAAACCTGGCGCAGGACATAGATGAGGAGAGACAACGCAGGGTCAAGGAAATGGCTTTCAAGGCCAATCAAAGGGAGGACGAGAGGAAGCTCTCATCCTCGCTCAAGGGCAAATTCGGCAGCCTCGAGGATGTGCAGCCCGCACCTCCCTCTCTGGAGAAGTCCAAGGGCAAGGGTACCGCTAAAAGAAATGAACCCTTTAGTCCTGACCTTCGCCCCAAAGCTGGTCAGGCTGACCTCATGTTCGATATGGACGAAGATGAGGGACCACTGGAGAGCCCATCCTTACGCCCTAAGAGGACTGTGAGCTCACGGCAAAAAGCCGAACTCGACCAAATCCCTTCGTTGAGCGAATCCTTCCGCGGTCAACGCCCAAGACCTGTCCGAGACTCGCCTTTAGGCTCTTCGCCAGCTGGTCTGGGATTTGACTCGACTTCCGTGACTGGCCAACCTTCGGCGACGCCTCCTATCAAGTCAGGGAGCCCGTGGGCCTCTGCGAAGCTGCCGACTGCCAAGCTTGACCTGAAGGAAATCATGAATGAGACGCCGCCTGCACGTTCGGCTCTGTCTGCTGGCCTGGCCGCGCAACAGGCGAAAGAGGCGTCGGCAAAACCATCACAGACGAAGTTGTCACAAAAGGAGCGCAAGAAACTACAACAGCTCCAAGCGGAACAGGCCGCTGAGTTCGCAAAGGCATTATCGGACAAGACCCCCTGGGAGAAACCAAGGGCAGACTCCAGGCCATCACCTTGGAAGGCACCATCCAGCGAGCCTAAAGTCGCACCCAAGGATAGCCGGGCAGATGCGCCACTGTCAGCCCCGCCAGTCACGAAGCCCCTCGTGGCAGCAGAAGCGTCCGCAAAGTCCATCCCGCGACGGACACAGTCCCCAGACACGCGGCACTCGGGCCAGTCGCGGACACCAGCAGCAACGCCCCCGGTCCGGCCACCACCACGTACCTCGTCCACCTCCACCTCCACCTTCTCGGCTGACATGTCCAACAAGCCGGTCGTGCCACACTCCAAGTCATACATCAAGCCGGCGGCCAAGTCGGAGCCGATCATCGGGCTCAGCATGGCCGACATCATCGACCAGGAGCGGCGGACCCTCGAGAGCGCCAAGGAGGCGGTGGCCAAGCGCAGCCTCATGGAGATCCAGCAGGAGCAGGCGTTCCAGGAGTGGTGGGAGGAGGAGTCGCGGCGGACGCAGGAGGAGGAGGCGAGGCGGTCGAACCGCGAGAGGGAGAGGGAGGAGGGGAAGAACAGCGGCGGTGGTGGCAAGGGCCGACGGGGCCGGAGTGGTAAGCCTCGGGGAGGCAGTAGAGGGGCCGGGGCCGGTGGTGTGAATCCCGGCCCCGGCCCCGCCGCCGCCGTTGCTGCTGGTGCTGAGGGCGAAGCGGCACGACAACAGAATCAGGAACCGGGGAGAGGAGGCCGCGGGAACAGACGCGGTAGGGGTCGGGGAGGCGCTGCGAAGGCCTCGACTTGACGCATTTGGCCAGAACACACGTTGCAAGTGCTGTAAATCTGAGGCAAGCTTGTGTTTGCCACAACTGTCTGATTGTCTGCATGGGATTTGGTTAGATCGCCGTAACTGTTCAAAGATCATTTGGCTCTGTGCCGTGGCTTATTGTCTTTTTGGATTCATGGTATATATTTCCGGATCGGGCCCATAGAATATAAAGAGGTGGCGGCCGTGTGTTCAAGCTTTCAAACTTGCCATGGGGCATTACATTCTGAAGATTTTACAGAGACAACTAATTATGCTTGTTTCGGATCAAAGTTTACAAAGGTGCAGATTGAGTATATGGTTTGGACCTGTTGTGATACTTCTTGGGGAACGAATTAGGTTCCTCGTTCTCGCCTGCTGTACAGATAACGATCTACATCATGTGCTAGGGCAGCTCCTGCTAACTATCGTGCAGAGCTGTAAAGCTTAAAAATGGATATCCTCCCGTAGTCATGTCATACTGTTCATACTTGGTGGCTGTGACGGGGCATGATAGGGGGGGGACATTATGGAGATTTCTTCTCACTGCGTACACGTTCACTCGGAGTAAGTGTTGTCATATCTTGTATGGTCAACCAAGTCACTTTTAGCAAGCGGCCAGTCAAAGCAAGTTCGAGTCAACGTTGTCAACGGTTTGCCCTAAATCACCAATCTATTTCTATCTCGGGTCCCTGTATATATATTTATGTTTTTGCACGCACCCATGAAGACGAATACAGCAACAGAGAAGCGTAGCCCCATTTCGACAACCAAGACTCACTCAAACCCGTCCAGAAGGAATTCACTCAAGGGCGCACTTGTTCAAGAGTTCGCAAATAACTGCCTAATGCCCAGAGCTCAAGGTGCGGAGTGGGGTGAATGGTGCGAGGTGTGTTGCAATTGGATCAGGGACGGCAGACACCGCCCAGGCTGTCCGTCCTTTGCAGGAACCAGCCCGGACGAGACTACAGAACTAGACCGTGCTGGGCGGTTCGACGGCTGCAACACCAGAGGGCGCAGCAGCTACGATGATAGAGAAGCCAGATGAGTCAGTCAGGACTACTAGCCCAAGGTGGGTAAGTGAAATGACCCGTGGAGGGTAACTCGGACAATGCAGCTACTGACCAGTCTGTGTAGCACAACGCCAACCATGCCTGGATTGGTGCGCAGTCAGGTCATGACTTCCAATGCGTGTGGCGGTAAACCGTTTCTTATCTCATCTCTTATCTCTGTATCTCCCGTCTCCGATCACGGATGGGCTTGGGGCCGTGGTGAAGGTGCTGGAGGACCTCGGGAATGATTCAGTGATGGTGGTGGTGGTATTGTTGATCACCCAACAGGATGGCTGTTATAATTGCTCCTGCATGTATGATGATGATATGTTCATATGGTATGATTCAGACCTGTGCATGAGGGCATTGTGTATGGTTTTCATCCCACCCAGCCCAGATAGCTCTTGTATTCCTCAATCTAGGCATCCCGAGCACTACTCTGTACCGACTACCAGGGAACCTAGGTATCTAGTACTCCGTACCCAGGTGCTTGGTCGACTCTTGAACAGCGGTCAAGAACGGCCATGGACGAAACAGAAACAGCTAGGGCGTCATGAGGTGCTTTGTTCGTAGACACAATGGCCCCCCTGGGCGAGAACCAAGTCCACAGCAATCCACCAAGGGAGATAATATTCCATTGCAGCAGCTCATTGTATATACAACATAACCGTGTAAGTGGTCCACGGCCTGCCATGTCAGCCAGCCAGCAGGGTACCCACAGCCAGAGAGGGTGAGGCTGCTGCCAGGTCCAATGTACTAATGCTTGGCAGACCTGGCTACTGCGCCTGGCCGGCTTGCACAGACACCTGCTCCACATCCCGCTTGGTTGACACCACCCAGCACCCATCATCCATCCTTCTGCATCAGTCACACCCAAGTTACTCATACTCTAGCTCACTCCCACCAGGCCGGGCCTCTCCTATCTTGTCCCAACTGCCCATTCCTTGGCTATCTTTGGCTTTGGATACCTGCATTTCTCTTCCGTCTCTTCTTGTTTTTGTTCCCCCGGAACAAGCAGCCAGCCTCCTGTCTCATCTTGTTCTCGGCCCCTGCTGCTGGCCTGCATTGCTGAGCGGCCGCCCTCGCAACAACAGAGTCTATCTAGTCAAGTAGCTTCCTCGGCACCGGATGACGACAGAGCCGCCAGGATCACGAGGCATGCTTCACCACCCATGACTTCGACTGCCACCCTGCATATTCTCAGCCATCGAAGATCGATCCTGGTCATAGGTCCACATTCGTAACGTCAGTTCTCTTTTTGCTTCTATGCACACGGAGCGCCTGCGAGCCTGTCTCCTGTGACCTTGGTATCGTCCTGTCAGTCCATCTCCTTGGACTGCATATCCGGCTCTCAACAACCACCCTCGCCCCTGGTCAGTCTTGCTCAAGCACAAGTGCACATCCACCATGGCTGCGGCTTTCTAGATCGCAGCCACCCACAGAATTGAATCGTGACAGCTACTGCAGCTATCACCCCTGGATTGAGCAATTGGTGCGCGTCGGTGCCTGGCCTCTGGAGCCAACCAAACCTTGGAGCTCCCACCTCCACCCACAGCCTGCCTTAGCTGTGTGTACAAAGCCCTCACGAGTCTGCCTCATGGTCTCTTTTCAAGTCCCTACTGCCAAAGCGTAACAATGGATGCCGATGTGCGCTGGAACCGAGAGTAGAACCTCAGCAGCGACGTACACCCCACGACACCCTCATCCGGAAGCCGCCACACCTACCTCCACCACTCAGTGTCAGTCCTCAGCCTCGCGTCAAGCCTGCTGCAGGCCACCACCACCATTCACCTTGCAACCACCCTCCTCCCGGGCCGAACTTACCAGCATATCCGACGGACCAGTTCCCAACAGCTCTTCAACATGCATCAGCACCCTAGACATCCGCCGAGGACGGCATCTCCTGCCTCCTCGCCTCAAACAAATCCCACACGATCAAACAATCCCAGAGAAGGAATAGGAGCCCAGGGCAGGGCTGTGCCGGAGTCCCCCAGACAAGGACCTTCCAGCTCTGGTGGAAGCGGGGATTTCGAGCTCAAGGGGCCGAGTCCTGAATCCATCAAGAAGCTGGATTCAATCATCCAGGTGTGTAGCCCATCACCCCCCACCCTTGAAGAGATATGAGCTGACGTGCTCTAGAATTTATTTCTCAAAGCCGCAGTGCTTGTGGCCCAGGCCCGCATCAAGACAACGCCCCTTGGAGCGGGCAAGACAAACAAATGGGTATGTCTGCCAAGGACGTGATTGAAGGGCTGACTGCTGACCACAGCCACTAGTTCTCGCTGGAAACTGACGAGATCGACGAGTTTCGAAACGATTTTCGCTTGTGGAAAACTTGCAGCGCCTTCGAAAACCCCTTCCCAGCAATGGTCATCGAGACGTATTTGGATGCCTCTCGCCTCTCCCCGAGCCAGTGCCTGGTAGTGGTGGACGACAACGGTAAGAGGTGGGACGTGCTCGAGGCCTTAAACTCTTCAGAAACCAGCGACGACAGCCCGACCTCCAGAAGGCGGAATACCGAGGTCATACTGGAGCGATGGCGTCTCGAATTGAAGCCCACCCCGACCCAAGACATCGATGATTTCGGCCCGACACTACCCACGATTTACAAAAAGTGCATAATCTTCTTCCGGGCTCTGTTCACGGCCAGCCGAATAATACCTTCGTACAAGTTCTCACAGCAGAACATGACGAGGAAGCCCCAGCCGGCCCTAGAAGTCAGGTGCCGAGTCTTGACAGGCGAGACGGGGTCGAATGGCCATGATGCGCTCCGCTTACCAATCAGCGACGGTCGCGATGTGGTGACCGACTACATGCTAGGAGACTTGGAAGTGCCGGTGGGCCGATTCTACGCTTCAGTCGCGTACCGCAACGAATGCCATTTCCGGGTCGATGACGCAGAGTCGTTCCTGAGTTCACGCTTCATGGGGGTGGATGAGAACTTCTTCAAGCCATCGATACCCCAGGGCAGAGAGTCAAGCCGTCGAGAAATTTCGGAAGTAGGCTCTTTGCCCTCTAGGCGGCACGGAGCAGGCTCTTCAGATCCCCAACAGACCTACGGCAGTCTCTCCACGTTTCATGGAGCGGGTGCACTGGGCACCAGCCCTATGTCGGCTCTGAAGGCTGTAAGGCCCGCGGGCTCAGAGGCCAGCTCTCCTACCGGCTCAGTCCCGGCAAGTGTAGAAGAACCACGCCATTCTTTGCCAATCCGCCCTCCGGTCCGTGGTAGGGAGACTTCTGGAAGGCGTACGTCGGTCTCATTCCAGCCATTCAAGGCAGGTTCTCTGTCGGGCTCCCCAAGGATCCCGGATGGTGACATATCAGCCTCGCCTCTCTCCGGTCAGAGGCAATCGGGGCCGAGCGCGCTTGCTCAAGCTCGAAATCGTAATTCGCTGACAGCTGGCATGCCGGCCTCGCTCAGAGGAGGACCGCAACCTGGCGAGATACCCGTGAGCTCATCTCCCAGGCCATCTAGCGGCAGGATCAGCAGCAGTTTCAGCCACCGCAGAGGAAGGCTGTCTTTCGGCGGTCAAAGCAGAGCAGTCGATGACGACCAGGCGAGCAGTGGACGGCAGAGCCTTTCGTCTTCAATTGCTCAGCCTGGATCCGGCTTGTTGGCTGAGACGGGAGGCCAGACAAGTTCTGGGTCGTTGAATGCCGATGATGATAACATTTCAGAATTTCTCAAGGTCCTGGATAGCAAGAAGACGCTGCCGAGTTTCGAACCCGGAAAGAAGGGCGAGGCGGCGACTAAGAGAACGGTGGCACAGCTTTCCAAATTTCAGCACATGCGCGACTCAAATAACGCCCTCACGGAGTCGATGGCCTCCTCGGTGCAACTGCAGCGATCGTCGAGCTCGTCCAGTCGTCAGCTGACCAGCGTCCCGGGAATGGTGGCACCGGGGACCTCAATGTCGGTCTCGTCGTCGCCTGGAAAGCCGCTGTCCCCGCACACTCCACACACGCCGGCCATCCCGTCGCGGCTCAGCGAGAACTCGATCATCAGTTATGAGGCGCAAGCCCAGGGTCGCGTTGATGAGCGAGGTGCGCGTGTGGCTCCTCGTTTTGCGTCGACAGAGGAAGAGTCCGCCACTGGACCTGCTCTTAGCCCCGAAGGCACCACGGCGATCGACATCCCCCTTCCCCTGTCACCTAGAATCATGCAGACCAACCGCAGGTCCAGCTCGGTTGCGCAACAACACCGGGCCATGGCCGAGGACGAGGAAGCCGAGCTGGCATTTGGGGGACACCGGAGCATCAGCCTCGGGGCCGAACGCGAACCACCGACTGCTAGCACGCTGTTCGGCATGGAGCGGGGTGACTCGTCAGAGGATGCGTCGGGCCTCCAGCCTGCGGCGAACATACGGACTTCTGCTGCGGCAGGCGGGTCGCCAAGTCTGGCGGAGCGCGAGAGGAACCCACCCGGAGGGCTGCTTTCTGGCAATGCTGCGAGCTCGCCAGGCCGTCTTCGCTACACGAGCATGCGAGGCCGGCCGACGCCGCCACAGTCCTCCAGGGGCAGCTTTGCGGGCAGCTCGAGCGGCCGATATGGCGCGGGTCGTGGTGACAACGACGCCGATGACGAGCCACTTGTTTTCGACATGCAAGTGAGCGAGATGGGTCGTCGGAGCCTGGAAGAAGGCCGCGGGGGAGGGAGCGTTGGCAGCAGCTCGAATGATCGATACGAGCCACGCGGAGTCTCGAAACGAGGGTGGTGAGAGACGAGTTGGATTCCTAGTTTGGCTATGAACAGCACGAGCTAGAAACAGGCCAAGGACAGACCATCCGACCAAGCAGGTGCTGTTTGCACACCGGAGCCGGGGAGTTGTCACGGGGATTGCACCGTTTTCTTCGATATCAGACTGGACATGATCGTTTTCCTTTTCCTCCGTTTTGCAATTACTGGGGGAGCTCTGTGCCGAGTCCCCATCAGGGCCGGATGGTTTAGCAGAGGAAGAGGCGCTTGATCAAGGCGTTGATTGGATTGAGACAGGGTGGCCGGCGATGCCCCTGTCTCCAGGAGCGATTAGTACTCCAGCACATTTCACAGATGCATTGGGCACGAGGGTGTGCCCGAACAATTGGGCACGACAGACAGCACAGGATGGACGATACGGCACACACAGGCCTCAGGCGGGCTGAATACCGCTGGGCGAGCTAAGCAGAGATGCACATAGTGGGTAGCCTCATGCATCGCAAGAGGAGCGCATGGATTGCACATAGACTTAGAGGAAATCAATTCTCAATATGTAATTGCCGAACACGTTCAGTACAGACCGTGACAGCCACGCAACAGATTATTGTAGATCATAGGAGAGGGAAGAAGACTGGTGCCAGGATAAAGTGGCGTACCTCTTTAAAGGTAGTATATCTTTGTGTGGGCAGCACAGCACAGCCCGGCGTGGCGAGGCTTCTTTTCCTGCTTGAATGCTCAAGGCTGGTTGTGATGTGCCCAACGGAGCGCCCAATGGCACTGCCAAACCTCTGCAGTGGGTCTAGTGCAAAGGCAGGACTGATTCATTCACGAGTCCTCAGTCGTCGGGGCGAGCCTGTTTGAGGTGCGGCATTGTGGCGCAAGCTGGGTGCGTGCGTACGTACTACAATACGCAATGCGAGAAGGAGGAACGAAGCAGCTGTCGAGAGGATCCATCCCGGGTAATTAAGCGGGCTGCAATGGAGCGCGGGAGGATGCGTGGGTGCGTGTAAGAGACGCCACTGACACTGCACCACTGCAATAAAAGAAGGTTCCCCACCTAGAATCGGGGCAGCGGTTTGACACATGCAGACCTAGGCAAACAAGGCAGGGTTACCTCACTGCTGCAGTCCCGCCAGCCCGCCCGGGTGCCCCCCAGCTTGCCCCCTGCCTTCGGCTTACTGTGCCCGAGTACTTACCACAGTACTTCGCATACCTGGCGGATTTGGTTACTGCGACTTCGTCATCGCCTCCGAACATCACCTCTCTTTACCTTACTGTCCGGTCGGCTCAGGCTGCCACTCGTGACCTTCCCTCCTTTGCCCCCGCCCCCAACACACGCAGCCCAACCCAACCTGACCGACCTCCTCGCCGACGACGGGCGAATCGACGAAGATACACACAATCGCCAGCATCGCATTTCAGCCAGCCGCCAGGCCAAATCGCCCAGCACGACTCGACTCCGCCCGACAAGAGCTCCCTCAGCTGCAGAGCAAGCCGCAACCATGTTCCGCGCAGCAGCTCCGGGCCCCTACGATGAGGCCGTCGGTACGTGAACTTGAGCCCACGGCCAGATCGGCTGTACATATACAGCACACGCGTATCATCGCTGACTCCCACGTGCAATATCTAGCCAAGGCGACGGACGAGAACCTCACCTCGGAGGACTGGGGCTCCATTATGGAGGTTTGCGACCGCGTGTCTGGCGATGCGAACGGCTCCCAGCAGGCTGTCCAGGCCCTGATCAAGCGTCTGGCCCACCGCAACGCCAACGTGCAACTCTACACCCTCGAGGTGGGTTTACCTGCAGTTGTTCCTCCTCCCATGCGCCGCACAAGCTGACGTTCCCCCTTGTCCACTACAGGTCGCCAACGCCCTGAGCCAGAACTGCGGGAAGCCCATGCACCGCGAGCTTGCCAGCCGCGCATTCACGGATGCCCTGCTGAAGCTGGCCAACGACCGCAACACCCACAACCAGGTCAAGGCCAAGATCCTCGAGAGGATGAAGGAGTGGTCCGACATGTTCAGCAAGGACTCCGACCTGGGCATCATGTATGACGCCTACTTCCGCCTCAAGCAGTCCAACCCCCAGCTACAACCGCCCTCCGCACCCCAGAAGAACAGCCTCACAGACGTCGACCGCCAGAAGGAAGAGGAGGAGCTCCAGATCGCACTCAAGTTGAGCCTGCAGGAGGAGGAGAGGAAGAAGGCAGCCCAGCAACCAGCTGCCGCCGGTCCAAGCAACAGCGCGGGTCCCCAAGAGGCTGCCCCCGCCGCGCCCTTACAGCCAATGCCTTCGGGAACTACGGCGGCGACGGTGAGCCGTGTACGCGCACTATACGACTTTGTGCCGTCAGAGCCCGGCGAGCTCGAGTTCAAGAGGGGCGACGTTATTGCTGTGCTGGAGAGCGTGTACAAGGACTGGTGGCGGGGCTCTCTGAAGGGCAAGACGGGCATCTTCCCTCTGAACTATGTGGAGAAGTTGACGGACCCCACCCCCGACGAGTTGCAGCGAGAGGCACAGATGGAGGCCGAGGTCTTTGCCGAGATCAAGAACGTCGAGAAGCTGTTGACGCTCCTCAGCACAAACAGCGCGCCGAGGGAGGAGGACAACGAGGAGATCTCGAAGCTCTACCACCAGACATTGGCGATCCGGCCCAAGCTGATCAAGTTGATCGAGAAGTACTCACAGAAAAAGGGTGAGCTTTGCAAAGGTTTCAACGGCGAAGGGAAGTTGGAAGGGGGGCTAACATGTGTCACAGACGACTTCACTCAACTCAACGAGAAATTCATCAAGGCACGCAGGGACTATGAGGCCTTACTCGAATCCTCCATGTCACACCCGCCACAGTCCAACTACGGCCAGTACGCAATGCGGCCAGCAATACCTCAGGGCTATGGAGGTCCTCCGGGGCCTGGTTATCCGGGGCAAGGCCCTCCGCCGCAGCATCAAGAGCCCCAGGGCTACGGCGCACCCCCCGGCCCAGGCTACCCTCAACAGCAACAGCAACAACCACCCCCACAAGACCCGCAGAGGTTCTACACTCCCGCACCCGCACAAGGTTAGATCTAGTCATGGGAATGTATGTATGTATAGGTGTCGTTCCTGACCAATAATGCTGCAGACCAACAACCCCCTCATCAATATCAAGCATACCCTCCTCAACAGCATCCTCAATCTACCCCTTCCCCTGCGTTCCAGAGACCCAGCGCTACCCCAGCACCTTTCTACATGGCTGGTGCCGAGGTGCCCGCTACGGCGAACCAGCATCAGTATCCTCCTCAGAACTCGGGCCAGCGCGTTCCCTCTGCTGGAAAACAGCCCGAGGTGCCGCCTATACAGTAAGTATATCGCAGTCTTCCACTCAAATTCACTGGCATATCTGAGCGATAACCCAGCCCTGGGTCAAGGTTGTGTGAGGTGCTCTACTAGATTTGATGACAGACATGCCTGTCTAGCATCAAACGACCGAATACTGATGACAAACACAGGACAAACACATCGCCTCCACCGGCTGGCCAATACGTCCCCTACTCCCGCCCACCCATCCCAGGCTCACAACCACCACCACAAGACCACCAGCGGCCCCAGAGCACATACGGGCCAGGCTCAGGCCCCAGCAACCCGCAGGAGCTGGCCACGTCCGTCTACGACTCCCCCATCGCATCCCACAACCCCCAGTCCGCAGCCACCTACACAACCTCTGCCTACTCGCCAGATGACGGGCCCTCGGCGCCGAGCGAGCCTGGATACCCGGCGCCGTCCGCCCCCTCTGCCCCCTCTGCGCCCTCCGGGGGAGCACCCGGCGTTCCTGGCAGTCTGATGCCGGGCGCCCCGCCGCCGCTGCAGCCGAGCGGGGCTGCGTATGACGCGAGGAGGGCGTCGGGCGGACAGTCGCAGTATAAGCCTTATGTGCCCCCGTCGAATGCTTATTAGTTTGAGTGTGCCGTTGCAGGGTGGGACCTGAGGAGGGAGGTTTGAAACGAGATCAGGCCAGGCGTAAGCAAATGGAACTGTACATGGAAGAAATTGTGTTGGGAGGGAGGAGTGCGCGTGTTGGAGATACTTTGTGTGTTTTGGCAGCTGCTAGGATAGGGGGGGCACACCCATGGTGGTCCTTCGCTGCAAGCTTCATGGTGCTTGCGACTGGCGGGCGGGCAGGCGGGCACGCAATATGCGAAGTGCATCGGCGTTAAGTAACTAATATCAACAACCAGTATATTGGCATGCTCACAAGCATTCTCGCTACCTGATTGAGGTGGTTTCCAACCGAGGTGAACGTCACATATGTCTTTTAGTTGACCTCTTCATCAGCATGAGCCGTCACTCCACCATAAACCACCCTCCTGATGATCACTGATAAAAGTTGATCGATCTTATGAACAATTCCACATATTACAGAGCCATGATCTACAAGCGGTATCTAGTGACAGAAACCTCTTTTCAAACGTCAAAAGGAACCGAACGCCGACGCCGTCTTGGTCCGTATGTCGGCAGCAGACAAGTATATCCTAGCCGGTCTATCCCGCCACCCAGCCAGCTTCCTGGGCTTCCATGTCCAAACGTAGCACATCATGAGCTCATTCAATCTTTCTCCGAGGCTCGGGCTGAGGCACCTCACCACCGACGCCCATAGACATCGTCCTCCCTCCGGTACGCCTTCTTGGGCGCGGGCGGCTTCTTGCTCCTAAAGTCCGCCAGCCCGTTGAGGGCATCGTCGTCTTCTAGGTCTCCTCCCCCCCCTCCCCGCTGGCCGCCGTCGTCGGCGCGGGGCTTGAAGAGGTTGAGGAGGTCCTGCAGGGACAGCTTGAGCGAGTCCTTGTTCTTCTTCATGCCGCCCTCGATGGCGTGCTGGGCGAGCAGGCGCTTCTTCTCCTGCAGCTCGAGGATGCGCTCCTCGACCGTGCCCTTGACCGTCAGCTTGTACACGACCACGTCCACCGTCTGCGTGAGGCGGTGCACGCGGTCTATGGCCTGCTCCTCGACGAACTACATGACACAATGTCAGCTTGCGGTACCAAGAGGAGAGGGGAAAGAAATAAGAAGAAAAATGTCTTGGAAGGCAGGGGGTCGGCTGGCTACTACTCACCGGGTTCCAGAACGGCTCGATGATGATGACCCGTGTGGCAGCCGTCAGGTTGAGGCCCAAGGACCCACACTTCAGGCTGCAGAGCAGTATCCGCGTGTTCTTGTCGTTGCGCAGCCTATTCAGGCTCTCCTCGCGGGCGTCGTTCTTCATACCGCCGTCGTAGCGGACAAACTTGAAGCCCTCCTTGCGCAGGTACGGCTCCACGAGGTCCAGCATCGACGTGAACTGGGAGAAGACGATGAACTTGTGCTCGGGGGCCTCCTTGTGCAGGATCTTGACGATCTCGCGGATCTTGGACGAGTTCATGAGGTGCGCCGTGCTCTTCTTGGCCGCCGCCTTGTGGGGGGTGGTGTACAGGATCTCCGTCTTCTCGAGCTCGGATTCGGACACCCCTGAGTCCTCGTCGTCGGAGTCGGTCTGAGGCTCGGATTCGGAACTGGACTCCACTCTTCTCGCCGGCTTCCGCTGCTTCCTCGACTTTGTAGGCTGTGACCCGAACTTATCAAGAGACACAAGACTGTCATCATCAGAATCATCGTCATAGGTGGTTTGGGTGTTGACCTCATCATCGACGACGAAGCTGTCGAGGCGGCTGCCCGCCTCGGATTCGGAGTGGTGTATCGAGTCATCGGACCCGAGGTCTTCGCCCGTTCCTTCGGCATTCTCATCGTCAGTGCCGCCGGCCTTGCCTAGGCGCAACGAGCCGCGCTGGTCCTCGCCCACGAGCCAGCTTCCCTCCTCGTCCTCGTCGTCACTATCAATGACAACGTTTCGCCTCCGCGGCTTACGCTTGTTGTCCTCGGTCTTTCTCGCGTGCTTTTTGGGCTTCTTTGCCTTCTTCTTGGTCTTGTTTGCACCCGTGAATTCGGCGTTGACTTCGTCCATGTTCGCCAGGCACTCGTCGCAGTGCTCTTGGCCGCGTGCGGAGACATCGCGAGGTAGGTCTACCATGCATAGCTCGCACTTCTTGGCCTGAATGCCCATGCCGCCCAGTGCGTCCGCGAGGTCATCGACGCTCGTATCTGCGTTCTTCTGGGCAGACGTATCGGTCGAGAGGGCGTCCTTGTCCTTGTCCAGTTTGCTTCCAACCAGGCTGGGGTGATTGCACGCCTGCCTGAGCCGCAGTAGCAGCACCAGGGCGTTGGCATAGTTGACCTTTTGCTTCATCATCGCCTCGAGACTCTTGTCGGCGCGCTCCTCTAACTTGTTGTAGAACCTTCTCTCAGATGCTGAAAACTCTGTGGAGACCGCCACGACCTTGCGCTCGGTAATCTTGAATTTTGATGCTGGAGCCTCTCCTGTTCCGTTCTTCGCGGCCTCCTCGAGGGCCTTCTTTCCGCCTGGCAGCAAGGCACCTTCTTCCTTAAGTATATCCTTGGTCCGGCGTTTCATGAAGGACCGCAAGAGAGCGTGCAGCCGGCGAATCGCGAGGTGTCCCTTGCCATTCTTCATGGGCTTGTCTATATTCTCTCGCCAATGCTGGAGGTTGTCGTAAGGCTGAATGCGCAGGAAGTTGACCAAGCTCTGCAGTTCATCTAGGTTGTTCTGCATTGGTGTGCCAGTCAGACACCATCGGAATTCTGAGCGCAAGGCGCAACATGCTTTGGTGGACTTGGCATTGCGATTCTTGATGGTGTGGGCCTCATCGAGAATAACTCGGTACCAGTGCAGACCGAAGCACCCTGCCTTGACTGTCTCCGAAGTGTAGTTGAATTCCGAGACCAAGATCTGGTAAGTGGTGATCACGACGTCGTACTTAGCGAGGTCTTGAAATCGCTTTGTACGATTCGGCCCATGATGTACGCAGACGCTGAGACGATGCGATTTTGTCACCTTCTCCTTAATCTCTGCCTCCCACTGCCTGATCAGGGCTAGAGGCGCAACCACCAGCGTGCCTCGCTCGACACCATTCAGACTCTTCTTCCAGTCTGGGTGGTCCCTATCTGGCCTTGGGTTGCTGAGTATGAGTGAGATGGACTGTAGAGTCTTTCCCAAGCCCATGTCCTGCAGAATGTGTTTGAGCATGTGAGTCATCAGGAAAAATCAGTATGAGGACTTACATCAGCCAGAATGCCACCCTTGGGCACCTTTCCGCGCTTGACAGGACCCAGCTCCCGGCCCTTCATCCACTTGACACCCTCGACCTGATGTGGGAGGAGTTTAACCTTGATCCCCTCCAGTGTTCCGTCGTCCAAGTCACCCTTGTTCTCTTCCTCCTCCTCATCCTCGAGTCCGCCCTCCAGTAGAGCCTTTAGGTCCTCATTCGCCTTGGCAGGGTCCGTATAGAAGGTGTTGTCCTCAAAGGCGGCTTCGGTCGGGGCGCCCCTGTAATATGATGACTGGACGTATTCGGGTGGGTATGCCTGGGGGCTCATAGAGCTGAAAGTTGGCGGCTTCGGCTCGGCGGGTTTGCGGGGAGGGGGCACGTTCCGTTCCCTGTGCAGCTCTGGTCGGTTCTTGGGCTGGATAAACATCTGGGAAGCGCCGGCTGCCTTCTGCTTAAGGCTGGACATGAGCTTTCCTGGCTTCCCAAAGACGGGCTTGTCTGAGTGTCCGAACCCCAAGGAGTTTAACGATTTGAATCCGCGAGCAGGTTCGGGGCTGTGGGTGAGGTCGATTACTTCGGCGCTTGGAGGTTGACCAGGGCGCGAAGGGGTGCCTGCTGCGGGTGAGGCGGCGTTGTGCAGGGACTGGTTCGCGACCTGTGAGTTGATGTTATCGAGGTAGTCATCCTCGTCCGAGGACTCGGCACGCGTCAGGCGCGCCATGGTAACGATCTTGGATGATAAAGATGGGCTGAATGTCTGATCTGGAGCTCAGGAACGTAATATTCGGTCTGCCGATGGTCGGGAAGGCTGCGGAGGCAGATTTGGCTTTGGTCTGCCTCGTTCACACGCTTGATGTGCTGCTTTTTGAGTGAGGCTGTTCTGGGGCGAAAACCCAGGCAACCAGGAAGGTTTTGGGGGGGGGGGCGATGCAGGGCTGGAAATGTGCGACAGCGGTCTGCGATCAATAAACTAGAACCAAAGAAAGCATCAAGAGCTGAGCAACATAGTACAACGGTTGATGCAGGAACGCGTGTCCGTGTTTAGAATGATGCAGGTTGAGTTGGCGGCTGCTGCAGGTGAGGGGCAACTTTGCGGGACCGGGTTGGCTCTACAGTAAGTAAACAGATGACATAGGTAAAAAAGGGCAGTGGGGCCGTTGCTGCGACAGCAGTGCTGCAGCCAGGCGCGAGTCAGACACGACCGACCAAGATGGCGCTTTGACAACTATTCCGAGTTGTGTAATAAATGCTGCGGTTTTTGTAACGTGAATGCATCTAATTCCTTTGACTTTTATATACACCATTATCATAGCACCGTCACATGGCAAAACAAAGTCAATTAAATGATATCATAAGAGAGTCAAGAGTCTCTGTGGCTTGCTTATTGTCTCTGGTTTGGACTGGGAAGTTCTTCTGTGGGAGGTTAGGAGGTTGTCCATGGGGAGGTCAGGGGATAGAAACACGCTTCGAACGCGGAGCGGACAAGCAAGCAAAGCTCGTCTTTTTGAGGATGCTCTGGTGTTCCTGCCTCTAGATGCCATGTTGCTTGCGTTTCCAGACACTGCAAGACAAACGACGTTCATTGTGTCTATTGGGGGTATTTTCTGCTCATGTCTCATTCTTGTGAGAGCAGTCTAGTTCTCATTTCGTAGGGGTATCAGTGTAAGGATCAAACCCAACGCGCTGTTCCGCCTCGTTCCTCATCCTCCACCTCGCCTCGCCCTTGAGCCCCGTGGTCGACGTCTCCTCCAAAAAGAAGGACAAGATGTGATCCGGTATAGACAGATGCGCCGCCTGCTGGAACTCTTGCAGGCTCGTGAGCCGGATCAGCATCTCCATCAGCGATAGCGATGAGGTGATCGAGCTGAAAGGCGACCTAGCTACAAACTGTTCCTCTCGCCTTGCATCTAGCCTTTCCAATTCTTTCGACGCCGGCTTGCTGGAAATTTCGTTGAGCCCTGTTGGGGATTGGATTGAAAGTGTCTTGATCTGCGCCATCAAATTCGCATTGAGTGAGGGATTATGAGACGCCGCGGGTCGTTTTGCTTTGATGGTGGGTACTGTCTGCTCATCCTCGCTCTCCTCTTCTGCTTCGTCTTCTGAGTCTTCCGAGTCGTCGTTACTGTCCTCTGTGAAGACCTCAAATGCGAGCCATTCGGGATCAAGGTGAGGCGGCAGATGCAAACCCAATGGGTGTTGTTTCTCCACGGCTTTCGAGTCTGGGGGCCCAGTTTCCTCACGGAGCTGGCGGTCGATCTCGTCTTGTTCATAATCCGCGTAATCACCGCCAGGGCCACTTATAGCCTTGGTCGGGTTGAACTGGTGATGTTCCGGTGCGTCCTCTTCGAATTCGGTATTGCCCGCAGCACTCACGTCCCTCTTCAGGAGAAGGATGGGGTTATTGCCAGCCTCGTCAGAGTTTCCGATGTTGAGAATTCTGCCACTGTCGGTGTAGAAGATGCGAGAAATCTGATGGATGGGGATCGATTCGCGTATGCCTGCTTGGGTGATGGTGTCGTAGGGACGTGTCTTAGCCTCGCCGTCTTCATGCACCCGGCCGTCATTCAAGTCCTCCACGAGCTCAATATGATAGGCGTATTCGTCGGGCCGCCCAAAGGCGTCATCTCCCGGGTAGCCAGACTGTTGACCTGGCATCAGGAAGCTATCGGGAACATAGCCCTGATTGTGATCAAAGCCCCACTGGATCGGGGTTCTGCATAGCCGTACGCGAGCCTTGTGTAAGACTTCCTGCCAGATCGGCCTTCTCTCGCCCTCGCCAAACCCATACGGCTCATCCTTCTGTGGAGAACCTGCTCGAGATGGATCCGGGGTGGCCGGCCTTGCATTACCACGAGATCCGGGGTGAGATGTGGCCTGACTATGTCCCACGAAGAGCATGTAGAGTGACAGGTTAAAATTTGGGCCGATTTGGACGGGGCGCGAAGGATCACTGGCAAACTGTGTGTCTCCGAGGTTCAAGAAGAAGCTGGCTTGGAGGAATCGCGACGGCGATATTCCTGTGGGCATGGTCGACGACAATGTCTCTCCAGAGGCAGTGATGGCGATCTGCAGAGAAGGTATCTCCCTGTCAATGCGGGCCAAAAGGGCTTTGATATCGCGGATGATGTTCAGCAGTTCCGCATGATGAGCCTCGGCCGTCTTGGCCTTGGTCCCCTTCTTCTGAGAACCTTCCTCGGCGACGGCAGCATTCTCGAGTCTCGTGCCAAGAGAGACAATATCACGGTGCAGAGACTTTGCCAGCGGAACGGCAGATTCAAGAAAGACGTTGCCTCGTCCAGACCTAAGGGCATGTTAGCGAGGATTACAGGGTGTGGAATAAGCGAGACTTACTTGAACTCTATCAAGTCTATAACGGGCGACAGTATCTTGACCTTGCCGTTGAGCTGGTCCTGCAGGCTCTTGAGCTCTGCTCGAACGCTTCTGTCATCGACGGTCTTGAGAAGTCGTGAACATTGGCCGACGGCATAACTGGAAGTAAGGGCAATCCCAGATCGGATGGCATAGTTCATGGCCTGCGCCCCGAGCCGCCCTAGTAGGGCGTCCATGGTTATTAGGTCGGTCGGGTTATGCAAGGACAGCCACACACCAGACCTCACCCGACTTGGCCGTGTTGGTGGGCAAGTCCAAGCTGGTTCATGACCTTGCACAAATGCGAGCCAGGTTGAGTAATTTGTTTAATGGAGGAGTCAGATTTAAAGACCCCCCGACGAAACTCCGCCCCCGGAATGAGGCAACGTTGTCACCGTCTTCTACTTCACTGTTTGCGGCGACCTGTGCTGTTTGGAAAGGGCATGTGTGAAGGCATGTCATTCACACCGTGGGTAAAGGTGCCTTGTCGTCGGTTTGGTCCGTGCAGGCTGCTGTGGCCCTGACTGTGTAACTCTCCATAGTGGCAGCGGCAGCCTAAAGGCAGCTAGGCGTCATGGTGGGGCAAAAATCATCCAGACCATCGACCCCGCCGCCCAAAGGTGCACGAAATCCTAAACAGCATTTACTGGATGCTCGTCTGACCCAAATTACCCTCCCTGGCCTCAGATATTCCAGAGGGACCAACCAGTGGGCGCAGTCAGGCATCAACAAGACCAAGGAGTCATATTGAAAGGAGAGGCGGAGCAATACCCAACAGCTTGCCCATCCAAAACCTGATCAACGGGCAGCTATTCAAGCCGAACCCAACCCCTGCATTTTGTGGCTCCCCCGGGCAAGCTGTTGCGAGCATAGAAATACCCTCGCAGACACCATCCTACGCCATACCACGAGCCACAACCTCGAGGATCCCACCCTACTGCCAATTTTTACCTCGGGAAACAACACTACAACGGTCATCATGTCAAACCTCAACTCGTGGGAAGATGACCCTGCCGCCCAGGAAGAGAACCTGGCCCAGCAGGCCCAGCAGATGAACCTGGGCAACCAGCCCCAGGGCCATTCGCAAGGCTTCCGCCCTGGCGCCGCGACCTTCTCACCAGGAGCTGCCGCCTTCCAACCCGGACAGGCCTTTGTACCAGGAGGAGGCTATGGCGCCCAGCAATACCAACAAGGATACTATGGCGCCCAGCAAGGCTACTACTCACAGTATGGCGGCCAGGGACAAGGCTACGCGCAGTATGGCCAGGGCGGTTACGGCAACGTCTACGGCCAGGGCCAGTACAACCAAGCATACGGTACGTCTGTTGAACTATTCACCCTCTGTCGCAGCGCAATCGACTTACTCGGATAGTAGGCCAGTACCAGGGACAAGGATTCCAAGGACAGCAGGCCCCGCAACAGCAACAACAAGCCCCTCGGCAGACTCCTACCATCGCCAAGCGACCGAACGACCCTGCCGCTGCCTCTTCCGACCCCGCGCCAAAGCCTACCGTCTCTAAGGAGGGCGGTGCCAAGGTTCTGAGCATTGGAGGCGACGCACCGAAACCCAAAGCCAAGGTCCTTTCGATCGGTGGCACGGCGCCCGCAAAGGAGGAGCCCAAGACCGAGGAGGCTGCGCCAGAACCCAAGGAGCCCGCAGCTGATGAGGGGGCCAAGGTCACAGCGGCAAAGGCGATTGAGAAGACCGGCGAGAAGGCCGGCTCGGAGAAGGCGTCCTCCGGCAAGACGTCCCCTACACCATCTTCTGGCCGATCCAGCCCTTCACGGGCCGGCCCTAAGGCGGCCAGCCGTGATGCGGTGGCTGTCGAGCAGGAGCAGACCGCCGATGTTGACGAGGAGACGTTGAAGGATATGTATGGCAAGGAGCACGTCAACATCATCTTCATTGGTCACGTTGACGCCGGAAAGTCCACACTCGGCGGTTCTATTCTTGTCGTCACAGGCATGGTAGATCAGAGGACACTGGACAAGTACAAGAAGGAGGCCAAAGACATGGTATGTACCCTTCGTCTCTAAACAGTTTTCTGATAAACTGACCGTTTCCAGGGTAACCCGTCGTGGTACCTGTCGTGGGTCCTGGATCTTACAAATGAAGAGCGATCTAAGGGTAAGACTGTCGAAGTAGGACGAGGATTCTTCGAGACGGAGAAGCGGAAGTACAGTGTTCTTGATGCGCCTGGCCACAAGACATATGTGCCCAACATGATCGGCGGAGCCTCACAAGCAGACGTTGGTATTCTTGTCATTAGGTAAGGATAAACATCTCACCGCAAGGAGTCGAGGGCAGACGACTCTCGCATGTGCGCAGCCGGCTAACGAGCCCACAGTGCACGAAAGGGCGAGTACGAGACCGGATTCGAAAAGGGCGGCCAGACGCGTGAGCACGCCATGTTGGCCAAGACCCAAGGTGTCAACAAGCTGGTGGTGGTCATCAACAAGATGGACGACCCAACAGTGGAGTGGTCGCATGACCGTTACAAGGAGTGCACAACCAAACTCGCCACCTTTCTCAAGGGCACCGGTTACAACCTGAAGACGGATGTGTTCTTCATGCCCGCCGCGGCCCAGTCACTGCTCAACATCAAGGAAAGGCTACCGGCAGGCGTTGCACCGTGGTACGACGGCCCGTCGCTGCTGGAGTACCTCGACAACATGCAGGCCCTGGAGCGCAAGATCAACGCACCTTTCATGATGGCTGTATCCGGCAAGTACCGTGACATGGGCACCATGGTCGAGGGCCGTGTCGAGGCTGGTGTGGTCAAGAAGGGAATGGCCCTGACCATGATGCCAAACAAGGCCAAGATCGATATCTCCGCTATCTATGGCGAGCAAGAAGAGGAAATCCCACACGCACAGTGCGGTGACCAAGTACGCATGCGGCTGCGAGGTATCGAGGAAGACGACATCCTCCCCGGGTTTGTGCTCTGCTCGCCAAAGCGACTGGTCCACTGTGTCAAGTCTTTTGACGCCCAGATTCGAATTCTGGATCTGAAGTCTATCCTCTCGGCTGGATTCAACTGCGTGCTCCACGTCCACGCGGCCATCGAGGAAGTCACATTCGCGGCTCTGCTGCACAGCTTGCAGAAGGGCACTAACCGTAAGAGCAAGCGGCCACCTACGCATGCGAAGAAGGGCGACAGCATTATTGCACGGCTGGAGGTTACTGGTGCCTCGGGCGCGGTGTGTGTTGAGAAATTCGATGATTATCCCCAGATGGGTCGTTTCACTCTGGTAAGTTCTCGTCCTATCTCCCATCTGCCTAGCACGGCATGTCTAATGGCTAACTGTCTTGTAGCGTGACCAAGGTCAGACGATTGCCATTGGCAAGATCATCAAGCTGAACACGGAGGAGGTTGCTTAAGCGGTTCTCAGAACAGCAAGAGGAACCAAATACTTCAGCGGGACTGCTGTATATGAATGGCCAGGGAGACTAGCCAGAGATTGGCGAGGATGCCCCATTTAAGTGTTTGGTAGATAGATCCTGGCCCAACCGCATTATAGGCACGACTCACGGCAGAATGGCGATGCTGGTGCAAAAAGTTACCTCTGACGTGAGAATCAAAAGCTGGATTTACCCAGGTAGAATGCTTGTTTCACGAGATGCATTATGCTGCCACGTGTGTAGAAATCAATCGCATTTTACTGTGTAGGTGAGCCAGGTTTTGTTTGCCTGGAGTACACCAAAAAGGCCGTTATTACTACTCGGCTTCTGGATCCCACCCCAACCGTGCGTGGTACAGGCGCCGCTAAACGTGGGGGCATTGACAAGGGTCTATTACAACGCTTAGCCCGTGGTAGGCTTGCTGCGGTCCGATGCCGCTAAGGGACCTGGGAGGTTTTGTGCGCCGGCAGCGCTGATTAGATCCAGTTTGTCTCGGCCTGTGTTGACTTGCTTCTTGTTCCCCTTCTTCCTACCTCCCCATTCACGTCCAGCCTTTTCGGTCCAGGCAAGCCGTTCTCCTTCCAGACCCCAATCACCATACTGACGGCTAACGTGCTTGTGAACCAGCTGCCAAGATGTCTGACCAGAAGCCCCTCCCTTTCATATACCAGTTTGCCGCCGGTGCGTAGTCAAATAGCCGACTGGCATCCCGACCACGGACGACTCGGGGTTGTCGCAACATGTTGTGGGAGTATATGGCTGACATTCCGTCCTCATAGGCGCTGTCGCCGGTGTGTCAGAAGTATGCACTGCCTTTTTCCGGGTGCAATTGACTTGCTAACATGTCTCTATCTCTAGATTCTGGTCATGTATGTCAACATAGGAGCCGCACGCGACCAGCCAAGCTTTGTTTGCCTACAACACACTGACATTGCTACATAGGTACCCACTTGACGTCGTCAAGACCAGAGTGTAAGGCTCTCGACCGGCCCCGAAAAAGATAGCGATGCTGACAGGCGCAACAGACAGCTGCAGACTGGCAAGGGGGTCGGCGCGGACTCATACAATGGCATGTTCGACTGCTTCCAGAAGATCATCCGTCATGAGGGGTGCGTTCGAGATTCTCCCTCCTACAACAGAAATACATACACACATAAACAGCCCGACCAAGACAGATATATGCCCTCCAGCAGGGAAACGGGGTCCCCAGAAGCAACCACTAACGAAGCCACACACCACGCAGTTTCTCCCGGCTGTACCGCGGCATCACCGCCCCGATCCTGATGGAGGCCCCCAAGCGCGCGACCAAGTTCGCCGCCAACGACGAGTGGGGCAAGTTCTACCGCAAGGCCTTTGGCGCCGACAAGATGACGCAGCCGCTGTCGGTGCTGACGGGCGCGACGGCGGGCGCGACCGAGTCCTTCGTGGTGGTGCCCTTCGAGCTGGTCAAGATCCGCCTGCAGGACAAGGCCAACGCGAGCAAGTACAACGGCATGCTGGACGTGGTGGCCAAGACGGTGCGGCAGGAGGGCGTGCTGGCCATGTACCAGGGCCTCGAGAGCACCCTGTGGAGGCACATCCTGTGGAACGCGGGTTACTTCGGCTGCATCTTCCAGGTCCGCCAGCTGCTCCCCAAGGCCAACGACAAGACCGGCCAGATGGCCAACGACATCCTCGCCGGTACGGTGGGCGGCACCGTCGGCACCATCCTCAACACCCCGCTCGACGTCGTCAAGTCGCGTATCCAGAACTCCGTCAAGGTCCCCGGTGTCACGCCCAAGTACAACTGGGCCTTCCCGGCCGTCGGCACCGTCCTCAAGGAGGAGGGCTTCGCGGCTCTGTACAAGGGTTTCCTGCCCAAGGTTCTGAGACTGGGACCGGTAAGTCCACTTGTCGCCGGACCCCAGCGGTCTTCGCAGAGCCCCGGGTTTGGATCTGCTAACGTTGACGGAATAGGGCGGTGGTATTCTTCTCGTGGTCTTCCAGGGTGTCATGGACTTCTTCAGGAAGCACCAATAGGAATAGATTCAGGCATAGACGGAATAAATGAAACATCATTCGGGCACATTTCCTGGGGCATTTGCGGTTCGGTTCGTGTATGTATCGAGTACGTGTTAGAGAAACAGATACCAAAGCACTCGCCACCGCTGCAACTGACACCTAATGATCTTAAACCTGAACATTGATGTGCTAGAGACCACGCAGTAGCGTGCACTAGAGCGCTATACACAATGATCATGTGTTGTTTTAATCTGATTCCCTAATATGGTCACCATAGCAGCTCACAAGCCCCGAATAGGCTCCTCAGAGTGGAAAGTGCGAATTGTGCCTCGATGACACGGACATGGCCTAAGACTCATGCTTGCCACTTCACCAAGTGAGACTGGACTTAGGCGACTAGCCTTTTATGTCGAAGAAACGAGTTTACGGTGACTGCACAGCTACGGGTGGGGGTCATTGACGTTGTTTTCCGGGCTAAGAAAACTGCACACGGAAGGCTGTTGACCCCTGAGCAGGCTCGGAGAAGCAAATGTGTAGAACGCCACATCAGGAGTATATCTCGGGTATGGACCAGAGTGTGTTCCCATATGCGACTTGACTACTTGGATCCCGCATGAAACCAGTATGTTGTCAAGTACAACGGCCATTATCAAGCAAGAGACGGGTACCAGTCCATGCCGGGGTTGGCGCAGGTATCGCCAGCAGTCTTGGCACACGATGAAACATAGAATCAAGAGTCTGCGGGAACTTAGTATTGATCCAAAGAGAAGCGCTATGGGAAAACCACGCTGTTTGATATGTGCTACTGGCCGTGTGGTGAGCTCGGCCGGTGTGCCGAGACACACGGCAAGCCCGTTCCTATGAACAGAGTATGCTAAGCCTGACCAAGGCCGGGACATGGTGTCTTGTCGTAGGAGAAGAAAAGCCGAGTTAGCCTCCATATGACAAAGCAGAGGTGTTTTACCGTAAAGTAGAAAGTCCACCAAGACCCCAACGCCGACCAAAAGCCACGGCAAGGTGCCGGTCCCGCCCGCCTGCGCCGGAATTCCAAAGTTGTTGATCTTGAAGACGTCTGTCCAAGGCACGGAAGGTCCTGCAGCAGAAAATCAACTTAGTCAATGTCCTCATTTGGTTGGTAAACATGACGACTTCGAGTGGGATCCTTGCGCATGGTCTGGCCAGACCCGGTGAACCCAACTATGGTAGCAAAGTCAGTCAACAGTCGTTCTCCGGGCGAGCAGAAGCAGCGATACTGACCTCGGCCGTGAACGCCGTCAGGTGTTCGGAACATACTATCCTTCTTTTGTGTCTTGCCGAACTTTGACTTGGCGTTGAAGTCTTGCCACTTGGACTTGCCCTTCTCGAGCTCCTTGTTCGCCTTGATCTTCTTGAACTTCTTGGCGGGCTTCTCGCCATCAGCAGCGGCGTTCTTGTCGGCCTGTGGGTACACGCTTGGGGCGGAGGTAAGGACAATGCCGTTGTTCACGCTCGTTGATCCACCCGGTGTCGTTGATCCAGAGGCGGCCGGGCTGTTGACGCCGCCGCTTCCTGGGGCGGCAGGGCCTGCATTTGGGGCGGTGCCATCGGCCTTGCGCTTGTTGCTGATGGGGCGGATGTTGTTGGCGCGCAGGGTCTCGCTCGTGTCGTAGCTCTTGAACTTGACGGTATACATGGGCTGTGTGGAGGATCCGGTGACGGCGGTGATGCGTGCTGGGTAGAATCCCTTGTCACCCGAGACCCACTTAGCAAGGACTGTATCATTGACCTGGTAGGAGATGGGGATAGCCGACTCTGCTGCGGCGGCGGCAGCTGCCTCTTGCCTGTCCTTCTCCTCCTGTGCGGCCTTTTTGAAGGCCGGGTGGTTCTCGCGCGACCACTTCTCTGGCTTTGAGTCCCCCGGGGCTGGGTCTTTCTTGGGGGCGGCTGCTGGGGCAGGTGCAGCAGCAGCACGTTTCGGCTGGATGTCGGCGATGGAGTCGTTGATCATCTTGATCATGTCCTCCAGCTCAGCCCTGAGGGCGAGCAGCTCGGCGTTCTCGGGGTCATCGCTGAGGGAGGTGGCGACGATGTCCAGCTGCAGCAAGGTCAGCACAGGCTCGACGACGCAAACAAAGCCAGGGGCGACGGACCTGTTCCTGGTAGGCCTTCTTCTCCTCCTCGAATTGTGTAAGCTGTGCACTCATTTTGAGTAATGGTTTCCCCCGCGGTATTGGAGTAGCTATCCGAGAGTACCTGAGCTGGAGAATGAAGTCACGGTGGGGGTTGAGACAGTCACTCGGTGGGTGTGGCGGGGCTGTCGTGATGGCTGGTTGGATGGCGACGACGTGAGTGAGGCGTTGCTGCTGGAGTGAGGAAGGAATGTACGTCAAAAGCTACCGGCCTCGGGCCAAATGATAGCGGAGATTACAGAGTACGGCAGGGTGGGCATCTGGTCTGGGAGTCTACCCCAAGGTACCTAGGTACCTAGTTTGCCTGCCGACCGACGCGGCACTACACTAGCATCGATCGCATGCAACCAGACACCCTGGCGCCCTGGTCAGTCCTAAGCTAAATGCGGAGCGAGAACTGAAGCGTGGAGGAGGGCAAGAGGGGTGGCCCTTTCCGGTGGTGCCCGCTTCTGAGTCCCTCGTGTCTGCTAAGGTTCCAAGGCAGCAAGGGCCTGGGCTGTTCTCTGGAAGAGGCGGTCACGGCCCAGCAATCGGGTACCTGGGTACGGGCCATAGCGAAGGAGTGCCATCCGTACTTCGGAACGGCAGAGGTGATGGGCCAGATCCAGATGGAATCGTCGGGCAGCGGGCACACGGCTAGTTTGCGCAAATTGGACTGATTGACTCCGTCTCCGTCTCATTACGTCGCCGACCGTCGGGTCAATCGTCACTCAATAATCTCCTTGTGCTGCAAGAGGAGACAATTCGCCCTCGTCCTGACGTGGCACAACCTCATTCATTCATTCATTCACACTCTCTCTCTCTCTTGTCGTCCTGTCGTCGTGTGCCCGTCTCCTGCGACCGATTGAGCCCACCCTAGTTTGGTGTCGCGACCGTCGTCGTCTTTCTACGCCACCACCCCCGACCACCACCACCCCCACTCAGTGTCTGTCTGTCTGTCTGTCTGTCTTCTGCTGCCCAGGACTCACTGACAGACAGCGCAGTGACTAACCGTGGTCCTGTACTGCTTGCGCCTCCCACGCTGCTGACACCCCCCTCTCTCTCCTGCCCCTCCACCAGGTCCAGTCGGTCGGCGCAAAAAGCAAAAGTTGGCGCCCACCTAAGGTCTGCCGACCGCCAATCCACGCGCATTCTGCCCACTTCTTCTCCAAATCTGCAAGGAATCTCCCTCACCGTGGTGCACACCGAAGCCGTCACTCAACTGTCCAGGACGGGCTCGCCCGCCCACACACCCTGGGGCGTTGGAAGGAGACAATCACTGAGTGGACAGAGCCCTGGGTTCCTAGGTAGCTCGAGAAATCAGGGTCAGACGGAGGAGAGCCCGTCTTGCGGCCGAGCACAGCAGCAAGCCAGCAGCCAGCAGCCAGCCAGCCGGAAAACAAGCAACCATGGCCAGGGACAGGGAACGGGGAGACAGCATCTCGCCGTCTGCCGGCCAATCAAAACGTTCTGCAAACCAGCAGGATAGCGATTCATTGGACAGCGACCAGACACATCACAGTCAACAGCATCATCAGCAGCACCCGCGAACGCATCACAAACCCCAGAGGCACCATGTCGGTGGCGGAGGCGCCCGCTTACATGCAAGAGTCCCGTCATCCAAAGGACTCTCCAAGCACAACACCTCCGCATCATCCACAAAACTCAACCGAAGAGTCACCTCTCCCTCTCCCGAACGAAGCACCGGCCTTACTGCCGCTCACCGCCGACACCACTCCTCCGAGGTCAAATTATCCCGCGACCCGTCCACCACAAGTCTCAAGAAGAACCACTCCCAGACCAGCCTGAAGCGCAATCGCTCCCAGGTCGAGGTCGCCAAGCGCTCCAAGCCCCAGAACCAGCTCAAGAGGTCTTCCTCCGAAAAGGCCGTCAGCAAGTTCAAGTCCTCCAAGTCCGCGGTGCACTTCGACCTCGGAAACGACGGACAGGAAGACGAGTGGATCGATGCTAGCAGCTCCGCGTCTCCCTATCTGTCGAGGCGCGGATCAGTCAACACAAGCGGTCAGTCGTCGGGCAATGCACAGGGGAGCGCCGTCGGGAGTCCAGCAGGAGGTGTGACCGGCGACGAGGAGCCCACACCCCTGGCCGAACCGCAAAAGCTCCTGTTTGCTGGCGACAAGGAGCACAGCCGGACTTTGACATCAAAGCTGCTTCAGCGCACGCCATCGCATAGCGCCACCACCGGCATGTCCAACACAATGGCCATGGCCCGGGCCGCATCACCCGATAGTCGCCATTCTGCGAGCACGCTGTCCGTGACCCCGGCACAGCCCCAGGGTGTTGTCGGGAGCAATGGTCAAGAGGAGGTCACATCACGCTTCGTCTCCCAGACCGCGGCCAGCTCGTTCACAGGCTCCGGGCCTAGAGGGCCCAGGTCGATAGGAAACTTCTCCTCATCAGCCAACAATGGACTGTCCGGCACCACTGAAGTGCGCGACGACGATGACTTGACAGACGAAGAGGACACTGGTGTGACCAGCAGTGCAATAGCAACCACAGCTCGGTCAAGAGAGGTGGGAACAGTGGCGGCAGCACCATCTGAGAAGAGCCGGACACAGCAGAAGATCAACCTCCAAAGGGCCAGCTCGTCCATGGAGCCGGTTCGTCACCGGCACTCCGGGATTGGCGGCTTCGCGGCCGAGGTGGCCGAGGTGGCCGGTCCCTTGTTAGGCGGCGCAGGGTACGATTCGCAGGATCCCAGAGTCAACAAGCTTCTCGAGCGCACCGGGGTGGAGTACAACATAGTACGTCGCTACCAGAACCCCGTCGCCCGCAGCTTGGTACGGCTGGCACAGCTCCCCGGCAATGACAGTGCAAGGAGGATACCCCGGCCCGGCACGGCCGGAGGTGCTGGTAGCCGCAGCTCTGTGAACCTGGCTGGTGGCGGGCAATTCGGTCTCAGCCAGAGCTTCAGGGACGGTGCCAACGGCGCCAACGGGGCACGAAGGCCGGCGACTCCCAGGCGGGCCCATACCACGATTAGGAACAGTGGCACAGGCTCCAGCCTGGACACGGACGACGGCGGCGCCAGCAGATTGCACGAGGCTCAGGGCCTGAGTGGGGCCAGCCTCGTCAATGGCGACGACGATGACGGGATCCAGGCGATATTGAGGAGCATGTGGGACAAGAGCACTCTAGACTTGGCCGCGAGCCAGTAATATCCCCGTACGCACTCACTCCAATGGCCAGACGGCACGGATTGATGGTTTTTGTTTTGTTGTAAGCGGTTCCAGGAGGTCATTCAAGCAGTCCCTGTCATTTTGGACACTGTGATCCCACTGGCCCAGTTTGTTCGGCGTTGGGGATCGTAGCGTCACTGCTGAGATATCCACCAATGAGGCATGGAAAAGGTATCTATCTAGAGACGGCAGGATTCAGGGTCTGAGGCCCCCCCTTTTTGGTTTCCTCGTTCATAGCCGAGAACCACCAAGGATGAACAATAGAAGAAAGTCCACAGCGAAGTCTTTTGGTCCTTAGTCTCCCGGCGAACCAAGTGAATGATCGTCCCGGCCTCTTTCGGAAAAGGTGTTAGGCAGCTTCCGTTATGTTCACCGACTGTCCAACAGGTTCGAGACCGCGGTAACGTCCCAACCTCTGCCAGGCCAGGCTGCATATCTTCCGAGTCCTTCCAATAAGCCCCGAACACTGACTGTATGTTGAGCTTGCAACCACGGAGTAATGCTTGCCTTTATGAGGTTATGGCTGGCAACCTCCGCCTTCGTGCTCTAACAGAACAAGGCTTGTCAGATATGCCTTTCCACATGGTCGGGACCGTGCCAAACAAGCGAGACTGATACATATTTGCAAGCAGTAGAACAGGCACAGATCACAATATTCAGCGTACAACAGGCATGTATTCAATTTGCCATGAGAGAGTAAGTAAGTACGGTATCTAGTTCCCAGTAAAACACATCATCACACGTAGATTTTGGTCCCTTGTTCCCGCCCACAAGCAAACACCCAAACCGACCGAGAAGAAGGATTTACACTGTTTGTACGCTTTGGAAGCAGGTATTTTTTGGTACTGAAATGGTGGTATCCAATAATATCTTATGTTTAAAAGGGAATGAATGACTAAGAAAGGAATAAACAAAATTCAGCAAGACACCATATTATGACGCCAAACAAACGCATCCCGACGCTGAAAAAAGGTATTTTGTAACAACCAGCCAAGTTTGTATGGACTAAAGTAGATAATGAACCCTTTTTGTGAAACATGTATCCAGCACACACCCACACACACGCGAGGCCACTTTCTTATGGCTTCGAGACCTGCTCCTTCCGGAAGAACTTGAAGAAGCCGAACGGGATGACCAGCTGGAACGCCAGGCAGATCCAGAACCACTTCTCGGCGGCGCCGGGGAGGACGCCCTGGCTGAAGTCGGGGAAGGTGACGGTGGCGTACTTGGCGTTGGGGCAGGTCGCCCTGGCGAGCATGGTGACGGCCGATCCGATGGCCTGGGAGCCGATGAGAACGGCGAGCACGTGCTGCCGCGTCAGTGTGGCCAGCAGCATCATGCCCAGGCCCACGCCCTGGATGGAGTCGAGCAGGCCCAGCCACAGCCAGATGCAGCGCGACAGGATGGCCGAGCCGACGGGCGAGCTGACCCAGGGGAGGTACCAGCCGATTCCGGAGACACCCCAGAACATCTGGGCCCAGCGGGGGGCGCCCAGGCCGATGGCGAAGATGGGCAGGAGCCAGGTGTGCTCGTCCGAAAAGAGGGAGAAGATGTACAGGATGATGGCCCACAGGACGATGAAGAAGCCCAGCGCGAGTATGAAGATCGCCCAGCCGGGGACGAACTGCGAGCCGAAGAGGAATTGCCAGTTGCGGCCGTAGGGCGCCGAGAGCCAGTAGTTCTGGATGATGATGGCGATGAAGAACCAGGGGACGAGCTTTCGGTGGAGGAGCGAGATGTAGAGACCAGGAATGGACTCGGGGGATTGGCGGTAGTAGTCGGGCAGGCCGAGGAAGAGGATGATGCCGACAGCCCACAGTAGTACGGCCACGGGGACACAGACAACGAGGGCGATGGGGATGCTGGTGTTGACGATGTAGGCGTTCACGGAGGCCGCGGACATGGCCACCAGTGAGCCCCAGTACCAGAGCATCAGGGAGTAGACAGACGCGATGCCGGCGACGATGATGGCGCGGATGATCCATTGACGCGTTGGCGAACCACCTAGAGAACAGAATATGTCAGCGTCTTGCCCACGAAGCCACAAGTCATGGGGAAGAGGGGGACAGAATAGCCTTACCTTCGTCACCGAAGTTGAGCGCAAACATCACGGCTCCACTGCTCGCTCCGGCGGCATAGAATGCAGTTGCGGTAGTCCGCACCACACCCTGTACCGTTCCGTCACCGAGGAAAGGCGCAATACCCAGCAGCATGAAGGCCAGGCCGAAGAACAGCCACGGCAGAGAGATGGCGTACAGAGACTTCAGGTGTCGGATCATGAACCAGTACATCAACGAGGTGGCCAGGTAGATGGCACCGATGATGTACAGTTGATTCGAAGTCTGCGACGACTCGCCGGTAAGCAAGACGATCTGGTACGAGTTGACCGACATGATCTGGCCCAGCGCCATCAGGAAGGCGTAGACTGGCCAGTCGCCAATCCTGATTGAAAGGATTCTGGTAGATATCTGCGTCAGCGTTCTGCCTCCTTGACCCGTGCAATCAACCAACTCTGGAGGTGGTTTCGACTTACTTCCTCAGACCTGTGGGCGCCTTGTAGCCGTTGCCCAGCAAGAATTCATCATCAACATCTGGTCCGCTGGGTGAGCCCGCTTCCGTACTCATATAGGTCATGGTGCTGTGGGGAGTAATACTGCGATGTCGCTGCCTTCCCCGGCTAACAATCGACGAATTTCTGCTCTTTCCATCCCTGCTTTCAGGCCTCTTGAGGCCCAGGCCGTTGGGGCTGCGCGCCCTGCTCACGTCGCGCCGGCCCAGCTTTGCGTCCCGGTACCGTCGGAACCATTCCTTCTCACTCTTCTTGAGGAACTCTTCGATGCAGAGCTCGGTGTGCGAGTTCTTGGCTGTGATTGCTGACAGCTTCTGCTCGAATTCCGCGTAGAACTCGCCGTTGGTATCGTTAAAGGTCAGATCCACCTTCTGCAACTTCATGTCTTGCCGCTCGCCGACGACGTCCGACAGGGAAAGCTGACTGCTGTTGCGGTTGCCCTGTTGGTAGAAACTTGGCTGTGGGAGGGGCAGGCCTGCAACGGAGTCGCGTGCGTCTGGCAGGCCGGGGCTCATAGGACCATCGGCCTGGGCGCGCATGGCGAAGCTGTCGAAACTGGCCACACTGATGGCAGAGTTACGCGCTGATCCGGGCTCCAGGTTGGTCCACGGGAACTTGGGGGTGTTGAGGTTTGGCGAAGACATGCCGCTAGGCGTCCGCAGGCCAGGGGAGGGAAGTCCAGCGGTCGAAACGTCGGGGGATACGTTGTGCAGCAATGAGCTTCGCACTGCTTGTGGCGAGGATATGTTTATTTGGACTCCAGTGTTGGGTGTGGTTGGCCTGGATGTGCCAGGCGTGTCGGGGCCGTCTTGATGGGATGTGGTGTTCAGTGATAACATTGACCTGCTTGTCAGCTTCTTCTTCTTGCTTGCCTCCTTGTTCGAGACGCGGATTGACTCGTCGTAAAGGCTGTCGATCTGCTGAATCCACTGCTTGACTGGGAAACGTTGCTTTGCACTCCACGCACGCATGAGGGCTCGCTTAGGCTGCTTGGAATCCAGAGCTTCCTTAAGAGCGTGCCTGAATTGATCCAGCAAGTGAGCAGGAGACATCGACTCGACCGTGTACCAGAAACCAGGCATCTGACCAAGACCACCGACTCTCGCACCGACACCCAGCGCACCCTTCCTACCAAACTCGACAGCGACGAGGCCAAAGGGTTCGTCACGCGAGGGAATCAGCGCAAATTCGGCACCGCTAAAGATGTAAGGCGGGAGCTGAGTAAATTCGGGCTTGGAGAACACCCGCTTAGGGTAAACCTCCATGAGTTTGGCAAGCTTCAGGGCCGCAAACTTTCCGTACAAGTCAATAACAGGACCGACACAGATAAGTTGTGTCTTGGGGTACTTCTCCAAGATGCTGGGGAAGATATCGGCGATCAGATCCACACCCTTCTGGAGAGACCAACGACCGACAAAGACGAACAGGTCGGCGGTTGGGTCGATTTCAAGACCGGCCCACTCTTGAGCCTTTACTCGGAGGTCTCCTCGGGCGCCTTCGAACTCCTTGTCGACCTCGATGCCGTCCTTCTTGCTGCTTCCCTCGTCCTTCTCGGGCTCCCATGCGGCTGTATCCGAAGGGTCGGGGTTGGGAAGCTGTCCGATAGCTTTCAAACTCCAGAAGATAGGGTAACGAGCCAATGAACGGTCACCGTACTTCTTGGACACACCCACGGCACCAAAGCCACGTTGGTGGTACCGCAAGTAGCTTGCACCGGCGTGCAAAAGGTTGAAGACGGAACCGTACTGGACGTACTTCTTCACAACGTCCATTGGCAGGCCGAACACATCGCAAACCTCCTTGGTCTCTTCGGGGCTGCGCATGGGCCACAGTCCTTGGAATTCGGCATTGTGCAGCGAGAGACACACGGGGATGGTCTGAGGAAGCAGGTATAGAGGAGCGATGGCACCGTGGTAGTCGTTAATGTGGTAGATGTCAACAGGGAAACGGCGGATAGTCTCAGCAATACAGCTGTTCCAAGCTGCATACAAAATACCAGATTCGACGTCGTCCATTCTTGCAATGTAGGGCTCGGCCTTGGTCTGTTGACGGAAGATGGGTGCGTCGAGGAGAACGTAGGTGATGTTGTTGTATCTGTGGTACTGGACTTGGACCTCGTAGGACTCGCCCATAATTTGAACAAACATCGACTCTGCCGGCTCGTCGATGGGGTAGTCGATACCGCCTATGCATGGTACGACCCAGATCAAGTTGACGTGGGTCAATGCGGTACTCATCAGCTTGGCCATGACACCAAGACCACCAATCTTGATGCCGATCTTCCAATCATCGATGTTGTACTCCATGGTAGCGATCAGAACTGTCCTCTTCTCACCAGTAGCCTTGATGGCGGGCACCGGGGTACCCGATGGCGAGGGCGACATGGCCCGCAGGGCGATGCTGTACTTCTCCTTCTTCTCGTTGCCATTGGAATCAGTCTTCAGGATGGCACCAAGAGAAAGCCAGTTCTTGGGGCTCGACTTGAAACCCCTCTTGTTGACCTTGACCTGGTAGAAGCCACGGACATAAACCCAGCCGGCCAGGGCTGCCAGGATGATGGGGATGATGCCGAGCAGGAAGAAGAGGAAGATCTGCAGGTAGACGGTACCAGTTGACACGGCCTCGATTGTCCAGCTTGAGTCGTGGACAACCAACTTGTAGGACAAGCCAGGCCATTCGGGAACTGACATGTTGAAGACGTTGCTTGACAGAC